AGAATCGGTCACAATGGCGTAGGTGTATACACTCTTTATCTTCCCTTAAACCTTGAGACTAAAATTGCTTCATATCTCTCTTCCTTCCTGTACTATATCCTTATATACAACCTATAATTTATATACTACTACCAACACTAGATTAACTACTATGAATCTGGTGTTCCTCTTGTTGTGCTAACGAGGTATGGCAACTTGGACCGATGCATATATGTGCCTGGTCCTACGTTGTAGCTGACCGACCGAGTATTCAGTTTCACAACTAGTGGAATTGGATCTATTGGAAAATGTGGGGATGCAGAAACACAATGTGATGGAAAGAGACAAGGGATTTGTTTCTAACAAATGTGTGACGCATATATATCTGGTGCCCCCCGTACCAATATTTATGTGTTTAAATAAATAAATAAAATAGTTAATTAGGTCTTTTTAACTGTACCACCAAACTGCTTAGATCCGACTGGGGTTGATGCGCAAAGAAAATTAAGGTTTATTGCTATATTGTAGGAATTACGAGTTACATCGAAAAGATAATCTCGTAACCTTGATTTGTTTCTCAAGACTAGCTGACAGTTAGCTTGGTTGAATTTCCAGAATAGCTAGTTAGTTCTTCAACTTTCAGACTATTTACTTAGAACGAACTAATGTTCCTAAGAAATTACCCTTAAGCATATCACTTTACCACAAGGTCTTTTTATAGATACACTTGCAATCAGTTTTGAATGTGGTAAACAAACAAATATTTGATTGAAAACTGTTATATGATCTTCACTAACAAGGAAGCATTGCTTTACATGCACTAAAATAATTGCGTTGACTTTTAGGTGACAAAGAGTCACCAGCTTGTCATTTAGACACAAACTCGGTTGTGCTTAGATAAAGGGAAAACTGCATATCTAGATGATATAGGTATTAAAAGCAACAGAAAATAAACCCAATCAATTAAGTGCAAATATCGGGATTAACATTAGTGGTTTTGATTTCAGTGTTTAAACTAGGCCTATGGTTTCGAAACTACAATGTAACTAGTAATCCACAAGATTGCGAGTTTATTTATTCACTGTTAGCGCCAGGTTTCATGTATAAAACACCGATGTATGGCTCTAATAATATTCCTTTACCTAGAAGCTCCTTTACCTCGCCCCCAAATGCCCTGGTATGGCCGAGAGTGGGGAGAGTCTACTCTCTCTCTCGAAATGCTCTCACATGGCCAGCGAATATATAGCCTCTGCCAGGGAAGTCCTACTCACTGCCTTCTCGTGGCGGGGGTGTTGCTTACGAAAGTGAGAGGACGAAAAGCGAATGTTCGGCGCTATAACCGGATTGGTGGACACGGAGGGTCCACCTAGGGGAGTTGGAAAACCCTGATTCCAAACCAATGGTGCACATGGGCTCCAGTATCCTGATGGAACGAATGGCGGAAGAACCTGCTGTTGGTCAACGGCAACCATGGGACTGCATCTCCTCACGATGCTCCACTGCCTTGTGGATCAGACCTTTAGGTCAAAGGCTCGGGGTGTGGTCCCCTAAGAAAACCACCTGCTTCAGTTCGGGCACCCGGGCAGTATCACAGCCCACACACAAACAAATGAATGAAATTATGAACTTTATTGACGATATCCCTGGTCATACTAAAAGCAAAACAATTAACATTATTATTATTATTACCTTTATTATTATTATTATTATTACCTTTATTATTATTATTACTTACCATATCGCTAATTCACCCCCTTTTATCCCCAATTTGTGTAACCTTACTCTTCAACTTATGCAGCAGCTCGCTCTTGGTGGAAAATCTGTCCTATCTAAACGATCTCCAGTCACTGTCTGGTTGAAAGTGAATGCTTCCACCGATTATGAATACTGAGGCAGTCTTTCTGAAACCACGTACGCCGTTCAAGCTGGCTTCCTTCAACGTTCGCACACTAATGCAGATCAGACAACAGATAGGGCTGGCTATGTCTTTGGAAGGTCTTAATGTTGACGTTTGTTGTCTATCCGAGACCCGTATTCAAGACTCTAGTGAAGTACTACAAATCCGCTCTCCATCTGTCGCCTCGAAAAGCTTGTTCCACGTGCGCTTATCCGGGGACCCTGTGGCATCTTCGTCTGGTCTTGCTGGCGTTGGTGTCGCACTAAGCGCTAGAGCTGAGGCAGCACTAATCGATTGGATCCCCATTAACAGTCGGTTATGTGCTGTTAGATTAGAAAGTTCCATCAAAGTGAGAAGAAACCGGCGTGAGAAACGGTGTCTTTTCGTCATCTCCGCCTATGCCCCGACAGATTGCAGCCCGGATGCAATCAAGGATGAGTTTTACCATCAGTTAACAGTTCTTCTCCAGAAAGCGCGTTCGACAGATATTGTAGTACTAGCCGGAGACTTGAATGCACAGGTCGGGCGTCTAGGCACAGAAGAGAGTCGTTTAGGTGGCCGATGGGGACTTGTTGGTCGCAGGACAGATAACGGGGACCGTTTGCTGCAACTGTGCACAGACCACAACCTGTTTCTGGCCAGCACTAACTTCCGGCACAGTCATCGCCGGTGTGCCACCTGGCGTCCTCCCTCTGCATCCCAAGCCTGGACTCAGATTGATCACATCGCGATCAGCTACCGCTGGCGTGGTTGTGTACAAGACTGCCGCTCCTTTTGGAGTACCTATCTGGAGTCTGATCATGCCCTGGTCTGCGCCAATCTCACCTTACTTTTCAGTGGCCGAAGGATTGACCACCACCAACGGATTGATATTAGTAAACTGGCTGCAACTTCTGTTGCAAGTAAGTATCGAGCTGAGTTAGCCTCTAGGCTAGCTACCACCCCACCGAAAAGTATAGACGAGCATTGGTTGCATCTTCACGACGCCATGAAAATGGTGAGTAAAGCCGCTTGCGGCTTCGCGAAACGTCCCGCTTACAAGCACTGGGTCTCTTCTGGCTCCTTACAACTGATGGAAGCCCGTCGGTCTACTCCGGGTGACCGTGAGTTTGACCACAAACGAAGGCTGTTACGTAATGAAATCGGGCAAAGCTTGTGTAAGGACCGGGAAGCCTGGTGGTCGGAGCGTGCTAATGAGATGAAAGCAGCAGCTGCATCTGGTAACTGCCGGAAGCTCTTCCAACTCATCCGAGCCACTGGCAGCAAGAAGTCTGGTGTGAGTGAAACAATCTACGAGGATGACGGGATGCCAATCACTAACATCTGTCGACGTCTTGGACGATGGGCGAAATTTTTCGAAGGGCAGTTCAACTGGCCTGCTGCTCCGGCAACATCAACCAGCTTGTCCTGCTCCCCATGGCCGGTGACGACTGATCCACCAAACGAGGCGGAAGTCCGCAAGGAACTCCAACTCTTGAAACGTTATAAATCACCTGGCCCAGATGACTTACCTCCGGCTCTTTTTAAAGATGGTGGTGACTTTCTGGCTAAGGAACTGACTGCGTTGTTTGGAAAGGTTTGGGAGCAAGAAAGTGTTCCAACATTTTGGAATGAGTCAATAGTCGTCCCTATCTTTAAAAAGGGTTCACGTTGTTCCTGTAGCAACTATCGGGGGATAAGTCTACTTTCGATCGCGTCCAAACTATTGGCTTCTATCATTCTTCGTAGGTTGTTTAAAACCCGAGAACGATTGACTCGCGAGGAGCAGGCTGGTTTTCGTTCTGGTCGAGGATGCATTGATCACATCTTCACCCTCCGCCAAATGTTAGAACACCGTCATACTTATCGCAGGCCAACAATCGTAGTGTTTCTTGATATCAGGGCTGCCTTCGATTCGTTGGACAGGACTGTTCTCTGGGATTGTCTATTGAAGAAGGGTGTGCCTGAGAAGTTCATTAACATCTTAAAGGCCCTGTATACGAACACCTCAGGCAGAGTGAGGGCATACAACCACCTTTCTCCCTTGTTCCATTCGAGCAGTGGGGTTAGGCAGGGTTGCCCGATCTCCCCATTCCTCTTCAACTTTGCCATCGACGACATCCTAGAAACAGCTCTGATGGATGTAAGTAATGGCGGTGTGGATACGTTGCCTGGAGAACGACTTCTCGACCTCGAGTATGCGGATGATATTGTCTTACTGTGCGATAATGCCCAAGGCATGCAATCAGCACTTAATCAGTTGGCAATCACTGTCCGCAGGTACGGCATGTGCTTTGCACCCTCCAAGTGCAAAGTACTTCTACAAGACTGGCAGGATTCTCATCCTGTACTCACCCTGGATGGTGAGGAGATCGAAGTAGTTGAGAAGTTCGTGTATCTAGGTAGCTATATAAGTGCTGGTGGTGGCGTGAGTGATGAGATTGATGCACGTATAATGAAAGCCAGAGCGGCTTATGCCAATCTGGGCCATCTTTGGCGCCTTCGTGATGTTAGTCTGGCTGTAAAAGGTCGGATCTACAACGCGTCGGTGAGAGCAGTTTTGCTCTATGCTTGTGAAACCTGGCCTCTCCGAGTTGAGGATGTTAGACGTCTCTCTGTGTTCGATCATCGTTGTCTCCGAAGGATTGCTGACATCCAGTGGCAACACCATGTTAGTAATGCAGAGGTTCGGCATCGTGTGTTCGGGCGCAGAGACGATAATTCAATTGGTGTCACCATCTTGAAACACCGACTTCGGTGGCTCGGACATGTTTTACGAATGTCGTCCCAGAGACTTCCGCGTCGTGCATTATTTGCCGACCCTGGGACTGGTTGGAGAAAGCGGAGAGGAGGTCAGTGTATGACATGGTGTCGTGGCATGAAAGAGAGCTGCAAAGGGCTAGCTTCCGTTGGTCCTTCACGACTCCCTGGTTGGGGTCCGAGAGATAGTGCAACACAGTGGCTAGAGACGTTATCGGATATGGCTCAGAATAGAAGCCAGTGGCGATCCTGCTGCAACCTTCTTTTACTTTCTACATAAAGAATGGTTCTAACTTTCCTAACTGAAAGAATCTTCTGGTTGTACATTTCAGCCCGCCTTATCTTTTCATCCTTTATCTACCTACTTTCATTATTTTGTGTGGCGCATATGTACCTGGTGCCCTTTTGTACCAATATATATGTGTTTAAATAAATAAATAAATAAAGAAGCTCCTCATGACTCCGCCAAGTAAAAAACTGTTGGCCGAGTCAGTAATACGTGGTGTCATTCTGTAAGGATATTTGTCCCATATTTTCACTTAACTCTATTATATATACACACTTTCATCGTCTATTTTCTGAGACCTACCTACTACTTTCCCGGGTTACAGTCCTGTTTAGTGAAAATGGTGACAGAATGTAGCCTTCGGAATCTTTTGAGTAACAATGTAAGGATGTTTAGGGTGTGTTTCTTTATCACTGTAATACTTAAATTCGGAACTGATCTTCATCAGCATCTAGACTGATTATAGGCAGCAAAACTGTTGTGCACGTTAACTCCACTTTTCCTGTTGAGTATGAACCTCGATAGGTTGATAGCAAACAAAGTCTTGAGACAGGTTCAATAACTTTTCTTTGTTTTTACCAACTTGTGTCACTTGGGAATTAGTTATGTCTGTCAACCAGGGGTGAGTATGTTGCACACTCATCCTCTCTGTATTACTCTATGCTTATGGAACAGTCTGTGAAAGTAGATGTGTAGGCTGCAAGTTTCTGACTATGCGTATCTTCGAAGCACCGGTTGCGTATTGTAGAACAACCGAGTGAGCTGTCATGAGGTTAAACGTACCATGCAATATGGTTAATTGTTTGATGGGGTTGTAAATCATTGGCTGAGAGGTGTATTATGTATCCCCAAGCATCATTAGATTCGAGACCCTTAGGCATTTCAGTATCTGACTAGATTACAAGAAAGCTAGCGGCAGTCAAATTAGGACAACATGAGGCCATTGATTGAGAACCTCCTGGTTGGAGACGTCAGTTGACGTGGCTAAAATTTGTTCGTATCGTTGAAAATCTATGCATTCTTTCTCTTCTTCCTGTCAGTCTCAAATTTCAACACTTCACAGTTTATGTTCCTCTGTTTCATTCCTTCTCAGAAATCATGTTTGATTCTTTTCATAATCACTGATAGTACTATTCGATTCATCTCCCATGCACTTTGTTGGTTTCGTTCCTCTGTGATAGTATGATGTGTCAAAGTAGGCTGATGAGTATTTGTGCCAAGTCTTGACGGATTTATAGTGCTATCGTTTATTTGTGTAGTTGGTAGATGACTTTCTATTGCGATCCTATTGGCGAGTGCAAATTCTACTTCCAAACTCACGTATAAACCCACATTTACAGTAGCGTAAAATGACCCTATTGAATCGCCACAAAATCATCTTGGCAAGTTGTGGATGTTCACTTCATTGATCAAGTGCTTTCAGGTGAAGTTGAGGAGTAACACTTCTAATTTATGGCTAGCGAGACGTGTCTTCCATTTGTACATGGGATCCAAACACGTCGTTTGAACTACGATTTCCATCTCAGAGTATGAAGTAAAGGTGGTAAGTTGGTCTGTATGGTATTGAGGACACATCACACACATAGTTGCCAATAACTACAATAATACACTGTTTAACATAGAAGTATGTTAAAACAAGACCGAGTGGTTGCATCAGAATGACTCTGGTATGTGAAGTTATTAAATAATAAGCTAAATCGTATTGGAAAGTTCAGTCTTCCAAGTACGGATTTGCGAGATAGTTGTTATTTACGGTTGGAGTGATGAAGTTGTGTTCATTTTTCGTTCCGCTTTTTAGCTTTGGATGGCGTTGCTTCATATTTCTCATTCTTTGACTTCATTGATTCTTCAAGCTACCTCTTATTTTTCATCATTCCCACCACTGTTGGTCTTATTAATTTAAATTTTGCTTTTACGCCTGTCGAGTTCTTGGTATTTTGTGTTTTGCAATCTGGGGTGTTACTGATCTGTAGTATATCCTTTTTTTTCCTGTCTACCGGTGTTAAAAATCCAAGTCAAATTTTTTTTGTTGAAAGTAAAAATTTCAACTGTTAATATCAGGACTAATAATTAATCTGGCATATATTACATTGTTGTACCATTTTATCGTACAATTACAGAAGTTTCGTTTGTCTTTTTTTCGAAGTTTTACTGAAAAACTTTTCTACATTTTTCAGCTTTATCCAATGGACACTAAAAAAGAGCCTTCAATCAACATAGACAATTCAGAAATAGTTGTCCTCAGTTCAGATGATGAAAATGATTCGCAGAATTCTAATGACAATATTTCAAATGAAAAACTTTCAAGCAGTGTTATATCTATTGAAGATGATGATGATAATAACACTAATAATGACGAGTCTGCCGAAAGCGATTGTGAGATTTTAAATGTTGAAGATTTGCAAGGTGAAGAGAAGTGGCGTGATATTCATGGTATGTCTATGAAACGCTAATATTTAATTCGTGACATCTAAACACTAATCATTGAAGTGGTTTTTATACAAACCTTAGTGAAGATCAGTTTAAATTTCTCCTATGTTCTTTATCACTAACAGTAGTACACTTCGTTCATATGAATTATCTGGAGTATGTAATGGCAATCGAAGAGTAATTAGATTATTTAACAAACCATAAATATTACAAGCATACGAAAGTATGTAAGTTCACGTCACCACAGATCCCGGCAGCCTAAAAAACATTAAAATAAAGGAAAATATAAATGAAGAGGGGAACTTAACGAACTAGTAGTGAATTTTTCGTGATCTAAAGAATGAGGGGATAGTATATTTGCTCCATTCTGACCAAGTTTGATCTATGTATCTATGGCCTTCAACTACCTTTTTTTCGTTCAGAACGTCTGTACTTCCACGCAGGGCTGAGAAAAATACTCAATAGTTTTGTGGACTAGTCCTATAACCTATCCTTTATATTTTTAGTTTTTCATCAAAGAACCAATCTATTTCTCAAGATTTCTTGATTCTCTAATCTGTTCATGAAATTGGAAATCGTTATGCACCTACAGTTTGTCTTTTTTAGTCTGAGACAGTTAAAACTATTTTGTTAGGAGTATTTATGCCAAATACAGTTTGTAAAAGTTTAAATAAAGAACCATTTCTATGATACTACCTAAAAAAATAGTTAACAACAACAAAAACCATCGTCTCATATCTTAACTTTTTCAGTGTAATAAAATTCTAGTCAATTGAGTTAAATTCCTACTATTCCTTCTACCTTGACTTTCAACACTAAACTTCCTCTCTCGGTTTCCTCCTCAAGTGTCACCATGGCCAACGATTCTAGTGCGCAAGGTCTGAAGGCGAAGTTGTAGTGCTGATTGTACAGGGGTGTGACGGCAGTAAGGTGCTTCCTTCGGATAACCAGCATAACAGCGATTCTGCCTTCCTACAAGTAAGAGTGGGGTTAGAAAAGGTCGACACTAAAAACACACACCTCGTCTTATCTCACGAATACCCGTCTTTCTGGGGTGTGGGCAACCGGGAAGTGATAACCATCCTCATACCTCTAACAGTTCTCAAGACCACTGGATTCATAATAAATTTCCCTCTTCAATTCCTGTTATTCCTCCTACATGGACTATCACCATGACAAACGAATCTAGTGCACGAAACACTGTCCCAGGTCTATTGAAACCTCGCTCCAAACTACACATTGGAGCCTTCAACGTACGCACCCTATGTCAAGTTGACCAGCAAGCCTCCTTGGATAAAACCCTAGAATCTCGTACCATTGACGTATGCTGTGTCTCTGAAACACGCATACAGGATCTTAGTGTAGTCATTCACTTGACCTCACCTCTTCAAAACGGGGATCCGAAGGGGTACACCCTCCCTGGCTTTTGCCAAGTTATGTCACTTATGACGGAGCCTAGACATCCGTCTATCAATTAAAAAACGAGTATACTGCGCAGCTGTTCTTTTCTGTTCTACTTTACGGCTACGAAACGTGGTCATTAGGAGTAGAACATACTCGTAAGTTACTAGTATTTGACCACAGATGCCTTAGAAATATTGCTCGCATCTGCTGGGATCACCGGGTAAGTAATAGTGAGGTTAGACACAGGATATTAGGGAATGATGGTGAATCAGTTGATGAGGTTGGGAATCTTCATCTACTGAAATGGTTGGACCACCTGTTGCGTATGCCTGAACACCTATTACCACTACGCGCGTTGCTAACTAGCGTTGGGGATGGTTGGGAGAAAGTTTGTGGTGATCAAACCAAAACATGGCATAAGTCCATAAAGTTACTAACTTGTGGTCTGAGCCATGTTGGTAGATTCAGACTACTTGGTCGGGATCCGCGTGACTATCTCGTACTCAATGGTTGGAGACTGTGGGTGATATGGCTCAGAATCGATAACTATGCCGTAGGTGTATACACTCTCTGTCTTCTCCTAAACTATGAGATTAAAATTTCTTTATATCTTTTTTTCTTCCTGTACTATATCCTTATATACGATCTTTCTTTTATATATTACTCCCATTGAAGTAACTACTGTGAATTCGGTGTTGATCTTGTTGTGCTAATGAGATATGGCAACTCCGACCGATGCATATATGTGCGTGGTCCTACGTGGTAGCTGGCTGACTGACTGATGTGCTTCGATTAGTATTTATAGACGTATTAGTTAAAACCTTTAATAGGCAATCTATTTTCCTCGTTGGCCATTCCTATCATACTTAATGCTATGGGCCCCCAAATGCCCTGGTACAGCCGAGAGTGGGGAGAGTCCGCTCTCCCTCTCGAAATGCTCTCACATGGCCACGCGAATATATAGCCTCTGACAGGGAAGTCCTACTCACTGCCTTCTCTTGGCGCGGGTGTTGTTCACGAAAGTGAGAGGACGAAAAGCGAATGTCCGGCGCTTTAACCGGGTTGGTGGATGTGAAGTGTCCACCTAGGGGAGTTGGAAAACCCTGATTCCAAACCAATGGTGCACATGGGCTCCAGTATCCTGATGGAACGAATGGCGGAAGAACCTGTCATTGGTCACCGGCTACCATGAGACTGCATCTCCTCACGATGCTCCACTGCCTTGTGGACTAGACCTTCAGGTCAAAGGCTCGGGGTGTGGCCCCCTAAGAAAACCACCTGCTTCAGTCTGGGCACCTGGGCAGTATCACAGCCCTCACACAAATCGAATGAGATTTGTGAGGCGCATATTTATCTGGTGCTTCTTTGTACCAATATTTATGTGCTTAAATAAATAAATAAATAATAATGCTATGGTTAAATATTGGTAATAATCGTACATAAAAGACAAATTAATAGTAAAAATTGCCATTTCATTTGCGTTTTGGGACATAAATAAGGTATTTTTTGCTCAAACATTATGGTCTTTTTTATCTTCAACATGAATTTATGCGATACAATTTCACGTATATTGTTAAATGAGTTCATTCTCATTTGATGTTTAGTTGGCGTAATGTTAACGAGTGGTTTGAATTACTTACTTATAACTGTTTTCAATCTTACTAAAAGGAGTTAGCATTCCAATTATTGATTTGTCATGTAAAACCAACCACTTGTTGTGTGCATATAGATTTTGTGTATATATTTCACTATCACCGCTATATTTTTTGATAATGTATATTATTATCTAAAACTGAGGAGCTTAAGATAGGTTCAACGGGAAGGTGGCTTACGACACTATAAAGATTTTCTTATATGGAATATGGGCCTGTTGATGTCTATCAATACAGTTAGAAGTAAAAGCACACCACTTCTGCCTGGTTACCAATCTTCTCAAATAAAGTGAGTTTTTTCTAGGTGATGTATTCGGGTCTTTGGAAACACTAGATCTCTGTGTATGATGGGTCCTACGTAGAGCAAAACATATCACAGATCAAACTTCTAGCGATTACACTTCATTTGTTACTTACGCTGCATACTTGCGTTCAGAAACGACTGATTTTGAGAAGTCTCAATATCTTTTGCTGAGTGTTGAAGTGTTGTTTTACGGTCAACTTTCACTTTTCTGTCTTCACACTAATCCCATTAATGTACGTGTGTAACAAAATATCCATTTATTAATAAACTAGACTACTAATGTTATAAATGGTATTCAAATGTATATTCAAAATCTATACCAATATATTTTCGTGTAACTGCTGATTCAGGACTAACTGTTTCATGCAACGCTCTATGAACACCTAGCTATCATGTGAAAGAGCTTGATTATTTTAGCTGTTCTGATAGGTAACATCCATTATTTTTAATTCAATTACCACATGTTTATGTTTTTCTTGTTCTAATCGCACATTTTTACTTCGTTATTCTTTCTCTGCAGTAGCTTTAACCGAATAACCGTTTCAACTACTTATACTTTTAATTTAATGTTTTTATCTCGCATAGTTTCTGTCCATGATTATCATGTCCAATATTTCTGCAGTAGATTCATCATGATGTTTTATCTAAACTTTTCATTTTTTTCTGGTTGGATTTAGTGTTAGTACTAATTGTTCCTATTATCTAAATCGCATCAGGTCCATTCAAGCGACTGAACAGGCTCATACAAGCTGGCTTTAATGATCCACGGTTATTGTTGGTTCGTGTTTTCGGGATGGATGAAAACTCTTTACCATCTGATCCTAACCAATTATTAAGTTTATTATTGACACTTTTGGCCGAACCTGCTCCACGACGTAGACTGCGCCGTATAAACAGTTTAGAAAAGGTTCTGTCACTTCTGTCTACTTGTACATCAATCCTCGTAATCACTGGTGCTGGTATTTCAGTGTCATGTGGAATTCCTGATTTTCGTTCTCGTGATGGTATTTATGCTCGCTTATCTCGGGATTATCCGGATCTATCAAGTCCACAGGCAATGTTTGACATGTCATATTTCAAGCGAAATCCTATTCCTTTCTTTAAATTCGCTAAGGTATGGTTTATTTTTCTAGAAATCCTATTTCACTACAAGTAACATTGATAATTAGTGTGATAAAAATCTACTGATTAAAATTGAAATAGATATTAAAACGCTGTAATACTCTACCTTCATTGTGAGGATCATTTTACAAATATTTATTGATTTATCTAAATGGATTATAATTGTTTAAATGATAACATTTAAACAATGTTATTCAATTATCACTTGTATCTTTCAGTCAAGGTTAGCCAAATGTTACAAATTTTGTTTACTTTGGTGAACTACTAAAATTTAATGAACGAATATCTTCAGGTAGTCTTGCAATATTTGTCATTTCTCCTAAATCACCTAAATATTTTTAAGATATTTTGTCTTTCACAAGGTTTTCTGGTGAGACTATAATTTATGAACGATCTTCGAGAGACGCTGAAGTGACCCTGAGAAAATTGAGCCACTTACTAGGGTCAAAAGAGGGTTATGCATTGATTTTAGGAAATAGGATTAGTGTTCAGAATAAGAAAATAGGGTTAGTAATTAGAGTTAGGTTTCTCATCACGAACTAACATAAGTTATGATGGCAAAATGCTATTTAATCATATAAATGATTGAATTTTGCTCCAAAATCCAAGGCTTGCTATCTTTAATCTCATCGGTTTGTCCATAGACTGTGGTTTCGCTGGTTTCTTCTCATAGAGTTGAGAAAAGTAGATAAATCAGCATTCGTAAATTTCGTTGAATTTTACAACCATTTCTTTTTCACTGCGTCATAAATTGTCAATTTAAATCTCCAATATCAAAGATAGAGAAACTGTGCACCATTCGAAGCCTCTTGATTTTTTTTCAAGCTATCAACTAATAACAAGTACATAACGTTTCCAGATAATATCAACTGTCAGAAGTCCTGTTTGATTTGTAAATCATACTTGTCATATCAAGTGGGAGATATACACCATATTGTTTTACATTTGTTTACTTTGTTGTGCTATTTTCACCATACATCATTATCAAATAAAACAACTTAGGTCTTATGACTGATATGTTTGTTTGATTAACTGATCTAATATGTTGATTAGTCTGGACTAAATAGGAGTGGTTAATATGTACCACTTAAAGCAAATAAATATTATGTTGCCAATATCACAGTCTAAATAAAGCAGGAAATTACACTTCTGGAACTCAAATACATTGACTATATCGTTGTGTCCTGAGGGACAGAACGATAGACAATTATTCAATATTTTGGACCGGTTTTTTAAGAAACAATGTAAACTGACACTTTGAAAATTACGCTTGTTCACGCAGGGGTTTAGTTCATTGGTTTGTAACGGCTAAGGAATTTTTAACTTGCCATTTTTATGGTACACGACTGTTGCAACTATTGCAGTACTGGACAATTTTTTGCTACATCGTTTAGGATGCTTATGTAAAAAATGGTTATGTTGATTATGTTCATTTTATTTCTTTAGGAGCTCTTCCCTGGTCAGTTTTCACCTTCGATTACTCACCGGATGATTGCTTTATTAGAGTCCAAAGACAAATTATTGCGTAACTACACACAGAATATCGATACTTTGGAGCAGGCTGCTGGAATTACTCGACTTATTCAGTGCCATGGTGTGTAAGGGATTACTTGTTAGGTTTCATGTTTAATATTTTTACTGTATAATATTTTTTTGTCTTCATTTATATGTTCAAACACAATGCGGGGAACGGTCTCAAACAACTTAGACTTTTTGGTCTTCATTACTTTTATAAAGTTTGGACATAGTATTAAAAGAGACATGGGACAATTTTGTTTGCGAATTTATTACGGAACCGACCACTTTTACAACATAAGTTTCAATTATCGAAATGAGAACAGTATTGAACTTTTTATAGATTCTGGATGAGTTTTCGTAAGTATTAATTAGTAAAAGAATGGGTTGGTTGAATCAAAGAGGAGCGGAGCACTGGGAAACTGAGTCATTTTAAGCAATTTCATGGAAAATCTGTCTCAAAATAAAACCAATATTAGACTTGTTCTTATTCTGACTCACTGCTGGTTTGAACATTTGATACTTATATTTTAGTTTACTGCTTTCAACTCTATCTTTATTCCATTTTTAACGGAGATCAGTGTTATAGTTACTCATGAAGTCAACTATAAAAAATTACTAAAATCTCTGCAAAACGCCTTCTGATAATAATCATATGCTCACTAGTGACTGGCTTCAACAGGTAATTCTTGGAGTTCTAGTGAAAAGCAGTGACCGGTGGAGTTCAACAGGGTCTGTTGTGAGATAGCAACTCACTGAAGACAATGGTCAACGGTTGCACAATTTCGTGAATCGGTTGGAGTGAGACATTAACCCTGTCGGATGCCGGCTCAGTAGTCTAGAGGTTAAGCTGCTGAGGAGTCCCGCAATGGGACGAAACGGCCGTCCAGTGCTTCCAGGTTTTCCATAGTGGTCTAGCTTCAATTCACTCATGAATTCAACTATAAAATACTCCACAAAACCCCTTTTGATTTACGTAATTAGTTTACTGCACTAATCTATATTTGGTCACTTTTAATGCTTAACTCGTAATTAAAAAAATAGTTGGTTATCTTAAAAATATCGTATTAAATAATAATCTCAGTGTATTTGTTTGGAATACATTTCAAACAGTTGAACTTAAGAAAGCAAATATCTCAAATAAATGTTTCGAGAAATTCAGAGGTATTATCCTGAGGGACATGATATCCACCTATCAGTTCGAAGTAGCTATGGTAAAGTCGTTAGAAGCGTAAGCTGAGACCAGAAGCATCCAACTTGATCATCTCCAGAACTTAAAGAATTGCTATACAATTAGTCAATATATACAGACAGAATTATTCTGGAAAGGTAGAGGGTTTACAATCAATCATTTGCTACACTTAATTTACATGTCTGTTTATTTCATAGTTGTTAATCCAAGGTCATTGGGACTACATTTCATTTTTTTCGGCCGATTAAAATCAAGATCGGTTTTGATATATCAGGTGCCATTGTGATTGTTATGTTTTCTCCTGTCATTCAAAATGTTCAAAAATAAACGATCAGCCTGAATTTTTTAATTCATCGAATTCAGTAATCAGCCGAAAGACTGACAACTTATTCAAACCTGTTGTGTTAATTTCGTTAAATTGTTCGTAAAATCAGTTGCGACAAAATGACCTAGGTCAACATTCTGCTCAACGTTTGAGTTTCGATCAAAATCTCGTCAAACTGATCTTCAAAGTTTATTATTCCTAATGGTTTGGGTTTTGCTATTTCTTATATTGAGAACTAAATTTTGACCAATCTTTTTCTGGATATATGCAATCTGAGTGGGTACCTTGATCTCCAACATATTTTTCACACTATCTTAGCTTTTAATTCTGGGATTTTTTTCATTGGTTTATATTCCCCACTGTTACTTATTGTGAATATTACGTCTCATACACGACCCCAGTGTGTTTGGACAACGTGAAGCTGGTTTTTCTGTACTTCTTTTTCTTTGAGTAGAACAAGGCTCTAATTTCATTCAATTACGCTCAATATTAATATCTTTTGTTTTGCTGAATTCGATTTTTCCAGCTCACTTTCGTGCTCAAATCTAATCAGAATTAGTTCATAAACCTATTAGTTTCTACAATAACCTTTATTCATCAATCATTTATTTATTTATTTAAACACATAAATATTGGTACAAGGGGGTACCAGTGATATATACGCCACACAAATCTGATTTGATTTGTGTGAGGGCTGTGATACTGCCTAGGTGCCCAAAGTGAAGCAGGCATCAAGCATATATATTTTTATATAATCTTTGATGATCTTCATAGAATTACGGACGTTAATCCAATGTAAGAAGAAAGTAAAAATAACAGTTGTTATAGGCATTTCTATTTAAAATGTTTAATTGTACATATATTTTCCAATACTCCCCAATTATTTATTTATTGATTTATCAATCAATCAGAAAAAGCTTAGAAACATATTGATGTTATTTTTCATTTGTCACACCTTGATCACCATTAGAAAAAAATGAACTTTTTTTTTGTTTTAACCAGACAGAAATACATAACTTTCATATTTATCACATCTATTTGTTATTGTTTGCAATTTTTAAAATGAGAATGTTTTCTTTTTTGTTAATAAAAATAGTTTCTCATTATTAACTAAAATATTATTGATTTATCACATTATTAGGTTCATTTGCATCAGCCACTTGTACAAACTGTAAACTTAAAGTTTCATCTGATTTCATCAAAGAGGCTATTTTTACTCAGTCTATACCACGTTGTACAAATTGTTGGCCATCAAAAGTCGATCCATCATCATTATTACCAGATGAAATGAATGATTCGGAATCTACAAATCATTCATCCGATTTGTCTACTGTAGAAGAAAATCCTAATAATAATAGTAATAATAATATGTCAGTTGATACATCTCCAAAAGTTAAATCGAAACGAACTAATAAATCTCGACGTAGACTAGCTTCATATGGTGTATTAAAACCGGATATTGTGTTTTTCGGTGAAGGTTTATCAAGTGAATTTCATGACTCTCTTTCCAATGATATAAAACAAACCGATCTAGTTTTAGTTATTGGGTCATCGTTAAAAGTTCGACCTGTCTCTCATATTCCTAGTAAGTATTATTGTTTTGTTTTTGCCATAAAACTAATTGTTGTTTCTGTCATAAAGACTTTTGAAATAGATTTACTTGACTTCGGAAATAAATCCAGATGAAATACACCATTTACATCACTTTTTATATGATTTATGTACGGTCAGATTGACGATCATGTTTGTTCAATTTGACTAGGTAGTATTTAACATCAGTAACTTATTGTAGGAATACGTATTTTATCATATTTATCAACTCTTACACTGGATGACTTCTCTTTCCGATTCTGTCATATCGTCTTCCTCTCCTGAAAATAAGTTCGATTGAAACCGTTAGAATAGGTGCACATCACTCTCCCTCTCTTGAAGAATGTGTAACCTTCAGGGAGTATGTTGACTCCAGTGGTCAGCATCTTGTAGCTCTGCCCATCATCTGATTGACAAATCTGAACGTTAAAACTGGATGATTATAATTTAATATGAATTTATAAGATATTTTATTGCCAACATGATTATATGAATGAAAAGTAATACAACATTTATGACTGATAATATGACTATTAAATTGATAAATACCTTTGAATAGTACACCAATGGATCTGAGCGTCCGATGATTTCATCATCATGGTTAGCAATATCTTGCATGGCATTTGAGATTTCATCGCGTGTTGGATTTGGGTCTAAATGTGAATTGACATTGTTACTGGTCATTAATTTAGCTGACAGTAACCCTATGCTGGACGACTGAATTGGACTGGACACTGTTGAAGCGAACTTCTCCAATCTCTCCATTACTATCGTCTGAGATGCTTCGAATAGCTACTTTTGCCACTTCAAAATGGATTGGAGCTCCTCTGTTATGTCTGTTACAAAGACTGGATATGGATAAAGACAGAAAAAATATTGATGCAGAATAATATGAATTCATTATATTTCGTGGTTTCTCATCAGCTGCTTACAACCAAATATGTATTAGAATTTTAGCATTGGGGTAATAAATAGTGTGGAACAATTGACCACCACCCTTTCTCTCACACATTTCCACTCGCTTGTCTCTCTTAAATTATATGAACTCTCCAAATTCTATTCAATTATTACGTAACCCATCCTATTTGTTTTTAATTCCATGACTCCTTCATTACCTCTAAAATTATCACACATTTTATCTTATCTGCCTTTGAACTTCACTCAACTATTACACCACCCACCCTTTATGCTTCTTTGATTCTAATACCTAATAACCTCTGACCTTTTCTTGCATATATATATATCATTGATAACCTTTTGTCATTCCAATCCTTTACATTCACTTATGTCAATTGCTCCACACTATTTATTATCCTAATGCTAAAATTCTAATACATATTTGATTATAGAGTTGAGATCATGAGTCAATTGAAGCTAGACTACCATGGAAAACCTGGAAGCACTGGACGGCCGTTTCGTCCTATTATGGGACTCCTCAGCAGTGCGCGTCCACGAACCCACTCTCGCGGGATTCGAACCCAGGACCTACCAGTTTCGAGCCGAAGCCCTTAACCGATAGACCACTGAGCTGGCATCCAACGGTGTTAATTTCTAACTTCAACTGATCCACGAAGTTGAGCAACCATTCACCAATTGTCTTCAGTGAGTTGATATCTCCCAACAGACCTGAGGAGTCTGACAATAGAACGAAACGGCCATCTAGTGCTTCCAGGTTTTTCATGGTGGTCTAGCTTCAATTGACTCATGATCTCAACTCTATAAAATACTAAAATCTCCACAAAACCCCTTCTGACATATTTGATTAGTTTCAAAATCCCCATAGATAATTCAAAAATGAACAATATTTGAGCGAACAATTGTTTTCAATAACTTCATCATCAGGCTCTACAGTTATAAGTCCATAATTATAATATTTTACAAAGTCCAAAATGAGGCATGTATTAATGAATTTGACAATGTTATATGTTAAAAATGGTAAACGTTTGCATCTATTACGACATTTATACTTCAAAATTGTGTTATTTGTAAATTAGAAAGGTCATTTAATAAAGGTCAAAGTGATTTGTAATCAAGTGTCTAGTCACAATCGATTTAATAGTAATTTCGAAAAAATGAAAATGCAAAAAATTGTGTGAATAAAGTGCATAGTAGGAGAATTTCATCTTGTCAATTGAGATAATAATGATAAATAGTAATAGTAATAATAATAAGATTGGTGTGTGAATATAATATGTAATAAAAGGGGATGTTATCAAGATAATTACGATAAAGGAATTAGGAATGATGGATGTGAAGATTAAGATAGAGGTGATCAACAAAGAAAAAAAAAGAGGAGGTTTATAATATTTAGTTTAGGAAACCGGTGATCCAGTCGTAGGCCAAGGTAAACATAGTGGCTGGATATACTTCTTTTGGACGCATAAATTTGGTTTTCTAGAGTTGATCCAGATGGCTTCGGCTATGTAAAGTAATCGTAATCTAGCTCTTTGAGGTAGAGTTTTCGGAGCTTGATATAAAACAGAGAAGGCTTCTTCTATTTTGATATGATGTTCACTGTCTACCAAGTGAGAAAGGATGGCGCTGTCAATGGATTTAGTGACTCCTTTTCCCAACCATGCTGGTACATGTTCACGAATACGCAAGGATAAAGCCCTCTGAGTACGGCCTATGTAACTAGCTCCACAGGAGCAGTTGAATTGGTATACACACATGGAAGAGCCCATCTTCGGTAACTTATCCTTGATTAATTGTGTGAGTACTGGTTTAGTTGAGAAAGTGACGTGTAGCTTAGCGGCGTAAAACGTCCTTTCAACCGATCTTTTCAGTCGGCGTGTTAGAATATCACTCGCTATGTCACCTTTGAAGTCCAGTTTCAAATACAAGGTTTTTTTACTCACTGTTTCACAATTTCTTCTTATTTTAACAGTACTTTCTACTAGGTATTTCTTAACGAACTTATCCGGGTAGCCATTCCTTCGCAATGTATTTTTCAGTATATCTATTTCACTCTCAACAGTGTCCTCAGAACATAATTGTTTGATTCTGTGACTGAGACATTTAACCAGATTTATTTTATACTCAAGAGGAGTGAAGCTTTGGAAATGGGTATACTGACCCGTCCATGTATTCTTTCTAAATGTATTTCGTTTGATGGAACCATCTCTCCTTCTAGAAAGTAGGACGTCGAGGAAAGCTATACTATTGTCTTTCTCTTCTTCGCTGGTGAATTGAATAGCTGGGTGGACGTTATTGAAAAAGTCTAACATCTCCTGTTTGTCAACCATTTCGTCGCATACGATTAGTGTGTCATCTATGTATCGACAGTAGTAGTCTAGCTTACTTAAGGTGTCTTTTAACGGTCCATTTTCCAGTTTGGCCAGAAAAATGTCAGCAAGGATCGGGCCTAGTGGTGATCCCATTGCTACTCCATCTACTTGTCTGTAAAATTCATTGTTAAACTTAAAGTAGATATTCATAGTACATTTCAACAGGAGTTCTTTCAATTTATTTATTGGAATCGGTATCCCTATTTTCTTTTTTAGCACTTGTTCACATATGTAATCGATAGTTTCAATCAGGGGGATGTTAGTGAACAAAGATGCTATGTCTAGTGATAGCATGGTTTTACCATTTATATTCCTATTTTTTATTGAATCCACAAATTCAAACACGTCTTTAACACTGTGGTTAACCAGTTCTTGGTGTAATGGTTCCAATAATTTCACTAACCATTTTGCTGTTGAATGGTATGGTGAGTTTGACATGTCCAGAATTGGGCGTAAAGGAACCTCAGGTTTGTGAATCTTAGGTAGGCCATAGAGTCGAGGAGTATATGTTCCAGAAGGCTTGAGCTCATTATAGGTATGCTCTATGTTTTATATCAAGTTCCGAAAACTCTACCTCAAAGAGCTAGATTACGATTACTTTACATAGCCGAAGCCATCTGGATCAACTCTAGAAAACCAAATTTATGCATCCAAAAGAAGTATATCCAGCCACTATGTTTACCTTGGCCTACGACTGGATCACCGGTTTCCTAAACTAAATATTATAAACCTCCTCTTTTTTTTTCTTTGTTGATCACCTCTATCTTAATCTTCACATCCATCATTCCTAATTCCTTTATCGTAATTATCTTGATAACATCCCCTTTTATTACATATTATATTCACACACCAATCTTATTATTATTACTATTACTATTTATCATTATTATCTCAATTGACAAGATGAAATTCTCCTACTATGCACTTTATTCACACAATTTTTTGCATTTTCATTTTTTCGAAATTACTATTAAATCGATTGTGACTAGACACTTGATTACAAATCACTTTGACCTTTATTAAATGACCTTTCTAATTTACAAATAACACAATTTTGAAGTATAAATGTCGTAATAGATGCAAACGTTTACCATTTTTAACATATAACATTGTCAAATTCATTAATACATGCCTCATTTTGGACTTTGTAAAATATCATAATTATGGACTTATAACTGTAGAGCCTGATGATGAAGTTATTGAAAACAATTGTTCGCTCACATATTTGATTGTAAGCAACTGATGAAAAACCACGATATATAATGAATTCATATTATTCTGCATCAATATTTGTTCTGTCTTTATTCAAATTCATAAAGGGAACTAATTGCATGATATGGATTTATTTGGCCCCGGAAATAGATCAATATAATTTATCCGTACACTGCTTTCTATATGATCTATGTAAAGTGATGTACAAGTGATCTGATTGAAAATTACTGCTGCTATTCGAAACTTAATGGTTATACTTCTCTGTGACTTTACGCGTTGTTGTATAAAAATCTATTTCATATTTTTTGCAAGATCATTTACATTATATTATTATATTTTTCTTGACACAATTGTAGTAGCTTTGTAAACACAATAGCTTAATGCTACTTCTACTTCGTGGACTATAATCTACAACTACTGTGTTTATGGGTTAACTATTATGACTGCCTATTATAAACTATGTAGGGTGTGTAGTCCTGACCTGACTGACAGTTGACCCACCTAAGCCATTGATTAGATCATACCTTCACAATTTCTTGTAACTTCTTTCAGCACTATTAGCTGCCACCCATTTTCGACTTGATTATTATTAGATTTTGCAATTTGAATTCGACACCTCGAAAATATTAACTCTGAAACATGGGACCAATGAATTGTGTAGTGCTGTGCCTATCTTGACTATTTACTAGCTTGAATTTAGTTTAAAGACAAGTACAGAAGATGCACAAATCAGTTGCTTCATGTTACTTTAAAAGCCTGCAAGATTAGTTTCGTACTAACTTTTTCTAGCACTTCTTAATGTTTCGGAATTTATCTTACCCTCTACCCCAAACCCATGTTATCTCTTTTTTTTCAACATAGATGCTGTTCCTAGACAAGTTCCACAAATACTTATTAACAGAGAACCTTTATCTAATCATGATTTTGATGTTGAACTACTTGGAGATTGCGATGTCATTGTTAGCGAATTATGTCATCGATTGGGTTGGGAAGTTTCCGGATTATCAGACTATACACCCCTTACTGAAATTCCTTTAAATTCGCTAAAAAATACAACTGAACCACTAAAAGCTGATGGAAAATCTCCAAATGTATCTCATCTCATTGTTCAGGACACAGTGTCTTCGGAATTAGTGAACGACGAATCTCAAAGAAATGATAATTCAGAAGTTAATGAAAAGACTTACACCTCTACTGTTGTTTCTTCATCTGATAATTCTTCAGAGTTGATGAATAAGAATTCTTCAAATGATGCAGTAATTGAAGTTAGTGAAGATGAGGAAGATGGAGAGTGTGTTTGGGAGGTAGCGTCAAGTTTACCACGTTAGTAGTTTATCATTTTAATATAACTATTACAAAAATGTTTTCTAACTGTATGTTGAAAAATCAGCATTACGGTTTTTAAATATATTTTCTAACCGGCATATTTTTATATCTTTTATTATTTGTTGTAATAATTTCATTGTTGTCGTATACAAATTCAATTACATAGTATCCATAGTATATTAAATAAGATATTGATATTTAAACTATGCTTGTAAAGAATGGACTAATTACATTTTTTTTATATAAAATGCACTCTTTATGTAAATAGTCAATAGATGTACCTTTTCTTTTAAGTTAAATGACATAGATGGTCCATTTTACCATTGGTAGTTATTTTCTCATTGTTAGTTGTTGTTAGATCATCATATAAAGTTATTTTGTGAAGCAAAAAAGCAGTGATCTCGACTTACACTGGGGTGTACTTGTGTTTGTTTGTAGTAAAAACTGGTATCAGTTATGCGATTCCCTGAAAATCAGAAGTTGAGGGTTTAGTATTTTGGATATTCGAATTCCAATTACAGAGCTGTGGGTTCAAGTCAGTCATTTAGCCTGGAGCAAGTATGGGTGTTGGTTCTAAAATAAGTAATGTAACAATATAATAAAATTGTGAAATCTATTATGATGAAGTTAATTGAAAAAGTAATGGTAGTGGAAAACGCTGTTGAGCAATTTGTAAAGTTGTTGATTCCGATGACAGTTTGCTGTAAGATGTAATTCGATCAGGTGTTCAAGTCAAGAGTCTATAGAAGGTGTGTACACTTTTTTGGTACACTTTCCAATAGCAAACACTCACAATGCTTCTTAGTTGATAAAATCAACTTCTAGTTACAGTTTAATGTTAAAGCCTGTAGAAGAACAAAAATTTGATGATTGCATCCATGGCTAGGTATGAAACCAGTCTCAAGACGGTTTTTGTACTGTATTACGATTTTCCCGTAAACAAATTCAACTCCTGAAATTCTAATGACTCAAATTTATCATAATGGGAGCCAGTTATATATGTTATATTCCTATTCTAAAGATGAAAAATCAGTCGTTTTTTTTCATGAACGAAAGTCATACTATTTTCTTTTCGTGGAAATAGAATTTTCATTACATAAATTTCTTCTTTTCATGCTTTACAGTATTTTTCCACTAATGAATGATCAATAACTTAACTGTAGTTATTTCCTGCTAATTTTTATGCGGTGTTCCTAAATACACATCACCTTTTCAAGTTGTTTTGAATCGTCCTTGACCTTTTTATTTGATGATATGAATAGGGGTAGTAATTAAGTTACGATGTATGTTATAAATGTCGCCCTTTTTGTCAACAAGTGAACCTCATATTTTTAATTCGAATTCGTGAACATCTCCATTCACCCGGCTATCCGGTCGTGATTATTAAACAAGCAATGTTTAGGACGTAACATATATCGACATTAATGAGTCCTTGTATGACACTCATCTATTAGCAAAGTTTACTTATTATGATTATTATCAACGTCTTAATGTTTTAAAGTTTTGTGGATGTTAACTTAATTTGTTGGTGGTGTTAATCACAAATTGATATCATTTAGGAGGTGGTGCCTTGGATAATGATGGCTTAATAATTAAAGAGTTGATTTCCAACTAATGAGTCACATTTCCGAGTCCCTCTCCACATATTTCGACTTGAGCAGCTGGGTAATGTCACTACCTCTCAGATATAATGTGCAGCTCAAAGCCGAGTACGTAAATCTGCAATTAGTCAGCGATTTATATGCATTTACTAGGAATGAAAGAGAGCTGAATGATTGTAACATCTCATTATGAAATTCCTAAATACTGTGCCTTTGGCACTGGTCGGATCTATGAGCTTCGAATTCCACATTGAGTGTGTTACCTTTAGGCCACTAAATTTGGATCCAATAGTACCCTAATTGAGGTGTCAATCTATAATCTATTCTATCTCCAAATATAATAATATCAATTCTCACTGTTTTAATTAGTTAATATTACATGTTTTTTAATTTTTTTTAGCTGGGACATTTACTCGTATTTATCCAAATCAGTATGTTTTTCCTGGTGCTGAAATATATTTAGAGAGTAAACCCGGTGAAGTAACGATCTCATGTAATGCATCAGATATCTCTGTTACATCGAATGCGTCATCATCATCGTCAGCATCATCTACTTCCGGTCATAATGATGACTTAGATCAGTTAAGAGATTCACTTAAAGATGAATCTGTATCCATTGATATAACTGAAAAAGAAGAGTCCAGTATTCATTCATCTGATTCACGTAAATCTTTAAAACGGCATAATTCCAATGAGAATCTGTCTTTGAATAAACAATCATCGTTAAAACAACCTCGTTCTATGTAAAAAAAAATAACTAAAAGTAAAGTGGAAGACATGGAAATCATTCAATAAAGGAGTAAAAAAGAAGTGAGAGAGAAAACAACTAAAAAGGATTTAATTAAAACAAAGACAATAACAAAAAGCTTGTTAACTGTTTTTGTTCTTTTTCGGCTCATCCCATTGTTGCTTATATTCATAAATGTCCGTGTAAATAAGAATATAAATCCATATACATATACACACACAAATTCTTTTATGTGTGTATTTATGTTTATTCTTTACCGATATATATATATATATATATATATATATATATATATATATATTTATATATATATATGTGTGTGTGTGTATCCTTCTTTTTTTTCCCGTGGAACATTTCGTGATCACCTGATTATGATCACTTTTCAATTAGTCAAATTAATTCACACATTGTTAATATGAATTCTGTAAAAAACAAAACAAAGATTATTATCATAATTATTATTAACAGTGTTTACTCTCTATCTCTCTCTCACACACACACACACATTTCAATGTATGTTTCTCACTTATTTTACTTTAAATATTCTTCTTTCCCACTTATTATTAATTTATTCATGATGAATTTTGAACATGTTTTTCTATGCATTTTCTCAGTTATTGTTTTACAAATAATTATTATATATTAACATGTTTTTAAGAGATAAATATTTCTTCATTAAATTTTATAGAATAATATTTCATGATTTAGTGATTTATGTATATGTTGTTGACGTAAAACTAATCGTGAAGTAAGCAATGATGGATAGTGGCTAGCAGTGGAATCCATGATGCGTGTTTCGTCCTATTTGGGACTTGTCAACTGGATGTATATGGATACATATGCCAATTAGAGACTGACCAGTTGCAGTCCTAAAACATCAATGGGAAGATTCAAACAAACAATACTAAGTGAATTTAGTCGTGAAGTAGTTTACATCATAGAGTATTGACAATTATAAAAAAAAAATCCCATGCGTTGTATCTTATTCTAATTAGTATAGTAGTATGTGAAGATTGCTGAATTTTCATAATAATGATTACATCATGGACTGATCTTAGATAACTATAGAAAATTAAAAAGCACTGGATATCTGCTTTTTTTTCTACTATGGGACTACTCGGTAATGTACATCACACCGGGTATGGAACCCAGGACATTCAGTTTCACGAGTGCTTGATCTCTAAATCGTTGAACAGTCATTCAATGGTGTACGTGTCTAACTTTTGACGATTTGTTGTATTGGAAGAACGTTATAAAACAACTGTGGTTTATTACTTATTGTTCAAGCCCTCCCCACACTAATATACAGCTTTTTACTCTTCGAACTGGTTACCCGATAATATTGGTATTTTTAAAAATAATAGAGTCGTTTAATATTGTTTTGGGATGAATATAAAAGCCAATAACTTGTGCACTGATTACTTTCTTAATAACAATGAACTCTAGTGATCACTCTATCACTAATACGGATTCAAGTTTAAACGTGGTTACGACCAGAAATTATTTGTTTCTGAGGATGCTATATCATATGTTTCGGAGGGAAAAGTGTCCACATAAATATTTAGAGCAAATATTTCGATAATACTTGAACTAACCACTACTTCTTCAAAATGTTTTCGTACCCTCAAAATTTATCGTTAGAGTTAAGCAAAACAGCCGTTTTGAAGTCAGCGATACATTAAGGATTTCATGCCTCTCTACCTTATAATGTGATAAATTTCTGTAGTATTTAAACGTGGTTCGGCCTACCTTGGCTTGGGCAACTGGATTGTGTCTACAACTGTGACACAGCCCGTCTACAGTCCGGTACTTATTGTAATTTTTATTCAGTTTTTTTTATACTAGCTATAGTGCAGATGGAAGATTGGTCGATTCAAATCTCCATTTATTTATAATTTACATAAGTCATACTACTAGATATTTCCAAGTCGTTACACATAATTATTTCTAATATCATCCCAGCATTTCTCTTAAAAATACTTGTAGTAGTAATCACGCTTGTAACTTGTTACCATAAACATTTCCTAATGATCTCACCGTTTCAATAATATCCTTCTAAAGTAAAGTTTTGTTGTCGAATCTATTTAAAGTTGGAGCACTTTTCTATGTTGTTGAATGCCTACTTATATGATAATAATTTTGAGTTTAGACCTCAATTTAAAGTGGGAACGTCTCCACTAATTTCTTCTTTTACAATAAAATATGTAGATCTTAACAAAAAGTAATTTGTTTAAGATAGTTGCAACAAGAATTAAGTGAGATAGAGCCGGTATAGATAATAACCAAAAAATGTAGTATATAGCGCAAATGTGTATTGTGTCATTTTGGTGGAGTTTCGTTTTTTGAGTTGGAGGACTTCACCGAAATCACCCATTCAAACTGCAAATTTTCACTGTCTCATGTATTGACTCAGGTCTTCGTATTATATATAATGAAAGGAAGTTACCAAAATAAAAAAGAAAAGGAACAGGAAAAGAACCTAATCTGACTTGTAAGAAAACGGATGATAAACAGAAAATTGGGCTTATAATTTACATGATATTTATTCTTTGAATGGAAGCTAATTTATGTGCCCTGTAATAATTTCCTCCAAAAATTAAAATAATGATGAAATCTTATTCACATGATAACTATAAAAGTGTTGTGAATTCACGGCTTCAATCCATCATCCTATTTATTTAGATATAAGTATATCAACTACATACGAATTTATTCATTCTCAGAATGTGAACATAGTAACCAGTTCACTCCAATATTTGAAGATAATTATCCTCTTCTAGGCGATTATAATTTTTCAGTAATCCAATCAAATCGTTTCTCAGAAGCAATCAATATCTAAAATCTGTTGATGTCAAGTGATTAAAGGCACATGAGAAAAATCCCATGTGGATTCACGTTTCATGTCAGTTAGCGATACTGACTGATCAGTTACCTTTCGCTTTTACAAAAAGTTATTTACAAGTACGGAAAACTAGAAAGAATGGTTAAGTTGAATTCAAGCTTACACTTTACTTTTCAATAATCGATCGGTGTAAAATTTTATTCATGAACAATCTTCTCTTATTTTCACAATTGAAATCATGAGTCAATTGAAGCTAGACCACCATCGAAAACATGGAAGCACTGGACGGCCGTTTCGTACTATTATGGGACTCCTCAGCAGTGCGCATCCACGATCCCGCACCCGCGAGATTCGAACCCAGGACATACCAGTCTCGAGCCGAAGCCCTTAACCGATAGACCACTTAGCCGGCATCCAACGGTGTTAATGTCTAACTTCAACTGATCCACGAAGTTGAGCAACCATTCACCAATTGTCTTCAGTGAGCTGATATCTCTACAACAGACCTGGTAGAGGTGTCAGATACCAAGAGATATTTCCTTGAATTCTAGTGGGAAGCAGTGGCCAGTGGAGTTCTACCAGGTCTGTTTTAGAGATATCAACTCACTGAAGACAATTGGTGAACGGTTGCTCAACTTCGTGGATCAGTTGAAGTTAGACATTAACACCGTTGGATGCCGGCTCAGTGGTCTATCGGTTAAGGGCTTCGGCTCGAGACTGGTAGGTCCTGGGTTCGAATCTCGCGGGTGCGGGACCGTGGATGCGCACTGCTGAGGAGTCCCATAATAGTGCGAAACGGCCGTCTAGTGCTTCCAGGTTTTTGATGGTGGTTTAGCTTCATGATTTCAACTGTGAAAATACTAAATTCTCCACAAAACCCCCCTCTAATCTTTTCTTAGAAAAATTACTTCCAAGAAAAAATCTAAAGACATTATTAATAGAGATGTATTTCTATTTTCATATAAACTGACAATGAATAATAACAATAAGAACTTTTTTTACAACAGAAATTGAATGATACAAGCGTATGAAGGAATCTAGGAAAAAACATAGAAACAAAGAGAAATACATAACAACTAAATAATTTATCACACAAACAAAAAAAGATAAATAAAAGAGTATAAGGTAAAATATTCATAAGAACAAATGAAATGATAGAAATTAACTTGAATTCTTAAATAGATAAAATATTCTAAGAATACAATCAAAGTTATCAGCAAAAAATAATGGCAGCTGTATGTTAGTTAATATTTTGGAATCGACAAAGACAAATATGACAACAACACTGTTTGATTGACCTAATCACCATCCATTCACCCCCACACCACCTCTTTGACTTATTCATTCAATTGATGAAATAATTAACCCATTCCCAATAATAAAAAAAAACACATAATCTAGGAATAACTTTTGTAGATACGTTTTTTTAACGATATGTAAATGTTTTTGTTATTATTATTATTATTATTGTTGTTGTTGTTACGTAATCCAGAACAGAGAGTGCAAAGGAAGAGATTTAAGTGGTCTATCAATTATTTAATAAGATTATATGAAAAAAAATAAAATAAAAGGGCAATTTTCGTATAAAGGCAATTTTTCAAGTGCGCATATCTAATATTCTTATTTCTTTATTTATTTGTACAAGTAAGTAAGTAGTTTTTATCTTCAAATCTGTAATGTGTAAAGTAAAATGAACCCCCCCCCCCAAAAAAAAGAGAAAAGAATAATACAACACAACAAATAATTAAAATCTCTACTTCCCATAAAATAAATGATAATGTGATCAATAAAAGAAAACAAATTCGAAAATAAATGAACGAAAAAAAGAAACCATTTTTTTAAGAGGTCAAAATGAATTTTGATATACATATTTAATTGAATCAAAATAAACAACTAATAAACAGTTTTTCACATAGATCTATTATTATTATTATCATCATCATTTGTGGTGTCAGCATCAGTGGTAACGTCATTTAATTCTGTCGATTGTCGATAGTTTGAATTGTCAGTGTTTAAATTAGATTGTAATAAAGGGATTTTAGATTTTGATAACATATCTGTACGTGAATTATTACAAGTTGAACCGGGCATAGTTACCGAAACTTGGTTTGTTTTCGTATTGGATTGTATTAAATTAGAATCATTTGGTAGTGAATCATTCCTAAGTGAGGAAGTAGCAAGTTGAGATTTGGACATTGTTTTACTTATTTGAGGTAAATGTTCAGATTGAATGACACCTATAAAAGTATTGACAAAAACATTTACAAAAAAAGGGAAAGAGTTCATTACAACTTTTGGCAACAAAAACACAATAAGTCAGTCGAACATAATTAACTTAGCACCTCGTACCAAGTTACATCAGTTCCAATTCCTACACCACAACAACAAGAATAAAGAGTATAGGATAAAAGCTATAAAATTTAGTAAACAATTAATAGATATATACAGTCAAGACTTTGTTATAAATATTTGCATCTACAGTATGAACTAAATGGAACCTAATCTAATCAACAAAATGTATCCAATCTTGATATTAGTAAATTACCTTTAACATGATAAATTTATGATTTATCCAATTTTTAATTAAAATATTAGTGTTACTGATCGTCCTCTTACAGATGAATATAAAAAAGAGATTCGAATGTCAAATAATTACTTCTGAAAATTCATATATTAACTTAGTCAGTCTTGAGTGTTGTTAGAGGTATGAGGATGGTTATCACTTCCCGGTTGCCCACACAGTGGAAGGGTTCTTCTAAAGGTACCTGAAAAGGAAATTGGATTAGAAGTGGTCTTAATGTCATGAGAGGGTGACCGCAGTACCCAAGGGACAACTGCTTGTGGTCGGCAACACAAGACCTTTATATGAATAATTTTCGTGTTAGCTCCGTACTTGTTGAGACCTTACTGCCGGAAACGGGTATCCGTGGGATAAGACGAAGTGTGCTTTTTTAGGGCCGAACTTTTTTAACCCCACTCTTCCTTGTGGGAAGGCAGCATCGCTGTTATGCTGGTTATCCGAAGGAAGCACCTTACTGCCGTCACACCCCTGTACAGTCAGCACTACAACTTCACCTTCAGACCTTGGGTTTGCTGCTTTTAGTCTCATCGCTCTTCAACCGACTTGCCTGGCATGGTAGAACCTTGAGGAATGATTGTTCCAGCCAGTATAGATCGATTGGTTCATCACGATAAGCAAGCCCGACCACCACGTCAAGGTAGCAGCAACTATATTGTTCAATTAATAATTCGTTTGATTAAAACAAATTTATTAACAATTTTCTGTTAAATCATATTATTTTTCTTTGTAGAATAGTTTAGATGGTGATCATAAACATTTCGTTTATTGAATAATATAGAGTTAACTTCTCCTCTTAATCATTTAAAGTTGTTTAACTGAAATTATAATCATATAGTAATCTATTTAATTAAGATATTCTTTAAGAGGGTTGTTTGTGGAGATTTTTAGTAATTTTTATATATAGTTGAAATCATGAGTCAATTGAAGCTAGACCACCATGGAAAACCTGGGAGCACTGGACGGCCGTCTCGTCCTATTGCGTGACTCCTCGGCAGTCGGTCGTCCAGTGCTTCCAGGTTTTCCATGGTGGTCTAGCTTCAATTGACTCATGATTTCAACTATATATAAAAACATTCTTTAAGACTTCAGACAAATTTGAATTGTGCATAAACTACTTATTCACCGGTAACTAGATGATGTATAACAGATTTCTAAAGACAAGAACTCAATAATTTAGTATGTATCGCTTTGGAGCTTGGAGTAATAAATTCTTGCCTGAAATTTTCCACTGGAACACTTACACCTAATAAGTTACATGTATATCCAAGTGGAAAGTTCTCTAGGAGATAAATCGAATATCCAGAATTAATTACATTGTAATTCACTTACAAAATTCTAAATTACATAATACATAATGAATAATATTAACAAACTTCATAGGTTAACAATCAGGCAATCGAAATTTAGTTTCAATGGTATATTTAACATTTTTAGAATCATGTTTGAGTAATAATTTTTCCGTAAAAAGCTATTGATATTAATCAATAACAGCTGAAAATGTATTATATTCACTACTTGCTAATAGTATTCATCTTTTGATTCAGATCAAATACTACTACTTCTGTTACTAAATATAATCGTCATGTATATCAGTCATTATATTGCAATTAAGCCGATGATGACATTATATGAAGATTTCATTAAACTGCACTTATAAACTGATTTATTAAATTCTATTTCTTTGTCTTAACAGTATTATGATCAAAGATGGTTGGTGACTAGCAATGGGATCCAGGACGCGTGTTTCGTTCTATCTGAGACTCGCCAGTTGGTTGTTAATCAGATATGAGCTGAAAGTTTTAATCTTAATTTCATAATTGAGTACTGTTGAGTAGTTATAACTTATTTTGTGTTGTTTTGCTTTCATATGGTTCATATTTGATGTAAATTTGTGATAAAGACTACTTTAAAATATTTTATAGCCTTCAAATAATGAAATACATTTATTAAATTTTATTGTTAAAAGTAGAAATAGGCTTTTTATTTGTTTATTTATTTATACATACCAGATTGTTTGTTATTGAATTCTTTGGAAAATGTTGGTGTGGAAGATATACCAAGTGTTGAAGCACGTCTTTGATGTGAATTATCCTCTACACTTTTTTCAAAAACTGTTTCACCATGCATACTATTTCTATGAGGTTGAGATAATGAAGCAAGAGAATGACGAGATGGTATCATCGCCCGTCGACTATGACTATATTTAGTATTGTTATTACTATTATTGGCATTAGTGTTATCAATGACAGCATTATTATTTTCATCGTTATTTTTAACTACATTCAAATCATGATTTGATATAGGTAATGATGCATATGAACTGGCTGACGTTGTACTATATTGTGATATTGGTGATGATCGTAGACGATAGGTGTAAGAAGAGGATTTACGCTGAAGCATTGTCAATCCAGGTGTGATTGGTGCAATTGCACAATCAGATGAACTGTGGAAATCTTCATTAAAATCATCAATCGGTTTCCATTGAGAAGCTAATTTTGTTTAACATGAGAGAAGAAGACAAAAATTAGGGAGAAAACAGACATGTGAAAACACAAGCGATAATCCTATGCTCTGAAACTAAAACATAGATATAAGGGGTTTGTGGAGATTGTTGATTTTTCACAGTTTACATCATAGACTGACCCTAGATAGCCATTGAAAATCAAGGAAAGATACAACCAGGGATGGAACCCAGGAACTCCAGATTTACGACGAGTGCTTGATCTCTAGATCGTTGAACAGTCACTTAATGGTGTACGTGTCTAACTCCAATCAATTTATGATATTGTGCAATGATCAACCATTGCCATTGGCGCATAACTGGCCGGTGCTTCTTGGTTTTCAATAATTATCTAACTAAGATCAGTCTGTTATTAAAACTGCAAAAAATAAAATATAGACCAAATAGTTATCGATATCTGTTACAATATATATATATATATATATATATATATATATATATATATATATATATATATATATATATATATATATATAGAGAGAGAGAGAGAGTTCTATTTTGAAAGTGCTGTTTTTAGATTCTGAAACTAATTGGAGTACCAGTGAAAACTATGCAACATCCGACAGACATTTTTTTGCAAATTTGGAACTCCTCGTCAGTATGGACATACGAACTTGACAAGGGTCAACCCCATGATCTTTGGGTCTCCCAGAGAGTGTATCATCATTGGATTGGTGAGTTGGTGAACGCTGGTTAATATTTTAATTCGTGATATGGTATGACATGTACTCATTGTGTTTGATTGGCCTTATTTCACTTTCTACAATGTCTCAAGGGAGCTTCAAGAATTCCTCTCCATATTAGCTACTAGAGATATACTGTTGATAGGGTGGAGATTGGTGGAGACTGGATCATATTCCAAAATTAATCGATGGCTTATCTCTAATAATTCCTCACTTTTTTATGGAACTTGAAAATAGAGGTTCCTAATGGATGGAGCTAGGTTGTTTTAGAAGCAGCTGGGATGACTTCTATGGGTGATAGTGCTCATATATCTCTAAAAGCAGAATGAAGAGACACCTATTTAATAATTGTGGATATTTTAAACACAGAACCGTCTGATACAATAATCAAATGTCCAAAACTGGACTGTTGTTTTTATTTGAGAGAGTTTGTAATTCCCTATTGTTGGTATTAAGGGTTGGAATTGATAAGTCTCTAGCCAATATCTGGCTTTAATATTTACTTATGAATTAATGTTGATATTCAGGGAACTTGCACAGAGCGCAAATATCCTCAATAGAGGTTAAACGACTTCTTAGTCCCTAACATTAATAACGGGAAAACAAAAATGTTTATAAAAGAATTTCAAGTTCCCTGTGTAAGTCAATGGCTATCTGAACTCAGTAGATCAGCAAATAATATATTGAAATTTAAAGACAAAGGTCCTGGATTTAAATCTCAATGTGAACATTAATGCTTAGATGGATTTTAGATACAGAATATTGGAAAAAATTTTTTTGAAAATGTGCTTCCACATGATTCCATAAAATTCATGTATCTTAAAAAAGAATGTTCCACAATATTTTGCGCTGATTTGAGGAAACGTGTTCTTTTCAAGAATAATATTTTTTGAAGAATCGGTCTTAGATATGTTATCTTCATTGTTTAGCTAGAAATAAGTGATCACAAACCACATTAATCGATAACTTAGTATTAATCAATATCAGGTTGTTTAGTCCTAAAAAATGGTTAAATTCTATTGATCTTCACGCGGTCTGACTAACAGTCCAAGTGGACCAATATCAGACAGTTGGATATTCGATTAAAAAGTTTGTAAAAAGTTCTAGACCTAGGTCCCTTGGTAGTTGACCCTTGTCAGAAAAACATATCTGCTCATTTTGACGGAACATATGTTCTTTTCAGTATTTGAACTCGTGAAACCTAGTTTGATAGTCAAATATGTTATTACTGTGTGATGCGTGTTTAAAACTAAAGATGAAGGAAATGAGTTTTCTCTCAGGATTATTAACAAATGCTAACTATCATGAACTTTAGACGCAAGGCATCCTGATGACCGCTTTTAGTAACTGAATAGTAAACACAGTATACAATTTCTACAAATAATTCCTATACTTCAATCATAACTCATTATCATTTAAATGTGCAGTAAATAAAATTTTTGTTGCAACCCTCAGTCTGTTATGTTAAAATTGACATTTCATAAAAGTAGGTACATTATAAAGTGAACAGAATTAGCAGATAACTATGATCAATAAGATTCGCGCATATGAAACATGAGAATAAGGTCTCGATCACTTCAGTTTGATTTTATAGACAGTATAAACTAAGAATTTTAATTCAGTTAGTTGAATCTCATTAATCAGCTTTCACAAATAGTCTGTATCAAAAAAGTAATCGAATAATTTATAACTTTTTGATTGAGATGATGAATCGATCAATATTAGACTACTATTAAAAGCGTGGAAGCACTGAACGGCCGTTTCGTTCTAGTTTGAGACTTCTCAGTGAAGCCAATACTTGTCAGGTAGAGACAGATATCTGTCTCAGGAAATGGAAGATGGTCGTGCAGTTTTGTGGGTTGGTTGAAGTTAGACATTAACACCGTTGGGTAAGGGCCTAATGGTCTAGAGGTTAAGCGTTCGCGCGCGAGACCGAAGGTCATGGGTTTGAATCACCCAATAAAATGAACAACTGACAATTTACTACAGTACCTTGTCACATGATGAACGGCCTTGTCAATAGGAAAACACATATAAAGAAAGCTTGAACCCCACATAAATTACATGGAAAATGACAAATCATATCGTTAAGGTACACTGGTAACAGAAACAACCAAGTCAAACATTACAGTTGTTATCAAGTGATGAAGTTTGAGCAAATGCTATGAATATTTTGAAGGTAACTTTAATTAGTGAGTGATGTTTTAATGTACATAAATATTAGTCTACTAGACACCAAAATGGTAAGGTAAGAGTGTCTATAGTACGAAAGATGTTTTTTTATATACACTAGATCTAAAGGAGAGTGTAGCAGAGATCCTAAAAACAAACTTTCAACATCCTTGAGTAAAACATCCAATTCGGTTAAAATTCGTACTGTTTTATCTAGACGGCTTTTGATTTGAGGGTGTGTGAAGGATAAGGTCCCAGTTTAATCCATATGAACGTGTATCTATAAGTTTACTTGCTCTTGTAAAACATATCCGATTGATCACATAAAGCGAGATTTTATGGAATGCATTACCGAGCAATCTTCTGTCTGGTTGTTTAAGCAAACTTGTAAATCAGTTAAAAACTTGATTTTAAAACAATTCGTAAACTCTGGTCACGCTGTTCAATCAAAATCTTCCTTTAGAATCATCCACTCAGTCAAATGAATAGATTGAAAGATAATACAAACGACAAACTTATGTGTTGAAGAGAGTTTAGCAAATTTCTGCATACAAAAGCAACATTTTTAGTTCCTCATTCTACCGCTTCATATCTCATATACTCAATAATCGGGTGTTATTAATTTTTTCTAATTTCTTCCATAATTGCAAACTAGTTACTACCGCAACATTTAATTGTTATTCATATTTATCAAATGGACAACTATTTCTCATTTATAAACTATCTTAATATTTTCTTTTAATGATTCGATCATTACATAACCTTATTTTGATATTCTATATATCAGGTCAATTTATGACGTAATACCACTCTATTTTCTAATTAAGTATCATGTGTATCAGATTAAGATAAATAAAATCGTACAGTTTTAGTGAAAGATATTATAGAAAAGGGACTTTTTAGTTGTTCAATAATCTTTATTTCTTTCAGAAAAATTCTTACTATTTTGGTGGTATTTTTTTCCATACAGAAAAATAGATTTTATTTCCGAACATCTTTTCTCAGTTGGACAGTAGTTTAAATTTTGCTTGAGATTAGGTGGTCAATTGTATGATCAAATTATCAGTTCGACCACTTCGATCATTTTAGCACTTGTTCAACCAATTATTTAGTGACAATAAAAGTTCAATAATTAAAGTGTAAAATTATTGATATGATTGTAGGTCAACCAATAAAACTGGTTCATTCATTATCTGGTTGTGACCTGATTTTCTATATTCACATTCATTATTTTCATTGTAAAGAATAATGGAAATTAGGACTATTATAATGATTATACACTTACGTGATTCGATAATTATCTTTACTGTAAATTATCATAAGTGAATTTCAAGGATTTAATGTGTTTACAAAATGAGGCAAAATGAATTTGAACTACAGATTCATAAACACAGATTTTCATCGTGTTCTTGATTGAGATGATGAATCGATCAATGTTAGATCACCATTGAAAACCTGGAAGTACTGGACGACCGTTTCGTTCTAGTATGGGACTCCTCAACAGTGTGCATCCACGATCCCGCACACAGGATTGAAGCCCAAGACCTTCGGTCTCGCGCCTGAACACTTAACCTCTAGATCACTGAGTCGGCATAAACGGTTTAAATTAATAAATAATAATTAAATAATATTCAAACCATAAATATCTATTTAATCGCTCATTATCCTTCCACCTAAGTAATTATATTCTTAAAAATATGTGTAATATTAATAGAAGTCTGAATATTTGTGTGAGAATAATTGTCATTAGTACAACAGGTCTAAAATATTTAATTAGTATTTCATACCAGTTAATTAATATCAAGTTATGATAAACATTTTGATTTAAATCACGAGCTGATCTGAGCTAGAACACTGTTGGAAATCTGGAAGAACTGGACTGTCGTTCCGTCCTATTATGAGACACCTCAGAGATGGGTATCCAAGATATCCCAATACCATCGGTCTCATTTGCGAACGCTCAACCTCTAGACCACTGAGCCAGCATCGAGATTCAAACTATCAAAGCCTACAATCTCTATAAACCCTCTTATACATTTTTGATTCATAAAGTAAGGTTGATACATATTTAAGAAAGTACGCCGCATAATATAATCATACCAATATATATATATATATATATATATATATATATATATATATATATATATATATATATATATATAGGCATAGCAACTACAACTTAATTGTATACGACCACGTTAAAAACAGCATGCGGGATATATAAAAATAAACATCAAGTGCAGTGAAACAAATGTGTTAAATAAATTTGATATGCTTCACAACAGCAATAGAACAGTCACAACATACTTTAACAACAAACATTATGATGATGATGATGACGATAGTGCCATAAATGATGACAGTGATGACCGTAATATCTAAGCATTTCACGAAACAATATTAACAACATACAGCACAACACAATATCGGACAGTAATTATGATGTTTGCTTACTGGATAGAAATAACAAATTTAAATATAGATGACTAGATTCCATTGGATCAAAGTAAAGACAATAATTACTCCAGTGTTGGTCAATGTAAAGAATGCAATGAATGTCAGATTTCAAAGAAAACATTTTATATATTTACAGAATTGATAACTAGATGACTTCCAAGAATTTGAAAAGTTGGTTTCGTGTAAAATGAAGAAATATCGCATAAATTGTCAATATATGCAAACATATAAATGTATATAGTTTGTAGTTGACATTGTTCATTAAGACGTTTAGATTATTTCCTATTATGTAATGATTGATGTTTCTTTCCTAGTGTATGAGAATTAGTTGTATTATTATTATGACTACAGTTATTATGATTTGCTGGGTTAGGCTTTGTACTAGGCATAACTAAATAAAATGCATTGTCTTGTCCAGGACCATTCATCATTAATTGATATAAATTATGAGTATCATAACGTGAACGTTTATGAACAGTTTTTAAACGTGATGAACTGGATAAAGATGATTCAGAAGATTTAACTACAGGATTTTTAGTCATTGTATTCGATATAAAATAATCAGTAATCTGTTTACTATCATGACAACTACTACTATGACCACTTTCACTACAACTACTTGTTGAACTAATCACCGGATGATTATATTTATAATTATTAGCACTATTATTTCGATTCGATTTTACTGTTGAAGATGAATGTTGAAAAGTAACAGATGAAGGAGACCAGTATGAATTGTGACCAACACCGGCTGCTTTAGCTAAATCTGCTATACTAGTTAAGCGTTCACAGGCATCTAAAATAATAAATATGCGTGTGTGTGTATATGCATGCATAATAGAGCAGAATGTGCACATATTGCAGTGAATAGAATAATACACATGGACGTATGCATGCAATAGTAAAATTGATATTTCATATACGAAATTCATATACGATTTTATGTGTACAATAAAAAGAGAGAAGCGTGTCGAATGGAAAGGATAATATAAATGAACAACATAGGAGAAAAGAAAAAGAAAAAAAGTTCATACAATTAGAAGCAATAAACAATATAAAATACATAAAATATTTAACTATTAGAAATTACATATATATATCTATCTATCAGATGGGTGTAATGATCTGAAGTCTGATGTTATGGTGTACATTACTACAGACTGTCTAGAAAGTAAACATTATTCAAAACGCTGTTCTCAAGACGTCCAGTCACCGACTGGGTAATGTTGAGTTTCGACAGAATTTTAAGCAAAATAAAATTCGTTAATGCATTTGTCAACTTAGATTTATTAAACTAGGTGGGATATATTTTACATATACTGCAACTCTACTTACTTTAGCGTGACATGCTAGTTGCCCCCAAATGCCCTGGTACGACCGAGAGTGGGGAGAGTCCCCTCTCACTCTCGAAGTGCTCTCACATGTCCAAGCGTATATAGTCCCTGACAGGGAAGTCCTACTCACTGCCTTCTCGTGGCGGGGGTGTTGTCTACAAAATTGAGAGGACGAAAAGCGAATGTCCGGCGCTTTAACCGGACCGGTGGACACGGAAAGTCCACCTAGGGGAGTTGGAAAACCCTCATTCCAAACCAATGGTTCACATGGGCCCCAGTGCCCTGAAGGAGCGAATGGCGAATGAACCAATTGTTGGTCACCGGCTACCATTGGACCGCATCTCCTCACGATGCTCCACTGCCTTGTTAGTTAGACCTTTAGGTCAAAGGCTCCGGATGTGGGTCCCTAAGAAAACCACCTGCTTCAGTTTGGGCACCTGGGTAGTATCACAGCCCTCATACAAATCAAATGAGATTTGTGCGGCGCATATGTATCTGGCGCTTCCTTGTACCAATATTTATGTGTTCAAACAAATAAATAAATAAAATATGCTAGTTGATAGTAAAAACTATGTTATATAATAACCAGGTAATTACACAACACCGATATATGTAGTCTGTAACAATTGTTTATTGTGAGCCTCATTATAGCAACCAACTTATTAGCTTAAGTGAACGTTTAGTAACATGAATTAAAGTGGAATAGTCGCCTAATAGTTAAAACAATCAGCTTTCAATAATTCATTCTAAGATTCGAACTTAGCTTCGTCTCTCTCAATTTCGGTAGTTAAATAGTGCTGGTAGTTTTCATATGAAAAGTGTGACTTTGAAGTGGGCACATTAATCTTTATGTTTGATTACTGAACTACATAAAGGAATAAATAAAATACGTGGCTTACAATTAATCTTATTGACCGGACCAAATAAGGTATATCTCATCAGTTTACATATTTATGTTCTTCGCTGTAATTTTTTCCCATAGCCTATCAATTTTATGATTCTTTCCCAGTGTGGACGTTGATATTTTTATTCCTTTCAATCTTTAATTGATTTTCTTTATGGTGCTAACACAAAGTACGGGATTTGTTAGGCCTCGTTCATTCTCACATATCTAACATTTATACTAAATATATGCATAAACGTATATGTACACTTTTAGATTCATATGGCATACACTTTAGATTTTATAGGCTTTCTTAATTCGTACCCACGCGTATATAAACATCTACGAACCGGTATTAAGAAAAACAACTAATGAAAACTAAGCAACACTGATTATCTGTTTCCTCCAGGTGTGAAACTCCTTGGAACTGGAAACAAATGACCCTTCTGTTGACAACCATATTAGACTATGGTATATATATATATATAATAGAGAGGGAGAGGAATGTGAGACTGAAACTTGCCTCGACATGGATCATTTTTCACTAAAAATTCGTCCAATGTAATCCAGCCACCACCTACACGAACCATTACAGCACTACGAAGGATGCGAACTAGACATAATTTTTGTGAGTCACCGAACTGAAAATCAGGAAAAAGAACATTGATCAGTTTACATTATAAGAAATCATAAGGCAAAGAGACAAAAGAATACTTATATAGAATACAATATGATACTTAAACGGAATTTTATGTAGCAAGATATATACAAGAAACCTAATACATTCTAGTCGATGTTTTCCTACAACTGACAAAGTGAAAATAAAGCAGAATGAGTCACAAATATTTACATGATGGTCTTGAGTCATTTGACTAGTTTATTGAGTGATTATTCAAGAAACAATATCCTCAATACATAATATGAATGGTAAGATAGGGATATTAGTGATATTTCTCAGCCTTTTGAAAACAAATCAACTTTACACCATTGAAAAGTTTATCACTGAAATGATAAAATTTCCAAGAGATGAGATTCAATATCTAATTTTACTCACTTTTTTATTTATCAGAGATACTTCAGGTGGTTGGAGGTAGTCACCGGGAAGCTCTGTTGCTTAGATTTGTGATAACATTGGATTTCGATCACTAATATTCCTTTACCGCCAAAGAGTAGACAGATATGACATTGGTCATCACTCATTGACTAATCAGTGTAATTAGTATTATGTATTTATAATATTTTTTAATATCCGTATATTCTTTGTTTTACATGTTTTTAAACTATAAAGAAACTTTATCCTCAAAGTTTATAACGAATAATTACCGTGAAGAGTTTTCTTGGAACGATTACGAAAAAGTACTTGTTAACATGAAGTTAGTAATATTACGTCAGATTTAAGTCCCTTAGCAAATAACATGAGAGTCTTAAATTTACTTTATAACAGCAAAATCACTATCTGTTCCTGTATAAAACTATTAATTATGAAAACTAGTCTCTAAATATAAAATTTTTGAAGAATGGTTAGTATTTATAATCTTTGAGTTGACGAGACGCCTATCAACAATATTTCTGAAAATAAATACAAGGTTATCCTGAGTGATATTCTGTGAATTTGAAAAGTTAGTTATAAAAATAATTTGTGCATGGTATAAACATGAAACTTGCTTCACTGTTCAAAAAAGTGATGTGGAATTTATAGAGCTCAGTGATAATGAATTTGTACCCATCAGGAATTTATTTATTTAAACACATAAATATTGGTGCAAGGAAGCACCAGATACATATGCGCCGCACAAATCTCATTTGATTTGTATGAGGGCTGTGATACTACCCAGGTGCCCAAACTGAAGCAGGTGGTTTTCTTAGGGACCCACATCCGGAGCCTTTGACCTAAAGGTCTAACTAACAAGGCAGTGGAGCATCGTGAGGAGATGCGGTCCAATGGTAGCCGGTGACCAACAATTGGTTCATTCGCCATTCGCTCCTTCAGGGCACTGGGGCCCATGTGCACCATTGGTTTGGAATGAGGGTTTTCCAACTCCCCTAGGTGGACTTTCCGTGTCCACCGGTCCGGTTAAAGCGCCGGACATTCGCTTTTCGTCCTCTCACTTTCGTGAACAACAGGAATACCAGATGAGTAACTGGAAAGTTTCGAAGAATAATGGAAGGTGTATTATTTATTCTATACAACCATTTTATTAACCAAGTACTGTAAATGAATTCATGCTTTTAGACAGTACTAGTCAATCTACAAGGACTAAGGTATTGTGTATGTTGTTAAGCATTAAAAAACTATATGTTTTCAATCTCAAAACACTTCATAATTTCCCTGTGTTTTTGTTAGTCTTGAAATATCACCCTGTAACCAGAGATACTGTAATTTAAATCAACAGTGAATAACACTGGGTCACATTTCTCAAGATTTGCAAATAAGTCAAATTGTAAACTTGAGTTTTAAGAAAAAATTCTATTAATTACTGTGGCATTGTCAGATTCATAAAATGAAGTGTTCAGTTTTTAAATCGATTATATTTATTTATACTGAATTAAAACTAACCCGATATTTATTTGTTGCCATTTTCTTAATTTTATATGTGTTATGACATGTACACAATCCAACTTGACGTTTTAATTCATCATTAATAGTTTCTTCATCTGATGGACCGAAACGATTTAAACTTAATGAACTACCACCATTAGTATTCGATGATGATGTTCTATCTAAATTAGTATAATTAGCTCTTAGTGCATTTAAACATTCACGATAATCAATATATCCATCTCCATTAGCATCGAATATATCTGCAACTGTTTCCATTTCAACACGACTTGTTTGGAATTCTATATAAATAGAAAGAGAAAAGACTTTATTCAGAAAAAAAAATACCTGAAGGATTGAGAAGAATCTTTAGCGAATGATTTATTATTTGATAGATGATAATTTAATCAAAAGTAAATAATGAAAAAGAAACTTACTTTCCAGAAAAAAATTACAAATAACATATATCAACAGTTAAAGCATTTCCCAAAATGCAAAAGTTAAATTTCAATCTATTCATGTAAAGATAATCGAATAAAGCTAAACTATTTTGTAGATAGGAGAAAAGAAAAGATATTCGGGAACCAGAAAATAAAACTATTATAACAATCTACTTAGACTAAAATAAATCTATAAATGAATTATTAAAAATTAAACACATTTTGTGATATCGATTGGCTCGCCTATTAGAGAACAATGATTTATCGACCGGATCAATAATACACAAAAAACCGTATGAGCAGTCTTGAGTATTTATCAGTCCTGCTTTCTGCTTAGCCCAGTCAGTTAAGTCCAGAACACCAATAACAACCTCTGCAATATATGAATCATTATTCTTAAACATACAGGGTTTATATACCAATTAAACAGACCACATCGTACCATATAATGGAAAATAACATTTGTACAAGATTTGACCAAATGTGGCTGTGAATAGGGGGAACAGTAATTAATAGACTGGGTATAACTCAAGAATGGCAAATCGTATAATAATAGTCTATAGGTCAAAATAAAGCTTATAATAAGAGGGATACGAATATGAATAGTATAGTTAATTAACAATTATACAATAGGAAATATACATATCGTATTGGTCCATAAACAGTTCTCAAAGTTACCATCCATAAATCTCCACGGGATATAACACATTTTAATCCTATTCAAATGACGTAAATGTTAATAGTTTCAATAGTTTCATTGTGATAATTTATCAGTTATGATTATTTCTTAACTTATACGGATATATCCTGAATGATTAAACAAAATTAGAACCATTTTTTCATCCACTTATGTACTTAGAAAACACAGGAAGAATTAATTAGAAATGAAAGTTGGAAAAAACACAACTTTCAAAATCGATTGTAATAATTTATTTTGTTTTTTTTTCACTCTACAACTATTGACTGCTTGTCCGAGTTAGTTCTGGGTTATCATTATAAATATAATGATAATCATTATTATTATCATTAACTAGAGACTGACCAGTTGCAGTCCTAACACATCGATGAGACGATTCAAACAAACAATACCAAATGAATTTTAACTTCACCCCATTGCACAAGCAAGTGGCTATCAGGACTCAGTTATCGAGTGGATAACGCGATGGCGTTTGAAGCGGAAGGTACTGGGTTCGAGTCCCAGAGTGAACATCAACTCTGAGATGCAGGTACATCCAGCTGATGAGTCTTAAATAGGACGTAACGCGCGTCAAGCTGGATTCCACTGCTAGCCACTATCCATCTTTGCTTACAATGCTTGTGAATTTAGGCTATATCGAGACAATACGCACAGTATGCAGATATGCCAATTAGAGACTGACCAGTTGCAGTCCTAACAAATCGATGGGAAGATTCAAACAAACAATACTAAATGAAATTAACTATTGTAGTTTATAAATTTATTGTTCGCTATTTTATTTCTGTCTAGTTACAATGGTGTACTAATTTATTAGCCCCTATATTGTGGTTCGTTTCGCCTGTCTATCTGTCTATCTAAATATCAAAGGAAGTTTTTATGAAAAGACCAAAACAGCAAAGGAAACAATTACCAGTCTCAGAAAGCCATTCAATTTGGATTACTGGTGTAAAACTTTGATCAGCTCATAAATTAAACTTTATCTTTGAGCAAAGCAAAAAAATAGTAAGAATAATCGATAATCTTGGAATACAGTCAAGGTCAAAATAATTGTTTTCTATGTTAACCAGTCACAGAATCAATATAAACAGACAAATATAAACAAAGTTTGACCTGATACAAAGGTGTAACAGTTCTGGTGGTCACATTTCAAATCTATATAAGAGGAGGAAATCGATGAGCGAGAAATTCAGGCGCTGAAATAATAACGGTAGTGGAAAGATATTATGTAGATTTGAAATGATCTCAGCAGTCAAAATTTAAGTCATTCCAATCTTATATGAACTTCCTCAGGATAGTGGAAAAAATCGAGAAAGGTGATTGAATAAAGTAAGAGACATTTTTATCTAACGATACAAAGTACCGTATAATACATAAGCATATTGTGTTATGCGCTACTTAGACGGACATATATAAGTAGCATATAGAAGGGATAGGAAGTGGAATGCTAACCAGCAGAAAATTGGAATAAAGAGAAGAGGAAGAAAGACAGCGAAGAACCAAAATAACAACATGACTGGAAGAATGATAGGGAATGTAAAGGGCAACTCAAGGAAGATATGGAAATAATGTATTTAATGTGTGGTTTTCATATTTTAAAAAGGCACTGTGTGATTTCGCACAAAATAAACCTGTTTATCGTACTTGTCTTTAGTTCACTTCGATAAGATTAAACTTGGTAGGAATAAAACGCAACCAAGTTTAAGTTTTTTCCAGTAGCGTAGGAAAAACAGTTGAATATCGAGAGGAAGGTCTCATTAAAAACTTGTTTGGTTACTTTATAGCTAAAGAGACCAGTAACAAACATGGTGGTGGACAGATCATCATAAAATCATTAAAGTAATAATCGTTTATTTGTTAGAGATTTATTTCGATTCACATAAGCCATAGTGGATGTCCATGGCCTATAGAATCAGTCAAATTGAGAAGAAACTAAATATTCATCGATAAAACATCAGATGAGTGTCGTGTAGGATATATCAATCATATGGGAAATACATAAATGCATAAGTTTCTATATTATGTGTGGTAGTACGTGTACACTACTGAAATGATAACTGGAACAGAACAGATACAGAATATTCTTTACTATGCAGTAATCTTTCATACAATATTAGTTTCGGATTAAAGTATTTCATAAACTTCATTTCAAATTTTCAACTTTTTTTCTTTTAAAATGGTAAAAGTATGGGAAAAATTCAACTTTACCAATTTACTGTTTCAAAAACATTAATTGTATTTTACTAGTTGAGTATTGTATGGAAGCTTACAGTATTGTTGCATTTTCAATATAGATTAGACCATATTTGAGTCTATGATTTTGTTGTATTAAAAATTAGCTATTTACACTAATAAACAAATTTAAACCCTACACTCTACTAACTTCAGTTTGGGCAGTTGGATAGTGTTCTTAACCCTTACACTTAAAATATAGCTTAAAACCGAATATACAATGATCTGTAGTTGATAAATAAATTTGGTAAATCAATGAATTAAATTAATTAGCTACAATTTCTTATTCCTAGAACTTTGTTCTGTATGAGTTGTTCAACGTTTAGTCGAATACATTATTTTTCTCACAATTGATTGATCACTGTGTGGTGATCAATGTCATGCATGTCAAGTCCTTCTTAGTGCTGATCGAATCCTATCGATCAAGGGTTTCCTGTTGACCACCTCTAACCACCATCTTACATTCTTTGTCTGTTACGTTATGTACATTAACTTACTAAAATGCATCGATAAATACAACATATATTTCTAATTAGTGTAACAGTGACACGTAAATGACATTAGTCCACTTTTCTTGTTATTTTGTCTTTATTACTATTATTATTATTATTCATGTAAATATGTTACGTTAATTTTAGAACTGTGACAGTATTTTTGGCACAATACATGAATAAATATAATATAATATAAATATTTTGGTGTTTAAAATAATCAGTTTTTCATGACTGAGTAACTAAGTAAATGAAAGTTTACTTGGAACACCTACTAAATCAAGGTTGACTACCTTTTTCAAACCAATACTATTTAGCGTGTTTATTTTATTATACAGTAGTAATTTCTTGCGTTAAGTAATTTATTATGATCTACAGAGTCAATTAGATTAGAGATGTGGTGGTAACTCAATAGATCAATGATATATTGCTCATAATGAACTATGAGGATTTAAAATTTTAAACCTTATATTGAACTCATATATATATGTACTGATGAGAAGTCCATGTACTAGGACGAAAACACTGTCCAGTCGTTCTAGGCTCCTAATGGTTCTTAAACTAATTTGTTGTCACTATCGAAATTGCGTAAACGATATATTTTCCTGTTTTAGAATCAAATAAATCTTGGAGTGTTTTCAGCATTAAGTATGAGATTTAAATTAGGTAGAAGAGATCTTACGAAATTTACATGATAAGTGATTATATATTCTTTTGTTCGGCTTTCTAAATGTAACTGGAAATGAACAGAATGCTTAAATTTTCATAGCGGTAAAAACCTACCTTCAGTATGTTCTAGCTAGGTGTTTTTAATGGTACATTGCTTACTGAATATTTTCTAAAGCACCTGTTTCTTTTTATAATGTATTTAGACTAGAGTTGTGTTGATCGGATTGATTCCATCTGTTAAAAAAAACTAAATCCCTGAAACACCGTTTTCCTTGAAGTCAGCTGCCAGATAGACGTGTTTTTTCGACATTGTGACATCTGACGAACTTCCGTCTAATATGTAAACATGTGCATTTCAGAAGCTATATACAAGTTAGTGTACTAGGCTATTCGTCACGATTATTATAGAAGAGCCAATGATACTAGCTGGTTGACAGAGTTTTAGTAAGCGAAGCAAAAGTCAAATATGTAGCTTGATGATTAGTTGCCGAAACTGAATGATTAAACAAAGACAGCGATATGTCAGAAGAAGTAAGTGAACACCAGGGTTATCTTTATATGGAATTCATATATATGCACCTGGATATAAATTTCTGAGATATTTTATAGAAAATGAGATCTCATATGTATTACGAGATCCAATTACATGAAATTGATAATTTCAATATCAAAGTTCAACGTCAACAGAACAAGCTATGGAAAGAAATACTGATAGTTAACATCTATTTAAAGTATGTACTGATGATGTTGTCAGAAATAAGCAACAACAGTGAAAGCTTCACTATTAAACCATCAAGCTCATAAAACACAAAACCTTCCAAAAAGTGTGTTGTGCATACACTAGATAATAAACTTAGCTTATAGGTAAGACAGGTTATATTTGCATGTATGATAATGAGAATACTGTCCAATGTTACGAAGAGCTACCTGGACATCAAATTTGTACATTACAAACAGTAAAAATATATGCTGATGACAGAGATCGAGTACAATATAATTATCCTAAAAAGCTCAGTAGATAAGTAGAATAAATATACGAACAAGATAATTATGAATTAACTCAGTAATATATATCTAATGATGAGTTAAATTTATGTGCCATCCACATATTTTGACTGAAATCAACAACCTATTTATGCAATGATAAACATTTTGAGTAGTAATAATATGAGAATAATTTCAGTAAGCAAAAGCATATATCAGTATAGCGAAAGTAACATGCCCAACAGAATAAGGACATATACTTTAGATGAAAGAAAAATTTAATAATACTATAACACTAGCTTGAATTCAACCCATTTAACTGTGTTGTATGCAGAAAACATTTTAAAAGATTTGCCCGAGAAGATGCAAGCGGAAAAAAATTACACAGTGAATTTGAATATACAAGCACACATGTAACATTTTAAACTTAAAAGAATGGAAAAAAAGTAATCGAAGTACACAACTAATTCATGTTGAACACAATAGAAAAAATACACAAAGAAAAAAATCGATCAAGTTGTACACATACATATATACATACTTACACACACACACACTTACTTTTACGACTCGTACTGTCTATTTAGTATTAAACGTAGAAAAATTAAGTTAGGATTAAAGGGAAAATAGTGTATATAATGATCACTAAGTAGTAGATCAGTTCACAGAGAATCGTACCAAGAATCAAGATGATCTATTCTTCAACTACGATATTCAGTAAACGAAAAAAAGGTTTAAAACAATTCTTAAGTACTAACCAGAAAATTTACTACTCTTGTGAGCCACTTTTAACCGAGAAGTACGGAGTTCAAACCTAGAACCTGACTGTTGAAAGTCAAATACTGCATTTGCTGGACAACCATTTGACTAGACTATTCAGTGATGAAACAGAAGAGCTCTAAGCTTTTCTGGGGTTACTATCAATCCTAAGACCAGATAAAGGAGGAGGGTTGATGATGGAGTTAGTAACCCCAGCCCATAGAAAAAAGCTTTGTTAAAAACGCTAACCAGAAAAAAATCATTCAAGCCGTAGACAAAGAGTGATACAGTTATACCACTGAGGGTTTGTATAAGTTTGTCGGAGTTTGTGTTACTTCAATAGTAATATCTTTAGATTGGATTATTGAAGATATAACATTGTTACCAAGTGATGTATCAAGTAGTGATAAAATTAGATACTGGAAACGGGAAAATTATAATTTCAAGTTTGTTTTTTTAAAAAAAACAGATTATGTAGTAAAGCCTCATTATTCACTGCCCAGTGATTAAGTATATACTACGAAAGATGTGAAATAATTGGATTTCCTTTCCTAAAACACCTAATATATAACAATTATTTGCAAGCTAAATATACTTGCTATACAACAAAATATATCATAATATTAATAACTGCCATTTAGAATTGTAAAAAAGCACAACTATTGTTTATTATATTTACACAATCAAGAAATAATAAGTTGGATTTTATTTTTCCCATTCAAAACTTACTCATTTCTATTATACCATCAATAAATTCAGCTCTTGTAAGTCGACCATCTCGATCACGATCTTTACGATGAAATAAGTCAATAACACGTGCTTTATTCGTACTTAACCATGAAACATAACGTTGACGCCATGATTCAAAATGAAAATCTTTCATTTTTTCCACTTCATTTAAATAAGCTAAACGTTCATTTAATTGAGATTTACGTGTTAACATTGCAATCCATAATTCTTTCCAATTTAAATATAATTGATTAATATTCGGTGAAGTGAAAACTGATATAGATGAACTATGTTGTTGATTTGTTATATTAGTAGAACGATTGGATAGATTACCACTGGATCGTATTGGTAAACGACTTCGGCGATTATTATTAATGTTATGAGATGATTTAACTGGTGTACGTCGTTTAGCATGTTTTATAATATTTTCATAAATAGGTTGTTTTTGTTTCACTTCTTCTTCTAAATGACTATGTAGATTGAGTAATTGTCCAATGATTTTTGAATCGTTTATTTCATTTAAAACTGTTGTAAAATCAGTAAGGGTTTCAGGTTGTTTTGAATCTTTACTATTTATACTACCATTACTACTGACAACAACGTTAGGTTGACGAACTAAAGAAGTTACAGGTGACATAGCAATACGCTCTTGAGTTATGGAAAATAAGTCTTTGGAGTCTATTGATTTTGAATCATTTGAGTCTAGTTTACTCTTAGCTGATTGCAGATTGGTTGAGGAAGATGACAATGACGATATCGGTATTAATGTTGGAATACTTTTTAATTCACTAGTTTTTACATGGATCCATTGCATGAGTTCTTCACGTTGAAGTTTACGTTTACTTTGTTCTTCTAAAGCTTGTTGCAAACGTTCTCCACGTTGTTCCGACCATGAAGTTAACTGGGTAAATTTTTTGTTTCGGAAAAAATGAATGAATAATAATTAGTGAAATTAATTTAAATGCAATTAGACATACTAGTTGGATTAGGTTATGGACACATTTATGTTAGTATTGCAAAATAGTAATCACGAGGGAATGGAAGATCTTCTCCTTTAATCCGTCTTTCATTAAAAATGGTCATCTGATCCATTTAGATTGTGAGTTCAATACTCATAAAAAGTCACAATATTTAGTCTTTAGAAATGAATTTATTTTAGTCGAAATAAGTAAGTACAAAATCAACGATTCATACCCAAATGCGTCATCATTTAAAATTATAAATCCTTTGGTTTACAAGCTTGAATCAGTTTCTGTCTGCTTTAGTTTGAACCACCGAAGAGTGTCACGTAAAACCTACGGCTTAAAGTTGAATAAACGAGTCTTCATTTTACTGTTGTAAAGGATTAGTTTGCTAAGTCAATCTTATTAACAAGACGGCATAATTTTTCCAGGCAACTCTCCATGATATTTCTATATCTGTTAAACACGTACTGAAAATAGGATGTACAATTATTAAACGTCTCATCTGACTGTAGGACAATTTACTAAATTGAAAACAAAACTCTTTCATTATCTTATAGAAAAAGATCACAAAAATGTGATAATTTAGCTATCCAACTCACCATCATTTTATCTATACTCAACTGGCATCAAGTTAAATTCAAAACCATTCCCAAATTTATGGGAAAAATTGATACACTATGTTATATTGGCATTATTTAATTGGGTTTGATTAAATGATCTTAATCTATGTCTTACAAAATGATTTTAGTTTTGATTTTCAATGATGTGAGCATTTCAGCAGATCGTTTTTCATCAAAACAAGAAGTTCTTGAACATCAAATTCAATGATTGAAATGAATATCATATAGGACATTTTACTTGATAAACTCTATCAGCCGTATTTGTTTGTTGAGGCCAAGAAAAAGATAAATAACTGGTTAATGATGAGGTATCTTGTATTTAATAAAAGTTATTCCCAGTCAATACTTGTTAACGTGTTTTAACTACTATTCTTCATACGGGAATTTAAGGGCTATAAACCTGGGTGGCTTGATACGTCATTAATATGTGGTACAAAATGAAACCAATCAACCTTAATCTTATGGTTTGATTTCGTTTTCTATTTGTGTTTAAATGGGTGGATATTGAAATAGAGTATCTATTAGGAGTACGTGAAGTACTTATAAACTGGTTATTATAATTCAGGACATAAATATGAGAAGATAATCAGCAAATAAGTAACAGGTTAGAGATATAATGAAATCAGGCTTCAGTTATTTAATTGCCAATTAATTAAACTTGTAACACTAAAGAAACTAAATTTTCATTGAACAAGCAACATAAAAATACCCAATACATCGGAAACAATGAAAGTATATAACTACACAAAACTATCAATGAAATTATATGTAGTTAATTGATTCTAGTGTTACTTTCTGCTTTCTTATCGACAATACTCTAGCAATTGTTTTGAGGGAAATGTGTAAGAGAACTAACGGCATCGAAAACAGAGATAAAAGTATCTTATTTTGTAATGAAATATAAACCCATATATTTAATAAGAGATCAGCCTGCGAGTGTTCAAGGTTGTTAAGTAGGGTATTTGTTGCATATCACTCAGATGTAAATTTCTATTCAGAATTCAGTCGTAACGTAGAACTTGGTATGTATGTACATCGGTTCAAGTACTCACACCCATTGGAACAACGAGAACAAATCTTTAGGGCGAATCCCAGAGTACTAGAGGTAGCAACAGTATTAGTGGTAATAAAAAAAGTTAGTCATCAAAGATACGATTAGAGAAGAAAATATAAATTGAAGTAAAAAAAAACTATGAGGGACTGAGAAGTTTAGAATTTGGGAGAAGACGAAAAAAATAATGCACATGCACCATTGAGAACCGTTTTGAGCCATGATATTCAAAGTCTTTAAACACCGGTTATGGTAATCACGCGGATCTTAACCAGGTGGTTCAGTCCAGTTGTCATTGACTTTATGGAAACCAATGTATCCACTGATCCTTGATGCTCAGTGATCAAAAATTAAAACCAGCGACGGTCACGCTACAGTTTTATTTGCAACACATGAACAGTAAGATAGATTTAAAAGAAAAAAAAGAAAAATCGGGATAGTTATTTATGCTTATTTTCTGTTTTTTTGGTGAGATTTAATTTCCCTTACTCGAAATGACTATAATTTATGGACAAACCAATCAGCTTTAAGATAATAGGTCTTGAATTTTAGCGCGAAATTCATCCACTCATTTGGCTAAATACTATTTCGGCATTATAGCTGATGTCAGTTCGTGATGAAAATCCTAAATCGAATTCCTAACTCTAACCATCAACTGTAAATCACAATCCTTATTTGTCAAACTGCTTTATAACCCTCATTTAGTCCTAGTTAGTAGGTCGATATTCCAATGTCATGTTAGCGTTGTTCAAAGGTCGTCCATAAATTATAGTTTCGCCGAAAACGATAATAATAATAATAGTAGTAATAATGATAGTCATAGTAACCATATGTACAGTACGCATACCTCCTCCCATCGTGTACGAATAGTATTAACCCATTGACGTAAACGTTTCACAGCTGCTGGATGAGCTTGAGATAAAAGTTTATTGCCTAATTGTAAAGCAGCTTCAACCCGATCAGCTTGATTCATTAAATTAGAATGTGTTTGTCGATGAGCTGTAATTGCATCTGTTAAATTAGTTGGTGGATTGTTAGTGCCAGCAGTTTCAATTTCCAGTTCACCATCATCATCGAAGGTAGGTAAAGCAGCCAAACGATGAATGACACGTTCTGCTCCAGCAAAATAATCCATTAAACTTCGACATGTATCCTGAAATTGTTGCGCCTGTAAATGAAGACAACAGTATTTGGGAAATGTGTCTACTTGAAAGGATGTTGATAACGTAAGTCTGTAATAAAATGTAAGTTAACTTATTTGGCTTTAAGATACAAATTTTCTATCAGGACTAAAAAAAACTATCAAGCTTCTCAAACTGATATGTGTGTTGAGTCTACAACTTGTGAATTACTGATTGCAAGTTGAGTGCCTCAACTACCTAATATTTAATAATTCACTGTACAATTCGTAAGCTATAATGCTATAAGTAATCTAAAATACAGTGCAATGAGGATGTGTTTATCTGACAAGGCAATGAAGTTGTGTGATAAAAATAAATAATTTGAATTAAATAACCTTGAGAATTTGAACAAACTAAAAACGGTTTCTTAATCAGAAACAAGCAGTTACTGGAATTTAAGGTGTACTTGTAACGTCGTGTGAAAAAAATCGAGCTCATATAGCTTATTCTAGCTTTCGGACAGACCAGTTTATTTGTTCTTTTTGAGTCACATTTTGACCTTGTTAATGATTCGTTTACTAACCTTGACTGTTTTTGTGTAAGCGTATGTGTGTGCATTTCTTATTTTAATCAAAACATGTCTGTAACTTCCTTTTATCTGATTATAAATATCGATTCAAACTTGGTTAAATCGAATTGGCTCACTCACCTTCTCCATGGCGCGTCATTTTGTTGAGGATGTCAAATCCCCAGAACTTACTTGATAAATGGCTTAGTTTTGTAATTTTATTTTGAAAATTTGAATTTAGCTGTTTTCGCGCCAAACGCGCTCTTTTTACCTTCACGTCATATTTCCCAATTGTAAACTATCTTAGACGCTATTGGTCCATTGTTTCTTTGTGTGTGCTATTTACTAATGATGCTCAGGGACAAATTGTTGCTGTATAAATGCGCTTGACTTTTTCCCTTATTCGATTGCTTGTACTCGGCTGCTTACGGAATACATATATATTCCCCTACTTGCTTTGGAATTCTTCATCTAGTTAGCGGGGCCTAGGACAACAGATTAGAATAGCTTATCGTGTCATTAGCTTTCGTTCGTTACCGCGGAATCGATTTAGCTTCAAGCATATCACATTTATTTTCGCTTCTCTCCTCTTCACTCCGTCTTCCTGACTGTCTGTTTAGATCAACGATTGTATGAAATATACTTATTCAAACTTCATTCTCGTATTTCATTTATTTAAGTTGATGACTATATACGAGGGTAGCCAGGATGTATACTTCGATAACTCGATGACAATCATTAGTACGATCCAATTGGAGTCAGATATCGGGCCACGAAATACTAAACAGGCTGTTCTTAACACCCTATGACTACATAGTGTGACATAAGTTAAATTATCTCAGAATTAAACCCAAAACCTCCAGTTATGATAGTGAGCACCCTACTGTTAGGCCAATACGATGTAATCAAATGGTCAGTACTTTGAAGCTTTACTATATATAGTTATCATTCTTTAGTGTCTGAGACATGGATGATACTTTGTAGACGGTAATCTTTAGCACTGGTTGCAAATCAGGAAGAATATGAAACTAGAAAGGGATGATTGACAATAAGAATAGACGAAAATATAAGAAACGGGGAAGAAAAAGAGGTTGACAGTTCGACCTGCACCAAAACGTCGAAGGCCACAGAGAAGTTCGCTATTTATTGAAAAAAGACACCCTCCTTTCCGGTTCCAGGATGTCAACATCAATCGATATGTGAGTTATCCGCCGAGGAACAACTTAGTAATCTAGGATTATGGCAAAGTCCAGAGAACAATCTTGTCCTCAAAAATGGAACATTCTGGTTTTGGTCAAGGTATCCTTCATTTGGTATATCTGTAATGGTAGGATCTGAAAGAACAAGTGTTGTATTCAATATATCTGGAGACCGTCGAGTTAAGGCAATAGCTACGGTTGAAGGTCGCTACCACTTGCGAGGTCTGAGATGATATAGGCCTAATATGGTACATCTCACATTTAAAGTGAACCTGAGAATAGTTATGGGGGCCTATGCTCCTCCACGAGGGGTAACAGATGTAAGTAAGTGAGAATAAGTATGAAATAATGAGTCGGCAGAAGCGAAAGAAACTGAAAAGTGGAACATTTAACACAAAAGATTTGTTTTTCATTATTGATTTTATGATTTAAACTCTCCGAGATAGTTGAGCTGATTAGGAGTTCCTAAAAGTCCACCTGCGTATCAAGCGGAAATATCTATTAATAATTATTAAGTATTGGTGACATCATGATTACACTGGATCTCGTGACAAGCTACTATACAAACATAGTAACGTCACCATTATTATAAACAACTCTAAAATGTATTCCAGAAAAAGGAAATATCTTGGAATAATGTGTTAAATTCCTATCGATCCATGACTTTTACATTGGTAGATTATGTGACAACCAATTAAAACAAATTGTGAAGTAGGTTAAGATCATTAGAAAATATTTGCATACCAGTTAATGCAAATATTATAAGGTGATTACTCAATTATTACCATTTTTAATGCTTGATCCAATCGTTCACTACGACGTTGAGTTAAATTCTGTACACGATCCCATATTTTAGATAAATGATTTAATTGAGCTTGCATAGCGAACACATCAGCTTGATTGCTAGTTGATGAACCAGCTCCAGAGTCAGTAGTAGATGAAGCCTTATTCATTAAATCACTGGCAGCTTGATGTATTAGTTTCACAGATGTGGAGCGTTGTTCCAGCTCAGCTTTGAAACGATGATGAGATTCTAATAATTGCTGAAATGCGAAACACAAATAATTTACATTTTTATCCGTATAACACGGTTTTATAGGAAACTAATGTTGAAATTGCAGGAAATGTGACCTAGTCGAATTAATTTTAAACAATAGCCGTGTATGTGGTTAATTTAATCGTAAACCTAACACCTAGATTAGTAATCACTAACAAGACTAAGTGCAACCTTGAAGAAGAGCGTAAACACAACTTATCAGTGAAGTGAAGAAATTAGCACCGATCAAATCCATGAGCGCAGAAATTATTTAACAGCACAGTTGGATCATAACTGATGAACTGGATAGGTTGGTATTGGTTAAATAACAACTGATAACTAGCCAAAGAAGTTCAGTAAAGTTAGCTCAAAACTTTTCAATAATGTTCATACTCGATATCTTCTAGGGATGTGATGCAAATCAATAATTATAACTATGAAGTGGCTAACCTCGACAATATCCACATCACCATAGTTTCCAGTTTGTTGTTCAGCTAACTGTGGTTCAATCTTACTTAACCAGTCAAGTAAAGCTTCCAATGCTTCTTTATAAAGACCAGATGCCAAAAGAGCTTGTTCTAAAATGCGTTGTCTAAAAGAGAAGGGGAAAAATTGGATAATGAAGTGTATATCTATAGCGAAAATCAATGATTCAAATAGTGTCAAGTCAGTTAATTGGATAGAATCCATAAGATCATATTATTTTACAGTTCAGTCACTTTTTAATGCGGTGTAAAATAATCGTGTAATGCCCTGTAACTAATTTGATTTTGCTAGCTTTAATTCAAATCGTTATTCGTTTATATTTCTGAAATCTAGAAACATGCGGCTAAATCATATATCACTTGTTATTCCAGCAGTTCAAATGAATGCCAGGAGTTTTAAGGTTTTACTTACCCTATATCGTAACTCCGCCTGTAGCTCCTCTGGGGGTTACTGCCGGTCCCAAGCCCGGGTAAAGGAGGAGGGTTGGGCATGGGGTTAGACGAGTTCCTTCGGAAGTCATGAGGCCGATGCACCTTCTTACAGCCAGAGCGACAATTTTTATAGGTACATGGAATGTCCGGACAATGTGGGAGACCGGAAGAGTTTTCCAAATTGCTGCAGAAATGAGAAAATACAACCTGGAGGTTCTTGGAATCAGCAAAACACATTGGACGCAGGTTGGACAACAACGACTGTCTTCAGGGGAGCTTCTGTTATACTCCGGTCATGAAGAAGAAAATGCCCCACATACACAAGGAGGGGCATTGATGCTGTCCAGAAAAGCACAAAATGCACTTATAGGATGAGAGTCTTATGGACCAAGGATCATCAAAGCCTCCTTCAAAACAAAGAGAGAGGGCATTACAATGAACGTCATCCAATGCTATGCGCCTACCAACGACTACGATGAAGACGCTAAAGACCAATTCTACGATAGGCTGCAGTCGATCGTCGAGAAGTGCCCAACCAAGGACCTAACAATCCTGATGAGAGATTTCAATGACAAGGTTGGAATGGACAACACTGGATACGAAGACGTCATGGGACAACATGGACTGGGAGGAAGGAACGAAAATGGTGAGAGATTTGCAAACCTATGTGCCTTCAATAAACTGGTCATAGGTGGTACCATATTCCCACACAAAAACATACACAAAGCCACTTGGATTTCACCGGATCACACTACACAGAATCAAATCGACCATATCTGCATCAACAAAAAGTTCAGGAGGACGATGGAGGATGTGAGAACCAGAAGAGGAGCTGATATAGCATCTGATCATCATTTGCTGGTCGCCAAGATGAAACTAAAACTCAAGAAGCACTGGACAACGGGGCGGACAACATCACAAAAGTTTAATACGGCCTTTCTTCGAGATGCTGACAAACTCAACAAATTCAACATAGCCCTCAGCAACAGGTTCCAGGCCTTTCATGATCTACTCAATGGAGAGGGAACGACCATGGAGAGCAACTGGAAAAGTATCAAGGAGGCAATCGTTTCAACATGTCAGGAGGTTCTGGGCCAAAAGAAGCACCATCACAAGGAATGGATCACTGTTGATACACTAGATAAGATTGAAGAAAGAAGGAACAAGAAGGCAGCAATCAATATCAGCCGAACAAGAGCGGAAAAAGCCAAGGCACAAGCCGAATACACAGAGGCAAACAAGCAAGTGAAGAGGAGCATCAGAACGGACAAACGTAAACATGTGGAAGATTTAGCGATGACAGCGGAAAAGGCTGCAAGAGAAGGAAACATGAGACAACTTTATGATATAACAAAGAAACTTGCTGGAAATTACCGTAAGCCAGAAAGACCAGTGAAAAGCAAGGAAGGCAAAGTAATCACCGACACTGAAGAACAACGAAACAGGTGGGTAGAACACTTCAAAGAACTCTTGAATCGACCAGCTCCACTGAACCCACCCAAAATCGAAGCAGCATCCACGGACCTCCCAATCGATATTGGCCCACCAACAATTGAAGAGATCAGCATGGCCATTAGGCAAATCAAGAGCGGCAAAGCAGCGGGACCAGACAACATCCCGGCAGAGGCACTGAAGTCAAGTGTAGCAGCAACTGCCAAGATACTCCACATCCTCTTCAGTAAGATTTGGGACGAAGAACAGGTGCCAAAAGACTGGAAAAAAGGACTTCTGATCAAAATACCAAAGAAAGGCGATCTCAGCAAGTGCGACAACTACAGGGGCATCACTCTTCTCTCAATACCAGGAAAAGTCTTCAACCAAGTCTTGTTAAACAGGATGAAGGATTCCGTGGACGCCCAACTTCGAGATCAACAAACTGGATTTCGTGAGGATAGATCGAGCACAGATCAAATCGCAACTCTACGTATCATTGTGGAACAATCAATCGAATGGAATTCATCACTCTACATCAACTTCATTGACTACGAGAAGGCATTTGATAGCGTGGACAGGACAACACTATGGAGGCTTCTTCGACATTACGGCGTGCCTGAGAAGATAGTCAATATCATACGGAACTCCTATGATGGACTAAACTGCCAAATCGTCCACGGAGGTCAGCTCACCGACTCGTTTGAAGAAAAGACCGGTGTTAGACAAGGTTGCTTACTCTCACCCTATCTCTTTCTCCTGATGATCGACTGGATCATGAAGACGTCAACATCTGGAGGAATACACGGGATACAGTGGACAGGCAGGATGCAGCTTGACGACTTAGACTTCGCGGATGATCTGGCTCTTCTATCACAAACGCAACAACAAATGCAGGAGAAAACGACCAGTGTAGCAGCAGCCTCAGCAGCAGTAGGTCTCAATATAAGCAAAGGGAAAAGCAAGACTCTCCGATACAATACAATATGCACCAATCCAATTACACTTGACAGAGAAGCTTTGGAGGATGTGGAAACCTTTACATATCTGGGCAGCATCATTGATGAACACGGTGGATCAGATGCAGATGTGAGGGCGTGGATCGGCAAAGCAAGAGCAGCATATTTACAACTGAAGAACATCTGGAGCTCAAAACAATTGTCAACCAACACCAAGACGTGGAGGAGTACGAAAGCCATCATCCAGAAGATACAAGTGTTTATTAACAATTGTCTACGCAAAATACTTCGGATCCGATGGCCAGACACTATCAGCAACAAGTTACTGTGGGAGACAACAAACCAGATTCCATCCAGTGGAGGAAGAAATCAGGAAGAAACGCTGGAAGTGGATTGGGCACACTTTGAGGAAGTCACCCAATTGTGTCACAAGACAAGCCCTCACATGGAATCCTGAAGGTCAAAGGAGAAGAGGAAGATCAAAGAACACATTACGCCGAGAAATAGAGACAGATATGAGAAGAATGAACAAGAACTGGATAGAACTAGAAAAGAAGGCTCAGGACAGAGTGGGTTGGAGAAAGCTCGTCGGCGGCCTATGCTCCATTGGGAGTAACAGGCGTAAGTAAGTAAGTAAGCAAGTATCCTATATCATATATAATTTATGGAAACTAAATCATGAGCTCATTGGTGACTAATTGCGAAGGCTGAATCCAGGAGTTCTAGTGAGAATTTGTGACCAGTGGGACATGACCATGTTAGTAGAAAGATATTTACTAATTGATAGCAATGGATAGTGGTTGCAAAACACCATGAGTTGATTGAAGTTATAAATGCCAACCACTGGATGCCAACTGAGTGGTCTGAAAGTTAAACCATTTGCCACGAGACTTGAGAGTTCTGGGTTCAATTTCCGGTGGGTTCGTGGGTGTGCACTCCCGAGGAGTTCCATAATAAGACGAAACAGCTATTCAGTGGTTCTCGACTTTCAACGATCACCCAACTAAGGTCAGTGATATGGAGAGCCAATCGGAAGTAGAAAAAGATCAATCGATGGTGGCATCCGTAAGTGACCTAAGAGCCAAGTTCATTTCATTGGGGTCAATTTCCTAAGGACATAGTGGTATATATATGAGTGAGTAGTTGAGTATTTCATTCGGTATTGCAACACGCTTTCTCGTCCACTCTTGTATCCTCTCCCAAATAGTCATTTTGGAGTTTATCACGTAGCATACCGTGTATCAGTATCAGATTTCGGACACCACACGTCACAACAGTCAGTTTGTGATTTAGATTACAAAAATACATCTATTGAGTGTCTCGTGAGATTATTGCCCAAACCATGCATCAGTAGTGAACCTAAAATAGTCAATATCTTTACTCCGAAAATTTCAAATCGATAAACTCTTAGCATCATTAAGTTTAATATAAGCTTTTAACAACTTGGTAAAAATCCATAAGAAAAACAAATAAGACCAGCTTGATGGTCCCAAACAACCGTTAATAAAAACCCTACTTATCCATAAATTACAGAAATGTTACATCGAAAAACCGATACATGTACCACAAAATCGAAAACTGTATTTGCTTCAAAATATCTAGACGAAAAAACTGTTCGGTAACCCTCAGATTTTAGTGGTTATTCAGATGTCAGTCTGCGATTAAAAGCATCTTCAAAGTAGACAAATTTCTACAAATCAACTCACTGTGTATGCGTTTCAAAGAATATGAACTGTTAGGTCTTAAAGATGACTAAATCCCTCTAAATTTATCATATTTCACTTAAACTATGAAAGGTCATTAATGAACTTGACCCTTTCTCTGACCTTAGTTCATCAACGTGTGAGGTAATTCATTTTTGGATTTGTTTGTAACAATTGCTACTATAATACCATATCGCGAAGATTAAAGCAATGAATAGTTGCATAGACTATTTGAGATGATCATGACCGATAGACCAACGATAACTAAACTGAAAAAAGTGGTCATCGGACAATTGACCCAGTCCTCCGTTGACTAAACCGCAACGCCTTACAGCTAAATAGATCTCAGTTTCGTTTTATTTATAGAGTGCTGTTCTTGCATTCTATATAAGTGGAAGATATACAATTGTCAACACCTTATTTTTTTAGCTGTCTAGTTCAGTTTTTTTATCCCAATCCTCTAATTCCTCCAGAGAGTAGAAGATCGAACACTGCTGAAATTAGTTTAAATCATTGACCGTGAATATAATACGGGGAATATAACAATCATAATGTATGTATAAATTATGAATGAGAAATGTTGTATTAGATCATATTCATTGCTTGTTAAAGACTAGTTTATAAAAACTGACGGCATAAATGCGTTCTTTTGAATTTACGATTGAAGTATGAATTTCAGGTCTAGTTATACTTGATATTTAATAGAAGATTAGAGATTATGAAATTACCTGGCTAAGGCTTTTGTACACACTGCTTGCCATAAATGCTTTAATTCACTGACCATATCATCTAATTCATCATGATCACATACTGGTGCTCTGTCACGTAGTTGCCTAGCGTAACGACGCACTCCATCATAAGCCACAGTACGTGTGCTTAATGCTCGTTGTAATTCACGATGTAATGCTAATTGATAAGCGACTTTCTCAGGTCTTGTAGCGACACGATCACCACCTTCCTCCAATGAAGCCAACTGTTCCTTTAACCAATCTGTTAACGATGTCCAATTATCCAGAAAGTTACTGGCCTCCTAAAAATTAATCGGAAAGATCATGTCTCCTTTAAGTAGAATATCAAATCATTCGTCTGTTACTTAAGTGTTCAAGCATTATAAGCAAAAGTAGCCAGTCAATGTAAAACGTACTAGAACATTTAAACTTTATCATGCCTTTTATACAATAGTTAGTCAACTGATTATTTTTGCCAACACTTTGAACCATTCTTTTCTTTCTGTTCAAAAAGCAAGAATAGTTCAAACTGTCATATGCTGTTACTGTTAATTTCGGTTAAAGTATCTTATTTATTTATTTATTTGAACACATAAATATTGGTACACGGAGGTATCATATATATATATATATATATATATATATATATATATATATATATATATATACGCCACACAAAACAATGAAAATGGGAAGGGAAAAAGAGGGTAAGGTGCATATAAGAAAAAAAGAAAAAAGAAAAGAACAATAACAGCCACAGGTTAGTGTATGTTAGTGTATTAATAATATTAATAAGAATAATGGGGGAAACAGAAATGTACAAACCTAAGAACTCTCCTAGTTAAGGAAGTTATAACCACTTTTTGTGAAAAAAAGTAAAAGAAGGTTACAACAGGATCGCTACTGGCTTCTATTCTGGGCCATATCTGATAACGTTTCTAGCCACTGTGTTAAACCATCTCCCGGACCCCAGCCAGGGAGTCGTGAAGGACCAACAGAAGTCAGCCCTTTGTAGCTTTCTTTCATACCACGACACCATGTCATACACTGATCACCTTTCCGCTTCTTCCAACCAGTCCTAGCGTTGGCAAATAATGCACGACGTGGAATTCTCTGGCACGACATTCATAGAACATATCCAAGCCACCGAAGTCGATGTTTCAAGATGGTGACACCAATTGAATTATCGTCTCTGCGCCCGAACACACGATGCCAAACCTCTGCATTACTAACATGGTGTTGCCACTGGATGTCAGCAATCCTTCGGAGAAAACGATGATCAAACACAGAGAGTCGTTTGACATTCTCAACTTGGAGAGGCCAGGTTTCACAAACATAGAGCGAAACTGCCTTATCTTATATTTGCATCGTAGATAGCTAAATTGAACCATGTGAACATAATACTCTGCTATATTTGTCAAGAGATATTTACCGCACTCACTATCATACATTCATTTGGAAGGAAATGATATGCAGTAGACAAAATGACTTTTATAGGAAATAAACTATTTAGAAAGTAAAAGAGTTACTATGGTATTTTGGAAGAAAGCAAAGAACAACAAACTAACCTTTAGACCAGTGTTAAGTTGACGTGTACGTTCTGCACTACGTGAGACTAATTGCTCCCATCTAGTATGAATACTAGATAAAAGATTTTTTACCAATATTACATCTTGTTTTTGTGATTGACATTGTATTTGACTTGCTAAACGATCTAAATTAATTAAAGCATCACGATGTCCAGTAATTTCTTTACGTAATTCAGTGTGATCACGTATCAATTGAAATAGGCGAGCTACAATACGACTGACTGGTTTCTGTTGTAGTATAATACGTTCCATTTGTGTGAGCCATTGCATCATTTTTGATAAATGATCATGTAATTCTTCGACTTGTTTTAAACCTAATTCCATACGGTCACGAATATCTTGAGCATGTTTTAACAATTGAGCATGATGTTCAGAGAAACGTTCAAGATTAGTAGTTAATTGATTAGATGATTCTGCTGCAGACTGATTAACTAACAAAGCAGCTGAATTTCGACGCAGTTCATCAAGCTGTTTACGTAGGGAAAAAGAGTAAAAAAGCACGAGTTAACTTAAGCATGCATAAATAAAATGTAGTAATTACCATTGTCTACAATAAGCATATGACAAATAGTTGAAGTAAAGACATTATTTACCTCTGATCCAACTTTTACAAGTTCATCATAAACTTCCATGAAACGACGTAACTGTTCACGTGCACTATCTGGCAAACCACCCATAATGCGTGCACCTGGTGGGGGCATCCGACTTTTTAACTGTCGAGTGCGACGTATAAGTTGATCCAACTGACCATGGAAATTAAAGGTCTACAAAATAAAAACATTTGGGATCATTTAAAATATTGATGTCTGTAAGAAAACTGCAAAAGTTGTACCTGAAGGCAATCAATATGCTTGTTCCATGCAGTTTATTGGTAAGGTCAAATTTACTGCATTTTAATCCATCGCCTTATTCCGGTTTCTACTATACAGTTAAAAGTCGTGTCTCGTACCCATCATTTTTTATCATCGTTGAAATAATAAAAATGAAGCTTATGATAGTTCTCAACAATTTACTTCCAAGGTAGTGTCATCAGTTATAGACAACGTGGAACCCTAAGTGGAATGTAAATTAGTAATAATTCTCTTATTCAAACTAATATGAATTAGCCATAAACAATAAATGCTTTGAGTGAAAACAGGTTATTTTAAAAAAAAACTATCTGTACAGATAGTCATACCTCACTCAATGCTTCTTCTAATGCTGCTTGTTTATTGCGTACACTCAGTTTCAAATGTTCCCATGCTTTATTCATTTGAATAATTTTATCTCGGATATCTGGTGTTTTTAAATCTGAAGTCTGTGATTTTCTTTTGACATCTTTATTAGTATCTATTCCAGAGGATTTGTCGATTTTCTTGCAATCAGCACGTTCTAATTTTCTTGCTTGTTCTTCTATTCTTACAACAGCTAACTGATGACTGTTAATATTGTGATGAATTACCTTAGTGACAAAGTAAGAGAGAGAAAAATAATTAGCCAAGAAAATTATAAAACTGCATAACTTATAAATGTTAAGCATTGATTAATAGGCAAAATTCAGACTTGATAACTTTAACTTCTGTAGTGGAAACAGCTTCAATTGTTAGCATTGTAAACTGAGATCGCGATAACTGAGACTAAAAATATACTAAGTTGATGAGTATAAATAAGAATTAAGAGTTGATCAAGGGTATACTATTGATAATATTTAAATTTTCAGCCTGAAACGTTTTACACATACAGAAACTTCAATGGCTGAATTCATGAGTTGATTTAAGCTAGACCACCATGGAAAACCTAGAAGAACTGGACAGATGTTTCGCCCTAGTATGGGAGGGATCGTGGATGAGCATTGCTGAGGAGTCCAACAATAGGACGAAACAGCCGTCCAGTTCTTCCAGGTTTTCCATGTTGGTCTAGTTTAAATCGACTCACGAACTCAACTATTAAATTAATACAATCTCCGCAAACCCACATACAGAAATGTTATACTTTAGTAACTATAGTTAAATAGGTTTAGTAGTGTTGATGGTATTTTAACAGCTTTTATGTTATTAAACATCGGCATGAACAGACTTTAATAACTCAGATAGTATTTGACTACTGATTCATTTTTGCCTTCTTACTAACCTTATTCTCTTCATAGGAAATTATGACTTTCAGTACCTGTAATTCATAGATTCATTTCCTTGTAAATCTATACATATACATCTCATGTATGCTCGTGTGCATCTCTGCTCTTATTTCTTCATCTAATCCCTGTCTCTTTAACGCATTATGCATTATCTACTGTTATATTCACGTTTGTGATGAGTAATATTTCAAGTAGATCTGCTTTCTTCACTTCCCATCTCTTCGTCTGTCTTCCGAATATATGAATTACAGAGATCCGAAACATTCACATTCGAATTTTTATATCCATGTTATTATTACCAGGACTTGTCGATATAACATGTACGAAATTAAGTTAGATATATGTTTCAATAACATCAAGGTCATTCGATCGTTATGGAGTCGACAACAATCACTAAAGTACAAAATACTATGATTAGACAATACTATTTCATAACTAAAGTATACTGAATTATTGGTTATTTAGTTGCATTACTAATAAAGTACTCCTTCAGAAGCTTTTATGCTTAGAGATTTTTCATGTTAACCTTTTCATAGATATCATTCAATGTTGTCCTACTTCTATTGAAGATATACAATGTGGTGTTGAGAAGAGTTAAAATAACATCACACCATATTATCATATACACATTTTAGGGTATGGGATACTTAGTTAACACATATAAAGCATACTGCAGCTTCTAGAAGAATATCTAACCAAAAGGGATGTTTGATCAACAGTCTATAACAACATAGTCCAATTCCTTAGCGAGTTCCTATAAGTTCTGCATTATTGTAAATCAGATTTGCATCTCTGAATTATAAACAGAAAGCATGCTGTATGACTTATAACCTACTTGTTTGTAATTGAATAAGTACTGAAAGCAGTCTTAGTATCCTGAAAGTATGGAATAGTGTTTCACAAAACGTTAACAACATCCCTTGTTAATTAATTTGAGAAAAAAGCTCTTTTTTGCACTCAAAGTAGTCTCAATAGATCTAACTACTTGTAAGTAGTGTAGATATACTTAAGAAATTTTCAAGGGGGTTGTCCAAGATTTATGTAATGATCGTGTGGAGTAGCCTATAAGTCAACGAGACTGGTAAATGAATGTGGTACCATCAAAACTCATTACTTCATCTCCGTTTTCAGCATCAACACGATTTAGGACCATAACATTGTACTGATAGCGTGTAATAAGTTTGACAAATAACTGTTTAAGTATGGATAGTTATGACCAAAATAATAATTGTAATTATTATTCAAGCCAATTTTTATGTCCACAACCACATAAAACATAAAAGAATATACATAAAGACACACAGAAATAGGCACACATTGACACCACATCCCACATAGAGTAAATTATGTAACATCCAAGTGATAACACAGAAAATAAACAAAAGAATATGAAAAAGGTGGAAAAAGGGAGAAATGTGAGAAATGATGAGTTATTTGAGGTTAAAAAGACATTCAGTCAAAAGTAAATAGTCATGAAACACATTTCTCGCAAAATCAGGAATTGTAACTGCTTTTTAACTGAATTCTAGACTTAAGTATATGGAGATAAAGATGTTAAATCTGCACATTAAACTAATCAGGAATACTGGAATCGCAATTTTATGCTTGTTAGCATAGTCACACTCTAGAAACCTTGTGCCTTAGTAGTTCAAAACATAGCTATTAACTCTGATATCTACCTCTCTTAACAAGGAGACTTTTACGAGAAAAGGCTACACAACAGTATTACGAGTTTGAATCCGTTCATTTCAAAAGCCCGATAAAATTATAAAACCCGAACAAAAAACCCAGTCATTTATGCCATTAAAAGTTACTATGCTCAACTGTTCATTCACATGGGTTCATATCGAATTTTAATGGCTGATTAAACACTCGGGAAATTCCAACTTAGATGGTCGAATCCGTTAATTGACCGGATCAAGACAATAAACCAATGTGGTTTTTATTACCACAATCGCGTATTACTGTATAGAGATTCTACATGAAAAATATTAAGATATATATTATTAAGTCCCGCATCATTTTGGAAATTCCTGTTTATAATATTCAAGAGTAATTTGGGTATTTCTATTATGATGAATTAAGAAAATAACATGGGTAAATATTTTCTACAGTTTCTGGTAAGGCTTTACATTACAACGGACTATATTGGCAATTCCAAGAATTTGGTATAATCCTTGTCACCATTTTTGTTTTCTAATTCGTGTATTATAATCTTGTTGATCATCAAAACAGTCTGAATGATCAAAACGAATAGTTCTATTTTTGATTGTAAAACATAAAGAAAGCTTACCGAATTAACGTATACGAGAATGAGTTGAAAAATATAAATGAATTCCAGAAGACATTTTCTAAGTTAAGCAAATTGTTTAAGTAATAGGTATGTTCCAGTGATATCCGCTTTTACAAAAAAGAATTAACAGGAACTGTTAACTAGATATGTGTATTACCAAAGCGTACTGAGTAGCGTAATAACCTAATAAGCATTTTTCCATCTGTCATAAGGAAATAAGCAGTTTTTTCAGAGAGATTAATATAAATAGTTAAATAAAGTGTTGATGAGAACTAACATCACTACTGATCAATGAAATAAATGATTTTCGAACTGATAAGTCTTCTGATTGAACGCTAGATTTGGTTCAATTTCTTCTAGTAACCACCAGGCTACACAGAGACTTGAACACGAGAGAGTAGGTGCGAAATATGGAAGGAACGCTTTACTCCAAATGTTCGTTTGTGTACAGGAAATCGAGGGTATTTATGAAATTTTAGATGGCCTTGGGCTTCCAGAAATTTCTGAAACGCTGCTTAACCGAGTAGCAGTATAAGTAATTAACTAATCAGAAACATGACATGTGACTTGTCACTTTCTAGATGTTTCCGGCAAAACTTCTATTGAATGCTGGTTGAATAAGATGTTTCTCAGAGTTTTCAGAGCCTTTTTGGCTTTTTTTTATCAAGTTTTCTGGATTTTCCCAACAAGAAAAATAAACACTTCACTGTAATTAATATAAGCTTATAAGATTTATAGCCCTAACGTTTCTTTCCCTTCCGTTCATCATACTATCAATATAACAAAATAAGCAAAAGTCTGGTGAAACATTTACTGCAAAACGTTTATCGAACTCAAGAAACCAATGACTTACTTTAATGCGTGCTAAATCAGCTTCCAATCCTCGAATATTTGCCCGACGTATAGGTATTTGATCTACAGCTGTTTGCATTTGATCAATCCATTTAATTAATCCATCAATAGCACTTTCAAATTCACCTAAACCAAGTAAAACAGTTTGTAAACGATGACGTCTACTATTGCCGGAATCTAATAAATTGTCCCATCGTCGATTAGCCACAGTTAGATCAGATTGTAATGATGTAGTATTTTGTACTGGAAATGTTCCGTCATCGTCTATAAAAAAATCAGTAAAATGGAATAAAATGTAATGGGCATGTAATGTGCATAGTAATCTATTGGATATGTAGTGGATAAATTGCTAATTCACTTCCGAGTACAAATTTCATACAACTACCACATATTAATCAAACAGTAACAGAATAATACTCCGCAGATTGTCAGCAAGGTGGAGAGAAGAATGAAAAGGATATATTGTATGGGCTGGTACTATGTCAAGCGTACATAGGTTATTCTAGCCTCTGAACAGACCAATCTATTCATTCTCCTCAAGCCACATTTTTCCCTGTCACTTATTCGCTTATCAACCTTGACTGTTTTTATGTAAGCGTACGTGTGTGCATTTCTTATCTTGCTCATCACATGTTTGTAACTTATTTTTTGTTTAATTTTAAATATCGATTCACACTTGGTTAAATCGAGTTGACTCGCCTTCTCCATAGCGCGTCACTTTGCTTTGCTTCGCTTTTCGAGCAACGGTTGTACAAAATATACAAATTCAAAAATTCATTCTCTTATTTGATTTATTTAATTCCGTTTTTTTCACTTCTCAAGGGTAAATAAATAACCGACATTAAATTAACACAAGTTTAAATAGTACAAAGGAAACCATTTATTAAAAAACCCATAGTACATTATATGAATTAACTTCGCCTGTAGCTCATCTGGGGGCTACTACCGGTCCCAAGCCCATGTAAAGGAGGAGGGTTGGGCATCGGGCTTAGCGACATCATCCCTTGGAAAAACTACTCGCTAAAAAAACACTAACCAGAAAAAGTTATTCAAACCAAGTAATATGATATGAATTAGTCATAGGTAAAATTGTTAATTAATTTTTATTACTTGTATCATCTAAAGTGAAACGTTCATTATCTGTATTAGACATCAATTTTCCAGCTAACCAATTTAATGCTTCTACATCAGAATGTTTATTCATTAAATTATCATTCCATTGAACTATTTCACTTAATTGTTTTGTAACAATATCAACATTATTTGATATAGGCTGAAAATTATCGAATATATTTTCTTGTTCTGTCAACCATTTCATTAAATCTACTAAATCAGACTAGAATAAAAAGAAAGAAAATTGGGAAAAAGGTATATATATATATATATATATATATATATATATATATATATAATGGTGAAAAATGATTCCATCATTCGTATAGTTTTTGTTTATTTGATGTATACTACTTTCTCAACATTTAAGTAACTAAAGAATATATAATGAAATTTGAAGTGTATACATGGTGGATAGACTTATTAATATGGTAAAACTCAAGCGAAACACTTGAATTGAATGTACAATATGATTCTAAGTTATAATTATTAGGACTCTTATGAGATAGAAATTTTGTGTGAACAAAGTTCTGTGGTGTTTGAATGAACCAATGATTCCCTTGTATTGATTGCTTGATTTTGATTTCCAAATATAATACATTCTTTCGAGTTCATCTGATACTTCTTGATTAAATTGCGTTGTTTCTGGGATTACTAGTTTATACTATAATTCAAATACTCCTAGCTATCACAAGTTAATACATATGATTATTTACATAGGCCAAGGTAACTAGGTTTTGTTTAAAATTTTAATGCTGAAAGTACCGACTTTTGTATGGCACAGACTGATACTTAGGGGGATGGGGTAACATTTCCGAAGAAACCTTCGAAGAGTTACATCATTTGGACCCCTAATTCTAGGGGATATCATCTTCATGTTCTGTTAGTAAATTGTAGAGGGCAACCAAATTATTATATTTGTTAGTGTCATTACTCTCCAAAATAGAATGTGTCTACAGACAAGGATGTGTAGACTGTAAGAATTTGTATAGTCTGGAGACTTCTCATGAATTCGTGACTCGTGCCAAAGAACATTTAATGTATACAAAAAAAACCTCCAAATAATATTGCAGAACTATAATTTCTACAAATTAATTTAGCGCTATCAATACATTCTATCTTTAACAACCATTAACTTGATGTTAATTATATCAAGATAATTCAAAAAACGTTTTCTAATCATAAGGGAATGAGATTGGCTAAAGTATTTTAAATTCCGTTAAATGCTACCACACTTAATAATCTATCGTATATAGACCATTTATCAATACAATTAATCCTGTTCACATCTTACATCATTAAGAAACACACAAATATTGTTAACTTTAATTATCCGCATTACAAATAGTACATTTTTCACACCCACACAAATACACTCAGCTGGATCTCACATAGAATAACTTTGATCAAAATAACTTGATCAAACTGATTTCATTTTGATTTTACTAAAAATATCTTGTTTTGCTTTTTTATACTACTTAAAGTTGTGCTAATTTGTTACTTATTATTGTTATTCTATGGAGAAATGGGCTATGCTAAATCACAAGATGTCAGAAATTTAATTTTCTACTCATTTGGACCTAACAAATATATTATTTTTGCTATTTTTTGGAGATGCAAGATTATAGAAAACACTTACTTATTTACTTACACCTGTTACCCCTCATGGAGGTGCATAGGCCACACACTATTATAGAAAACACGTGATGAATAATTTTAGCACTGGAACTAAAAAATGAAACCTAGCAAGAATAATGTGTTTTTATGTAGATTTTCAATAAAGTTTGATTGATGCTTCATGTTTCCTAACGAGATGCACAAAGAATTAGCTGTAAGCTATGACAATGAAGCCATAATTTGAAGCATTTACAGTTAGAGGGCTTAAAATGTTAAGATCGTTCTTTACAACAATTGAAAACTTTGAAAAGGATGTGTTTTGAATACTGAGAATCATTTATGAAAATCATCATTCAAAGTATTATATTCAGATGATCAATGAAACTAAGCTAATTGGCACAAACATATTTATGATGTAAGTAAAAAGTTGACAATAGAAGTTTACAGACTGTCGGGGAAGTGACTAAGTTGGTTTCATAGTCTTCCAGACAATTGAATGTGAAGCTCAAGGGACACAAACAATGTTCGAAAAGTATTCCAAAATCCTCGGTTTACATAAAGAAACTTGAGAATAAGTCGGCGATAGTGTTACATTTTACACACACACACACATTAGTAATTTATAAACAATTTTCCAACCTTCAACTTGCACCTTTATTTTATTTTTTCTTTCATATACAACATATTAACATCTAATTTCAACTATTAATAACTCAATCTTACACATAAAAAGCACACACATGATTCACTCAGTCATTTATTATCACATCGTGAACTTTTCACATAATTCGTATTTAATTGACTCATGTTATCCTATTTACTAAAGTCAACGTCTAAATATGATTGGATTAGAACGGTATAGATCTAATTGTTACACACTATATATTTCTTTGGTGATTTTGATTTTGTTTATAACCCTGAAGAAGTCCAGACAAGTTTGCTGGAAGATAGATGAGGATTATTTAAATTTCAAGATAATTTCAAATATAACTTTCACATACAAAGAATATTGAGGGCAGTTTAATAAATCAATATAGACTAAATATGATCACTTCTTTAAAAAAAAGAAAAGAATTATTGATTGGCCTACCTTAAACTGTGCGGCACATATTTCACGTTCATTGAGTTGTTTAATTAAACATTCACATTTATCAATCAGATGTTCATGTGATACTTTTAATCCATGTAAAGCATAATCAACTTCATTACGTATAGCTTGTTCTTCATCTCGTCTTAAACTAAAGCTATCAGTCATTATTGTTGGCAATATTGATGTTTGTGATAGCGATGATGGTGTTGAATTGTCAGTTATTTGTCCATTAATTAAATTGATCAATTTCTGACCAGCTTCATAGGATTCATTCAATTGTTGATTTACATCATTTAATTCATCTCTTAATTCAAATAAATCTTTACATTGTTCTTTATAACTATTTGAATCAAGTGGATCACGTCGAATACATGGATCATTTAAACTACAACCTGATCCGATAATGTTTAATGATTCTTTAATTTTATCTAATCTATTTCTTAGATCTGATATAATTGGCCAAAATTGTTCTGATGATGTTTTATAAGCTGATTGTAGTGTAATTACACGTGAATTTAATTTATTATGTAATTTTATCCAATCTGTTTGAAGTTTTTCAGCATTTTTCAAAACTAATAAATGATAATGACAAATAATGAGAAGTAGAATAAAGAAAACTATGAATCTTATATTTTGTTAAAGAATATTGTAGATATTGAAATTTATCTTACTATGTGGTAATGAATTTTTGCGACAAGTTGACCTATATATATAACAGTCTCAGAAAGATACACATATTACAAATGTGGGTTATTTAATGGTCATGAGGAAGTAATTATTAGTTTTATAGAAGCTATCGTAGTGAACAAGAACACAAGCGGGGACGAACAGATGTATTAGAGCACGAAATTACATAATGTTTTAGTAAAATCTGGGAACTATACAGTAAATATCTTCTTTGCAAATTGTTAATGAATTGTTTGGCTTTATTGTTCCTTCATTTTCATACCAATCACTATCTGCTCACGTTCTCTTCTCTTCCATCTTCTCAACCTTCTGACCCCAGACATTCCACTTTCGGTTGGTGATACATACTTCTTATATCTGTCGATATCAGTTGCAAACATCACACTATAATTATTCTTCTCTTTTAATACTAATTAGCATGAACAATGATAGTAGTATTCACTTCAGTTTTCATCAAGGATGGAAATAAACTAACATGCTATTAAATGTAATGGACCGTTGGAGTGGCTACTTTTTATGCTTCAACATAATGTAAACTCAAGTAATCTTCCATTAAAATAGTTAGTTATATACTCTTTTCAACTAGTTAAGTTTTCATGATAATGCCGGCATTAGTATGATGATATAAAGTTATGAGTGATTGTTCTTTTTTTTTTAAGTCAAACTGAATTATATCATCGCTGGTTGGAATAGAAATTAACAATGCCTATTTCGTCTTGTTTTAGGCTCATCAGTAGAGAGAGGTTGTGATCAAAGTATTAATGATTTGAATGGCAAAGACGACAACAATGGAAATAGCGGGGACGACAATAAAGTAGCAACAACATGAAACTACAACTACTAATGCATAATTTGGACAACTTCACCTTAATTTATATTATTTATTTGTCTTCATGAATACGCCAGACAATTCTAGTGATTTTACAATAACTCCTATATGAGTTTATTCCAGTTTCTGGACAGGCGAATCATTTCGATCTTATTAATTATTTTATATACCTTATATTCAACTTAGTTACTTATTATTCACTTGTAATCCTAAGCATCTTTATACATGTGTGCACACTAGTAATTGTGTATTTCGTAGATTGGGTATAAAAATTAGTGTATGTTAGCAGTTCCAATGATTAACCTATTCATTGCATCTCTTATTGTTTGTCTGTTTCTTATTGTTCGATGTATGAAATATATGGATCCTGAACACACATTGCATTTAACTAATTTTATACTGTAATTACTAATGCGTTTGAGTAAGTGCACGTATACGAAGCAATAAAATCCTATATTCTATTCTTCGTTATTTAACTGGAGTCAATTAAGGACTAGAAAACACTGTTTAACTACATTTAAATCATGAGTCGATCTAAGTTAGACCACGACTGAAAACCTGGAAGTACTGTACAACTGTTTTATGCGATTCCTCCTGGTTCCCAGTGTTGGTTGAACTTAGATCGGCCCATAACTTCAATGAAATTGAACAATGTGTAGAACATATATATACACACAAACACATTCACAAGTACAGATTTATAAAATAAAAGTGTGCATAAACATAAAAAAGTATTCCTTTAACAACATTTCAGTACAAAAACAAAACGGTTAATAAAGCAAAAATTACAACAAATAATAACTTAAAACGAAAATGAAATTCCCATCCATCGAAGTTATAAGGTATCGATAAGTAATCAGTCCATTTAACATGCAGTGACTTTAATTGAATGTAGGAATGAGAAATATGTTACACTTGAATCGTAAAAAAAACAGATTACGGTGAATTTTAAAACTGTACAATATTTATAAATTGGTTCAGGAATAAAGAGAACAAAATAGTGATTATATATTGATAAACCTCGATACATAAAAACAGACTGAATAGATATGAGAAAGCAATAACTTTTTTCAGTAGGGAAACGATCGTGTACGAAATGGCATAAACGACTTCTGTCGAGAATAATGAGTTGAATAATCAGAATCCTCAATAATGAAACATCGAAAACTTTGAATTAAAATGATATGTAGGTGTCCGTTTTCTATATAGCAGTTTTTGCGTTTAGTAAACTTAGTACTACTTAATAATACTCAGTAGTTTGAGAACGCTTGGTGTATTTTTGTTTCAATGAACAACCTATAAACTCCTATAAACAGTTATGACGCCTAATGATGAAAGCCGAGATTCTTCGGAAGTCACAAGGCCGATGCCCCTTCTGACAACCAGAGCAACACTATTTAGAGATACATGGAACGTCCGGACAATGTGGGAGACCAAGAAGACCAGTCAAATAGCAATGGAGGAGTTACAAATTGGCAGTATTTATAATAAGTGAAACCCATTGGACACAAGCTGGACAACAAAGGCTAGATACGGGAGGGATGCTGCTGTACACCGGTCACAAAGTGGAAAATGCTCCACACGCTCAGGGAGTTGCTCTAATGCTGTCCAGAGAAGCACGAAATGCACTTGTAGGATGGAAATCTCATGGATCCAGAATTATCAAAACATCATTCAAAACAAAGGAGGGGATCACAATGAATGTTATTCAATGTTATGCACCCACCAATGATAGCAACGACGATGATAAAGATTAGTTCTACTCGAGGCTGCAATCAGTTATAGCTAAGTGCTCAAGAATGGACCTCACAATCCTGATGGGAGATCGAAACGTCAAAGTCGGAGTGGACAAGGCAGGATATGAAGATATAATTCGACGACATGGATTGGGAGAGAGAAATAAAAATGGAGAGAGATTTGCAAATCTATGTGTATTCAAAAAGTTGGTTATAGGCGGCACAATATTTCCACACAAACGTATATACAAAGCTACATGCATTTCACCGGACCGCATCACGGAGAACCAGATAGATCATATTTGAATCAACTAAAAATTCCGAAGGACAATGGAATATGTGGGAATAAGGAGAAAAGCTGACATAGCTTCGGAGCACCACCTGGTTATGGACAAGATGAAACTGAGGCTAAAGAAACATCGGAAAACTGGGGGATCAGTATTACAAAGGTTCAATACAGCCTTCCTTCCACGTACTGACAAACTCAACGAATTCATGATAACTCCCAACAACAGGTTCCAAGCTCTACGGGATCTACTGAAAGGATAAATTACGACAGAGAACAATTGGAAAGGGACCAAAAAAGCATTGACTTCAACTTGTCAGGAGAGACGAGTCAAGGACAAAGAATGGAAGACGATCACAGAGATTCAAGAACAGAGGGAAAGATGGGCAGAATACTTCGAGGAACTGTTGGATAGATCAGCCCCATTGAATTCACCAGACATCGAAGCAGCACACACAGACCTCCCTATATCTATCACTCCATCAACGATCAAAGAAGTCAAGATGGCTACCAGGCAAATCGAGAACGGGAAAGCAGCGGGACCTGAAAATATACCAGCTGGAGCACTGAAGTCAGACATTGAAGTGACAGCAAACATGCTCCACCTTCTATTCAAGAAGATATGTGACGAAGAACAAATGTCAACGAACTGGAAAGAAGGATATCTCATCAAGATACCAAAGAAAGGAGATCTGAGCCAATATGAGAATTACAGAGGTATCAGTTTGTTGTCGGTACCAGGAAAAGTTTTCAACAGAGTGTTGCTGAACCGGATGAAAAATCCAGTAGACGCTCGACTTCACGATCAACAGGCTGGATTCCGTAAGCATCGGTCATGCACTGACCGAATGGTGCCACTACGGATCATCGTGGGACAATCAGTTGGGTGGAACTCGTCACTATGCACCAACTTCATTGACTATGAGAAGGCGTTTGACAATGTGGACAAGAGAACATTATGGAAACTTCTTCGACACTATGGAGTTCCTCAGAAGGTTGTTAACATTATCCAGGACTGATGTAGCAGTAGCCTATGCATCAATAGGCCTCAATATACACATAGCTAAAAGCAAGATTCTCAAATACAATACAGAGAACAACCACCCTAACACACTCGATGGCGAAACTCTGGAAGATGTGGAGACATTCACGTTCCTGGGAAGCATCATTGATGAACAAGGAGGATCGGATGCAGATGTAAAGGCGAGGATTCGCAAAGCAAGGACCTCATTCCTACAATTGTAGAACTTATGGAACTCAGAACAACCGTCAACTAATTTCAAAGTCACCATCTTCAATACGAACGTCAAGACAGTTCTACTGTACGGAGCTGAAACGTGGAGGACTACTACATCAATCGTCAAGAAGGTACAAGTATTCATAAACAGTTGTCCACGCAAAATACTGAACATTCACTGGCCGGATACTATCAGCAACAGCGTTTTATGAGAGAGGATAAACCAGCTTCCAGCTGAGGAGGAAATTAGGAAAAGACGTTGGAAGTGGATAAGACATAAATTTACGGCCAAAGAACACATTACGCCAGGAAATAGAAGCAGATGTGAAAAGGATGAATAACAACTGGACAGAACTAGAAAGGAAGGCCCAGGACAGAGTGGGTTGGAGAATACTGGTGGGCGACCTATGCTCCTCGACGAGGGGTAACAGGCGTAAGTAAGTAAGGAAGAACAATTTATACCATCCATTTGTGTCTTTATTCAAATGTTTTCATTTATGTTTTGGCTGTAACGGTATCTCTTCGTCCTTTAAAACTTCATTCCTTGAAGTTCAATTCACCTAGGATGTCCTGCTTAACCGTGAAACAACGTTCATCTATTTTGTGTTTGTAATTGAGATTCATACTTGACGCAGTTATTTTTCGGTATCTTATACGCACTCGAAATCGATTATCCTTCACTTATTTAATGGATGCGATTTCCATTTTACTGTTCTTTTGTTGGCACAGCTGACAAACTGTCACCTCATGGTTCGTAGTTTGTAAAAGTTTAGAATTTAGGTTTATTTCCATAGTGGGCCAATATTTTCGGAAAAATCTCACTTTCCGACTCAGATTATATACATGTATATATTGATAACTCACTAATAACAACGGACAATCATTAAATTAATATCACCAATTTACTAAATTTGAAAATGTGGACCATTAGATCAGTGTTAATGTATTCGCTGCCACCCTGAATAGTTTGTGTTCGATTCTAAGGGTTGTTACTAGTGTACATCAATTAGGAGTTCTAAACTAGAACAAAACAGTTATCTAATACATCTTGGTTTCAGACGGTTTTCTAGCTAATTACATTATGGTGTGAAAGCTATCTTTACATAGAGTTAGTTTTGTGTTAATAACACGTGCTTACATTTAATTATTAACTATTAAATAAAATTACTATCATCAATTAAGCATGCTTTTACATGCTTTCATTCAATTCAATAACTATTAAGAAAGAATATATGCATATCTATAAATATATGCGATTTCTTTAAATAAACGCTAACAGAAAATAAAATTATCTAAATGATACAAAACATGCACCATAAATGCTTACTGGAACTATGTAAAGCATACAATTGGCCTGGAAAATAAATGCGTTACGTAAGTTTAGAAAGAGAAATAGTAGATTAGTCAAAAATTTCTACTAAACCTGACTTAATAAAATAATTTGGCCTGTACGGATAAACAATTTCTAAATTTTAACAAGTTTTATTAACGAGTACTATATGATATACAATTACAACATAATCCCGTAAATCTAGGAATAGTGTTTTGCAGGAAGTTAATAGCTTTTTAATTTTTCAAGCTATAACAACCAGTATTTTTAAGCTAGCTAATCGGTAAGTAGTACTAGAGTTCTTCAACTTTAGCGGTGCTTCAAATCCTGATATAATAAACAGTAGATACTATTGAAATGTATGTAACGTTCAGGAAAGATCCCAGAGTTCAGCCATATTTTCAGGACTAATTCAATAAATAATGTGAATAAGTAATGGATGTTCATAGAAGTTGTTCAGTTTGTTGTTTACATTATGGACTGGATTTAGTTAGACAATCACTGAATATCAGGAGCACAGGACACCTATTTCGTTTAGGTAGTGGACTCTTCAGTAGTGATTTGAGATGAATCTTGTGTGAACCAATTTTTATTCGAAAGAGAAAAGAATAAGTTAATTTATTTACAGGACATGAGTAACACTGAAGTAGGGAATATGGAGAATACAATACAACAATCACACTAACCTGCTTCTAAATCAACTGATTCAATTAATTCAACTGTTCCCGGTTCACGAGTGGTAGTCGACTCTTTAACAGTTGGTTTTGATTCCAATTGAGCACGAATACTAATAGTAAGTGCTTCCAATTCCGGTAAACGACATTCCAATGCTTCCATAAGAGCAGATGTTCCATTAATATGTTCTTCTAAATGATCTGGTTGAACACTTGTCATTGAATGTATTCTGCCCAACATATCTAAAGCTTGATGTTGGTCAAGTAACTGTTTTGAACTTTCATTTTGAACATTAGATAATATGGACGGTTTAACAGTTGTACCGGATACTTCCAGAGGAACACCTAGTCGAACAGCTTGTTCTGATATAGCAGAAAAGAGGTCTGACATTGAATGTAATTGCTCGACAAACTGAAATATTACAGAACAGATATTCACACAATTGTTAAACATGAAAATTATGATACATTTGAGGAAGTATACAGTTATATTATTATTATTATTATCAATACTATTGGTTCTAGTAATTGTCCAAGTTCAAATCTACTCATTCAAGTATAAAATATTCTAGATAAAATCATAGATGGACGAGGAAAGATATGACACTAGATCTATATTAGAACTTATGATGGATAAAAAAACGTAAGAGATTTTGAAGTGATAGATTATAAAATGAGATACCCTAACCATATTACTTTAAGAAAAAAAGAGAAATGTTTATAAATCATTCAAGAGCGTATGTATTTCGGACGATATTAGAGATGTTTTTTTACTGTGTATAGTAAAATTAGATGAAGATGTACAACATGGAACAAAACTAATACACAAACTTGCCTCATCTGATTGTTTCAAATTGGCCTCTGCCTTGATTGCACGAGTTTTAATCAATTTACGTAAATTAGCATAATTATCACAGATTTGTTTAACTTGCAAACGAACAGTGTTAGCTTCATTTGGAGCAATTAAAGATAATAATGGTCCACTTGTTCTTAAAATTCTATCCAATACAGATTTTTGACGTTCAATCTCATTATCTAAACTCTGAACAAACAGACGATCAGTAATGCATAAGTATTAGGAAGATATAAGAAAATATTAAAAAAAAATGGTATTTTGATATTTATTTACAATGAATATTCATTAGTCTTTAACACTGATCATATAAGTGGTTTCATATAGGGTCCATTTCGGTCGGATGTTAGGTGATTATGAATTAGTTCGTATATTTTGTTTGTTCAGTGATATTTCTAGTGTTGATATGAAGAAACAATTTCAAGAAGTGTAGTTCAATGATTTACACGGCTAATTATCATCCTCCTGACTTTCCTTTCAAACTTATTACATCTACACTTTGATGTACATAGCCAGGTAGTAACATGCATATTATAAGACTTATAGAATAGAATGCTGTAATGTAGGTAGTTTATTTTAACAAGATTTCTTAAACTTGAACAAGCAGATATCTAAATTATAAAAATATCTGATATTGATGATGTTCAGTTAAATAATTTAATAACCTAAAAACCTATACTTAACAGTTATCCGAAAATTGTCTATTACAAAATAGGAGATGAACATAAGGTATAGGTTAATTATATCATGAACTGAAAATAAGTATCTTATACAAATTCTTATAAACCAATCATTCGGGAAAAAAGATTACGCCTAGATTTACATGTATATCCAATGGCGATGAAACAACAACGCACTGAAGAGCCTTTTATAAAAAACATCAATAGTGGTTAAAAAAGAAAAAAAATAGATAGTCAAGTTTTAGTAGCTAAGTGTTTGTCCAGTTGATAGTTCTAACCCCATAAGAAGTAAACCAATGTAATTATGACTCTTTTATCGCTCCTCTCTAATTAAACACCTTAGGAGATAGGTTATAATGCGAAATCAATCATTAAAATGATTACTGGTTGCTAACTCATGACATTAAATTGGTCCTTTAAGAAATCAATAAGAAAATAGAGAGACCTGAAGAAATGCATACAATTTAAAGTGACGATAAAAATAAAGTTACATTTTACCAGCTTATTCTTGGTAAAATAGACTTTATGTACAAACAGCCTCAATGTGATGACGTCTAGTGGTTCGACACTTCAAAATATCATGGAACAATGGAGGATATTTTAAGTGACTGAGAGAAATGAATTTTTTATGGTGTGTAAAAATGAATGAAATGGATAAGGTGACTAAGCTGGTTGATTAAGTATGTGCGAATATATTAGCAAATTGAAGTTGTTATTTATACGGGAAATATACAGCGAAAATAGTGTGACTATGAGTTCCATTTCAGTCATTAAATGAATTATAAGGGATTTGTTGAGTGGCTCCATGTAAATAAATTATCCTCATTCATTTCAGTAATTCGATTTGATTTGACTATAGTATATCAGTATTTTAGAGTTTTGTCAATAATTTTAGAGTCATACTGAATGTTTGAAATGTTACAAACCAGGCTTTTAGACTAAACGCTGTAATGGAGGAAAGTTATATTGATAAAGTACATATGTTACTGGTCACCCAAGCAGACAATGAATATAACAGCTGAGCGTCCAATACTTTCGAAAATTGAACTACTGATCTCAAAATCTAAAGTAAACGTCTATCAAACTGGTCAGGAAGAAGAGGCGTTTTATTCTGGCAAACTGGTCAACAGATATATAAATCTTCACCACAGAAATAAATAGAGAAATCAAATTTATCAGGTCATCTACCAACCAACGACACTGAGATCTGATTATCAGGCTTTACTACCATATCATTGACTTCAGATAACTAACGAATTCGTCTTTCAACAAAATTAATCAGTCATATTTAAATTTAAAACATTAGAAGTTACCTTAATCATCTCAATTCGTTTACGATTATCTCCTAAATCATCAACTGTAACACTGGAATCTGATAAATTGTCAACTATTTCATTCTTCGCTTCTTCAATATGTTGAAGCCAGTTTTGAAATTCGTACATATCAGTTGTAAAACATTTAGCTAATGGATAAACCTCAGCAAATTTAATTTCTGTTTGATTTAATCGATTATCAAGTGTTATCATTTGTTTTGAAACACTAGACACAGCATCACTCAATTCATGATAAAATTTATCTGTTGTAAATGGTACGAAAGATTTGTTTGTTTTTATAGGCGATGATGATAATGATGATTTTATGGCACTATTCTGATTACCAGAACTTGTTGATAATGCAGATAATTGTATTATGTCATGAATTTGGTCGCATAATTGAGTTAAATCAATTTGATGTTTTTTCCAATTCCCTTGAAATTGTTCTATTCTTTTATGTAGTTTATCTAACATAACAGGTTGATATGGTAGAACAGCTAAATAAGGAAATTCAGTACCAAGTGAATGTATAGTTGGCATTTTTACCGATGACTCATTAACTGTAAAATGATTTTCATCAGAATAATTATCCCAATCTAATGATGGTGCAGCGGATATTTTTGGATCAAAACGTTTCAACGCTAAATCTAACCATTGCGCCTTGATTTCTAATTTATGCATTAATTGTTTAGCTTTTTGACGATTACTACCAACAATTTTAGCTAAATCGGTAAGCTATATACAAATAAAAGATAAAAATAAACAAATCAATGTAGAATAAACAAGTGAGATACAGTGTGAGATTTTATGACATGTACTGAGCTTTACATAGTACAGTGATGATGAAAACTACTTGCTACTTATAGGATATTTTAGTGACAAAAAAAGAACAGTTCAAGATACTTAGAAAATTGATGTTGACCTCATTAGTCTGAGTAGTTTTTCGACTATCTGTTCGATAGCTAATCTAGCATTTTCACATTCGTCCACCTTTGCAAGCACTATCAAATAATATTTCTCCTCATTAATATTATTATTTTTCGTTAATCAACGGTCGGATTAGGACATGTTACCCAAGTAGAACATTCAGTGTTGTTTGACTCGATCGTATCACGTTGTATTTGAAAGTGAGCAATGATCGTGCGGCGATTGATGAGTAGCTTTTCGATGAATTTCCAAATGAGAGACAATTAATTACGGATTTACATGGGTCGGGAGTGAGAGAGGAGCCAAACAAAAGTATTAAGTGATAATAACTTTATGGTAAAAATTGACTGAATTTCAAAATGCAGACCAGTAGATTCTGAATCAGTGATTTAAACACCTTTTGGTAGCTCCGAGACCTGAAGCGCATTATTTCCATCTTGTGTAGGGTTATAGATGTATGACGTTTGACGATGCCAACTTTAGACGACACAACTGTTCATAGCTATTGATTTCCAATATTTCTGCTACTGGGTCAATTAGAGGTGAAAGTTATGTTTAATAAGTCATGTTGATGACCTCTTGCATTCTACTGTAACAGACGAACAATATTGCATTCATGAATTCCATAACGTCTTTGATAGAATGAATTGCGAAATATAACACTAATTTAAACTAACCTTTTCATTGAATTCATCATATCGTTTTAATTCATTATCTATTTGTTCTACATGTCCAAGTTTACCATCTGAATGATTAGGGAAATGTGTTGTTGTCAATGTTGAAGGATTAGTAAACAAATCAATAGGTTTACAAATTTGTTTTAATTGATTCCAAAAATTATGAACTTGTTGATATTGTGGTTCTAATCCATTGATCATTTCATATTCTAATTGATCTATCAATGACTTCTCTACTTGGGTTGAATAAACTTCTTTTGTATTGTTTTCTAGTAATCCATTAAGCCGGGATTCAACACTAAGTAAACGTGAACTGAGTGTATTCACAGAGGATGTTAAAGATTGAGCTACAGGCAAACTAGATTCTAAAATAAACAATTTTCGTTTTGTATCTGATTGCAGTTCTTCATAAATATCACTTAGATTTACTAAACGATTTTGTATAGAATCTTCATTTACAAAATCTATGGTGGAAAGAAAACATGAAATAAAGTTTATAATGACAGTATTCGCTCATGATTTGCTGATACCGACATATAAGTTAATTTTAAACTACTTAATAACTTTGATTTTTACATCTAATAACATCTTTCTTGAGTAGATAAATTCCATTTCATTTGAGCTCCAGCGTAAACATTAACACCGGAATGTAGGTACATCCAGCTAACAAGTCCCAAGTAGAAAGAAATATGTGTCCTGGATTCCACTGTCATTATTATTATTGTTATTATTATTATTATTATTACTAGTGATCACAATCTATTTACTCTAAAAGATTCAATTTTAATTTATGCCTTATGTCTTTATGTGTAGATAAAAGCCAAGTGGTTAGATGAGTTAAATTTTAAACACAGAGTAGTATGGACTTCCTGTTCACTTCACCTGCTAATTTTTGAGAAGTCAGATAGTCTCTACTAGACATCATATAAAAGAATTTAATTAAACTATTCATCATGTGAGAATTCATGCAGTTGTCTGCTTTCACTGTCTAGACAATGTTATAAGAATAATAGTTTAAAGGTTAAGCCAAATTATATTGATTGATATAACTAAGACCCTAAGTACAACATTGTGTGCTCAGCTTTGAGTAATCGATTTTTGTGTGTGAGAGCCAATAATGCTATCACAAGAACTAGGGGTCCTGAGTTGGATAACTGATGAGATCATGAGTATTTATAATTCAGAAATCCCATACTACGATGAAATAATTCACCTGTTCTTTAATGGTTGCCCAACCAAAGTCAATCATGTAAAACCACAACAATACCAGACTAGATGAAAGTTTATCAATAGATTCTTCTACTCATTTGTTATAGGTTGGGTGTTCTAACTATAGAATCATGTTTACATCAGAAGGATAAACTATTAGTTCATAGAATCGATATTCCAACATGATTTCTGATAGCCAGATGAATATAATAGTTTAAGTACTAATTCGATTATCACAATTTATATGTTATAGTTTACATTATTAAGTATAATCGTTAAGCTGTGAGTTAAGGTAAGATTATTTATTTAATAGGTAGAGAACTTATAGCCTCACGCGTTAATCTATACAAATGTAATGAAACTTTTTTAGAATGTGATTATCCCTAATTGAACTATTTTTTGTTTGATTACTATAAAGGTAAGTGTAATAATTGACTATAGATCATTATTTGAAGCGACGTTTTTCAATCTTATCTTACGTAATTTCTCTATTTTATCAAATATGAAGTATCATTTTAAGTTATCAATAAAAAAATATGACAAAATATCACTAGTTAAAGAATCAATCATTGTAATACTTACATCTACCTGATTTACATAACTGTTCACCGCTTAATTTAATCTCATCAATAGTTGATTGATAATTTTCAATCTCTTCTGATAAACTCTGAATATGGAAAATAAAAGTGGAAATAGTAGAAAAATGAATAAACAGTATATAATAAGATGGCAGAGAAATTTTGGTTAAAATAAATTATTATATTCCATTAAAAAAAGATGGACAGTGGCTAGCAGTGGAATCCAGGACGCACGTTTCGTCCCATTCGGGACTCGTCAGATGGATGTACCTGCATCTCAAAGTTGATATGTTCACTCTGCGACTCGAACCTAGTACCTTTCGCTTCAAACGCCATCGCGTTATACACTGAGCTACTGAGTCCTGATAGCCACTTGCTTGTGCAATGGGGTGAATTTATTCCATTAAAGTTTCCAAAAATAAATCATTCGTGAACAGATATTAAGAAACTTTCGAAGAATATATGGTATATTTTGTTTCACCTATTCAACAAATAAGAAATAACATATATAAACTGAATTAATTTCATTCTTTGTGTCGGTATAATTTTAATCGATTACAAGATCTCTAGTTGCCAAATGTTGAAGATAAACAGAGTAATCTTCGTCAATATATCTATGGTAAAATTAAAGAGGATTGTTGAAAATAAATATACTTGAAATTATTTTCATCATATAGAACGATAAATCTTTAAAAGGTCTAACACAACTCTGCAGAGTTCTGTTACATAAACTGTTTTTGTAATAATATATATATATGGGAACATATGAATAAAGGATGAACATGATGATGTAATAGAAAGATCATAATACTAGATCACATAATACGAATAATGATAAAAGATTGTGTGTGTGAAAATAAAAAAGCCTTTAAAAAATTAATAAGTTAACAACGGATTATAATGTGAATGGAGTAAGATAATTGGAAGGAAAAAACCTAATATCTAAGTACGATTGTACAGCTATGTAATACATTTGTTAAGCACTCTTCCTATATTTCATAGTTGAAAGCGTGAGTCAATTGGAGCTAGACCACCATGAAAAACCTGGAAACACTGGACGGCCGTTTCGCCCTATTATAAGACTCCTCAGCAGCGCGCATCCACGAACCCGCCTCGCGAGATTCGAACCCAGGACCTAAAGGTCTCGAGCCAGAGCCCTTAACCAACAGACCACCGAGCTGGCATCCAACGGTGTTATTGTCTAACTTCAACCGATCCACGACGTTGAGCAACCATTCACCAATTGTCTTCAGTGAGTTCCTATCTCACGACAGACGTGGTTTGAACTCCACTGGTCACTGCTTCTCACTAGAGCTCCCGGATGTACTTCCCGAAGTCGCTAGTGAGCATATGATTATATTAATTATCAGAAGTGGTTTTGTGGAGATTCAGTATGTTTCATAGTTGAAAGCGTGAGTCAATTGAAGCTAGACCACCATGGTCAAATATTAAATATACAATATGTTCTCTCGAGATCGCAGTTGAATAAACGCATGTTGCCATTAATTTGAATCCTGATTGGCGGTCTATACTTCTCCACAATAGGTAACAGGTACAATTAGGTAAGTAAATATACTTTATATTTAATGTTATATATCTAAGCAAAAGTAAGGGATTATCGTAATAAAATCATAAAAGTAAATTATTGCAATCAGTTTACAAGTGAATGTAAAAATTCATTCAACATCAAAATTGTTCTATAGTAAACTTTAATGTTAACAAAATATCAAAAAAGCCCCCCCTTAGAATAATTCAACGAAATTGACTTACTTTTAATTTTTTTAATTCTTCAGTTAAATCCATTAAAATTGTTGTATTACCTGGTGTTGTTTTAATTACTTTTATTGGTTCATTTAAACACAATTGTTTTTGTTTTAACCAATTTAATATTTGATGAATTCGTTCATTGAATAATTTTTCACTTTCATTACATAAACGAAATTTATTCAAATTAAATTGTATCTCTTTACGTACACAATCATAATCATCTTTTATTAGTTGTTTTTCAAAATTCAATCTATTTTGATTTGATATATTTTGTGTAGATTGAATTAATTTATCTAATTGTTCAAAACTATCTTTTCTTGCAAGTATACGACTATTTAATGTATGATAATCATCTATTATTGATGTAATCATTTCTTGATTAGGTGATGATGAAGATGGTGATAACAGATCTGGTGATAATAAATGACTTGCAAGTATATGAAGATCATGTTGAACCTAGTTATGTAAGCAAAAATAATCGTCTGACAATTAGACACTTGAATGATCAAATAATTAATTTGAAAATAACTTTCCAAAGTTATTTAAATATAAAAATAAATATTTGAGGAATATATGTAGAATTTCCAGTTGAAATCACTAGTTAACCTACGCTAGACCATTTGGTCATAGGATGAAACTCTTTAGCAGAGCATATCCAAGATTCTTCACGCAAGATTCCAACTGAAAACCTTCAGTCTTGAGCGCGAACACTTAACCTTTTAGTCGATAACTGTTTTACACCTGACACGGATTGAACACCGTTGCTCATGGCTTCTCAATAGAACTACAGGAGTTACATCTTGAAGCTAGTCACTAGTTAGGACATGATATGTAGAACTGTTAAAATCGAGGTTTTGTAATTAGTGGGAGGGTAATTTCGGAGACTGTTCAATTACATTGAAACGTTCAGGAAGATCATATTCTTCTTGATATTTACATTTCAATTACTTCATATCATAACAGTCTAAATCTACACAACTTGAAAACAAAAGAAAAGGTACGAACTGTGTAAGGAACGCTTCACTCCAAGGTTAGTTTATAAACAGAAAATCGAGGGTATTTGTAGTATTTTAGATGGCTTTGGGTTTCTGGAAGATTCTGGAAGCCTACTAGACATAGTAGCAGGACAGGTAATCATTCAGTCAGAAATGTGACACTTGACTCTTCACATCCTAGATGTTTCTGAGATACTTCTATTCAGTGTAGCGTTTTCAGGGCCCCTCTGGGTTTTTTTCAAGGAATATCCTGAATCCATCCAATAATAATACTACTGGTGCTTAAAAGCAGCAAAATGAAGTCAAGAAAGTCATATTAGTTGAGTGGATTAAAGGTTTGGTCGGTTCAATGGTTTATTTTCTCAGTTGTTGGTTTTTCTCCATAATTCCTCATTAAATAACCTATACTAGATTTTACTTAACAAAAATGTTGAATTTACATTAATTAAATATCTCTTGCATCATTGAAGTCACATTCAGACGAAATAAGACAACGGAAAGATAAGCGAAATTAAACAAAAAAAAGGTACAAAGTAAAGAATGTCATTTTAAATCAATAAGATATCAACAGAGCGATAAAGTAACATAATACACATTTAGTTATTACTCTACCGCTTTTTTACTTATTTAATTCAATACTCAGAAAGTAAATCTTCAATATACATGATGTTTGTCAATTTAGTTAAGAAGTAAGAAGGTTAGTTTATAAGCCCGTCAACTGAATGGAAAAATGCTTATTGTAGCATCAATAAAACATGCTTCCAATTTTTGGTAAGGGTTTTAATTACATAATACTGAGAAATACACAACTCATCAGTTTCTAAAAATTATTTTGTTAAATTCCCTAAAAGGAAACAAAACGGAAAACATACTCAAACAATAAATAGTACATATGATTATGATATGTAACATCTACCTCAACTAGAGTATCACGTAAATGTGATATCAGTCGTTCAGCTTGTTTTTCAGGTGATATAACAGATTTTGAATTGGCTAATTCTTCATGAATTACATTCTCTAATGATTTTATTTCATATTCTAATTGATGCGAACTAATCTGTTTATCAGATGAATCATTTGGTGATTTACATAACTCTTCACTTAATTCTTTCAACGATTTCATATTCGAATCTAATAAGTCTAATTCTTTTTGAAGATACCTAGGAGGATAGAAAAAAGTCGAAAAGAAATTAATGGAAACAAAATGCAATAACAAAATACCATTACGAGTTAATATTATACAATTAAATCATTAAAAAAAACAAATAGGTACTAAACAAATCTTGATTGGAACGAATATCCCTGTTTAAGACTTATTTTAACTGACTCATTGTGTGTGCTAACTGCATAAATTTCAAATATTTTATGTTTATGGGACTCCTCATTATCAAGAAGACGAATGTTCCTCTAAAAATGTAAACAACTGTTAGCGAGTGCTTCAATTAAAGACTTTAGTCAGTCAGTCAGTCACAACGTAGAACTTCGTACGTACGTACATCAGTTCGAGCTGCCATACCACATTAGCACAGAGATGCAGTCGTCGATTCAAATCCCATAGCGGTAGAAGTAGTAAGAGTATGAGCATTATGTGAAAGATTAGATTTTGAAGATTTTATTGACTTTATCACAGATAGAGTTGGGCTGTAATGTAACCGCATTTCAAATTTATTTAAGTTAGTCTTGATGCTGCTTTAGATAAAATTATATTGTTGATTATCCAATCATTAATGAACAACTGGTCAAATGTGCAAAAATAGGACATGGGGATTATGTATTCCCATGAAGTGGTCTCAAGGACTAGAGACAGACAACGAATATCTAGATTAATGAAACCTCGTATCATTCAGAAACCAAGAAAAGTGAGTGTTGTGATATGTTGGCGTGTTCATTTTTAAATGGTCAGTAGATTGTACGAATTCAATCATCACATCTGATGTTTATCATGAATCCTATCCAACTATCCAACGTTTGCTGTTTTCTTTGTAAGGATCCAATAGTTCCAGAAACTGAAAACTTCGAGATATAAACATCCGGATAAAATCTACCGATCTTAAAAAATATGTACGCCTTGTATCGCTTATTAGCGCGATTTTTTGCTTTCGAAGGTCCTATGAACAAATTTCGAAGGGAATACAATATATTATTTGAAGAGAGAACTGAAGATAATGTTAACTTACTGTTCATTTAAAGGTAGTTGACGAGATTCTCTAACTTTTTTCAATGAACTATTAATATTTTGACGAAGTGTTGCCATTTGTTCCGTTTGTTTAACGCGATTATTTAATGCACTAATAATGTTATTTATTTGTTTTGACATATTGTTACACTGAGTATCATATTGATTCAGGGTTGTTAAGAAATTGGAGTAAATTGGACTAAGTTTCCTTTCATCTGGTAATGATACCATTTTATCAGCTAATTCAGCACGTCCATCATTCAGATTTTGCTTGCAGTCATTAAGCTGTGGAGTAAATTAATGTAAACTGATATACAGTGTAGTAGAACTTTGAATTGACAAGAAAATAATGTGAAAATTAATAGATTGGAATAAAAATATAATTCAATGTAGGTTTAATGAGTTATCATTTGCTCTTCCTTGGTTCGCTAGTTGATATCATTTTGTGAAGAATACTATTTCTAATGGATTGAACATCAATAAATACTTGGTTAAAGCGTATATCAGCTCCATGATAGTCGTGGATGAACAGGTCATCTAGTAGTAACCAATATTACATTGTCAAGATCTACTAATAAAATTACGCCCTGTGATTAACATGACTTCACATTGTGCTCCACAGAAATCAGTGGTTAAAGACAACTGGTACTCATTAGCAAAATGTAACTGAGAGTATTATAAAAGCTAATGATTACCATAAAACTATAAACAGATAATGTCAGCAACTCTATGCGTCAAAGTCACATTTTGTATGGTGAACTGAAAAGTCAGCTAGATTTTTATAGTATAAAAGTTATCAGCTTACAGTAGTAAAAGTGAATGAAATGAGGACAGATAGTTAAAATAATCAAAACGGAAGCAGTATGACTTTATTTTTAGATTGTTCCAGATAGTCATCTAGCTTTACAGCCTGAGATGTTCGGATTCCACAGGGAGCATCAATTCCTTAAAGATTGTAGGCACAAATTCCAGATGAGTACCAATCGTCACTAAACATAGGTCAAAGATTTCCTTTTAACTACCTAACAGCACACAGTATCAAGTCACTTAGACTCATAACTACATTGCTACTTGATCAAGAGAATTCAATCAGCCTTAAGGACTAGACAAAGATTATAGTGATTACTATTTAGTGGTCAATCAATGTAAATACGAATTTGTATTTAAAACAGTAGTTGTCAGTTTTGAGTCCTTCTGAGAATGCCAGAAATAATTTAAATTTATTCTAAACAAAACAATATCACGTGCACCATGAAATCTGAAACAAACTGATGGTAAGTCCTACTGACCGTGAACACCTTTCAATTCGTTAAGTAGATTAAGGTCTTGAAACTAATTTTATCGGAAAACCAATTAAACATTAGTTTCCTAAAGGATAGTCTGAAAGAATTACTCCAAAGGTATGTATTGAAAGTGAGAAAATTTTAAATAAGAGAAATAAATTAAGCAGAACTATAAATAAGAAATCAAAATTAATCATTGGTTTAGGAAACAAAAATATTTATGGTAAATTTTTACCTATGTGTGATATTTATTTATTTAAATACATAAATATTGGTATAAGGGGGAACCAGATATATATGTGCCACACATATGTGATATGATAGAGTAGATATTTTTATTTTATTTTATTTAAACACATAAATATTGGTACAAGGAAGCACCAGATAAATATGCGCCGCACAAATCTCATTTGATTTGTATTACGGCTGTGATACTGCCCAGGTGCACAGACTGAAGCAAGTGCTTTTCTTAGGGGGTCACAGCCCTAGCCTTTGACCTAAAGATCTGATCCACAAGGCAGTGGAGCATCGCGAGGAGATGCAGTCCCATAGTAGCCGGTGACCAACGATTGATTCATACGCCATTTTTTCCTTCAGGATACTGGAGCCCATGTGCACCATTGGTTTGGAATCAGAGTTTTCCAACTCCCCTAGGTGAACTTTCCGTGCCCACCAACCCAGTTACAGCGCCAGACATTAGCTTTTCGTCCTCTCACTTTCGTAAACAACACCCCCGACACGAGAAGGCAATGAATAGGACTTCCCTGGCAGAGGCTATATATGCGTGGCCATGTGAGAGCATTGCGAGAGGGAGGGCGGACTCTCCCCACTCTCGGCCGTACCAGGGCATTTGGAGTAGAGAAGTTAACTGGTTACTCAGCTGACAAAATGAAAGCATCAACAATTAAAAATTGATACAACTACACAAGATTTGGAGCACACAAAAACATGACAATACAAAAAATGGTACCTGATTTAATAACTCTTTAAAATATCCAATTCTTTGTTGTGTTGTCTCTGAATTTAAATTAAATATTTTTTCATTTTCATTAATATTTAATTGAATATTTTGTAATTCAGCATAAATATTATTTAATTTTTTAATAAAATGTATAGAAAATGGATCCATATCTTTAATTTGAAACATTTCAAAATTCGTTTCTAATGCTTGTCCAATAGTTTCTAATCGTTTAGTTGTTAATTGTAATTCATCGAATAGTTTCTGCATTGATTGTTGTGATTTTGTATCACCATTTGATTGAATGAGTGATTCTAATTGATTTAATTGATGAACTAAACTAATATTAGATGAATTATCTTTTGAATCGAAATATTTCGGTGAATGATTAGTTAATTCTGATAATTCAGTTTGTAATTCAATCATTTGACCACGTATTTGTTTAATTTGATTTGATGGTTTTGTGATGGATGGTGAAGGAGGTGGAGATGATGATATTGGTGATGAAGATGATGATTTGAGTAGATCTTTTACTTCTATATTAGATAAAACTTGTTGTAGATTTAACCATCGAGTTTCTAGATCATCACATGAATGTTTGTAAGTATCAAGTAAATTTTGTACCGCTGAATAAGCCTTTTGAATCTTATCAATATGAGACTTTGAATAAAAAAATCAAAAGGAAAAATGTACAATAAAGGACAGGGATAATCATAATTAAATGATAAACATGAGGTTTTTGTGAAGAGAATGAAGAAAATGTAAAACAATATGCATCATACTGTGACTACATTTTACTTTATCAGAAGTATCTTGAGAGAATGATGATTTCTTATTACAAACCTTACAAATTGAGTGATTTTTCTCATATGAATAAAGGGAAGAAATTAAACCATTGACTTTCACTTACTAGATAATAATCTAGAAAATGATTCTAAACACAAGTAATGTATGAGTAGCGGCATAATATCGATACGATAAGTAAGACTTAAGCAGCAGCATATATAATTCAGTTGGATACCCACCGCTACTAAAAAGAACTACACAGAGTTTTTTGTAGTTTGGAACTTTTCACCAGTGAACATCTAATAAGCACACATATGATTAGGTTTATAACAATCTGACTGTTTTATGCTTTCTCTTTGTTAGGAATCTGAGATCAGATTACAATCAAATATAATTTATAAAGTATAAACTTGTCTATTATTATTATTATTTATTATTATTTAAACACATACATATTGGTACAAAGGGCATCAGATACATATGCGCCACACTTGTGTGAGGGCTGTGATACTGCCCGGGTACCAAAAACGAAGCAGGTGGTTTTCTTAGGAGGCCACTACCCTAGCCTTTGACCTGAAGGTCCCTAGGTGGAACCTCCATATCCACCACCACGATCAAAGCGCCGAACATTAGCTTTAAGTTCTCTCAATATCGTAAACAACAGCCCCCGCCACGAGAAGGCAGTGAGTAGGACTTCCCTGGCAGGGGCTATATACGCGTGGCCATGTGAGAGCATTTCGAGAGGGAGAGCGGACTCTCCCCACTCTCGGCCGTACCAGGGCATTTGGGATCAAATAAAAGACTACTAACATTTTACTAAGACATTCGCTCATTCCACTGATAAATTTGAACAACGAACAATACAGGTAATTAGTTTTTTATAACTGGGAATAAAAAAACATTTTGCCCAAAACATATATACTACTATCGATAAAATAGTAGATTTTGCATATTTGCGAAATTGTATCGTCTACAATTACTTATATAGAGCACATTCAGTAGTCTAAAATATTCAAGTAATTTAAAGAAAAGGAGAAGTGAAACTTACAAGTTTTAATTTTACATCATTCTCCAATTTATTAAATTTATTTTGTAAACAGTTTGTACTAATCTGTAATTTATTTTGTTGATCTTCAGTTAATATGTTTGATTGATTGCTCAATGTTTCTTTCAATGAATTCAATTCTATCTGTTTATTATGAATAGTTTGTATACGATTTTGTAATGTTTGTTGTTGATTTGTTAGTGGAATCGGTTTTTCATCTAAATACTGCCCATTTATTGCTAAAGGTTCATTAAGTAATTGAATTGCTTCATTAGTTATCCATACCTAAATTGTTGATAGAATATATGTATATAAATATGTTCATTTGTTAGTTGGTACACGTTCAAGCTAAAGAAAATATGCTATAAAGTGATAGATAACAAATGGGTACAGATGCTAATTGCTTTGAATAGATCAATGGTAATTAGCTGTGATTCCAGTGACAATCGACATAAGTTTAAATGTTATGAAGTGTGGTTCATTATATCGAGATTGTGAAAATATCTTGTTGAGGAATCCCGTAAAACATTAAATTCATGTTCAATACCTTTTCAACAGAATGGATATAACCAGTTGAACTGTTTTGTTCAAAGCGTCATGTAATAACGTACAGCTTATAACATATCATTTGCATCAGATAACATCAAATAAACTGGCTTCATAAAATGAGGTATTTGACTAAGTATTAGATTCTGTTAACACTACGAATCATATGACACAATATTAATCGTAAAACTGTGCCTATTTAATATGGAATACTAACTGGACAAACTAGATCTAGGAGACAATTAGCCAGATTCTATTATGTGCAACACATCAACTATTAGAAATGATCTCTAATAATCGTGATACAAGGTTTAAATAAAGTATGTCTGGTGACTTTTTCAAATATGTATCTTTTCTAAAATGATTATATATATATATATATATATATATATATATATATATATGTTCCATAAAAGACTAATATGGTCACTTACTTCCAATTGTTCCAACTGTTCAGATAAGAGAAATTCTTTACTGGTTCTTGATTTTAATTGGTGCTGTTGTGCTGTCACAGCGTTTTGTAATAAATTCATTTGATTTATGCATAAATCTATAGTTTTAGAATCCATTGGAAGTGATGATGAATTTAATTCATTATTTTCTTTCAAATCTTGTAATTCTCTTTGTTTAACTTTTAATTCTTCTGACATGGACTATAAACAATAGGGAATTTATAGTGATGATAGGAAGGATGATGATTAAATTAGAGTGATATTGGAAAGGAAGAAATTATTTAAAAATATGAACGATAAAGTAGTTTGTAGATACTTTTGAAGTTCGAAAGCCGCTTACATTATAAATTGACGTCAGTTGAGGAACTAGAAAATATCTAGGGAAATGTTCTACTACAAAGCTTCTCAGAGATACACAATCTTCATTCTGGATAGAAGCAATCTGAAATTTCTACGTGTCTGTTAGCAAGTTAATTTTGCAATCACCTAATCAGAATCTCATAAAACACTGTTACAGCTTCAAACTATTGTATCCCAACTCATTGCTTAAATGGTTTATTTTGAATCTTAAAATCATTGACTTTGGTCATGTATGAAATGTGTCAAGTAACCAAATGAGTTTCAAACAGAGAGGGAATAACGGTCAAGTAAATCCTCATTATTGGATCGTTTACCAGTTAATTTCAATTTGTAATGAAAAGCGTGCTAAGATAATAATTATAATAATCATTAACTACTCATTGTTAAATAAACCGTGTTGTTGACATAATCGGAATACTGACCCAGTTCTGTGTAAAATATAAATGGTTATATTTTATATTCTCTTTTCATCGACCATTTTTAATGAACCATATCTAATTTGAAATAGTTTGTTTTACATTCTAGCCTGAGGTCTTTAATTTACAAATGTGGTTAGATGGTAAAACTTGGAGTTTCTCTAACATATGAGTTAAACAATTTTCTTATCATTCCACAATGTATTTTATAATATGATCTACATTTATATTACTGAAATATAAATGTTTGAGTTTGAAACCACAAATGTAAGTGCTAAACTTTACTGAAAATAATGATAATCACTCACTTCTAAGTTTTGTAAATCACTTTCAATTTGCTTTGTTTCTGGTATACTTGTTTGTGATACACTGGAATTTAACAGATCATGAGACATATTCTGTAATTGTTTATTCTTCACTGATAACCATTGATTTAATTCACCTAGTTTATTTATTGGACTTATTTCAGATTTTGTGAGCAATGATGGTGAATGTTCAGTCTTCCCATCTTCACGTCTACGATATTCATTAATTAATTGATCATATGAATGTTGAAGATCTAAAAGCTAGAATTACAGTCAACAAAATTGGACAAAAGTTATTAGTACTTAGGTTTGCAGCTGAAAGTAATTAGAATTCTGGTTGTACTTTAAATGGCACATAGATTACAAGGTTCATGTTTCCATGCTGCCCAATGCATTTCTGTGTGTGTGTATGTGAAAAAGAGAAGGTGGATAACTTCCCCATTGATAATTTGGAGTGAAATCTATCATTTCCTTACACAGTTATATAAATAAATATACGTGAAATTCACAAATTTACAGAACGATCATCTTAAAACAAGAATAATCGTTAATGCTGATTTGATTTAACTATTACTGATAGAGTTAGTTTAAAACAGCTTATCTAATCAAGCTTAAACAATAAACTGGATCTTAATAACTTCTTATCATTTCTGATTACAGATAAGATAGTTAAATTGATACTGAACAAAAAGAATTCCATACATATTTGCCTATCATAAACAACATAATTCTTAAAAACAAATCCTTATTTTCACTGGAGATAACTAAGGTGTAAGTGTGTGAAATGTATCTGTGATTGACAATTTCTATGACGACACCTATTCGTTCTAACTACGCTTAGAGGATTAAAATATATGGCATAGTTATCAGACACGCTATGCAAATAAAACATATTGTTAACAAACTTCTGCAGTATAATTAGAGTCTTACATTATTGGATTAGTCACTTAACTTTCAACCAGTCGACCATTAAATTTTACAAATTTTAGTACGATTCGGAAAAATAGTTGTAGCCCCTAGGTTTAGTAAATGTATAGGTAAACAGTTGGCCTTACAAGTCCTAAGCTAAAAATGCACATTCCTGATAATGTATGTTAATGATTAGCAAAATCTCAGCCTATGTTTAGGTTTTTATATTGAAGTGTTAGGATTTAAACTAGAATTGCTATTCTGGCTGAGAATAGAACATAACACTCGTCTATTTAAATGCTAACATTTGGAAATTTTAAGCTCTAGCAATATATGTGTTCACTATTCATCTGACAGAATCTCAACTGAATTTTATATCTGTTTAGAGGAAGTTAAAAAGATGACAAAAGTAACAAGAAATTGAATGTCAACCTGATAATCAATTTAAATAATAAATTAAAGAGTACAAAATGCTAACTTAATGTTGCCTTTATTTAACAATGAATTATCCTTTCAGTTTAAGTTTATTTTTGTTAAGATTTCAAAACTTGGTTGGATAAAAAATCTCGTAGAAGTGAATCATCTCAAATTTTGGAGGATGACAAAGCCCCTACAAATCCCTATAAAACCTAACGAGCTTATACGGATCTTATCATATTCCAGGTTGGGTAGTGAAAGTTAATCTATGAAAATTTGTAAGCTCCAATTGCTAATATAAGCTGTTTTTTAATTCTTTACGTACTGAAAAGTCTACTAAATGAATATGTGAATTTCGAAAGACAATTGAATATGAAGCAATAATAATTTGATGTAGGAATATCATACTTACTTTCGTTTTCATATTACACTGATCTGTTGGATTTGCAGAATGTTCACATAATTGTGTACATAATTGTTCAGCTTTTTCCAATACTGGTTTTATTTCTTCAATTTTCTTACTTATCTCATTTAAATCCTTTGTCTTCTCGAGAGGTTCTCTCTCTGGACTGCTAAAATTTTAATTAGTGTAATATATCATTGATTGTTATTAAATAATAATCAGTATTTTTGATGAACATATATTTAAAATTTCATTTGTGCTGAAGGACTAAACTTTCTATCCTTAAAATATACTACTAACAACGTTAAATAAGATTTTTACTGGACTTTAATTTGATTTTTTTTATCACTACACTTATAGATTTCAGTTGGAGTGTCTAACAATTACATTAACAAAAGGATAACATTTAGAACATAGTACAAAGTATGCTTGACTTATCTAACAGTATAAGATAGCAGAGCAGTATCGCAAGCTGGTTGAAGTTAGAAGTGTACGTAATTGAATTAGGCCTCGGTGGTCTAGAGAATAAACATTTCCGGAAGATCGAAAGTCTTGGGTTCAATCAATTGCGGTGGGGTCATGAGTACTAATAGTTGAGGAGTCCTGTATTAGTACGAAACAGCCGGTCAGTGCTTTCTAGTTTTCAGTGGTGATCTAACTAAGATCATTTCATGGTGTAAACTATGAAAATTCTACATTATTAACAAACCCCGCCCCCCACCTTAATCACAAATATTTCTGTATCTTGTAAATAACTTGTTTGTAACTTCATATAATTTGTTATAATAACAATAGGAAAGGAATCACACAGTATTTTTGCTTACCATTCCATTTTCGTTTTAATTGTTTTAAATTGTGAATCCAATTGTTGCACTAATTGTTCATAATTATTTTTAGGTTCAATTTTAGTCATTGTTTCATTCTCCCATTTTGATAATTCATTTACTAATTGATTGAAATCATTTCGAACACGTTCATTTGTAGAATTGAAGTCTAATTGATTTACTAAAGATTCAGGAAGCAAATTTTTGAAATTTTGTACTAAATGATTAAATTTATTTAATTCTGGAACAACACTGTCCAGTTCTTGACGAAGTGTAGAAATCTAATGAAAAGAAAGTAGATGAATATAAAATCGAATGTGACGTTAACTGTCATATGAAATTACCAGTTAAATAGCATCGTTTTTATTCCAAGTTTTATATATACACAATATCCTACTAATTATATATTTAATACCAGAAAACTTAACTTCAATTCTTTATTGATTTAATGAACCAAATGTTACAGATTACGTCATTACAAATAGTTCGGTCACGTTAGTGATAAAATTAAAGTGTCACACGACGATAGCTAGAAGTAAAATGACAAATATATATATGGTGTTGTATCTGCCCAAACTCAAGGAATCGTTAATAAATATCTAAAATTTTTAGTTTGTGCCCTGATAGAAGTAAAGTAAATTCCCTGTTGAAGAGTTTTAACTATTCACTGCTTCATAGGATATTAGTCATATTTTTACCAATATGAAATGTAAAGTATAATAACCATGTCAAATGATGAATCCCAGTCGAAATATCCCAGTACAGTATAAATGATTTGTGTTTTCTTTTGTTAATCCGTACTGGTAGATGCTGCCGAATACGATAAAAAAGTAGTCTGGACAAACGACCCACATAACTGCCTCCACAGCAGTAGATCAACTGGTAGACATACTGAATAGGTCAGTCTATCAGTATAACTTAGCAAAAAACAATACAGATTGATCAGGTCATCTATTCTGACACATGTAGTATATACAGGACATTCAGCTTCGGATTAATCTCTTGATATTATTTATAATAAACATACACAAGTAATACAACTGACTTGGTTCAGGTGACTTTCACTTCCCATAGTATTATCCACAAGGCATTTGTCATGTACACTATGTATTCGATTCGCTTTTTGCTGTAATTTTCGTGTGAGATCAATTTCAAGTTTACGGAATTCGTTTAAATCATGTTGTAACTTGTTTAAATCTTGCTGTGATTTATCATTTAAAACAACCGCTTCATTCCACTGTTGTTCAAGGGAGTGCATTGAATTTCTTAATTCTACAGCACCTGGCATATGATCACGATTGTGTAAAACTTGTGTAAAACTTTGACGAACCATTTCAAGTTTCGGTATTTGTTCATTGAACTGAGCACGATATCTAAATTTAAAATTAACCAAGCAGTCGTAAATAATAGTTAGGAAGAACACAACAATTTATGTAGTTAAGTATTTCGTTTATAGAGTAGGAATTCGGTGGTTCTTTACACAAATGGACTAGCTGAGGTATCCCAGTTTTTGTTCGAGTTTACGTAAAAAATTTAGAAATAATTCCAGTGTAGTTAGTAAAATGTCACTGTTTAATTATTCTTAGGAATATAATTATTTAAGGAAGGAGAAACTATTAAAGTATAAGGCGAACAAAATTAAGTTCACTTTTTCAATACAATTATCTCTTGGTTATATTGTATTAGCAGTAGCTATCTCTCACCAAACATTTACAACGAAAACTACTCACGATATCTAATTATCAGATCAAACGTTCCTTTAAAATAGCCTAGTGAAAGTCTAAATATGTACTTATTAATTCCATCTGAGGCAAATTGTATGAAATACGACACTAAATGACATGAGGAAACAGAGAACATTCATGCGTATAAACAGCATTCATTTGTTAAATTATCATGATGAAACATCAGATGGCAGTTTTACTTTTCAAGGTTGATTTCATCTTCTATGTAGTTAGAGCACGGGGGAAGGAGAATAATTTGTTAACAAATAAGTACGAACAATAATAAAAGATGCTTGGTCTATCCAGGGCGGCCTGCTTAAACATCTGGGCTACCTGTTCCTGTCATTTATATATTTCAACAAGTTATCTAATATTGTTTGTTTTAATACATCATTATGGCTATTAGGCACACAACCTATTCAGGTGCGTTTCTGAAAACTGTACAACCTTTCGCTGTAAAGGTTACAAAAGGCCTAATCAGAGATATCGTGTTTGCTGGGAACATGCAGCAAAAAGAATATACATTTTTCATATTTCGATTGACTGAACTGCTGACATCTAACTGGCGATCACTGAATATTTATCGTCAGGATAGAAGAAATAAGAAACGTAAACACGTTGAACTACTTTATGCTGAGAATTCGATTTTGTACCAAATAATATAATATTGAATAAAGCTAATAATAATAATAATAATAATAATAATAATAATAATAATAATAATAATAATAAAAATGTCCACGTGGCTTTCATATGCAAATAGAGACTTCTCAATGGAGTCATGAAGATCAACGGCGAAAGGTACGATTTTTAACAGTAACCAACACCCTACTAGAAAGAGACTATCACAGTACTATAGGAACCTACTAGATAACGGCTTGGTGTTTAAGACGGAGGAGTCTAGGTTCTACTTACACAGAATAAAGATCTAAACAGTGTAATGCAGGTGTATGCTCTTGACGAGTCCTCAGAAGGATTACATATGTCCTAGATTCCACTGCTATAACGCTGAAGAAAAATCTGAAGTTTGAGAAATTATTCTTTCGTAAATTAGTCTGCATATTTCTTAGCACTACCAAATAGTTCAAATTGCAAGCTAATTTTTGTAGATTAACTATTATTATATAATTTACAGTTCACAAGTTACATTTCTTGCAATGTTGTATTTCGAGTTAAGCCTGATAATGATCAAAATGAAAATAATATTGTACATACTGTGTCAAAAATGTCCTGGTTGCATATCTATTGAGATTTATGTTTAATAATTCGTATTGTTTCTGTTTTACTAACTTAACTATCTGAGTTGCGAGTTTGAGAAATAAAAGTATATAGTTATTTATCAGAAGGGGTTTTGTGGAGATTTAGTATGTTTCATAGTTGAAAGCATGAGTCAATTGAAGCTAAACCACCATGGAAAACCTGGAAACACTGGACGGCCGTTTAGTCCTATTATGGGATTCCTCAGCAGTGCGCAAACCACGTCTGTCGTGAGATGGGAACTCACTGATGACAGTTGGTGAATGGTTGCTTAACTTCGTGGATCAGTTGAAGTTAGACATTAACACCGCTGGATGACAGCCGGCTCAGTGGTCTATCAGTTAAGGGCTCCGGCGCGAGACTGTTAGGTCCTGGGTTCGAATCTCGCGAGGCGGGTTCGTGGATGCGCCTGCTGGCTGAGAAGTCCCATAATAGGACGAAACGGCCGTCCAGTGTTTCCAGGTTTTCCATGGTGGTCTAGCTTCAATCGACTCATGCTTTCAACTATGAAATATAGTTATTTGGTTTTTAGGTATCTTTATTTGGTGGCTATAGATTATATAACGGATGACCCAATAAGAGTAGAGGATAAACATCCATCATCCCCTATTGCCAAACATATAATCGAAACAGGTCATAAGATTGATCTTAACTCGACTTTTGTTGTGTTGTTTAAATGTGTAAAAGGGCGTATACTGAGGTTTATCGAAGCCTTAGCCATACGACAATTAAAACCAACTTTGTGTATTCAAAAACAGTTTGTTCTCTCCTTAAACCTACCCTGGTAATATTAGCTTATCATCTAGAGTGATTAGGTGTCAAATTGTTTTCGCATTATGTTTATTATTATTATTATTATCCTTGTCTATTCTTACCCCCATTTCCAGTCTAGTTGACCTTTTATTTTTATATATAAATGATCTTAACAAGCATATTTGTGATCAGATTGTTCGAAATGTATTGCGCTAATATATCACATAGTTCTGATAATCTTCGTCTTCTTATTACATTATCAAAATTTATCAAAGGGACTAATTGCTTTGAATATAATACAGTTTTGAATAGAATCCGGATGAATGTTGTACACTACAAATAAAACTATAATCTCTACCAAATATATACAGTTAAGTTGAAGAAAACTATGAATAATAAACATATTAAAGATTCCCATTGTGAAAATTAGAACAATACATGTCAGTGAACAGTTGTTTCTAATTAGATCATTATCAGGCTTTACTCTAGTATACATGAATATATTTATACGAAAATGTTAGACCAATCAAGGCTATCTGAGTCAATAATCACAATGAAATAGAATACATCACCGACAATGGGCAAGTGTAATAATAACTTACTTTTTTAATTCATTAATAGCTTGATTTACAGATTGTATAGTAGAAATATTTCTATTAAGATTATTCATTGTTTTCATATAATCTCCAAGCCAATTTATTAATTCTAAACGTTTTTCTTCAAAATTATTTAAATTTATTATTAAAGATTTAAATTCATTACGGCGTTCGTTTAAACAATTACCTAATTGATCATAACGTTCATGTAGCTCGTCTAATTCACGATTGACTTCATTAATTTCTTCAATATGTGTAAATGTTGAAAACAAAAAAAGTATGAAAAATAAAAGTTTGTCACGTTTAAATAAAATATGAGAAAAATGAATAAGTGATTAATATATATATATATATATATATATATATATATATACATAAATATATATATGCCGGCTCAGTGGTCTATTGGTTAAGTGCTCGGGCGCGAGACTGTTAGGTCCTGGGTTCGAATCTCGCGAGGCGGGATCGCGGATGCGCACTGCTGAGAAGTCCCATATAAGGACGAAACGTCCGTCCAGTGCTTCCAGGTCTCCATTGGTGGTCTAGCTTCAATTGACTAACGATTTCAACTATGAAAATACTAAATCTCCACAAAACCCCTTCTGACATATATATATATATATATATATATATATATATATATATATATATATATATATGTCATATATGTCATATATATAAGTCATACCTTAAAACACATTTATTACAAGGTCCTCTTGATTTTTTTTTACTAAGATGAATTAATTATTGTAAAACAAATTCTGATGTGTATGGATTTATTACCTCATTTTTTTTATTGATTTAAAGAAAATTTATGCAAATTTAATGGGAACTATTAATAGACAAGTATTATTTCACAATTGGTTTGAATAATTTTTTCTGGTTAGCGTTTTTTTAGCGAGCTGGTTTTCTACGGGATGGGGTCGCTAACCCCATGCCCAACCCTCCTCCTTTATCCGGGCTTGGGACCGGCAGTAACCCCCGGAGGAGCTACAGGCGGAGAAGAATGAACAAAAATTGGATAGAACTAGAATGGAAGGCCCAGGACAGAGTGGGTTTGAGAATGCTGGTCGGCGGCCTATGCTCCATTGGGAGTAACAAGCGTAAGTAATTAAGTATTATTTCACAATTAAAAGTATTGATTGTTTATGAGTATAAAAAATGATTATGCAACATGGATTATTATCATTATTCTTAATAGAAAATAACTATTTATAAATATATACCATTGTGTGAGATAAGAATATCATTTAATATCATAATTATAGTTTTTTTCTATGGAAAGACAAACGGTAGAATAGTAGAAGTAGGAGATTCTAGTTTAATTTTTTGTATCTCGATTTGCTAAGAGATGAGGAGTTTTATTATGATGGATATTAAATAAAACAAATACATTATTCGTTTCTTGAGTTGACTATTATACTTTCCATTGTGTATTAACTACCTAATCGTAGGTCCTTTAGTTAACTTTTAGGAAACTTATGTATAATTTAAAAAAACTTCTCATATCCTATAAATTGTATGTTTATTTTCAGCATATTGAGAAAGGATAGAACTGCTCACATACTTAGTGACTTTTTTTTCAAGCTACATTATTACATGTTCAAAAAATTTAGGGATAAAGTTACCGAATTACATCCTCCTTTATCTGTTACCAAGAAACTGATGAGAAACACATTAGGTCATTAGGCATAATAAAAACGTTTGAACTCAACCAAAAGAACACTATCATTCGTTCATGAATATTGATCTAGAAGTGGATACAAAATTACAAGTCTTACGAAACCAACTGTTTAATGCTTAAAAAAGACTTTCTTAATCATCTGAACTACGAATTATGTTTTTCAGCCGACACTTGATACAAAGATAAAATGTTGCTATGGGTTACTTCGACGTGAATATACCATTGGGTATAAAAATATTGAGTAGGATTGTACAGCTCTAGGAAAGGATTTCGTTGAGAATAAAAAGTTGGAACCAATGAGATTCATGTCCGAATCATTGATAACATCGTTGATTAGTCGAAAGTGTTTTCAATTCTGATGTGAGCTGTAATTTAAACCAATTCTGACTGATCAAGGACATTGTTTGGCATCTTATTGTTATTATATAATAATAAAAAACAATTAATACATAAATTCATACTTTTACATGTATTTTGGGATCGTGGAGACTACAGTAGTTCTAATAGTTGAATTCATGAGTCTATGTAAGCTAGACCACCATTCAAAACCTGGAGGCACTGCACGACCGTTCAGCGGTGCGCATCCGCGATCCTGCATGCCAGATCTGAACCCCGGACCTTCGATCTTGCGCATGAACGTTTAACCTATAGAACACCAAGCCAGCATCCAGCTGCCGCTCAAGATCATGACTCGGCCATCCAGTGCTTACGGGTTTTCAATGGTGTTCTAGCTTGGATCAACTTATGAGTTCAACTATTTTAATTCTATTTAATACTTAATTATCTAGATTGTCTTTTGACTTTAGTGTTCATATACTCAAAATTATTTACAACTCTTCAACTAATCAATTAAAGAGTATAGATCATTTTTATTATGTAATCACTTATTTGGCATTTGATCGGCAATGATCTTTCCAAGAATAAATTGAAGAAAAGCTGGATACTATTTCACTACAAATTCATAGCTGAACAAACTTTAAATACAGACTAATGCTAATTGTTATATCTTTTTATTATGCTTAAAAGTGATAATACATAGAAAAATATATAAATCAAATATTTATAATCAAAATAATTCATCACTAACATATCGGTCAATAAGTCTTAACCAATTACAATAAGGTGTGCTTAGCCATTACCGACAATCATTACACATGTTTTACAATGAAACGATTCACTTAAAACAAAGGGATTTGGTTGTTAGTGTAAGGAATTGGTTAATAGAAGGATGCAATTATTCATGAATATCACAGACTTTTATCGATGACCACGATAACAATAATAATGACAACAACAACAACGTAAAGAGGATGATTAGATATAAGAGGTTATATATAGGAATCATGATAATGTTTCACACAAAAGAATGAAATATAACTGACTAATATTTAAACAAATTTGCAATCATATAGTTAAGAGAAACTTGAATAAATAACTAATCTACAGCGGGAAGTTAAAAATTTAATTGTGTAAATCATAGAAAATAATAATATTAATGATAATATTCATCACCAGAATCAAAGCTGCAATGTATATGCATAGGCAGATATATTAGAGATATGATATTTGACATTCATTAAAAGAAATAACACTTGAACTGATAAAAATGTTATATGCACACATACAATATGATCATACGCATTAGAAATCAAGCACTTCAATCAATAAGGCACCAACATTAAATATTGTGTGATATTTTGTTGACAGTAAAAATTACTACTCGTAGAAATTTATAGATTTGAATAATCATATGCTCACTAGTGACTGACTTCAAGAGATATTTCCTTGAGTTCTAGTGAGAAGCAGTGACCAGTGGAGTTCTATCAAGTCTGTTGTAGAGATATAAACTCACTGAAGACAATTGGTGAATGGTTGCTCAACTTCGTGGATCAGTTGAAGTTAGACATTAACACCATTGGATGCCAGCTCAGTGGTCTATCGGTTTAGTACTCTGGAGCGAGACTGTTAGGTCCTGGGTTCGAATCTCGCGAGGCGGGATCGTGGATGCGCACTGCTGAGAAGTCCCATATAAGGACGAAACGTCCGTCCTGTGCTTCCAGGTTTTCCTTGGTGGTCTAGCTTCAATTGACTTATGATTTCAACTATGAAAAGATTTGAATTTAATGGTTATTTTATTTTGTTTGAAGATAGAATAAAAATAATTTACAAAATGGAACTATAAATTAGAATTTCAACGTTTTCAATGCATAGTTTTGTTGCTTGGAAACTCTTTACTCTTCATATACATATATATTAGGTAGTTTAAGACAGTTAGCTAAAAATCCTGAATCTAGTTTTCGTAGTAATTGGTTATTATAAGCAAAGCGTAGGATTAATTTTGAGAGAACTGATGTTTACTATAAGATGTGAACTAGTGTAGTGAACGAGAACAGAAGTGGGGACAACCGAATGTATTTGAATGCAACATTACAGAACCTCTTAGTAAAATCTGAGAACTATACAGTAAATACTGCATATACAAAATGTCAATCAATCATCTTAGACTTCATTGTTCTTTCGTCTTCATACCAATCATTCTCTGTTCTCGTTCTCTTTCCTTCGATCTTCTTAGCTTTCTGCCTCCCGGCATTTCACTTTCGATTGATAATAAATACTACTTATATCTGTCGACTTCAGTAGCACACATCACACTACTATCACGTGATCAATTAGCATTCAGTGACACGAGGAGGATAAAAACCTATGATCTCCGAAAAGTTATCTACTTTTTAAATTCACTTGGTATTGTTTGTTTGAATCTTCCCATCGATTTTGTTAGGACTGCAACTGGTCAGTCTCTAATTGGCATATGTGCATACTGTGCGTATTGCCTCGATATACCTTAATTCACAAGCATGGTTAGCAGAGATGGATAATGACTAGCAGTGGAATCCAGGACGCGCGTTTCGTCCTATTTGGGACTCGTCAGCTGGATGTACCTGCATCTCAGAGTTGATGTTCACTCTGGGACTCGAACCCAGTACCCTCGATTCAAACAAACAATACTAAGTTGAATTCAAACTTCACCCCATCACACAAGCAAGTGTCTATCAGGACTCAGTGGCCGAGTGGATAACGCGATGGCGTTTGAAGTAAGGGTACTGGGTTCGAGTCCCAGAGTGAACATTAACTCTGAGATGCAGGTACACCCAGCTGACGAGTCCCAAATAGGACGAAACGCGCGTCCTGGATTCCACTGCTAGCCATTATCCATCTCTTATCCACTTTTTTATTGTAAAGTTAGTATTTAGAACTAGAGCTTTACCTAGTTAATGATTTAAAACAAACTACTGACTCTAAGTAAATCTAATTACTCAGATGACTAAAGTGAAACATCGTACGCTTTAAAAAAGTAAAATTAGACACGTAAAGATATCTCTATTAACCAGTGTGTTCGTCTGAGAGCCTTGTAAGACCTGAATATGATTTTAATCAATAAGCTGACATCACTGATAAACCACAGAGAGGTGAATAAATGCTTCGAATCAGCTTGAGATTTTTCAGCGGTGTGCACTAACAACTCACATTATTATTATTATTTAAACACATAAATACTGGTACAAAGAAGCACCATATATATATGCGCCGCACAAATCTAATTTGATTTGTGTTAGGGCTGTGATACTGCCTAGGTGCCCAAACCGAAGCAGGTGGTTTTCTTAGTGGGGCCACACTCCGAGCCTTTGACGTAAAGGTCTAATCCACAAGGCAGTGGAGCGTCGTGAGGAGATGCAGTCCCATAGTAGCCGGTGACCAACGATTGAATAATACGCCTTTTGTTTCCTCAGGATACTGGAGCCCATGTGCATCATTGGTTTGGAATCAGGGTTTTCCAACACCCCTAGGTGGACACTCCACATCCACCAACCCGGTTAAAGCGCCGGACATTCGCTTCTCGTCCTCTCACTTTCGTAAATAACACCTCCGCCAGGAGAAAGCAGTGAGTAGGACTTCCCTGACAGAGGCTATATACACGTGGCCATGTGAGAGCATTTTGAGAGGGAGGGCGGACCAGAGCATTTGGGTAGAACAACTCATTTAGAAAACATGGAACGTAGGATTCCACTTCAGAGGTCTTAAAGTTATGGTAGTCATCACGAAACTGAAGGTCCCATGTTCACTTATGTATATGGTCGTTGTTGTACGCTATTGATGAACTAGAAAATAGGTTAAAACAGTTATTCGACGTATTATGGTTGTCGACATAAACTATATTGACTCTATTTCTAGATATTTTAAAAACTGGACATCTTTAAAGTCAAATAAAAAACATTAGCGCTTTGAGTAAATCGTTGCAAAAGACGCTAAGTGAATAAAAATGAAACTGAAAGATCAATTATAAAGTAGAATGTAAACAGAAACAAAGCGACAAACATGCACAAAATGTTTAGTTATTATTTTGTTACATGCAAACAACACACTCGTTTGTTTATATTTGGTTACATATATATCAATACATAATGCTTGGAAAGCTTAGCTTACCATGTAGATTACACATAGGATCGGCACTGGAGATGCCACTTGATCCACTGCTAGCCAATGGACTTAATACATTCATTAATTTATTGTCTTTTGATTGTTTATAGGCAGCAGAAGTGGATACACGTGGTACCGCTGTTGAGTTATAGTACATACACACATATATATGTTGCGATAAAGTGAATGTTTAAAAAAATGAAATTTTCACAGAATATTATGGGTTATATAAAGTGTATAGATGAACCAGACAGATAACTATAGAACGACGTACGAAACAGTATGGCGTATACAATAATGATGAAATTTGTTCGTTAACTGAAGCCTAGCAGAGTACTGAATCCGGGTAGTTTATACTCAGTATTGTTTTCATTACGATTGAATTTGTACTACCATTGCGTGTACATACACAATTTAACTTTGACCGGACTAAATAATATTAATGGATAATGAAATCCTTTATTTATTTATTCTTACTGATTGAAGTCGTAATAGGTCATCCTAATTAACTTAATTAGATAATAACTTATGCATTTAAATTCTTAGACTGAAAGGAACTTTTAGCCAAAAATTTACATCAGGATATGATTTCCGATATTTGATTTACAATTTAGTTATTGAAATTTGATACGCTTACATCAGCTAAGAATTTACATATAGTCATTTTGATAAACTATTATTGTTTTAAATGGACGCCTGAAAGATTTAAAATATAAATGATTTAATAGACCGTCACCCTTAAACGATTAACATTCCAATATTAATTATGCGGTGAAATTCATACTAGGGAGTACAACCCCGAAAGAATATTTTAAAAAGCACTAGCTAATCTAAAGATTCTTCGTAATAATAATAATAATAATAATAATAATAATAATAATAATAATAATAATAATAATGTGTTTTAAAATATGATTATTAAATTTCGTATTTTTCTTTCCATCAACTGTGAAGGCGACTAAATTCCTTTGTTTCTTTAAGGTTACAGCAGATGCTATCACATTATGTGGTGATGAACATACCGAATAAGGTAAAGATATATCACAGTTAAGAATAGTGAGCTGATTGACTAAATAAATATGTAGTTAAGCAACTGTTCCAAATTTCTGACTTGGTGTTTTTGAATAAACATCAATTGGCGGGATTGTGGTAGTACAGTACAGGGTTTAGCCAATAAGAAAATTTCGCACACCAAATAAGCAACGACGATTTATTGGGAAACATTCTATAGATTATGATAGTGTGGTAAGCTTTAAATTACATTCGTTTTATGAGAACCTAATATAAAAATTAGCCTCTATTAGCTTGGTGGTTGAAGTGGCTTAGCGCCTGCAGTTCGCTTGCTGATGGTTCGCTATTTAGATTAATAAAGCATACGCTTAAAAAAATTAGGAAGCATCTACTGATTGATTCCCCATAAAAAGCTAAATCTACTTACAAGATATAATTATTTTCCCGAAAAACTAAAGCTGCACCTCCTCACACAAAAATTAGCCTAATTAACCATGTGAGAGTGCTGAGACGCGCTTATATAATTACAATTTATATTTAACAAATGTTCCCATGTTTTTATGAGTCATTGGGGGATATCATTAAACTTCGAATTTATAATTCTATGTGTGACTTGCTTTGCCAACATCTTATTATAACTCTCCCACTTATAAACCATACAGTAGTTAAGATGTTTAATCACTTGATTTATTACGTGCTGAATGTGAAGAACTGTTACTATAGGTGTACTTCTCGTTTGCCTTAATTGTTCCGTTTAACATTTGATAAATCCTTATTGATTTAAATTTTGAACTTTATCTTAGATATTCAGTAAATCAAGAAACATCTAAGTATTTTTTTAATAACTATTCACATGATGTAAATATAATATGAAAATTAGCTGAAATTGCATTCGTATAAATAATTATTTAACATTTTCAAAGTACCTGAAGAAGAAACATGAACATCATTTGATGAAGTTGTTCCACGTCCGAAATTCTTATCAATTCCACTTGGTGTATGTAATAAAGTATCATAAGCAGAGCCTAATTGGTCGACTTCATCTAATTGTTGTTTGATTGTCTCTCGGAGTGAATATAATTCATTTAATTTGTCCATTTGTTGTTTTACTGAATTCAAATTTAAAGTGATAGGTGATGATAAAGTAGTTAAACGTCCATCGGCAATTAACAACATTTCTTGTACTTGATTACGTGCTTGTGCATAGGAATTATTAAACGATTCTCTTGCTTTTAAATCATCTTCACGTGTATTTATTAAATGAAGTAATTGTGACCAACGATTATTCAAATTATCCATATTTTCTTTCATCAATTTAGCATTATCATCGTTTTCAGGGATTTTGTTTAATAAAGCACTAATGGATTGTTGTATATTATCTAAATGTAGCTGACGATTTGGTATATGCATCTAATCGTGTTCAATATAAAGGAAAATTCGGAAAAAAGAAACAATATGTATTAGTTAGTATTCGTCGATTCAATTTTATTATGCGATTCTAGAAATAACAGTTATTAATCGTAATGTCTTAAAAACTGATCTTCAGTCTGGAGATAATTCCAGAGACGTGAAATTCATGAATGAAATAGTCTTATTACATAAACATGCTGACAAAAGGCACTTTTCTGAATATTTTAAGTGACAATCTATTTTAACTTTTGAAGCTCAAGCAACGGTTTAGACCAATATATAGTCCGACAATTAACAATGAAGCAGGTAATTAGGCTGACAACTTAACTTAGGATCCTATCAGGTTTGATGAATTTGTTAACTCATAAAGTCTGGTTACAGGCACAAAATGTTTGGTTAGATCTCAGTACACAGTAATAATAATTTCGTTCAAAGTAATATGTACGAATAGTTATTATAATATAAAGTAGTGTGAATTACCTTAATCTATGTGTCACTATATAATATGTATTTTAAATTGAGGACTATGAGTATTGTGAAATATAAGCAAAAGACTAAACAAAGTAAATCTATTGACATAAAACTTGAGAATAGAGCAGAATAGAATGAAATTAGCAACCTACTTTAATTGACTGAAGTTTGTGCTTTAAGTAGTTTTCTGGTAGATGAGCAGTTGTTTGACAATTTAGCTGATTTCCAACTTCATCAAGCCATATATTAAATTCATTAATTTCATTATCACACTGTGCCAACTGATTTCTCAATGTATCCAATTGTGAAATTCGTGAAATAACATCATCCTTTAAAGTTTCAAGTCTGCCGAAAAAAAGTAATAGTAGAAATAATATGTAGGAAAGGCAACAATTGTAAAAACTATTATTCTATTGAATGGATACAAATAATTTTGATATTTGAAAATTAACCAAGAAACACTAACAATAGAAGATTGGTAGTCATTGAGTAACTATGGTCAGTCAGTCAGTCAGCTTCAGCGTAGAATCAGTCACATTTATGCATCGGTCCAAGTTGCCATACCTCGTTAGCGCAACAAGATGAACAACGTATTCATAGAAATAGTTAATTTAGTGGTGGTAGTATATAAAAGATAGGTTGTATATCAGGATATAGTATAGGAAGGAAGAACGTTTTGAAGCAATTTTATTTTTAAGGTTTAAGGGAAGCTAGAGAGTGTATACACCTGCACCATTGTGATCGATTCTGAGTCATGTCACCCAGGGTCTCCAACCATTGGTTACGATAGTCACGCGGACCTCAACCAAGTAGTCTGCATCTACCAGCATGGCTCAGACTAGAAGTTAGGGACTTCAAGCACTGATGCCACGTTTTGGTTTGGCCGCCCCTAACTTTCTTCCAACCATCCCCAATACTAGTCAGCATTGCGCGTCGTGGTAATCGGTGTTCAGGCATACGTAACACGTGGCCCAACCATCTCAGTCGATCAAGATTCATGACCTCATCAACTGATTTACCATATATTGAAGTTCAATAGTATGTTCATTTATCCACTAACAAATTTACTAAGACCGGAATTAATTAAAAATGGCGAGTTGAGAGTACAAATAAAAGGGTATTGGTAGAAGTTAAATAAGTGTTATATAACTGAGATTTATTTAATCAAAGTCCTCTTATTTATTTATTTGAACACATAAATATTGGTACGAACGGGCACAGAATACATATGCATCATACAAGTCACTTGATTTGTGTACGGGCTGTGATACTGCACGGGTGCCAAGACCAAATTAGAAGGTTTTCTTAGTGGGCCACACCCCGAGCCTTCGATCTAAAGGTCAAATCCACAAGTCACTGGAGCAACGTAAAGAGATGCAGTCCCATGGTAGCTGGTGGCCAATGATTGGTTCATACTCCATTCAGGATCCTGGAGCCTATGTGCACCATTGGTTTGGAATCACGGTTTTCCAACTCCCCTAGGTGGACTCACCGTGTTCATTAACCCAGTTAAAGCATCGGACATTCGCTTTTCGTCCTTTCAATTTCGTAAACAACAGTAATGCCACGAGAAGGCAGTGAATAGGACTTCCCAAGCAGCGGGTGTAGGCACGTGGCCACGTGAGAGCATTTCGAGAAGGAGAGCTGACTCTCCCCACTCTTCGCAGTACCAGGGCATTCGGGGGCTAAATATGGAAGCACTGAACGACCGTTTCGTCCTAGTATGGGACCCTTCAGCAGTATGTACTAATAAAAAGTCTATTTCATATTACAATCTTCTTAAATTTCAGTTATTTAGAGAAACGGTTTGCTGTAAGAAATAATTAGTTTAGTAATTAAACATCCATCAATAAAGACAATCAATCCTACAGAAGTTCGATGAGATAAATTGTATTCTGAGTTTTAAGTAACTAAATTAAAAATTATTGTTTATCGTAATGTGGGGTTAGGGTTCTCGGGGTAAAATTATACCTTCAAATCATAAAATTAGGATGAAATGACTCAGATTTTTAATTTTAGTTAACCTAATAATCAGACGCTGAAGTACCTTTTGATAGCATCACAAAACAAAACAAAATATGGCGAGACTATAATTTATGGACGAGCCAATCAGAAGCGTTTGAGGGATTTCTAGGTAACGGCGCCAATTTCAGTGCCTGATGCTCAAGTTCGATCGGTTTACAGAGAAATTTAGAGAAGACTTAACAATTAAGCGGCTACAACAAGTGAAACTACTAAGAAGTTCCTGTATTTGTAATGACTTGTAGACCTTGTGCGGACCACTGTGATGTTGTCCTTCGATGTAATATATGTTGAAGGAAGACGTTTACTAGAATAGGAACCTTTATCGCTCGATCCAGATTGAGACTAAGGCATATTATAATAATTCCCGCAAGCTGTATAATAAAAGCACCAGTAACATTGGCTGCAATAATCGCAGATGTTACTAAAACTTCGGCTGTTCAGTGGTATGAGTGTTGTGGGGACGTATTCATTATAAAAATGGAGTTATATGGATGAGTTCCTCTACCTTATGCATTATGATTTTGGAAACTTTGAATCTTTTTCTAACCTTGACAAGTTTTTTGACCACATAAAAGTGTATCCACTTTAATTATTTAGTTTTGTATAATATATTTTTACTCTATGCTGACTGTTTACTGATTGGCTAACATTTCTCAAGGTCACTTAAGATTCGCTCATAGGTCGTCCATAAATTATAGTCTCGTCCAAAATATTCGATTACATAGAATACTGAAAGATAAAATCAAATACAATCATCATACCGATTATCTAAAATATCAGTTTGTTTCAATTCCGATTGTGTTAATCGTACTTTATTAGGATCAGTTGTTTTAACTTGTTCCATTGTTTGATTTAAACGACTTCTTATTGTTTGTGAAGCTGATTGTATAGAATTTATTTGTGCTAAAGTTTCATGTAATTTAATCATATCTGAAGGTAATTCAATAGATTGTATCTTAGCAACATTACCAGCTTTGTTATCGGTGTAATCATTTGATAATTGATCACCGATACGATTTGTTTGATTTAAAAATTCATTTAAACATTCTTGTGTAGTTTGATTTGTCAATAGGCATTTCATAAATTGTTTTTGTAATTTTTCACATTGATCGATTAATTGTTTTTGGTAACTTAATGCATTTTCTAATGGTTGATTAATTGCATTAATTGAATTATTTGTAATGAGATTAGCTTCTGTGAATTTCTCTTCAATTAGATGTAATTCAACAGATTTCAGATTCTAAGAAAAGAAATGACAAAAAAGGGAAATAAAATAGGATAACTTAAGCGAGAATGTTTTAGTTGTCACGTTTCCTTTAGAAGAGGATGGACGGGGGGAATAAGTAAAAATGGAACGACGAGATTGGTGATAATTATTCGATTTCGGTTTAAGTAATAATCGGAGTTTGATTACTGATTGCACTGTGCTTAGTTTATTTTACACACAAGTTTGACCTTCAAAACATCGTGACAGACCAAAAAACTAAATACCTGAGAGAATAGGTTTGTTAAGAATGTGCACCTTAAAGTTAATTTCTTGCATAGAATAGTTTGTTGAAGAGAACTGTTAAGATACCGTTTTAAGACAGTTTGAAATTCTTCATAATTGAGTAACTAGGACGCCACTATTGAGAATAAGAAGTTTAGGTTTTACGGGATACTTATAAATCATCGAGTAAGAATCTTACTGGTTCGAATTTCCAGTCAATTCATAATACAGATAAACTATAGATTCGGTTAGCCAACCAAAGTTTTCTACTCGTTCTTGTTTTTTTTTTACTTATGTAGCTAGTTTTTGGTATGAATAGAGAAAATAAATATATCAGTATCGAACTCAGATGACTACAAAGGATAACACTTTCTGGCGATGGACTTTTAATTCTACGCGGGAAATATATTTTCAAACACGTCAATTTACCCAGGGCAGCTTAAATCTGTATTGGAGCAGTGGCTAAAGGAATTTCAAGAGTTTTAATTAAGACTGATTTAAATGATGGTGCAAAATTGTTCAATCCAAGCCAATTCAGCATCGGTTTCCGAGTTAACAGGGTCAGCTGATCCTTGACTAATTCTATAAGTGAATCTCATTTTGATCCCCATGTAAGCGTTTTGTTTAAGACATGAAGATATTGTTCACACAAAGTAAAAAAGAGTTAAATGAAAAGAAATATTTATTCGCTCAAATTGTATTCTTAGTATCTAAATGGGAATAATTATTTTACACATAATTCCCGTTTAAAAATTAAAATTAAAAACACGAAATTCAGCGAAGGGATCTCTTTTCAACGAATTTATTATCAAGCTGTATCGTATAGATTTAGAGAATATAATAAGATTATTAAAATGATTAAACGACGAAATGGACATTTAATGCGGCTAAACTGAGAATAACCTTCACTAGTAGGAATTATTTTCTGTATCCATAAAAGATAAGCTTCCTCATCTGGTCACCTCTATGTGAATTTACCAGTTCACTTGCTCTTGTGGAGCAAGGTACATAGGCCGCAGCCAGCGCTCGCTTTCAACTTGGATACGAGAAAATATCCCAGTTCTGTTCTACAAGGGTGAAAGGAAAACAGTTAGGAGTTCTATACTTGAACACTTAATCGACTGTAATCATTCTACGGATCCACAGTCTGATTTTAAGGTTGTTTATATGATTCGTTCAAATCTACCTAGATTTCTTCGTATCCAACTCTTAAAAAAGCCGAAGCTCTTACCATTCATGAGCTTAAACCAGAACTGTGCGTACAAAAGAAGTACGTCTTATCGTTATCGTTACCATGACCTTAACTATTATTATTATTGTTAAGTCGGCTCTATCAGAGCCTCCAGAGGCTCATAAAGAGCTCCAACCAATCAGCGATTAATTTGAAGCTGTGTGAAGTTATGCTACTAAAATAACGGGATCCTGATTGGATGTTTAACACACTGCTACTATGGAAACTCAAGGTCTCTTAATTACCATAAAACCCCTGTATTTTCTGTACATAAATGAATCCTGTAGTAAAGTGCTTCTCTCATACTCGTGTCTTTTCTCTGGTCTTCAAGTCGGTGTATAGTTCTAGCTTGGGGGTGCGGAACTAGCCTAGGGAAGCAAACATAGCGTTCAAAATCGGTCAGATGTAACAATTGGCTACAGCCTAGATCAAATGCATAACAATTATTATTATTATTACTTATGACATACATTCTCATTATTCAATTCATGAATACTCATCATATCACCTTATTTATTTTTACACCTCTATGACCTTCAATAATTGTAACAAAAACATATCCCTTTTAATCATCTTATTATATTCACTAAATTTATTGTTATTACTCGTATTACGTAATCTAGTATTATAATCTTTCCATTACGTCATCTTTGTTATTCGTGTTCACATTTCTTCAAGGAATCGGTACTTTAACAAAACGTTTTCATATATTTTATATAGTTGGGATCATGAATCAATTGAAGCTAGACCAACATGGAAAACCTGAAAGCACTGAACGGCCATTTCGTCCTATTGTGGGATTCCTCAACAGTGTGCATCCACGATCTCGCCCGAACCTATCAGTCTCGCGCTCGAGCATTTAACCATTAGACCACTGAGCCGACCGGCATCCAACAGTGTTAATGTCTAACTTCCACCAATCCACGAAATTGAGCAACCATTCACCAATTGTCTTCAGCGATTTGATATCTCCCAACAGATCTGATTTAACTCCCCTGACTACTGCTTCTTACTAGAACTCCAAGTAATACCTCATGGAGCCAGTCCCTATTGAGCATATAATCATTATCAGAAGTGGGTTTTTGTGGTAATTTTCATATATATATATACGATTATACAGCCTGATAAATTTGTTGAAAAGAGATCCCTTCGTGTTTTGAATAATTAATTTACTGAAAGTTAAATAAATCTACTACTATGTAAAATGACTGACTTACTTTCAAATCATTTTCAATTTTGTTTAGATCACCATGTAATGTATATAATTTATTTAATTGTTCTTGACTAATCTTTTTAATTTTATTCCCTGTTAATGTATTTAATTCATCAGGTCGAAGAAGACTTTTTTGAATTGTACCTAATTGTAATTTAATTTTATCCAACTGATCAATGAATTCAGATAAATGTTTTTCATATTGTTTATACATAATATTAATTTCTGTAAGATATGTTGATTGACTTTCTAAACGACCAATTAAATGTAAAAGACGATTATTTGCTTCTTTTACTGTATACTCTATTCTATCTTCTAATTCTTTATTGTTTCTTTGAATTTTATCTTCATATTGTTTACAATCTAAACCGGTGAAATGATTCAATTTGATATTATATGTTTTCTATTGTTAAAAGAAAAAAATAATAGAGAAAACAATAATGAAAAGTTAAAGAGTTAATAAAAGATAAAGTTTATACTGTAGTATTGATGAATAAATTACATTGTATCTATTTCTTACTTATAGATTACATAATTAATAACTATAAAACACAGACGTTATATTAAAATAATATTGTAGTGTGGTCTACTTATATCCATATAAGTAGTTTATGGTGATGGTCAGACATAGAATGTATTTTGGCAGAAGACCGATTAGGAAAGAGCTGAAATGAAGTGCAATTGGTAGGAAAATGCATGAATAATGAAACCAGAGAAAACAGACTGATATTTGCATAAGGAACAGTTAAGATTAAGACAATTGATTGTTATTTTGCAAGTTAACTGTTGGCTGTATGGCTATCAGAATTTAATAAGAGAGTCTGTAATTTGTGCTTAAATACATTCGATTGTCCCCCAACGAGTGTTTTGTTCACTACAATATGACTTGAAATCGGATTGTATGGTGTAGATCAATTCATACTTATTGTAAATGTTGTGTTTTATTATCATTTCATACAACTTATTTGTTTATTTTTAAATCCTACTTTTTATTGTAAATTCACATAGCGGACTGATTTTAGACAGCCAGTGAAGAATCAGCAAGTATTGGGCATTTGTTTCATTCGAGTATGCGATTTCTTAGCAATACTCATCCATGATCTTATTAGATATCAAATTTGAGATCTTCGGGCTTCGTGGCTAGCGCTTAATCTTCAGACCGCTGAGTTGATATCCACTGAATTAAATTATTAACTTCAATCAAAACTTATTAGGTTGTTTTTACTAAAATTGGCATTATTAATTTCATATTCTAGCTTTTTGTCTTGTTAATCTCCTCATGTTGTTATTATACAAACTATATCAACCTGGACTGATGCATATTTTATTCGAATCCTACATTTTTTGTTACTAATTTATTATTTCCCTATCTAAATTACGTAATTTGCTTGTGATTAGAGAAATGATAAATGAAAAGATATGTTTGGCACATATCAGGTGCTTTGACCATTCAACCGCCTACCAATTCACAACTAAAGTGGAATTTTTAAGTAATTTTATTTATTAATTAACATTGTACTTACCTTACTATCAGCATAACGATTAACAGATGCGATGAATTTTTGTTTTACACTTGGCAATGTACTAATAACATTATTATGGGATGAATTTGATTCACTTAAAGCAGCTTTTATTCGTAAAATACATGAATCTATTTCATCTGGATGATTAATTGTATTTAGTTTACTCGACAATTGTTTTTCTCCAGTTGTAGTTGTAGCAGTAGTAGTAGTATTTACAGATGGTGTGTTAACAATTAAAACAGAATCTAGATTTTCTAATAGACTACGAAGACTTTGTAATTTATAAGTAAGATGTTCTAATGAATCTAAACTATGAAGTAAAATTCGAACTCGACCCTCAGCTTCAGTTTGTAGCTTGAAACGAGAAGAAACAAGAAAAAAATACACATTGAACTTGGACAATATTTTATTACACTGATTACTCATAGAATAGTAACTAATGTCATAGTTATTTAGACCATTGCATTGATTGAATTTTATAGATCAAATTGAAGTATGGACCTTACTCCATATGACTCAATATCATATGCTCTATAGGTTCTGGCTAAAGCTGTTGGATCTAATCAGTAGAAAAGCTTGATCTAACTAATACTTGTTATCAAATCGCATCTACAATCTTGAAGGACCTGGTAATACCCGTGAGATTCCAACCCGCGTTTATGAATAATAGACGTCTAGAGTGTTACTGATCATGGACAAACATAGTTTTCCAAAAACTGATCTTGACTCAGAATATTATTCAAAATCTACTGAAATAATAAATTCAACTTACATCTTCTAAATGTGTTCGCAATTCTTGACATTTTACCTCTAATTGTTTCCAAATAGATTCTGGTTGCTTAGTATGACGTAAAGTTTCGATAGCTTGTTCAGCTTGAAATAATACAGATCTACTTGAAGATTGACGAGTACGAATTTTATCTAAAATTTCCTGTAATAATAAACATATGTATATATAGTTTATAATTAGTAAATAATGGTTATTGTTATCACAAAGACCACACATGTAAAACTGTCAGTTACTTGATACAAAGTGATGTGTATCAAATACAAATACATTAAGAATTACGTGTTGTTATTTATTCAAACGTTGCATACTCTGATGATTATTCTTTGTGGTAAATCACTTAGTCAATAAATAAGCGAGACTGTTGATATAAAGTAATAAACAAATAAGGACATAAACCCAACTAAAAATACGAAAACGGTTCTGTAACTCAGGAGTCAGCTTATCTCATGAGTGAGATTATATTTGATTGCGAGCAGTTACTTCACATTTTCAAGCATATATTGTCATTTGATTTTAAAAATTTACAAAGCCAGTAGAATTAAAATGTACAATAATTAAATGTAAGAGCAGATTAGAAATCAGTACAAATAATTACTTTTGATATTTCCCTTTGTTTGCCATTTTTAGTGGTTCTTCAACTGGTATCAGTTAATAAGAAGAAACATTTCTAAGTTAGCTGTGAATCAAAAAACTACATAACATAGTAGTTTTTTATTGTTGAGGACGTGTGAGCAACTGTACGCATAGCAGAAAATGATAGTTGTATAAGAATTTGTACAAACTCACTTGGTGATCATCCAGGAGGTGGCGGTTTAAATTATCGTCTAAAGTCAAATTCCCCATTTGTAAAAGTTTTAGTTCTAAACCAGTTATCCATGAAACTTCTTTATCCAAGGCAGTGGAAAGTTGAGATATAAGCTTTCTTGTAGTCTCTGATTCGGCAGACTATAGATGTTTAGTTTTCATTGAGAATTATTTATATGTTGTAATTGAACCAATTTCATTATGTTCCGTATAACAAAACAATGAAGAAAATATTTTTGTTTAAATGATGACAAATTCAAAGCTGATAAATGTTTAGTATGATAATATAATTTCAATGTTACTTATAATGATACTCGTAGTATATAGAAAAGAGGGTTTATATATAGCGACGGAAAATAACAATTATTTATGATGAAATATAGACTTTAGGTAGCTAAATAAAGACGAACAACTATCAAATAAGACAGAAAGTTGTATCCTGGATACTTTCACGAATGGTTATGTAATCGATATGTGCATTTAAAAAATATCACCCAATTGAAATTAACAACTACTAAATCATGACATAAAATTTCTTAAATCATTACCAACAGACTGTTTCTGAAGAGAAAGAGACGTAATACAATGAGTCCACAGTATTCTGAAAATACTATCGTTCTTGTTATGTTTATATTTGTGAAGTAGACAGGGTTTTGTCAGAAATTATTTAAGCACTCAAACAAATTATAATATTTGTAATGCAAGTTCAGAAATATAATAGTAAAGTGAAAAGCCAATATTATTCACTTTTAGACTTTCTAACCAGTTGCTAACTAGGTAGAACTGCTGGTACATTTTATTCATATTAGGATAATTATTTGTTTGAAGGTCATCACCGATTTCTTAGTGCTACTTGATTTTTAAAGACCATTATGTTTCTAAAACTGTTTTCTGTAAAAGAGGTAATGAAGTCTACATAAAACATGTAATTCATCAGAAAGGGTAATAAGTAATATATGTGCCTCCGGAAATCCATTAGTACCGATAACTATCAAGTAGAGTTCAAAAATAAATTGAAATTTTAAATCATCAACAAAAGCGGTAGGTAAAACTAGTTGGACAATAACAATCGCATCACTGAGATTCAAACGTGGATTACAGTGAATTTATGCTGAGATTTTAATATTTTTTTACTGAAAATCCCCGATTGTGTTTAGTTATGTATTATTCGAGTCATGTTGTTGCCTTCACAAAGGATACAAGGAATCGTAAATAGTTTTTCAGTTAAGTAAAGCGGTATAACCACCAGCAGCAGGCAAACGATGTACACAAGTTATGAATAACATGAATTCATCAGTCCTCATGAATGGAAATACCATGATGCACTAACTAAATGAATTAGTATTAGGCAGTACTCAAAAAATAATTAGGGCCAGAATTGCATAAAAGGGTTAAATATTAAAATTGTAAAATCGAAATCCAGAAAGATAAATTTCAAAGAAGAGGAATATCAATCATGGAAACAAGTATCTTCGTGTCACCAAGATCTGAGTGATTGATTTTAAGACTATATAAGTCAATTCAAATATAAATGATTCATCAGTATTGTTAGCTTCCATGTTGAAAGATTAACTCAATCATATACGCCAGTCAGAAAATAATTAAAGGTGTACCATGTAATGGATATGAAAAAAAAACACAACTTTTTGTCACAATGAAGGTTAGATATTAATGAATAGAAAGTGCTTTGATTTATTGGGACGTTGTAAGTCATTCATACCAAGGGACTCAAGTACTGATTAAAAATTTTTTACACTATCTATAAACTAATAAATAAAACTTCAAAAATAAGATAAGAAAACTGAATAATTCGGAGTCAATGAAAATCTTTCTTCACTGTAAACAAGGGTTAAAAAACTTTACCAGTGGTTTCTAAATCACTCATATTAAAAAAAAGATATTTGGATAAAAAAAAACAGTTTTCGTCACAAACCACAGTTAACCAGAGAAGCACTTCAAAAACTATGGATTAGAAAACAGCTTTACTTCATATTTTAGGACATCAACAATGATATTTATTGTAGACTTGAATTCAAGAGCTTGATTACGAGAATCAAAATGATTACAAAATAATACATATAAAGTAAACAAACAAACAGTATGAAATAATCATAAATATATTCAGCTTCGATGCAAAACACAAATCAAGCACAAAACAGTCATATACATGCTTAACTAACGCGAAGTAAAAGGGTTAAAACGAAGCCTAATAAAACTGAAAATTTATAAGCCTAAAACGATTCAACAACTTCGCGCGTGAAACCCTGTTAAACAAATATGAAAAATAATAATGAGAGCGAGAAAGACAAGTCGCAAATTTTAAAACAAATTAACAAACAAACATATAATAGAAAACAACAGAGAAGAAAATGACAGAATATCCGCAGGAGTAAAACAAAAGAAAAGTGACATTCAAGAAGGAAACCATAGATGAAACGATGAAATACAACAAGCAATTAACAAACAATATACTAAACAAATTGAACGAGCGAGAAAAATTACAAACCCTATAAAAAAACTTACAAATTCATCACACATACGCCAACAACGATTAGTAACAAATCCAGGACGTGAAAAACCAGAGTGCGACAAGGGCGGAAAAATAGAAAACTTTAGATCACCAATTTTCGACTCCAGTTGATCGCTCTTCATGTCGAAAACACTTGCACCAATCCCATCCACATACAATGAATCACCCGTACCAACGACAGATCCAACCTCAGACAACCTTCCCACACCAACATCTACAACTGGCTCCGAAGCACTCGTCGACTGACACACCACATCTCCTGGTCTCGAGGACGTCGACTTCATCGCCAGAGCAATCAAACCTGCAGGCGCCAACAAACCTGTCAACATCATTCTACCAAGACTCTCGAGACGTCCGGAACTAGGATCGCGAACCAACGACTGCTCACCCGATATAAGACCACTGTTCACAGCCTGTGACAACGTCAACACCTCACCACTAGACGGATCACGAACTAGTCCAGACTTTGTGTCAACAAGACCCATGTCAATCGCCTCACACAACTGAAGTCCACGCTTCTCAGGCAGAACAGACACTTCTCCATACCTAACACCATCTGACGACAACATGTCCGAATCCAAACCACTGTCCACACCTCGTCTCTCTGTCATGTCGGACAACAATTCGGATACACTCGTCGAACCCACACCCATCACAACACCATCTCTGCTCGACGACAAAACACCCTCACTCGTTTGCATCACTCGCCTCTTCACATCAACATCGTCCATATCCACACCAGATACACCGTAATCAGAAATTGTCTCTGATGACACAACACCCTCAGATTCATCACCACCTCTATGCACTGGGGTCACGTCACGATCGAAACTCATCTCACCACGTTCAATCACTCTCACATCTGTCATCATCAAGTCGGATGGACGAGTCGCCGACTCCAGTTGATCGCTCTTCATGTCGACCACACTTGCACCAATCCCATCCACACACAATGAATCACTCGTACCAACGACAGATCCAACCTCAGACAACCTTCCCACACCAACATCTACAACTGGCTCCGAAGCACTCGTCGACTGACACACCACATCTCCTGGTCTCGAGGACGTCGACTTCATCGCCAGAGCAATCAAACCTGCAGGCGCCAACAAACCTGTCAACATCATTCTACCAAGACTCTCGAGACGTCCGGAACTAGGATCGCGAACCAACGACTGCTCACCCGATATAAGACCACTGTTCACAGCCTGTGACAACGTCAACACCTCACCACTAGACGGATCACGAACTAGTCCAGACTTTGTGTCAACAAGACCCATGTCAATCGCCTCACACAACTGAAGTCCACGCTTCTCAGGCAGAACAGACACTTCTCCATACCTAACACCATCTGACGACAACATGTCCGAATCCAAACCACTGTCCACACCTCGTCTCTCTGTCATGTCGGACAACAATTCGGATACACTCGTCGAACCCACACCCATCACAACACCATCTCTGCTCGACGACAAAACACCCTCACTCGTTTGCATCACTCGCCTCTTCACATCAACATCGTCCATATCCACACCAGATACACCGTAATCAGAAATTGTCTCTGATGACACAACACCCTCAGATTCATCACCACCTCTATGCACTGGGGTCACGTCACGATCGAAACTCATCTCACCACGTTCAATCACTCTCACATCTGTCATCATCAAGTCGGATGGACGAGTCGCCGACTCCAGTTGATCGCTCTTCATGTCGACCACACTTGCACCAATCCCATCCACATACAATGAATCACTCGTACCAACGACAGATCCAACCTCAGACAACCTTCCCACACCAACATCTACAACTGGCTCCGAAGCACTCGTCGACTGACACACCACATCTCCTGGTCTCGAGGACGTCGACTTCATCGCCAGAGCAATCAAACCTGCAGGCGCCAACAAACCTGTCAACATCATTCTACCAAGACTCTCGAGACGTCCGGAACTAGGATCGCGAACCAACGACTGCTCACCCGATATAAGACCACTGTTCACAGCCTGTGACAACGTCAACACCTCACCACTAGACGGATCACGAACTAGTCCAGACTTTGTGTCAACAAGACCCATGTCAATCGCCTCACACAACTGAAGTCCACGCTTCTCAGGCAGAACAGACACTTCTCCATACCTAACACCATCTGACGACAACATGTCCGAATCCAAACCACTGTCCACACCTCGTCTCTCTGTCATGTCGGACAACAATTCGGATACACTCGTCGAACCCACACCCATCACAACACCATCTCTGCTCGACGACAAAACACCCTCACTCGTTTGCATCACTCGCCTCTTCACATCAACATCGTCCATATCCACACCAGATACACCGTAATCAGAAATTGTCTCTGATGACACAACACCCTCAGATTCATCACCACCTCTATGCACTGGGGTCACGTCACGATCGAAACTCATCTCACCACGTTCAATCACTCTCACATCTGTCATCATCAAGTCGGATGGACGAGTCGCCGACTCCAGTTGATCGCTCTTCATGTCGACCACACTTGCACCAATCCCATCCACACACAATGAATCACCCGTACCAACGACAGATCCAACCTCAGACAACCTTCCCACACCAACATCTACAACTGGCTCCGAAGCACTCGTCGACTGACACACCACATCTCCTGGTCTCGAGGACGTCGACTTCATCGCCAGAGCAATCAAACCTGCAGGCGCCAACAAACCTGTCAACATCATTCTACCAAGACTCTCGAGACGTCCGGAACTAGGATCGCGAACCAACGACTGCTCACCCGATATAAGACCACTGTTCACAGCCTGTGACAACGTCAACACCTCACCACTAGACGGATCACGAACTAGTCCAGACTTTGTGTCAACAAGACCCATGTCAATCGCCTCACACAACTGAAGTCCACGCTTCTCAGGCAGAACAGACACTTCTCCATACCTAACACCATCTGACGACAACATGTCCGAATCCAAACCACTGTCCACACCTCGTCTCTCTGTCATGTCGGACAACAATTCGGATACACTCGTCGAACCCACACCCATCACAACACCATCTCTGCTCGACGACAAAACACCCTCACTCGTTTGCATCACTCGCCTCTTCACATCAACATCGTCCATATCCACACCAGATACACCGTAATCAGAAATTGTCTCTGATGACACAACACCCTCAGATTCATCACCACCTCTATGCACTGGGGTCACGTCACGATCGAAACTCATCTCACCACGTTCAATCACTCTCACATCTGTCATCATCAAGTCGGATGGACGAGTCGCCGACTCCAGTTGATCGCTCTTCATGTCGACCACACTTGCACCAATCCCATCCACATACAATGAATCACCCGTACCAACGACAGATCCAACCTCAGACAACCTTCCCACACCAACATCTACAACTGGCTCCGAAGCACTCGTCGACTGACACACCACATCTCCTGGTCTCGAGGACGTCGACTTCATCGCCAGAGCAATCAAACCTGCAGGCGCCAACAAACCTGTCAACATCATTCTACCAAGACTCTCGAGACGTCCGGAACTAGGATCGCGAACCAACGACTGCTCACCCGATATAAGACCACTGTTCACAGCCTGTGACAACGTCAACACCTCACCACTAGACGGATCACGAACTAGTCCAGACTTTGTGTCAACAAGACCCATGTCAATCGCCTCACACAACTGAAGTCCACGCTTCTCAGGCAGAACAGACACTTCTCCATACCTAACACCATCTGACGACAACATGTCCGAATCCAAACCACTGTCCACACCTCGTCTCTCTGTCATGTCGGACAACAATTCGGATACACTCGTCGAACCCACACCCATCACAACACCATCTCTGCTCGACGACAAAACACCCTCACTCGTTTGCATCACTCGCCTCTTCACATCAACATCGTCCATATCCACACCAGATACACCGTAATCAGAAATTGTCTCTGATGACACAACACCCTCAGATTCATCACCACCTCTATGCACTGGGGTCACGTCACGATCGAAACTCATCTCACCACGTTCAATCACTCTCACATCTGTCATCATCAAGTCGGATGGACGAGTCGCCGACTCCAGTTGATCGCTCTTCATGTCGACCACACTTGCACCAATCCCATCCACACACAATGAATCACCCGTACCAACGACAGATCCAACCTCAGACAACCTTCCCACACCAACATCTACAACTGGCTCCGAAGCACTCGTCGACTGACACACCACATCTCCTGGTCTCGAGGACGTCGACTTCATCGCCAGAGCAATCAAACCTGCAGGCGCCAACAAACCTGTCAACATCATTCTACCAAGACTCTCGAGACGTCCGGAACTAGGATCGCGAACCAACGACTGCTCACCCGATATAAGACCACTGTTCACAGCCTGTGACAACGTCAACACCTCACCACTAGACGGATCACGAACTAGTCCAGACTTTGTGTCAACAAGACCCATGTCAATCGCCTCACACAACTGAAGTCCACGCTTCTCAGGCAGAACAGACACTTCTCCATACCTAACACCATCTGACGACAACATGTCCGAATCCAAACCACTGTCCACACCTCGTCTCTCTGTCATGTCGGACAACAATTCGGATACACTCGTCGAACCCACACCCATCACAACACCATCTCTGCTCGACGACAAAACACCCTCACTCGTTTGCATCACTCGCCTCTTCACATCAACATCGTCCATATCCACACCAGATACACCGTAATCAGAAATTGTCTCTGATGACACAACACCCTCAGATTCATCACCACCTCTATGCACTGGGGTCACGTCACGATCGAAACTCATCTCACCACGTTCAATCACTCTCACATCTGTCATCATCAAGTCGGATGGACGAGTCGCCGACTCCAGTTGATCGCTCTTCATGTCGACCACACTTGCACCAATCCCATCCACATACAATGAATCACTCGTACCAACGACAGATCCAACCCCAGACAACCTTCCCACACCAACATCTACAACTGGCTCCGAAGCACTCGTCGACTGACACACCACATCTCCTGGTCTCGAGGACGTCGACTTCATCGCCAGAGCAATCAAACCTGCAGGCGCCAACAAACCTGTCAACATCATTCTACCAAGACTCTCGAGACGTCCGGAACTAGGATCGCGAACCAACGACTGCTCACCCGATATAAGACCACTGTTCACAGCCTGTGACAACGTCAACACCTCACCACTAGACGGATCACGAACTAGTCCAGACTTTGTGTCAACAAGACCCATGTCAATCGCCTCACACAACTGAAGTCCACGCTTCTCAGGCAGAACAGACACTTCTCCATACCTAACACCATCTGACGACAACATGTCCGAATCCAAACCACTGTCCACACCTCGTCTCTCTGTCATGTCGGACAACAATTCGGATACACTCGTCGAACCCACACCCATCACAACACCATCTCTGCTCGACGACAAAACACCCTCACTCGTTTGCATCACTCGCCTCTTCACATCAACATCGTCCATATCCACACCAGATACACCGTAATCAGAAATTGTCTCTGATGACACAACACCCTCAGATTCATCACCACCTCTATGCACTGGGGTCACGTCACGATCGAAACTCATCTCACCACGTTCAATCACTCTCACATCTGTCATCATCAAGTCGGATGGACGAGTCGCCGACTCCAGTTGATCGCTCTTCATGTCGACCACACTTGCACCAATCCCATTCACATACAATGAATCACTCGTACCAACGACAGATCCAACCTCAGACAACCTTCCCACACCAACATCTACAACTGGCTCCGAAGCACTCGTCGACTGACACACCACATCTCCTGGTCTCGAGGACGTCGACTTCATCGCCAGAGCAATCAAACCTGCAGGCGCCAACAAACCTGTCAACATCATTCTACCAAGACTCTCGAGACGTCCGGAACTAGGATCGCGAACCAACGACTGCTCACCCGATATAAGACCACTGTTCACAGCCTGTGACAACGTCAACACCTCACCACTAGACGGATCACGAACTAGTCCAGACTTTGTGTCAACAAGACCCATGTCAATCGCCTCACACAACTGAAGTCCACGCTTCTCAGGCAGAACAGACACTTCTCCATACCTAACACCATCTGACGACAACATGTCCGAATCCAAACCACTGTCCACACCTCGTCTCTCTGTCATGTCGGACAACAATTCGGATACACTCGTCGAACCCACACCCATCACAACACCATCTCTGCTCGACGACAAAACACCCTCACTCGTTTGCATCACTCGCCTCTTCACATCAACATCGTCCATATCCACACCAGATACACCGTAATCAGAAATTGTCTCTGATGACACAACACCCTCAGATTCATCACCACCTCTATGCACTGGGGTCACGTCACGATCGAAACTCATCTCACCACGTTCAATCACTCTCACATCTGTCATCATCAAGTCGGATGGACGAGTCGCCGACTCCAGTTGATCGCTCTTCATGTCGACCACACTTGCACCAATCCCATCCACATACAATGAATCACTCGTACCAACGACAGATCCAACCTCAGACAACCTTCCCACACCAACATCTACAACTGGCTCCGAAGCACTCGTCGACTGACACACCACATCTCCTGGTCTCGAGGACGTCGACTTCATCGCCAGAGCAATCAAACCTGCAGGCGCCAACAAACCTGTCAACATCATTCTACCAAGACTCTCGAGACGTCCGGAACTAGGATCGCGAACCAACGACTGCTCACCCGATATAAGACCACTGTTCACAGCCTGTGACAACGTCAACACCTCACCACTAGACGGATCACGAACTAGTCCAGACTTTGTGTCAACAAGACCCATGTCAATCGCCTCACACAACTGAAGTCCACGCTTCTCAGGCAGAACAGACACTTCTCCATACCTAACACCATCTGACGACAACATGTCCGAATCCAAACCACTGTCCACACCTCGTCTCTCTGTCATGTCGGACAACAATTCGGATACACTCGTCGAACCCACACCCATCACAACACCATCTCTGCTCGACGACAAAACACCCTCACTCGTTTGCATCACTCGCCTCTTCACATCAACATCGTCCATATCCACACCAGATACACCGTAATCAGAAATTGTCTCTGATGACACAACACCCTCAGATTCATCACCACCTCTATGCACTGGGGTCACGTCACGATCGAAACTCATCTCACCACGTTCAATCACTCTCACATCTGTCATCATCAAGTCGGATGGACGAGTCGCCGACTCCAGTTGATCGCTCTTCATGTCGACCACACTTGCACCAATCCCATCCACATACAATGAATCACTCGTACCAACGACAGATCCAACCTCAGACAACCTTCCCACACCAACATCTACAACTGGCTCCGAAGCACTCGTCGACTGACACACCACATCTCCTGGTCTCGAGGACGTCGACTTCATCGCCAGAGCAATCAAACCTGCAGGCGCCAACAAACCTGTCAACATCATTCTACCAAGACTCTCGAGACGTCCGGAACTAGGATCGCGAACCAACGACTGCTCACCCGATATAAGACCACTGTTCACAGCCTGTGACAACGTCAACACCTCACCACTAGACGGATCACGAACTAGTCCAGACTTTGTGTCAACAAGACCCATGTCAATCGCCTCACACAACTGAAGTCCACGCTTCTCAGGCAGAACAGACACTTCTCCATACCTAACACCATCTGACGACAACATGTCCGAATCCAAACCACTGTCCACACCTCGTCTCTCTGTCATGTCGGACAACAATTCGGATACACTCGTCGAACCCACACCCATCACAACACCATCTCTGCTCGACGACAAAACACCCTCACTCGTTTGCATCACTCGCCTCTTCACATCAACATCGTCCACATCCACACCAGATACACCGTAATCAGAAATTGTCTCTGATGACACAACACCCTCAGATTCATCACCACCTCTATGCACTGGGGTCACGTCACGATCGAAACTCATCTCACCACGTTCAATCACTCTCACATCTGTCATCATCAAGTCGGATGGACGAGTCGCCGACTCCAGTTGATCGCTCTTCATGTCGACCACACTTGCACCAATCCCATCCACATACAATGAATCACCCGTACCAACGACAGATCCAACCTCAGACAACCTTCCCACACCAACATCTACAACTGGCTCCGAAGCACTCGTCGACTGACACACCACATCTCCTGGTCTCGAGGACGTCGACTTCATCGCCAGAGCAATCAAACCTGCAGGCGCCAACAAACCTGTCAACATCATTCTACCAAGACTCTCGAGACGTCCGGAACTAGGATCGCGAACCAACGACTGCTCACCCGATATAAGACCACTGTTCACAGCCTGTGACAACGTCAACACCTCACCACTAGACGGATCACGAACTAGTCCAGACTTTGTGTCAACAAGACCCATGTCAATCGCCTCACACAACTGAAGTCCACGCTTCTCAGGCAGAACAGACACTTCTCCATACCTAACACCATCTGACGACAACATGTCCGAATCCAAACCACTGTCCACACCTCGTCTCTCTGTCATGTCGGACAACAATTCGGATACACTCGTCGAACCCACACCCATCACAACACCATCTCTGCTCGACGACAAAACACCCTCACTCGTTTGCATCACTCGCCTCTTCACATCAACATCGTCCATATCCACACCAGATACACCGTAATCAGAAATTGTCTCTGATGACACAACACCCTCAGATTCATCACCACCTCTATGCACTGGGGTCACGTCACGATCGAAACTCATCTCACCACGTTCAATCACTCTCACATCTGTCATCATCAAGTCGGATGGACGAGTCGCCGACTCCAGTTGATCGCTCTTCATGTCGACCACACTTGCACCAATCCCATCCACATACAATGAATCACTCGTACCAACGACAGATCCAACCTCAGACAACCTTCCCACACCAACATCTACAACTGGCTCCGAAGCACTCGTCGACTGACACACCACATCTCCTGGTCTCGAGGACGTCGACTTCATCGCCAGAGCAATCAAACCTGCAGGCGCCAACAAACCTGTCAACATCATTCTACCAAGACTCTCGAGACGTCCGGAACTAGGATCGCGAACCAACGACTGCTCACCCGATATAAGACCACTGTTCACAGCCTGTGACAACGTCAACACCTCACCACTAGACGGATCACGAACTAGTCCAGACTTTGTGTCAACAAGACCCATGTCAATCGCCTCACACAACTGAAGTCCACGCTTCTCAGGCAGAACAGACACTTCTCCATACCTAACACCATCTGACGACAACATGTCCGAATCCAAACCACTGTCCACACCTCGTCTCTCTGTCATGTCGGACAACAATTCGGATACACTCGTCGAACCCACACCCATCACAACACCATCTCTGCTCGACGACAAAACACCCTCACTCGTTTGCATCACTCGCCTCTTCACATCAACATCGTCCATATCCACACCAGATACACCGTAATCAGAAATTGTCTCTGATGACACAACACCCTCAGATTCATCACCACCTCTATGCACTGGGGTCACGTCACGATCGAAACTCATCTCACCACGTTCAATCACTCTCACATCTGTCATCATCAAGTCGGATGGACGAGTCGCCGACTCCAGTTGATCGCTCTTCATGTCGACCACACTTGCACCAATCCCATCCACATACAATGAATCACCCGTACCAACGACAGATCCAACCTCAGACAACCTTCCCACACCAACATCTACAACTGGCTCCGAAGCACTCGTCGACTGACACACCACATCTCCTGGTCTCGAGGACGTCGACTTCATCGCCAGAGCAATCAAACCTGCAGGCGCCAACAAACCTGTCAACATCATTCTACCAAGACTCTCGAGACGTCCGGAACTAGGATCGCGAACCAACGACTGCTCACCCGATATAAGACCACTGTTCACAGCCTGTGACAACGTCAACACCTCACCACTAGACGGATCACGAACTAGTCCAGACTTTGTGTCAACAAGACCCATGTCAATCGCCTCACACAACTGAAGTCCACGCTTCTCAGGCAGAACAGACACTTCTCCATACCTAACACCATCTGACGACAACATGTCCGAATCCAAACCACTGTCCACACCTCGTCTCTCTGTCATGTCGGACAACAATTCGGATACACTCGTCGAACCCACACCCATCACAACACCATCTCTGCTCGACGACAAAACACCCTCACTCGTTTGCATCACTCGCCTCTTCACATCAACATCGTCCATATCCACACCAGATACACCGTAATCAGAAATTGTCTCTGATGACACAACACCCTCAGATTCATCACCACCTCTATGCACTGGGGTCACGTCACGATCGAAACTCATCTCACCACGTTCAATCACTCTCACATCTGTCATCATCAAGTCGGATGGACGAGTCGCCGACTCCAGTTGATCGCTCTTCATGTCGAAAACACTTGCACCAATCCCATCCACATACAATGAATCACCCGTACCAACGACAGATCCAACCTCAGACAACCTTCCCACACCAACATCTACAACTGGCTCCGAAGCACTCGTCGACTGACACACCACATCTCCTGGTCTCGAGGACGTCGACTTCATCGCCAGAGCAATCAAACCTGCAGGCGCCAACAAACCTGTCAACATCATTCTACCAAGACTCTCGAGACGTCCGGAACTAGGATCGCGAACCAACGACTGCTCACCCGATATAAGACCACTGTTCACAGCCTGTGACAACGTCAACACCTCACCACTAGACGGATCACGAACTAGTCCAGACTTTGTGTCAACAAGACCCATGTCAATCGCCTCACACAACTGAAGTCCACGCTTCTCAGGCAGAACAGACACTTCTCCATACCTAACACCATCTGACGACAACATGTCCGAATCCAAACCACTGTCCACACCTCGTCTCTCTGTCATGTCGGACAACAATTCGGATACACTCGTCGAACCCACACCCATCACAACACCATCTCTGCTCGACGACAAAACACCCTCACTCGTTTGCATCACTCGCCTCTTCACATCAACATCGTCCATATCCACACCAGATACACCGTAATCAGAAATTGTCTCTGATGACACAACACCCTCAGATTCATCACCACCTCTATGCACTGGGGTCACGTCACGATCGAAACTCATCTCACCACGTTCAATCACTCTCACATCTGTCATCATCAAGTCGGATGGACGAGTCGCCGACTCCAGTTGATCGCTCTTCATGTCGACCACACTTGCACCAATCCCATCCACACACAATGAATCACCCGTACCAACGACAGATCCAACCTCAGACAACCTTCCCACACCAACATCTACAACTGGCTCCGAAGCACTCGTCGACTGACACACCACATCTCCTGGTCTCGAGGACGTCGACTTCATCGCCAGAGCAATCAAACCTGCAGGCGCCAACAAACCTGTCAACATCATTCTACCAAGACTCTCGAGACGTCCGGAACTAGGATCGCGAACCAACGACTGCTCACCCGATATAAGACCACTGTTCACAGCCTGTGACAACGTCAACACCTCACCACTAGACGGATCACGAACTAGTCCAGACTTTGTGTCAACAAGACCCATGTCAATCGCCTCACACAACTGAAGTCCACGCTTCTCAGGCAGAACAGACACTTCTCCATACCTAACACCATCTGACGACAACATGTCCGAATCCAAACCACTGTCCACACCTCGTCTCTCTGTCATGTCGGACAACAATTCGGATACACTCGTCGAACCCACACCCATCACAACACCATCTCTGCTCGACGACAAAACACCCTCACTCGTTTGCATCACTCGCCTCTTCACATCAACATCGTCCATATCCACACCAGATACACCGTAATCAGAAATTGTCTCTGATGACACAACACCCTCAGATTCATCACCACCTCTATGCACTGGGGTCACGTCACGATCGAAACTCATCTCACCACGTTCAATCACTCTCACATCTGTCATCATCAAGTCGGATGGACGAGTCGCCGACTCCAGTTGATCGCTCTTCATGTCGACCACACTTGCACCAATCCCATCCACATACAATGAATCACCCGTACCAACGACAGATCCAACCTCAGACAACCTTCCCACACCAACATCTACAACTGGCTCCGAAGCACTCGTCGACTGACACACCACATCTCCTGGTCTCGAGGACGTCGACTTCATCGCCAGAGCAATCAAACCTGCAGGCGCCAACAAACCTGTCAACATCATTCTACCAAGACTCTCGAGACGTCCGGAACTAGGATCGCGAACCAACGACTGCTCACCCGATATAAGACCACTGTTCACAGCCTGTGACAACGTCAACACCTCACCACTAGACGGATCACGAACTAGTCCAGACTTTGTGTCAACAAGACCCATGTCAATCGCCTCACACAACTGAAGTCCACGCTTCTCAGGCAGAACAGACACTTCTCCATACCTAACACCATCTGACGACAACATGTCCGAATCCAAACCACTGTCCACACCTCGTCTCTCTGTCATGTCGGACAACAATTCGGATACACTCGTCGAACCCACACCCATCACAACACCATCTCTGCTCGACGACAAAACACCCTCACTCGTTTGCATCACTCGCCTCTTCACATCAACATCGTCCATATCCACACCAGATACACCGTAATCAGAAATTGTCTCTGATGACACAACACCCTCAGATTCATCACCACCTCTATGCACTGGGGTCACGTCACGAACGAAACTCATCTCACCACGTTCAATCACTCTCACATCTGTCATCATCAAGTCGGATGGACGAGTCGCCGACTCCAGTTGATCGCTCTTCATGTCGACCACACTTGCACCAATCCCATCCACACACAATGAATCACCCGTACCAACGACAGATCCAACCTCAGACAACCTTCCCACACCAACATCTACAACTGGCTCCGAAGCACTCGTCGACTGACACACCACATCTCCTGGTCTCGAGGACGTCGACTTCATCGCCAGAGCAATCAAACCTGCAGGCGCCAACAAACCTGTCAACATCATTCTACCAAGACTCTCGAGACGTCCGGAACTAGGATCGCGAACCAACGACTGCTCACCCGATATAAGACCACTGTTCACAGCCTGTGACAACGTCAACACCTCACCACTAGACGGATCACGAACTAGTCCAGACTTTGTGTCAACAAGACCCATGTCAATCGCCTCACACAACTGAAGTCCACGCTTCTCAGGCAGAACAGACACTTCTCCATACCTAACACCATCTGACGACAACATGTCCGAATCCAAACCACTGTCCACACCTCGTCTCTCTGTCATGTCGGACAACAATTCGGATACACTCGTCGAACCCACACCCATCACAACACCATCTCTGCTCGACGACAAAACACCCTCACTCGTTTGCATCACTCGCCTCTTCACATCAACATCGTCCACATCCACACCAGATACACCGTAATCAGAAATTGTCTCTGATGACACAACACCCTCAGATTCATCACCACCTCTATGCACTGGGGTCACGTCACGATCGAAACTCATCTCACCACGTTCAATCACTCTCACATCTGTCATCATCAAGTCGGATGGACGAGTCGCCGACTCCAGTTGATCGCTCTTCATGTCGACCACACTTGCACCAATCCCATCCACACACAATGAATCACCCGTACCAACGACAGATCCAACCTCAGACAACCTTCCCACACCAACATCTACAACTGGCTCCGAAGCACTCGTCGACTGACACACCACATCTCCTGGTCTCGAGGACGTCGACTTCATCGCCAGAGCAATCAAACCTGCAGGCGCCAACAAACCTGTCAACATCATTCTACCAAGACTCTCGAGACGTCCGGAACTAGGATCGCGAACCAACGACTGCTCACCCGATATAAGACCACTGTTCACAGCCTGTGACAACGTCAACACCTCACCACTAGACGGATCACGAACTAGTCCAGACTTTGTGTCAACAAGACCCATGTCAATCGCCTCACACAACTGAAGTCCACGCTTCTCAGGCAGAACAGACACTTCTCCATACCTAACACCATCTGACGACAACATGTCCGAATCCAAACCACTGTCCACACCTCGTCTCTCTGTCATGTCGGACAACAATTCGGATACACTCGTCGAACCCACACCCATCACAACACCATCTCTGCTCGACGACAAAACACCCTCACTCGTTTGCATCACTCGCCTCTTCACATCAACATCGTCCATATCCACACCAGATACATCGTAATGGGGCATTTTATCAGGCTCTTCGTTAAACGACCTTTCTTTTGCGGTGTTTCGTTTTAGTGTTCTGGGAAGAGCGTTTTCTTCGGAATTGTTATCTATTCTGTGGTTGTTATATTTTTCTTTTTGTTTTTTTAGCATTATTTCATTATTGGTCATGTTTGTTAGAATTTGTTCTGTCATCGTATTGCTTTGAGTACATGTATTTGCATTCGACGTCTCATTTTTTCTTTGATTGTTGTTGATGCATACTTTGTTGTCTGATAATTTGATGTATTCGTTGGTTTCATACCCGTCAATTTTACCGTTATCATCATTTTTGTATATTATTTTTTTATGTAGTACATTTTTTCGAATGATTTCTTTATCACTTTCGCTTAATCGTTTTTCGATTCTGACGTTCATTCTACCGTGAACAGTTGTTGAACGTATTCCTGTTTTAATTAGTAGTTTCAATAGATTTGATTGCCAGTGGTCATGTAAAGGCTCTGTCGTTTCTGTTTGAATTATTAATGTTGCTGTATCAAGTATAGTTGCTAAACTATAATAAACAGGTATTTCCTGGTCACCGTACATTGGATGTTCTTTCAAACCATCTTCATTATAATGTTGAACACATACGAGTAATTGACTAGGATCAATTAATGCTTTTTCTACAGCTTCTAATAAATTAACTGTACTAGTTCTTCCACATTGTGTTCTTAGTAAACCATGTTCATTATCTATCCATCCTCTTTGAATAGCAGTTTCAAGAAGAATATACCGTGGTGTATATTTTGATGACGAAGCTGAAGTAATTTTTGGTGTAGGGTCAGGATATTGATATCTTACTAATGATAAACTAATGGCTGGTATTGTAGTACTGTCAACTAGACGAACAAGTTGGAAAGGCTGAACTAGTGACTTCAGCGGTGATTCTGAAGAATTCCTAAAATGTGTATTCTTAACATATAGAATATTTTATAACATTTTAGTGAGGATTCCAGCGATTTTATAAATGCATGCATACAAGCAGCAAAACAGGCAAGCAAATAAGCATACAAATGAATTGGTAGGCAAGCGGTGAAAGAGACGACACAGACGCGGGATACAAATTAAAAATAGTCAACAAGCAAAGAAGCATAAAAATAAAAAGAATGAAAAAAAAGGAACATAGTGATGCAACAGGGGATTGATTATGTAATGCATAATGACATAATATCAAATAGTTAACAATCATTACCAGGGATAAATGATTTCGATATTTTCAATGAATAATATAATGATGATGATGGTGATAATGAGATGATCATGATAGAAATTCATTATCATTGTAATTTTCATTACAATAATAATATTGGTAATGATAATAATAGTAATTTAAATAAACAGTCACAACAACAACAAAGACACAACGCAAAAAAAGGAGGAAAAAAGAGGAAAAGAAAGAAGTTTAGTATTAGTTAACAGTTTGAAATAGACATATGAGTTAATACATAAAAAAATACCTAATAATTAACGAAGCAATTAGTAAATATCATATAAGAAATATAATGTGAATTAGGCAAGCGCTTAATTTTACATCCAAATAATTCAATTTTTTTTACAACTTGTTACTCAAATTATCGATGGACCAATTGTGTAGCAGAAAAGATGGTACAATCGTAACTTTGATTTACTGTTAATATAAATTATCAAGTAGCATTAAAAACTTGGCTATCTCTCTTCCTAAATATTGTGTACGCAATGATATTCAGTCGACTAGTCGCTTTTTATAAGCTTAATAATGTGTTTTATACAAGTCCATCTTTCACTAAGTTCTGGAACGTAAGTATACTTATTACTGACAGACACTATTTTCGACTTACAATCGCTGTCTCATTCTGTTAGTCAGGAGGTTGAATTTTAGAATATCTGTCTAACAAAGCTTTTTATTCAAACTCAAACTGTCGTGTAAGAGGGTATAATGAGTCGTCATCTGATTTGACAATGTAATGACATATAGGCTGGAAGTTATTATTATCATCAGTTCTATTTAGTTTCTTTATAGACAAATTGGTGATAGTCTCTCTGTTTAACTCCAACATTTCAGAGATGAATATATTTACGGAAATAATCTTATGGAAGTAGAATATGTAAATGACACAGAGCATTCATTGGAAGCATATGAAAAGATTCAGGAATCTATGATGATTTTACAGAACTGGTCAATATACATATCTTTGTAACTGTCTAAGTGCCCGGTTCGGAAAAGAAAAATATATACATATAGAATAAAATATTCAACAACAAAAATAACACCTCTGATGTCACATAAGGATGAAAATAATCATCATTTCTAAAGCTGACAAGGTAAGTAACAATAATAGCTTTTATGACCATCGATAAAGTCAGAGACGAGTACACTGTTAAAAGAATTCAAATTTTCTGGTTTAGATATTAGTCTATATCTTGTACGACTTCGTATTTGTTTATGAACCATCAAAGATTCATAAGCTCAAGAACAGGACTAATGTAATTTAGGACTATTCTCACATATCAATTATTATGTGCATAATTATACACTGTTATAGTGAAAACTTTTTAGCAGTTCAAATAGAGATTTAAGTGAATAAGTTTTTTTTTTAAAAATGAAAATGAAATGAGTATCAGCTATTGAACGAAACAGTGGTAAGATATGATATTGTATTAATGACATAGTAATATTCCTATTATGGTAACTGTTTCAAAGTTTAATAGACATTTGAAGTCGATATGCAGTAGATTTCGACTAAATTGTACACTGTTCAAAACCATACTTCACTCAAATCTTCACATTTAAAATTAATAAAATATAAATATTTGAGTAGAGAATTGAAAGAATTACTAATGTCCTTGTATGAAAAGATTTTCAACAATGAAATATCCATTAGTCTTAACTAATTTGTCTAAGATCATATTTTCAACTTCTGATTCTGTTTCTTATTATGAGATCCTGTTCCGTTTTTTTAATAATTCTCCCAATGTAGCTTACTAAATTACATTCAGTTATTATGAATTATCATTCGAAAATGAACATATCTCAGTTGGTAATAATAATATTAATTCCTGACATATGCTTGTTGTTAAACTAGCCTTTGTCCTGAACTTATCTGTCAAAATAAAAACCGAAAGATTTATTACCAATGAAAGTATAAAAAAAACATATCCAGTTTTGCAGCTTAATTACTTCTTAAAATGAAATTCAAAATATTTAAATGAGTGCCAAAGTGTTAGTATTATTCAAAGGTCGTCTGTAAGTTGTAACCTCAACTACTACACTCATATACACATGATCATAATTATTGTGTATGGAAGAGAATTTTGTTATTCATTCAGAGCTTGGGATAAAAAAAATTCAAAAATAAATCTTATTGAACAACTACACATAAGATATGGTAAGCAAAGATGGATAGTGGCTAGCAGTGGAATCTAGGACGCGCGTTTCGTCCCATTTGGGACTTGTCAGCTGGGTGTACCTGCATCTCAGAATTGATGTTCACTCTGGGACTCGAATTAAGGCTATATCGAGGCAATATGCACAGTATGTACATATGCCAATTAGAGACTGACCAGTTGCAGTCCTAAAAACATCAATGGGAAGATCCAAACAAACAATACTAAGTAAATTTAAACATAAAATATGATAAATATTTCAGGAAATGACTAAATACATTTAGTATATTCAAGAGAATAATTGAAACTCAATTATTGAAATAGATTTATAAAGTGAATAGTTGATAGTTTGATCGTTATAATATATCAAACCATTAACGTTGAAGCTAGTGCTAGTTTAAATCATATTGTAACTAGGCATTTTTTTGGTTCAGTAATTGGTTTAGTCTTTGCAACATAAAAATTAGTCACTCAAGTGAATCTACCTCAGACAGTTAAATTAATGACTTATCATTTGACATCAGACCATGATGAAAACTAACTAGGATTTAGTGTTCATTTTCTTAATGGCTAACAAAGTATTTAGTAACGAAATGTCAGACAGAAATAGATTCACTGAATCAACCTATACTACTGATAGTAAAATATCGTTCTCATAAAAACAAAAAGTGTATTCTCTGGTAAAATTGTGTTAAATGTTTACACAAACCATATTAATAGTTTAAAATGAGAATCATAGCATTACATGGCGAAATTCATTTGTACTACTTAAATACACATATTTCACTGATGGCTGACAAACTGTTACTGCTCCTGTGTTGAGTGGTTTTTGAATATTTATATAAATTAAACTAAAACAAGAAATAAATTGTCAGTAAACGTACCTTAGTAGTTTTATTCACCTCTTGTTTACGATCATTATAGTGTTGTTTACTAAGATTTGAATATGTCGAAAAGGCAGGTTTCTCACTTTTCATGTCATCATTACTTTCAGCTGGTGTAATCTGATGGTCTGGTTTCAGTTGATATCTAGTAGAAGAATCTGTCGGTATCCGATGATTAGGTCGATAACTTGGTGGTGTTTTACATTGCATTTGACGTTGTACATTTAATGTCGTCTGTGGTAAAATATGCATAGGTTTTTGATCAGTTGAACAGATTTCTTTCTTTATATTATTTTGAAGTTGTTTATCACGAAGTATAGTATGCACAGATGTTGTAAAAATGGTAGTTTCTTCAACTGTACGTACATGAACGTGATCAAATGAACTGCCAATTAAGTCAAATGGTGGTGGATTACCAACAGGCAATGCTTGTATCCAACCTTGATACAAAGCTTCTTCGATTGAATATAAATTTCCACTTACTGAATGAGTATATGAACAATGGATAGGATCAATAATACCAGTCCTTATTGCATCAGATACTGGAAGTAAACTATTCAAATGGGGATCAAATACTCTTTCTAAACGATATATATCATGACGATAATGAAATACTTCTAGCCAATATAAAGAATTAGATGTTTGTTGATCATTTTCCAAATGTTGTTCAGCTTGAGTAAAAACAATACCGAAAACAAAACCTTTTGTTAATGCTTCCGGAATAGGATAGAATTTCCCACTGATTGGATCACAAATAGTTTTTCTATGCACGTCAACACGACCTTCACGAACCATTGTATCGGTGATAGAGGCTTCAACACGTACATCATCATGTAGATAATAGAAAGCATAAAGTACGCAATTACGTTCTTTCAGTTTAGGTATATCACAGCTTTTTATTCTAGGTTTTTTACGAATAGTATATTCATCTCCATCATTTACTGTAGGTTTTGAACGTAAATTACAATGAGATGATTTTCCACGTAGTCGTCCAACACCATGACAATCTAAAAATTTAATCAATCTTGATTCACTACGACCACTGTTAGCAATAAAACCATTTCCATTACTAAATAAATGGCCAGATGGTATAACAGGAGGCAATGTGTTATTGCGTAAATCAGCAGCATAATTGGAATCTTTTGCACTTCGTCTTTTGATAGCTAATAAGGAATCCATACTATGAGTATATCCTTTATTTGGTAAACCATTGAGATTTTCAAGAAATGTCTACAAAATTCATTTTTTTTTAAAAATAAAACAATTATTTGAAGTTGAGTTATTTATACGAATTACTGCTTAGAATTAGTATAACAATAAGTGTAATCAAACGGGTTAACGCAAATTTTCGTGATCATTGATGTTAATTTTTGTCGAATTCCATCTTAAAGTTCGTGCAGTAAGTAAAGAAAAGTATGAACATAAGTTAATAGGGAAACTTAAGTTTGTATAACTTATGGCAATCATTTATGAGTTTGATTTAAATACGTATTTGAGCAGGTCATACACACCATTATAAATGATGATGAACGAACCATAAAACATAAATCCTCCTTTTAATTCAGAGTATTATACTTAGGTTAACCCCATTGAGCAACAGTGGTAAGAAGAGCCAAATACAAATTGAGTTGGAAAAATTTATTTCAGACATTCATTTATTCAGACAGACTGTAAAAAGTGAGGCATGGAGAAAGGCATCCAAGTCTAATCAGCTATATCAAACGTAACTCAACATTGATAGTTAGATAGGTAAAAACAAGCTAAAGAGAGTGATAAGCAAACAAACACACACTCAAATAAAAGCTATCAAGTTTTTAAGTGAATATTCGAAAAAGGCAGATGTATGTGTACAGAGAAGCTGCTACAATATGAACTAAATATCCGAGAGTCAAATGCCTACATTGCTGAAGCTATGGGTTGAAAGCGACTGAAAGGTAGTTGAAGGCCGGATGATCTGTTCTAAAGGTAGCCCACTCATTGTTCTAAAATTTTAGTCCGGATTGTCGACCGAGCTTTATATTTTAAAGTTTTATGTACTGATTTATAAATGTGCTCTACTTGATGAGTTCAAACAGTTTTCAACTGTTACTTATCACTACTGCTTTCTCCACCTCTTTGATTTTAAATGCTTAATATTGTTTCATAATCATTGTGTAAAGTATTTGCCACTTTATAAATGACTTATATTGTGCTACTGATGCACTAAATTTGTTGTCTTTCTGTGTCCATAAAATGTGGGAATAGGTGTGATGGTAGCAAAAACATGATCAGATCAGAATTATATATGACAAGAGAAGGGGGAAGCGTCTACTATTATTTTCCAACAATGACTGAGATCATAACTGTTCTAACTGCTGAGTTAGTCACCGTGATTTCCAGGTCGTACATCATAGGAGCATAGTTGCAGCAGACAGTGATAATTATCCTTTCGCTTTGTAAAAAACTCAAAATATCTTTCCACTCGGTCCAGTCAATATATCTGAGTTCAGTAGAGCTACTATGTTTGGGAGTTTGATATTTTTTAGAACATCAGAAGGCTTAGCTAAAACTCATATTTATCATTAACAAACAGCAATCAGTGAGAATAGAGGTAGAAATTACATAGTTTATTGCTTTGTTCAGTCAACCAATAAAAATCAAGCTTCTGTTGATGAAGTTAAAAGTATATGTGTTAATTTCTGGATGAAATATTGTTAGTTACGCGAAACAAAGTACGAAATAAATTGTAGATATGTTTAATCGTTTCGAATAGATAGAGGAATTCTGTTTACGATTCACTTATTCAGTTGTAAAAAAAAGAAATAGAAGTGAATACTTGTGTAAAGAACTTCTATTCCCTAAGAATCAAATAGGTTAAAAGTTTCAGTAACGTCTAATTTATAATGAAAATCGATTTTAAAAAGCCAATATGTTTATTACAACTTACTTCAGTAGCCGGAGGTTTCAATAATCCTTGTTTAATAGCGTCATGAACATTTATAGAATTGGACTGATTAGAATTATTAGTGTTATCTGATTGATGAAAAGTATTTGAGGCTGGATCAATTAATCCTTTCTCAAGAGCTTCTTCAAAAGTCGGTATTTCTGTTGGTAATTTTTTCTCAGCTATCAAACCTCGATTTATAGCATCAGTCAATGGAATCCATTTATTTTTATACAACAAAACACCTTTATGATCATTGATCAAACCAACTGAAATAGCTTTATCCAATGAATACAATTTTTCTGTGTCAAATTCTTTCACTATTGAATGTTCAACATTAACTAAACCCATTTTAATAGCTGCATTTAAAGACATTGGATCTGTGTATCCTGGGTCATGGATAACACATTTCGACCCAGACTGTTTAACTAGTTGACCATTATTAAATAATTGAACTAAAGTATACGATGACTTATCTGTGGAATCCACCATAAGACTATCATGAGAGGCTTCATAATCATTACCATAAATTGATATATAGCCTAATTGTTGCGCTGATTCAATTGGGATACTTGGTTGTACACCATGATATGTGAAAGATTCCAAATTGATAAGACCTTTCTTAACAGCTTCGTTTGGATCAATCCGAGTACCAGTACGAGGATCGAGAACATTTAAAATCTTGTATAGACGAGTCTCCTTGACAGAAACCATTTCGATTGATTCATTTACTTCTGAATGAAGTGAGTGGGGTACAGATGCCGTGTTATCCTAAGAGAGGAAAAAAATTATGGGGAAAAGGGATAAAAGCATGTGAATGACAGTGACAGAACCCAAAAATCCAACTAGATAATCTGAGATGCCTTTGACTTAAGAATTAATTTCTTTTTATCCATGAATGATATTTAAAGTTATTGCAAGACTACGGTAATATAAAGATACTCGAATAATTCCTACGAATGCAAAGAAGAATGAAGATAGCTGTCTGCATAAATTTTTAGAAATATCTTTGAATATCACTAAGAATTCCAATTACTTATATTTTATGGACTATATAGAGTGAGAAGTTATAGAAAACACCATAGGTTTGTCAATGAAATGATATTATAGTTATTGGTATAAGGAATAGAGCACAGAATAGACTAGAGCATTGCTTATACCAAAAGGCTACAATAGCACCAGGATTTATTTTCATGAAATGTCAGTTGATGGTAAGGCACGTAATTTTAATGCTGTTTCATTGGATTACATATATAACAACAACTGGAAATTTCAGATCAATAAATTGATGATAACTACAAAATAGTCGTGAATCATAGGCTTTCTGTTGAACAAGATTCTGCACTCTACGATAATAACGTCGTAATAATATGGAATAAATTAAAAAAGCATTTACTAGCACATAACGGTTCCATGAGATTGATGTTACGGAGACAAATGGGTAAGTAAGTGTACAATACGTGGTTGAAGTGCAAACTAGAATAAACTGGTTCGAATTTAAATAAAGCTACAAATAATATAAATTTTCACTGTACAGAGTGATTTTCTGTTTATTTCTTGCAAACGAACCTTTTCACTGATTGTTCAAGGTCTAATAGTCACTGTCATGACCTTACAGAAGTTTACAAAAAAGAAAAAGAATAAACAATAGATGTACAAGTCAGTGGTCATGACAAACTTGTTATGGTAACATTAGAGTTAGTTACTAGAGTTCAAGTCAAAACTCGCAGGCTAGATCTCCACTTCATTGTTGAATGCTAAAACGAATGAGATGCGAACCCGTCAACGTACACCGGTGTTCCAAATATTTTAGGAAATGCCAACCTTTAACTATGCAATTATTTTCATAACACAATAATTTAACAATGCTAGCCTGTTAGAATTAGCCACTTTACTGCACCTCAGATTATTTGAGGGGGTCAAACTGTGTATGGTTTATACACAGTTTGTAAGTCATACTGTAATGCACATATTTTCCTAGTGGTATTGTAAAAATAAGAAACATTTATTTCGCATTAATATATTCCTAAAAACTGTTTGAATAGATCTTTCGGAAACGAAGTTAACTATTACAAACTATAATTTTACTACCCAGTAATGCTTATGATCATTTGAAAGATTGTTAGTTAAATTATGTTTCAAATGCTTTTGTTTTTCATCAAGTTCCAAATGGAAGAGTTATGAGTATATAAAAGGTAAAGATATGATAAATATCTAGCAAAAACACAACTGGCTTATCAAATTGATTTTGTTATCAAGACGATTTAGCATTATTGGCTTAGAATGAATAAGGTTGCTTTCAGCAGCTGTATATTTACTAATCCCACTCACAAACACACTTGTGAAGTGTTGGAATTCGAGTTAAGTGATATTTGACTGATCTAATGAAAATAGTAGTAATCGCGTAGTAAAAACATTGTTAGATTATAAAATCAAGGCTTAAATACATTTGTTTCTCTGATGTCATATTGAAGTTATTTGTTACAATGAATAGGCTTATAACTCGAAACGTAGGGAGCTTTTATAGGGACTTTTGATAAAGCTTATTCTCAGTATAATCCGAATAGGATTTTGTGAGTTGGGTGATTAGTATAAAATGAAATTTAACGTGTACGAAGTTCTCGCTGAACTATTCAATCAAATTATGTAAAAACGAGGAATATCCGTGATAAGATTGGGAGATGCTGTTTATACTCCAGACTTCAAACTTATTTTATTATGTCAAGACGACAGAAACAATCGTTTGGTCCTTATGTTATGAAAATATAAGACATGCTCGTTATTTATATTTGAACAATGAAGCATCTTTCCGAAATTCATATTGTACAATTTTGATAAATGATGAAAGTATTGTGTTGTAGGTGTTGGTACTATGTCTAGCCCGCATAGGTTATTCTAGCCTCTGGGCAGACTAATCTACTCATTTTCCTCAAGCCACATTTTTATTGTCATTTATTGGGTTAGTAATTCTGACTGATTTTTATATGATCATATGTGTGTCAATTACTTACCCTATTCATCATGTGTCTGTAACTCATTTTTTGTTTGACTATAAATATCGATCTACATTTGGTTAAATCGAGTTAACTCCTCCGATCCGTTTTGCTTCACTCTCACGTCTTCGCTTCCTTCACTCCGTCTCTCTGATTATCTGTTCATATCAACGATTGTACGAAATATACGTATTCAAGCTTCGTTAAGTAGTCGACTTATTTAATTCAATTATTCACTAACGCGATTTCAGTCGTTAGTTATATATGAGGATACGTGACATACATATTTCAATAGCAATCATTCATACGATCGAAGGGGAGTCAGATACAGGGCTACAAAATTACCATGCATAACGAATTCATGATGTAGATCACCGAGACTTACTCCATTCAAACACTCAATTTTTTTAATAAAAAGATTTGACTATGTTTACAAATCATTAGTTTGTTTGTTAAACAAAAAAATGGGTAACCACTTATTTAAGTGAGCAGAAGCTTACTATAACGATTAACACAAAATAATCACTAGAATACATCTGACAGCAAACCAACGAAAAACGATTTGTGGAAAATGTAATAGTCACCAAGGGGGAAGTAGGTTTGCTAGTTTGGAAAACAATACCTATTACTAAACAAATTGAAGACATTTAACTTTAAAAAGTGAGGAATACTGTTTTGAATAAACCATAGGCGAAAAGCTTCTGTACTACTGCTCAATAATATTCTCTTGTGGTTAACACAAAATAGATACATGAAATTAAGCATAAACAGATAAATCTAAGGACAGGATCAAGTGCGTTCTATTCAATACTAGTAAGCTAAAAGTTCAGTGTTATTATTATTGTTAACTGAGATTATATCTGTACTGCAACACATAAAATAGAACTTATTTATGTCTCAGATGAAAACTTAAGGCTTCTTTCAAGTACTTTTCATGGTTGAAATCATGAATCAATTGAAGCTAGACCACCATGGAGAACCTGGAGGCACTGGATGGCTGTTTCGTCCCATTATGGGACTCCTCGGTAGTGCTCATCCATCATCCCGCCTCGCGAGATTCGAAACCAGGACCTGCCAGTCTCGCGCCGGCTCAGTAGTCTATCAGTTAAGTGCTCTGGCGCCAGACTGTAGGTCCTGGGTTCGAATCTCAAAAGGCGGGATCATGGGTACGCACTGCTGAGGAGTCCCATAATAAGAGGAAACGGCCGTCCAGTGCTTCCAGGTTTTCCATGGTGATCTAGCTTCAATTGATTCATGATTTCAACTATGAAAAATACTGAAATCTCCACAAAACCCCTTCTGATTCTTTCAAGTACTCATACTATTCCATTAACTGTAATAACTTAGAATTTTATATACACACATACTGATATGACTCTTTTATTAGTGAATTATAGAAATGCGAACTAGTTGCTCTCAGAAATTTCGGACTGCCAAATATGCCATAATAGTGAAGTTTTGATACATGTAAAAGAAACGTAAACATTTATTATTAATAAGTTTGCTATCTTCTGGACTCGACAGACTGCATTAAAATAAAGTCTCTCACATTTTAATTATTCTTAGTTTTTAGAATAATTTCGACAACTAAACTCCATTACAAGTTATAATATTTTGTCCAGAATCATAGGGTGTATTGGGATAACGATGTCAGACAGTAAACTTCATTCTCTACATTGTCATTATTCAAAGTAGTAATGACTATTCAACTTTCGTTCAATGTAAACTTTAATATGTTTTATTGAGAAATAATATGTCGTCACCGCCTGAATGAACTGGTTGTACAAATCGGACGAATCACGATTTTGGATCCTCTTATGGACTTCGAGTTCACCAAAACAAAGCAGATGAATTAAACATTGATGCTTTCTTTTTTCTGTTTGTATTCTCCTGATACGCTTTATTAGTAATCCCCTCTATTTGATCTCTTCATTTCCCACATATATAATGAGACAAGATGTGAAACAATGAAGTTTTCTGGTGGTTGTATCTGTCTGTTATTCTGAAATTTTCACAATTTTTTGACAGACTATGCACAACTTTGAGGTTGCCTCGTAATTAATTTACCAGAACATTGCAAGCAGAAGCAGTCTCTTGTAGAACGGTACAACACTGTGTCCATGCACGTATCCTCTGATAAAGGAGATAACTGTTAATAATCGACGTATGACAAGGTCAACTACTAATAGGGATACATAAGCACATGTTTCATTAATTATAAACAATGCCTGAGATACATAGTTAAATTGCTATTACAATTAAAGTTAACCCTCTTAACGATAAGATGTTTAATAACAATCATAACTGCTAATATTCATAACGGACTATGGTAATAACTAGTTAAACAGGACCGGTTTGTGAAAGTGACTTAGTAGTCACACTACTCGATATTGATACACTGCAACACATGTTCGAATCCAACTTACATAAGTCGATTTACACAGATAGGTAGACATCATATGAAAAGTGTAGCTTGAAAAAAGTTTACAAGCTAATACCTAGTTAACGATTCCTGCTACTTTGAAAAGTGTAACTATATTTTACATATCATACTCATAAACATGATGCTCACGCTATTAAATGAGTGAACTATAAGTCATATTTTATTCAATTACTTGTGTTTAAATGAACTTTCATCATCCTTATTTTCGGATTAAGTCAAATCGTTTCAACTACTTTAAAGGGTCAACACTGTCCTCTACTTATTTAGAATAAATGAACCATCGATATTGACTTGATGATCGCAGAAGATAAATTATTTAAAATATTTTTTCACTATTACCGACTAATAGTAATAAGTCGAAAGGCAATACTTAGAAATCAAATGGTTATAGCCACAAATAGGGCAGTTACTACGTTCTCTTGAAATGAAATTTCATGAAAGAATTTATCATAGTATCCACATGATAAATGTAGCAAATACACACTTTGTCATAATCGATCTCAGTGTAACAGAACCATGCAGGTTTGTTTGTCTTTTCAATCCACTTAATCGTCAAAACTCGCAAATTGGTTCGTTTTTTTTCGTAACTGAAAAGAAATGCAAAGTATATGATTTTAACTCATTCTCCAAAACACCATTATTTCTTCCTATTAGTGGATTAATTGAACAGGATTAAGGGAAGCAGTTTGAACTATGAGAAAAAGAAGATTCATAATACATCTGTATTCAGTTATATTTTACAAAATACTGTGATTGATCATTTTTGAAAATAAATTAATAAGAGAGTTGCTAAAACTAAATGATATCACTAGGAATATAAAAGTAACTAATAAAGTGCAAAGTGAACAACTAACAGATTAGTATTCCGCATGTTTGCCTATTTCATTGTAAGTTTTGCTTTAAAATTTAAATTCCATTAACTTTCTCAAAGTAACAGTTCATTAGTAATATACAGTTATATTACAAAAGCTCACTAGTAGTGTAGAATTCAATGCTGGGATAATGGTCATGTTGATGACCCTCATCATGTGAAAAGATCCTAATCAACAATCTAAACAGTGTCCAGTAGATTTTTTAAAGTACTTTTTTTGCGTAGGAATCAGATTAAACATGGAAGATAATTTACCCTGAGAAAAATATCTTGAACCTTTATATTTAGATGATGGTTTGTGTCAATAAATAACAATCTATCAATAAATTAGGTTTTTACTGCAAAAAATGTAAAAAAAATTATTTCTATTATTATTGATTTCTAAGCAAATCTATTTTAAATGGATAACTTGAAATGAAATAAACTGACATGTGTTGACAAAAAAACGTATCAAAGTTATAGCTTACTATAAGAGATTTTTCTTTCACTAAAATATATCCTCTTTCTATTGCTTCACTAATTGGATAGATTTGATTATGAACAGGATCTCGGAATGTGCCAGTTTCCATGTCCAGTAGATGACGACGTATCGCTTCTGATTGTGTGATCTTGCGTCTACTAATAGGATCTATAACAGCTAATATATCATCAGATCGACAGCTATGTGTAAACCATGATTCATTCAGTGTTTTATTTATCAATTTATCATTATGTAAACCTGGACCAAGCCATGCCAAACGTGTTATAAAACGTTGATTAACTAAATAAGCCAAAGAAGGACGATTGATAGATAAGCCTAACAGTAGTTGAGCCCCAACTGGTGATATATCAATATTTTTCATTGCCTTCATATTTGGCGATAATATCATAGACGACCCATTAATAGGATCTGTTATTTGTCCATATGTTATGGTTGAACCAATTTGAAAATCATTACATGGTTTTAACCAGCCAGAGTTAAGTGCATCCAAACCAGTTAGCTCATGACCATCTTCATTAAATAATCCACATCCTTGAGTTAATAACTGTATAGAGTGTAAATCACATAATGCTGAATGCTTAGCTGACTTTCTTAAAGAGATAAGTTGTTGTGAAGAGCTTGTACCACGTTGATGTGGGTCTGTGCTAGACAGAACTATCTCCTCCTTTGATGAATCAATTAATCCTGTAAGAACAGCTTGTAATATAGGATGTTGACAATGCGTCTGATTTGATACCTTAGCACCCAATAATAAACCTACAGGCGGTGGATACGATTTAGTATATATAAGTCGGATATAATTATTGTTAACTGCATCCCACAAATTCATAGGTTTATTTTCAAACATTATAAATCCGGACGGCGTGATTAAATTTGTATTCAGAGCTTCGACTAAAGTCAATACTTGATTGGGATGCGATTGCATAAGAATTATGGCTGGTTGATTTCCAACTATCATTCCACGTTTAATTGCCTCTGGAAACAATACATATTGACCAGTGTGGGCATCAAGAATACCCACATCGCTTTTAGAATGTATTTCGTTCATGTTCGGAGCAGTAAAAGATATAAGTCCAGATAAGACTATTTCAGCTAGACAAGGAGCTTTAGTTAATAAGCCAGCAGCTTGAGCCACTTCCACGCCAACTTTCGTTCGACTGGAAGATGAACTTGATCCGAGCCAATAACCAGACACATCATCAACAAGACCTATTTGAACAGCTTCAGACAGACTGACACGTCGATAAGAGGTAGCATGGTTACCACCCACCTGGTTTTCAACAGGGACAATAACTTCTGGAACAGTATTGTCCAGAAGTCCATTTTTAATTGCATCTCTGATTGTTAATTCATTTTCAGCGAACACTAATGAATTATTCGATGATTTACTTTTGCTATTGCCTTTTCCAGACTTCAGTAAACTGACACGTAAACGTCGTGTATTTGGATTGTACGCACCAGCAGATAACCAATCAGAGAGACAAGGTTTCCAAGATATATCTGTTTGACCAATGTTTAGGGCTTCATACCATGTCAACTGACAATCTCGAAATTCTACACACATGCCACTAGATAGAATAGAAGCTAAATGATGAAAATCTGCATCATTTATGAATCCATCTGAGTATAAATCAATAATTTTTTTACCATATGGCATGACCACACCAGTCTTTGGGTCGATATGACGGTCGACAGGGCTACGTGAAGGACTAGTCAGAAAATCTGTTACAGATGCACTATAATCACCAATTTTTATATTTCTATTAAAAGCCTGAATAGTATAAGCAGTTAACCAGCCACACTCAATTGCTTCAGACCAGGAAATGGAAAGTGAACTTCGATTTTGATGACAATTATGTCCAACTAGATCAATTAATCCACATCGTAGTGCATCTCCTACGCAAATAGTTTCACCAAGTCCATATGTTTCATTCTCACCAGCTAAATTAGTCACAAACCATGCACCAGTAGTCGGAAAAAGCTTTTGTCCATATAATTCATGTGCTTTGGATATTGCACTCAATGTAGCTGCTTCCCAACCAGTTGGGAGTAAACACACCGGTTGACTTCGCACATCATTAAGACATACACTATATTTGAGTCCTTTTTCCCCAATTAGTTGATTAAAATACGATAAATCTGAGTGATTTTTATCTTTTGAATTATTTGGAACTTCTAATGGTAATGTGTGGTCTTTTCCATTTTCTTGATACTTTGATCGTGATACCAAGGGAGAAAAAGACGGTTCAGTTTCTTTTAGACGACTGTTTAATTCATTTGGCCATTTGCCTATGTATAGTTCACGATAAGGCTTTACAAAAATTGGACCACATAAATTCATAGAGATAGGTTCTTCGGATCGCAGAAGCTGATGGAAAAAATAATAATAAGAGGAATTATGTGAAAAGAAAAGTATATCCAACATTTACTATTAACAGACTTGAATTATTCATGGCTTGAATTTTCTCAAATATCGATCTGTCTTCTATACGCGCAAAAAACTTTCTCATTCTCATTACATATAAATACTCAGACATACAACGAAAGGGTCATATGTGTGTTATTTCAGTAAGATCCCGACCGTTGCTGCTACCTTGACGTGGTGGTCGGGCTTGCCTATCGTGATGATCCAATCGAGCTATGCTGGCTGGAACAATCGTTCCTCAAGGTCCTACCATGCCAGACAGGTCGATTGAAGAGCGGTGAGACTAAAAGCAGCAATCCCAAGGTCCGAAGGCGAAGTCGTACTGCTGACTGTACAGAGGTGTGAAAGCAGTAAGGTGTTTCCTTCAGACAACCAGCATGACAGCGATGCTGCCTTCCCACAAGGAGGGGTGGGGTTAGAAAAGGTCGACCCTAAAAATGCACACCTCACCTTATCCCACGGATTTCCGTCTCCGGCGGTAAGGACTTTTGAAGAACGGAGCTAACACGTCAAAAATCCCCCACAAAAAGGCCGTGCGTGACCGGCCTCAAGCAGATGTCCCTTGGGCACTGCGGTCACGCACCCAGGTCGTTAAGACCAACACTAATCCAACTTCTTTTTCAGGTCCCTCAAGAAATACCCTTCCACGGTGTGGGCAGCCGGGAAGTGATACTAGCCCTCATACCCTTAGCTGCACACAAGACCAAGTTGGTCGCTTTCAAATCCTTCCTACACCTAATAACTCTCTTATCTCCACGACTAACCCTTCCCACGTCCTTTTATCACCTCGCACCGCTAGGGCAAACGATTCGAGTACACAGAACGTTATTTCTGGTCTCCTGAAACCACGCTCTAAACTACATATAGGAACTTTTAATGTCCGAACATTGTGCCAAATAGGACAACAGGCTTCCTTAGCTAGGACTCTAGAATCTTACACCATCGATGTGTGCTGCGTCTCCGAAACGCGCATACAAGATCCGAGTAGTGTCATTCATTTGACCTCACCTAATCAAAATAAAGTTTCATCTCGATACACGCTTCGTGTATCTGGAAGCCCTGACGCTGCTTCCCGTGGCCTCGCTGGAGTAGGCATAGCATTAAGTCCTAGGGCAGAACTAGCTCTTTTAGACTGGATCCCAGTAGACAGTCGTCTATGCGCTGTCCGACTAAACGGATCAGTAAGGACCCGGAAAGATAGGGAAACTCGTCGTTGCCTCTTCGTCGTCTCTGCCTACTCTCCCACTGACTGCAGCTCAGACGATATAAAAGATGAGTTCTACAGGAAACTTTCTGACCTTCTCCGAGAAGCTAGGCGTTCTGATGTAGTAATAGTAGCAGGTGACTTTAATGCTCAAGTAGGTAAACTAAGTGAAAGGGAAAGACACCTGGGTGGATCTTATGGTGTCATGGCGAAAAGAACAGATAATGGCGACCGTCTGTTGCAGCTGTGCTCAGATAACCGCCTATTTCTTGCAAATACTAACTTTAAGCATAAGGAAAAACACCTTTTGACATGGCGACCCCCGAATTCGTCCCAACGTTGGACCCAATTAGATCACATCGCTATCAGCCACCGATGGAGGGGCTCGATTGAAGACTGTCGCTCATTCTGGGGCACATGCTTAGATTAAGATCATGCTCTAGTGCGAGCACGTATCTGTCTGCGTCTTACTGGTCGTAGGAAAGACACTGCAGGGAAGCCTCTAAGGGTTCTACTTAATGACAGGCAAGCTAAGAATATATATCAGGAACAACTAGAAAAACAGTTAGGCAGCCATGTAAGTTGTGTCCACCCCGAGGCAGCGTGGAATGACATCCGAAAAGCTGTGGAAACAGCAGTGATGTCCGCTAGTAAGGTAAACCATAACGTTAGGGAGAAACAATGGATCTCGGCAGCATCTTCCGCACTGATAGATGCTCGTAAACTCATCCCACCTGGCTCTGAGCATAACGAAGAGCGGAGTCAACTTAAGCGCAGGCTTATAAGAAGCCTACGTAATGATCGTGAACAGTGGTGGGTAGCGAAAGCAAGAGAGATGGAAAAGGCAGCGGCAATAGGTAACAGTAGGCAGCTATTCAGACTCGTTAAAGAAACCGGCATTAGGAACCCGAATATCAGTGAAACCATCTCAGATAGAGATGGGCATATTATTCATTCTCAATCCAGGAGATTGGATCGATGGGCAGAACACTTTAGGGATCAGTTCAACTGGCCTTCAGCCACGCTTCAATTACCCACGATCCCCAGTCTTCCTGAATGGCAAATTGATGTAAGTCCTCCAACCCTCTGTGAGGTTGAAAAAGCTATAGGAAATCTGAAGCGAGGGAGAGCAGCAGGCCCTGACAGGTTGACCCCTGAGATTTTTAAGGATGGTGGTCCAGTACTAGCAGTGAGATTGACTGAGGTCTTAGGTAGAATCTGGGAACTGGACGTAATTCCATCTGACTGGTCCCAATCACTGATTGTGCCAGTCTATAAGAAAGGACAAAAGTCCTCCTGTGACAATCACAGAGGGATCAGTTTGACTAATATAGTGTCTAAAATATTAGCTTCAATAATACTAGGTCGACTAACCAAAGCTCGTGAAGAGCAGACTAGAGAAAACCAGGCTGGTTTTCGACCTGGACGTGGTTGCATAGACCAGATATTCACCCTACGTCAGGTTCTAGAACATAGACACAAATTCAGACGTCCCACAATAGTAGTATTTCTTGACCTTAAGGCGGCATTTGATTCCGTTGATCGTGAGGTTCTATGGCATTGTTTGTCACTGAAAGGAGTACCAAAGAAGTACATTAACCTCATGAAGGCTCTCTACTCGAAGACAACTGGTCGAGTTAGAGCCTATGGCGAACTGTCATCAGAACTGATTACCACAAGTGGAGTTCGTCAGGGCTGACTGACTATTTCAGTAAGATGGGAATAAAAAGTCTGGTGTTTTAAGGTAAAAGATATCTAAAAGCACCTTACGAAAGATGACTAATTGAATATTAATTATAGAAGGGGTTTTGTGGAGATTTAGTATTTATCATAGTTGAAAGCGTGAGTCAGTCAGTCAGTCAGTCAGTCAGTCAGTCACAACGTAGAACTTCGTACGTACGTACATCAGTTCGAGTTGCCATACCACATTAGCACAGAGATGCAGTTGTCGATTCAAATCCCATAGTGGTAGAAGTAGTAGGAGTATAATCAGAAATCCAAAAGATTAGGGTTTGAAGAAATTATTGAAGGAGTATAGTACAGTGAAATAAATTTGGAAAGAGAAAAATATAAAGATATGAGGAATTCAGAAGATTAGAATTTCGTAGAACACAAAGAGTGGATGCATCTTCGCCATTGCAAACGATTTTGAGCCATGTCATTCAAGGTCTCTAACCATCGGTTGCTGTCATCTCGCGAATCCCAACCAGGTAGTCTACACCTACCAACATGGCCCAGTCCACTTGTCAGTGACTTCATTGATTTGCGCCACGTTTTGGTCTGGCCACCCCTAGCTTTCTTCCAACCTACTCCTACACCATGAAACATTGCACGTCGGGGCAGTCGGTGGTCGGGCATACGTAACACATGTCCCAGCCATCTCAACTGATGAAGTTTCACTACTTCATCAATCGATTTGCCATCCCTACCTAGTACTCGTTTCCTAACAACTGCATTACTTACCCGGTGGTCCCAGGATATATGAGCAATGCTTCGAAGACACCTATGATCGAACACTAGTAGCCTACGAATATCCTCTACTCTTATTGGCCATGTTTCACTGCCATAAAGTAGGACGGAGCGAACTGCTGCACAGTAAACCCGTCCTTTGGTTGCTAGACGGATATCTCGCCTACGCCATAAGTGACGCAAGTTGGCGAAAGCTAGACGAGCCTTCTGTATCCGTGCTGAGATTTCGTCACATACCAGACCACAAGGGCTGATGAGACTCCCAAGATAAGTGAAGTGTTCTACACGCTCAACTACTTTACTCCCTATCATTAGTTCAGGTGTCGATGCAACCCAATCCTGAAGTAACATTTTGCACTTCGAGGGAGAGAATCGCATTCCGAACATGCCTGCATAGTTGCTTATAGTGGTCAGAAGAATCTGCATGTTGTCAGCGTCTCCACCAAATAGAACTATTTCATCGACATATTCCAATGCAACGAGTGAGCCTCCCGGTAAAAGTTCAACTCCTTGAGATTTAGATGATGAAAGTGTTAGCTCTAAAAGCATGCCGATGACGAAGTTAAACAAGAATGGTGAGAGTGGACAGTCCTGACGAACACCACTTGAGGTAACCAATCATGATGACAGTTCGCCATAGGCTCTAACTCGACCAGTTGTCTTCGAGTAGAGAGCCTTCATGAGGTTAATGTACTTCTTTGGTACTCCTTTCACTGACAAACAATGCCATAGAACCTCACGATCAACGGAATCAAATGCCGCCTTAAGGTCAAGAAATACTACTATTGTGGGACGTCTGAATTTGTGTCTATGTTCTAGAACCTGACGTAGGGTGAATATCTGGTCTATGCAACCACGTCCAGGTCGAAAACCAACCTGGTTTTCTCTAGTCTGCTCTTCACGAGCTTTGGTTAGTCGACCTAGTATTATTGAAGCTAATATTTTAGACACTATATTAGTCAAACTGATCCCTCTGTGATTGTCACAGGAGGACTTTTGTCCTTTCTTATAGACTGGCACAATCAGGGATTGGGACCAGTCAGATGGAATTACGTCCAGTTCCCAGATTCTACCTAAGACCTCAGTCAATCTCACTGCTAGTACTGGACCACCATCCTTAAAAATCTCAGGGGTCAACCTGTCAGGGCCTGCTGCTCTCCCTCGCTTCAGATTTCCTATAGCTTTTTCAACCTCACAGAGGGTTGGAGGACTTATATCAATTTGCCATTCAGGACGACTGGGGATCGTGGGTAATTGAAGTGTGGCTGAAGGCCAGTTGAACTGATCCCTAAAGTGTTCTGCCCATCGATCCAACCTCCTGGATTGAGAATGAATAATATGCCCATCTCTATCTGAGATAGTTTCACTGATATTCGGGTTCCTAATGCCGGTTTCTTTAACGAGTCTGAATAGCTGCCTACTGTTACCTATTGCCGCTGCCTTTTCCATCTCTCTTGCTTTCGCTACCCACCACTGTTCACGATCATTACGTAGGCTTCTTATAAGCCTGCGCTTAAGTTGACTCCGCTCTTCGTTATGCTCAGAGCCAGGTGGGATGAGTTTACGAGCATCTATCAGTGCGGTAGATGCTGCCGAGATCCATTGTTTCTCCCTAACGTTATGGTTTACCTTACTAGCGGACATCACTGCTGTTTCCACAGCTTTTCGGATGTCATTCCACGCTGCCTCGGGGTGGACACAACTTACATGGCTGCCTAACTGTTTTTCTAGTTGTTCCTGATATATATTCTTAGCTTGCCTGTCATTAAGTAGAACCCTTAGAGGCTTCCCTGCAGTGTCTTTCCTACGACCAGTAAGACGCAGACAGATACGTGCTCGCACTAGAGCATGATCTTAATCTAAGCATGTGCCCCAGAATGAGCGACAGTCTTCAATCGAGCCCCTCCATCGGTGGCTGATAGCGATGTGATCTAATTGGGTCCAACGTTGGGACGAATTCGGGGGTCGCCATGTCAAAAGGTGTTTTTCCTTATGCTTAAAGTTAGTATTTGCAAGAAATAGGCGGTTATCTGAGCACAGCTGCAACAGACGGTCGCCATTATCTGTTCTTTTCGCCATGACACCATAAGATCCACCCAGGTGTCTTTCCCTTTCACTTAGTTTACCTACTTGAGCATTAAAGTCACCTGCTACTATTACTACATCAGAACGCCTAGCTTCTCGGAGAAGGTCAGAAAGTTTCCTGTAGAACTCATCTTTTATATCGTCTGAGCTGCAGTCAGTGGGAGAGTAGGCAGAGACGACGAAGAGGCAACGACGAGTTTCCCTATCTTTCCGGGTCCTTACTGATCCGTTTAGTCGGACAGCGCATAGACGACTGTCTACTGGGATCCAGTCTAAAAGAGCTAGTTCTGCCCTAGGACTTAATGCTATACCTACTCCAGCGAGGCCACGGGAAGCAGCGTCAGGGCTTCCAGATACACGAAGCGTGTATCGAGATGAAACTTTATTTTGATTAGGTGCGGTCAAATGAATGACACTACTCGGATCTTGTATGCGCGTTTCGGAGACGCACACATCGATGGTGTAAGATTCTAGAGTCCTAGCTAAGGAAGCCTGTTGTCCTATTTGGCACAATGTTCGGACATTAAAAGTTCCTATATGTAGTTTAGAGCGTGGTTTCAGGAGACCAGTAATAACGTTCTGTGTACTCGAATCGTTTGCCCTAGCGGTGCGAGGTGATAAAAGGACGTGGGAAGGGTTAGTCGTGGAGATAAGAGAGTTATTAGGTGTAGGAAGGATTTGAAAGCGACCAACTTGGTCTTGTGTGCAGTTAAGGGTATGAGGGCTAGTATCACTTCCCGGTTGCCCACACCGTGGAAGGGTTCTCCTGGGGTTACCTGAAAAGGAAATTGGGTTAGAAGTGGTCTTAATGACCTGAGAGCGTGACCGCAGTGCCCAAGGGACATCTGCTTGAGGCCGGTCACGCACGGCCTTTTTGTGGGGGATTTTTGACGTGTTAGCTCCGTTCTTCAAAAGTCCTTACCGCCGGAGACGGAAATCCGTGGGATAAGGTGAGGTGTGCATTTTTAGGGTCGACCTTTTCTAACCCCACCCCTCCTTGTGGGAAGGCAGCATCGCTGTCATGCTGGTTGTCTGAAGGAAACACCTTACTGCTTTCACACCTCTGTACAGTCAGCAGTACGACTTCGCCTTCGGACCTCGGGATTGGTGAATGGTTGCTCAACTTCGTGGATCAGTTAAAGTTAGACATTAACACCGTTGGATGCCAGCTCAGTGGTCTATCGGTTAAGGGCTTCGGCTCGAGACTGGTAGGTCCTGGGTTCGAATCTCGAGAGAGCGGGTTTGTGGATGCGCACTACTGAGGAGTTCCATAATAAGACGAAACGGCCGTCCAGTGTTTCCAGGTTTTCCATGGTGGTCTAGCTTCAATTGACTCACACTTTCAATTATAATTGGATATTGTTGGAGAATCTAATTCACTAATGAAAGTTTGTGCATTTAGCTGTCATCCACACTACTTGTATATGAAGGCTAGTGACACTACTCAGATGTTCGAACTTAAGTATATACAGTGAGACTTTGACATAAAGGTCTTAACAGTTAGTTGTTTTATTGTCTATGGTGATATGAAGTTTATTTATTCAACTCACATAAAATCTGGTGCAACTGGGCACAAAAAACAGTGTGCGTCATATAAAAATACTTGTATGAAAGCTAGGATACTATCTGCTAGTCCAAACAGAATCAGGTGTTTTTCTTCAGGACCCACATTCAAAGCCTATGACCTAAACGTCTAATCTATAGGACAGGGGAGCAACTTCAGGAGCTGTTACTCCATGGCAGACAATGACCAAAAACAGGTCTATACGCCTTTTGTCCCCTTGGAATCCTAGAGCCCATGTATACCATTCGTTTGAAATCAGAGTTTTCCGATTCAACTAGGTGAACGCACCGTATCCACTAATACGATTGACGTGACAAACGTCCACTTTTCGTCCTTTCAGGTTTGCGATATGAAATACGGCAATGTGAGTTGATACATATTCACGCGAGTTTCTGTATAATGTTATTGATGACAGGCTTGTGAAATCATAAATAGCATTTAATGAACGTACTTTTAAAAAAATAGGGTAAAGCTGAGTGGATAGCCAAATAAATATTGTAATTTTATTTAGAATAACAAAATATGTACTAACTATTCTGATCAAATTATTATTATTATTATTATTATTATTATTATTCGAACAGAAAATTACCCGATTTAAACAGTTGACTATATCATATATACGACGAGAATGTGTATTAAATTGTTCATTCAATTGATCAGTTGTTTGTAATACTCTACCCATATCAAATAAACCATATCCTGGTGACCATTGATAATCTCGTGAACCACCAGCTTTCTGAAATACACGCTCAACTAATTCACGATAATTTTGAGTATGTTGAGCATAATCCTATAAATCAGACATTAATATATATAAAAAGGAGGAAATTAAAGGGGAGGACCTTTTTTGGTCGAAATAGTGATGAATTTTAAAGTAACAGTTTGTTAGCAAGGATAATGATGATTAGTAGAGGGATTCGAAGAGACATTGAATTAATATTGATGATTGAGGACTGATCAGTCGGTCAATTAAACGCAGCATACAACATAATACATATGTGTATTCCTGTAAGTTGACACACGAAATCAGAACAGAGGAATGGTAGAGTAGCATAAGTAATAGCAGTATTAGGTGTAGTAGAAAAGATTAATCATAAAAGATGATTGATGCAGAAAAATATGGATTACTGGGATAAAAATTTTCAAGATAATTGAGAAACTTAGCATCTAAACGAAAACAAAGAGTGAATGAATACACGATTATGAGCTATATTAGCCAACTATTAGTTATGATAATCAAGCGGACTATAATCTGGTAGTCTACATCTACCTACACAGCTAAGCCAAACAGTAAACGAATTGAAGGAATAATCTTACTGGTTAGAAATTTAAATAAAGTTTAAAACAGAAATACTATCCTACAACTACTAAGCTTTCTGACCACCTTTAACAACAATACAATGTCTGAGATACGGTCCTCTTCCTCCAAATACAAAATGTTACTTCAGGATTGGCTTGAGTCATCGCCTGGATCAATGATAGGCAATGAAGTAATTAACAGTATCGACCACTTTACTTATCTTGGGAGTCTCATCGGTACTGATGACTTGGTCTTTGATGAAATCTTGATGCATATTCAGATGGCTGGATTAGCTTTGAACGACTTTTGTCCCTTGCGCCGTAGGTGAGATATTCGTCTGTCAACAAAAGGACAAATTTACTGAGCATCACTTTACTCCATCCTAATTCATACCTGCAAAGCATGGCCATTACGAGTAGAGGACATTCGTAAGTTACTGGTATTCGATCATAGGTGTCTTCGAAGCAATGCTCGTGTATTTTGAACCACCAGGCAAGCGATACCTGGGTTAGGGATTGGGTATCGGGTAAAGTTTGCTAGTCGATTGGTTAGGTATTTTATTTATTTATTTATTTAAACACATAAATATTGGTACAAGGAAGCACCAGATACATATGCGCCTCACAAATCTCATTCGATTTGTGTGAGGGCTGTGATACTGCCCAGGTGCCCAAACTGAAACAGGTGGTTTTCTTAGGGGGCCACACCCCGAGTCTTTGACCCGAATGTCTGATCCACAAGGCAGTGGAGCATCGTGAGGAGATGCAGTCCCACGGTAGCCAGTGACCAACAGCAGGTTCATTCGCCATTCGTTCCATCAGGATACTGGAGCCCATGTGCACCACTGGTTTGGAATCAGGATTTTCCAACTCCCCTAGGTGAACTTTCCATGTCCACCAATTGGTTAGGTAATAAATCTTCATCAAGCAAGGTGGTTGGGATACGTGTTACGTATACTTATCCACCTCCTACATAGACGGGTGATGTTTTCTAATGCAGGAGTACATATATAAACGTGATTAAACAATGAGCATTTTCTTGATTATTGGTAATAATTATGAGAAAAAACGATCCAAAATTACTTACAGTTAATGAAGATATTAAGTGAGCTACTTCTTTATTCAATTGTTCCATAACATCTGAATTAACTTGTAAATCAGTTAATAAATCATCGGATTGTTTAAGAATTTCTTTTAATAAACTAGGGTTTTGTACAGTAATCATATTTGTATTGGATGATTTTAATCCTAAAGACTGAGCAGTTTCACCAAATAATCGCATACGAGAAGAGAATTCATTTGACCAAAAAATAAGTTGATTAGATAACTTTTGATAATTTGAGAAACAGATTAGTGATTCACCGAATGCTTTGAGTCTGTTAATACGAAAATAAAATTCAAAGAAAGAAACACAAAATTTTGTTTTTCAAAAATCCGATAACAAGACATCTTCACACGACCTTGGTTTGATGTATCCAACAAAAAATTTTGTACTCATGAAAGATTATCTGATAATAATCGAATGCTCTGTTTTCCATCCTAGCCTCAACTACTAATTCATTAAATAAAACTATATAAATTACAAACATTTTCATTGTAAAGTTTGTAGTCAGATAGATGGACAGCGTCATTTCAATGACAAAAACAACTGTTCCAGAGATAAACGTAGCGAGACTGTCACTTTTAAGCCTATGGACGCTTATTTTGCTTAAGGTGAAAGGCGAATGCCAATTATTAGTCAAGAATCATTACGATTCTGTCTAATGATAGTATTGGTGTACTTAAATTAGGACGTAAGTTGCTAGATCACTGATATAATCTCAGAATTTTTTGAACTACAATTTGGACACTTATTCCAGTAATTATGAATGCCTTATAACAGTAATAATAATAATAATAATAATAATAATAATAATAATAATAATATTAATAATAATAATAATAATAATAAATCTTATATAATATTTAATACATACCGACCGATTCAACAGATAGAATATGCATAAATAGAGGATTTTGATAACTAAACAACCAAAAGAATTATTGTCAATTTACTAAAACTTTTGTAGTTTACATAACAAACTGATCCTAGTTAAACAACCATTGAAAACCAGGAAATGATTTGAATAGCTAGTTCTCAATGTGAAAACAATGAAATTCAACAATCTCAAGAACTCCCACTCTCCCCCTCCATATGCTAGTAAGTAGTGAATAAGTAGTGAATACATTTTGTTACAAATAACAGGGAAAGTTATTATTCTTATTATGATTTATTTCTCAAGTGATAGGAAATTTAATTGTGTTACAAAAAATGTCACAAATCCCTTTCTTCAATAACAATAAAATCTATTGTTAAATAAGAAACAATGAAGTTGAAATCTCATTATGAATGTTTTAATTATATTTTTACAAGTTTATCAATGCTTAGATAATAATGATTTGGTTTCTTTTTCCATAGTACTCTTATACTTATTTACTTACTCACTAACTTATGTCTGTTACCCCTCGTGAATTAGCATATGCTACCCATTACAATTCCTAATCAAACTCTATCCTGGACAATCCTTTCCAATTGTTTTTAATTGTTACTCATTCTTTTGATGTCTGTCTTTAATTCCCGATGTAATGTGTTCATCGGTCTTTCATTTCTTCTTCCCTTTAGGATTCCATATTAGGGCTTGGCTCGCGATCAACAGATTAAGAACTCATTCTAAAGATATTACTGTTTGTTGCATTTTAATCGTTGGGTTTCTTTAAAAATTATGTCGAAGTAATTATAAGGAGTTGCTTTCCATGTTCATAGTTGACTAATCATATTTTCACCTCAATCAGAAACAATAAATAAATCTAATTTGTATATACCAGTTGCTTGGATCTCCTCAATGATGTTTAAGATTGCAATTAATCAGTCTATTTTGGTATATGTGCATCCTGTGAGGATTGCATCGATACTGCAACTAACTCACAAGGATTTCAAACAGACTCCACTGTTATCTATCACATATCTCTACTTCGAAATATAAATTTATTTTCCGGAGAGACGAATATTTATTTCACACATATCAACTAAATAATTTATTAAGTGTAACTTTCCCTTAAATATGATCCTAGTAACAGTCATTAGTCAGTTCATAAACAATGGAGGATCTCGTGTAAATATACATCCATCTGAATTACCATATCAAATTAGCTCAGTGAAATTAACTGAACAAGATGAATAGAAAGTGAATTCGAATAGTTTTAATAACAATGATAATAAGAGAGATCAAAGATAGCAAATATGTTTTGAAGATAGGAATAAAATAAGACAATAAATATTATGAAATAATATTGAAGTTTAAGATTTACAATAAGACAAAGAATGAATATATCTACACTTCAACAACCAATTTTCAGCAATATCACCTAAGGTCTCAAGACACTGATCACTATTAACTACACAAACCCCAACGTTCCAGTTTGTATAGCATCACATTGCGTATATCAACAGCCAATGATCTCATGGTTTAAAACCATGTCCTGGATTAACCACTATGCCTTAGTTTTTTCCGACTTTTTCCTATATCAGCTAGTATTAGGTCTAGAGATATGCAGTATTTAAGGCACATCTAACATATTTATAAGCCTTATTAATTTTAGAAATATTTGTTAGCCAAGGCTGAATTCTATCACTGTTCTAACAAAAAATATTCTTAATTTTAAAGTGTTATGATTAAAATATTTCTGTTATCTATTAACTTTAATCTACATATTTAGAATTATACCACCGTAGTTGATATAAGTAAAGCTTTGGTGTACGGTTAATATATTACTGCTTTCTATTGATAAACTGCAGTCTCCTCCACTAACAAAAGAGGAAATGTTCCTTCAGTAATACAAATCGAACTGTGAATATTCAGATTTTGTCTGTAATCTAATTCACATGCCAATAAACTGTTGGGAATGTTAGATGTTGGTAAATACCTTATTTTTGTAATTTTATTTTGAAATTTTGGATTTCTTCGTTTTCGGGCCAAAAGCGCTCTTTTCACCTACCTTCATGTCGTATTTCCAACTCGAGAAAATCTTAAACGCTATTGGTTCATTGTCTTTTAATATGCTATTTTGTAACGCTTCCCAAGGACAGTTTTATGTTGTAAATAAATATATAATTCGTGCCTGTTGAACCGCTTGTGTTTCTGGCTGCTAGAGTAGTATATCTATTCCCCGTTCGGACTTCCACTTATCTCTCTAGTTAGCGGGGCTGGGACACAACAGAATGGCTAGCTTATTGGTCTTTGATCACAAGTCTTTGTTCCGTTCGCAGACTAGGTGAACTCGTAATCGCTTCAAACATAGCATAAACCGATATAAATTTTATGAACCCTTAAATATTTTAAATTTATCGGTCCAGTTCATCTGTTAAGCCTATTTCTAACACGACCTAGCGAACAACAAAGAGGGTGAAAATAATAGATGTGTAGGTAGCTAGCTACATAGTCAATGATAAAATTTACTATTGTATGTGTACTTATAGTTGACTAAACTGATCCAGATAAAAAGATATATGGGCGATCATCTTGATTAGATAGAGTTAATCCACTTACCATAGGCGTAGTGTGATCAGTCTGAATTTGATCGATTTATCAATTATGAAATTTTTCCTAAATACAAGCCTACATCTACATATAGATAAACTAATTTTTATAACAGATGTATGTCAGCAAAATGTACAGAAGGCTTCCTTTTAATATAATGAATTTGAGGAAATAAAATTTCAGAAGTTATTTAACCAATCAAAACACAATAAGCTCTACGTTTTATTCAAATAACTAAGTAGTTTTCCATATCCATCAAACGTACCAATCATTCGACGGACAGAAAATATGTGCACACAAATGAAGTTGATTCTTCCTGACTTAAAGACCAATCAAAAATCTTCGATTACTTAATTCCCGAAAAAACCAGATGGTGTTGATGGAGGGGGGATGAGAAAATTAGTTATAGTCTACGACTTATTGATTGGTGTACAGATGAGGGAAGAATAACAATTGCATGTGTGTATGTATTTTCTTAAGTTTATCAAACGCTCTCACCGGCCAGAGCGACAATATTGTATCGACCACGGTTGCTTTCATTAAACCTAGCGACAATTTTTGAAAGGTATACCAGTGAATACTTAATAAACGGTAGTGATTAGTCTAGACGTTATCGAGATATATGCTCAATATCTCTAGGCAGAATTTTTTCGCCGGATTATATAGAGATATACTTACTTACGCCTGTTACCCCTCGTCGAGGAGCATAGGCCGCTCACCAGCATTCTCCATCCAACTCTGTCCTGAGCAATCCTTTCCAGTTCTTTCCAGTTACTATTCAGCCTTTTCATATCGGCTTCTATTTCCCGGCGTAGTGTGTTCTTTGGCCTTCCTCTTTTCCGCTTCCCTTCCGGATTCCAAGTTAGGGATTGAGTCGTGATGCACATTGGTGATTTCCTTAATGTATGTCCGATCCACTTCCAACGTCTTTTCCTAATTTCCTCTTCAGCTGGAAGCTGGTTTGTCCTCTCCCATAAAACGCTGTTGCTGATAGTATCCGGCCAGTGGATGTTGAGTATTTTGCGTAGACAACTGTTTATAAATACTTGTACCTTCCTGATGATGGCCGTAGTAGTTCTCCACGTTTCAGCTCCATACAGTAGGACTGTCTTGACGTTCGTATTGAAGATTCTAACCTTGAAATTAGTTGAGAGTTGTTTTGAGTTCCATATGTTCTTCAATTGTAGAAATGCTGACCTTGCTTTGCCAATCCTTGCCTTTACATCTGCATCCGATCCTCCTTGTTTATCAACGATGCTCCCCAGGTACTTGAATGTTTCCACCTCTTCCAGAGTTTCGCCATCAAGTGTGATTGGGTTGATGTTCTCCGTGTTGCATTTGAGAATCTTGCTTTTTCCTTTGTGAATGTGGAGACCTATCGATGCGGAGGCTGCTGCTACATTTGCTGTCTTCATCTGCATTTGGTCGTGTGTATGAGAGAGGAGGGCTAGGTCATCTGCGAAGTCCAAATCATCTAATTGATTCTGAGCTGTCCATTGTATTCCGTATTTCCCTTCAGATGTCGAATTCTTCATAATCCAGTCAATCACTAGAAGGAAGAGGAATGGGGAGAGTAGACAGCCTTGTCTGACTCCGGTCCTTACTGGAAATGCACCTGTCAGCTGTCCTCCATGCACCACTTTGCACTGTAATCCATCGTATGAGTTTTGGATAATGTTGACGATCTTCTGAGGAACTCCATAGTGTCGAAGAAGTTTCCATAATGTTCTCCTGTCCACGCTGTCAAACGCCTTCTCGTAGTCAATAAAGTTGACGTATAGTGATGAGTTCCACTCAACTGATTGTTCAACGATGATCCGTAGTGTCGCAATCTGGTCTGTGCACGACCGATCCTTACGGAATCCAGTCTGATGATCCCTTAGTTCGGCGTCTACTGCGTCTTTCATCCGATTCAGCAGCACTCTGTTGAAAACTTTTCCTGGTACTGATAACAAACTGATACCTCTGTAGTTCTCGCATTGGCTCAGATCTCCTTTCTTTGGTATCTTGATGAGATATCCTTCTTTCCAGTCCGTTGGCACTTGTTCCTCTTCCCAAATCTTTTTGAATAGAAGGTGAAGCATGTTTGCAGTTATTTCAATGTCTGACTTCAGTGCTTCTGCTGGTATATTGTCAGGTCCTGCCGCCTTCCCACTTTTGATTTGTCTGATGGCCATCTTGACTTCTTCGATCGTTGGTGAAGTGACATCTATTGGAAGGTCAGTGTGGGCTGCTTCGATATTCGGTGGATTCAATGGGGCTGGTCTATTCAGCAGTTCCTCGAAGTATTCTGCCCATCTTTTCTTCTGTTCTTGAATCTCAGTGATTGTCTTTCCTTCTTTGTCCTTGACTGGTCTCTCTGGTTTGCTATATCTCCCTGCCAATTTTTTCGTTGTATCATATAGTTGTTTCATATTCCCTTCTCTTGCAGCTTTTTCCGCCGCCGTTGCTAGTTCTCCCATGTATTTCTGCTTGTCGGCTTTAATGCTTTTCCTCACTTCCCTGTTTGCTTCTGCGTAGTCTGCTTGTGCTATATAGAGATATAGCGTAATGCAAAACAAGTTATTTGTCCTAAACTGGATTCCAAATAAAATCTAACCTAGTGATAGCGTGATTACTGAGGTGCATTGTTATTAAAATGGTAATAACTTCACAAATCATTTGCTTTTTTATTCATCTTAAAATGATAAAAGCCGATTATACCACTTTTAAACGTATCAATATTATCGGAAGACAGGTTTAAGGAGTCCAAAGAGGGAAGGTATGAGCGTTTTACTGTTATTCCGTCAATCCAACATGATTACCGGATGAAATGTTGAAACTACTTAGATTCCAATTGCTGAGGTTATTACAAATAAAATTTAGTACCTAATGCCATAAGATGTCATAGCAAATGTCATAACAAATGATTTTATTACCTCGAAAAAAAACATTCAAAAGTTACAAATATTCACTTACTCTTGTTCAACTTCTTTAGTTGCTTCAGCTAAACGATGTTCAGAACAAGCAAGATTTGATTCTAAATAGTGATTATCAGTGCAAGGTGATAAATGCATCTTTATCAGATTTGAATTTTCATATAGGTTAGCAGTATCATAATGGAGAGTTTCGTTAAATGCCCCATTGGAAACCATAAATCTAGTTAATTGTTGACCAAGTAAATCTAGATCGGAGCGAATTTGAGGAAGACGCTCAGCTACCGACTGAAATAATAATAATAATAATAAAGTTAGATAAATGTTTCCCTAAGCAAATTATCTAACAATCAAAACAGTCAACATATTTGTTATCCATTAATATAGTTATTTCTTGAATTTCAGCTTCGTAGTGTGATCAATAAAAGGGAAATAAATATATCCACAGTTTGAGTAATTTCCCGAACTAGTTACAACAAACACATATAAAACAAGCATGACTGCCTACAATCATAATAAACTATTCCAACCGATGAAGTAATTTAATTAATTAAAACTATTCTCATATATGGCATTTTCACACGTCATATTCATGACTAAATGATCATTTTATAAGGGAAACATGTTCACTGCTAGAATTGCTGAGTTGGTGTACTTGATTAACTTAAATAATATCGGATTGTATTAACTGTTTTCACGTAAATAATTATACAGTAAAATATTAAAGATTTACATCGTGCAAATTGGAACGACATATCAGCAAACAGTATTGTTTTCAACTAGAGGTTAAGTGTTCGCGTGCGAGACCGATAGGTCCTGAGTTTGAATCTCGCGAAGCGGGGTCGTGGATGCGCACTGCTAAGGAGTCCCATAATAGGACGAACGCGCCAGTGCATCTAGGTTCTCCACGGTAGTCTAGCTTCAATTGACTTATGATCTCAAAGATTAAAATTATTTATAAAGTTCAGTTCACTTTTGAAGGCGAATACTTTCACCAGATCGATGGGGTTGCTATGGATAGTCCGTTAGGACCATTATTAGCAGATGTGTCTATGGCATATGTGGAAAATCTGTCTACAGACTTAATCGAAAGCATGTCACTTTATAAGAGATATGTGGATGATATCTTAGTTATATGTGAAATAAAGGATGATATAAACTGCTTATTGAATAAAATTAACACTATCTAAACCCACATCACTTTCTCATGCGAAGAGGAGAAGAACGACCAACTTCCCTTCCTAGATGTACTTCTAAGCAGACGAGAAGATGGCTCAATCAGTCACTATAGTTATTGCCCTGTGCAATACAAACGGGGTCTGGTAAGGTGCAGATTTGATCGTATTTGCACAAACGACGCTATTATTTATTTATTTAAACACATAAATATTGAAAAATGAAGAAAATTTGAGCGAACAATTGTTTTCACTAAATTCATCATCAAACTCTACAGTTATAAGTCCATAATTATGATATTTTACAAAGGCTGAGGCACGTATTAATTAATTTGACGTTATATGCTAAAAATGGTGAACGTTTACATCTGTTACGATATATATACTTCAAAATTGTTATTTTGGAAATTAGAAAGGTCATTTAATAAAGGTCAAAATGATTTGGAGTAGAGTGTCCAGTGACAATCAGTATAATAGTAATAAAGCGAAAATGAAAATGTAAAAAATCGTGTGAATAAAATGCATAGTAGGGGAATTTCATCTTGTCAATCGAGATAATAATGATAAATGGTAATAATAATATTGTTGTGTAAATATAGAAAGTGTTATCAAGGTGTTATCAAGGTAAATACGATAAATGAATTGGGAATAATGGATGTGAAGATTAAGGGGAGTAAGAGGTTCATAATATTTAGTTTAGGTATCCTGTGATCCAGTCGTAAACCAAGGCAAACATAGAGATTGGATATACCTTTTCTGGATACATAGATTTGGTTTTCTGGAGTTGATCCAGATGCCTTTCGGCTATGTAAAGTAACCGTAATCTAGCTCCTTGAGGTAGATTTTTCGGAACTTGTATAAAACAGAGAAAGCTTCTTCTGTTTTGATATGATGTTCCCTATCTACCAAGTGAGAAAGCATGGTGCCGTTAATCCATTTGATGACTCCTTTCCCCAACCATGCTGGTACATGTTCACGAACATGCAAGGATAAAGCCTTCTAAGTACGGCCTATGTAACTAGTTGAATTGGTATACACACACGGAGGAGCCCATCTTCGGCAACCTATCCTTGATTAGTTGTGCGAGTACTGGTTTAAACATAAACATTGGTATAAGGAGACACCAAATAGATATGTGTCACATAAATCATTCGATTCGTGTGAGGGCTGGGATACTGCCAGCGTTCCCAAACAGAAGTAGGTGGTTTTCTTAGGGGGCCACAGCCGGAGTATTCGACCTAAAGGTCCAATCCAAAAGGTAGTGGAGCAACTTTAAGATATGCAATCTCATAGCAGACAGTGACCAACCATTGGCTCATACGCCATTTGTTTCCTTAGGATCCTGGAGCCCATGTGCATCACTGATTTAGAATCAGGGTTTTCCAACTCCACTAGGTGGATCCTCCGTATCCACCAACCCGGCTGAACATTCACTTTTCGTCCTATTAATTTCGTAAACAACAGTAATGCCACGAGAAGGCAGTGAGTAGGACTTCCCTACACAATTCATCATTGATTGTTCAGTTTCAATACATACGTAGTGAAGAAGAGACATAAAAAAGGTGAAGAGAAACACAGGCTAGAAAAAAATTAATAATATCGCTTATCGGATTTTCTGTGAACACAGCGACAGCGGTATTGCAAGATCCTTTTAGATACACACACTACATTTTTTAGCTCGAACCTCTGCAGCTTGTACTATATGTCAAAGAAAAGATTGAAACTTGGACGCAAATCACTTTGAGTGCTTCGACTTTGTTGAGCATGTAACTACTATAGGAACAAGTGTGGTAGTACGGAAGTGGGTATAAAATATCAACTGATTCAACAAACCATGAGAGAGAGATGCTTGCAAACTAATTGGCTGACTTATCTAGTAGTACAGCAATAACAATATTATTCTCTGAAATATTTTGTTCCAACTACTTATTAATAGAAACATTTTGTGATGGGCATTTGCAAAATAGCTACATAAAATACCAATAAAATTCTATGACGAAAGGCACCTTTAAATCTCGATGAGCTCTTTCCACCACTGTAACACGAAGACCATCTGGATCAGTTGAACTATTCAAATCATCAAGTTGTAATAGACCATGTACACGTACTGCACAACCAAGTAGACATAATTCACATTCCGTTAATATTTGATCAGTTTGTTCTAAACGAGCAATCCATGCGTCCGCGTCAGCTAATCGACAAGAAAATTCATGACCAGTTAGTGCTAGCTCACTAGCTGCTCTATGTAGGGCATAAAGACTTGTACTCAACAATGTATCTTGTTCATTCAATGATCGTGATTGTAACTGATTATTGATATGTTCTTCTAATTCTGTACATTGAGCACGAACACGAGCTAAAGCATGAGACCACTCCTATGATAGAATCGATTTTAGAAAAAAGAAGTGAAACTATATGTTAAAACAAATTTAATAATAATAATAATAATAATAATAATAATAATAATAATAATAGGTGTTTATGGAGACGGTTGAAATGTCGTACGTTACGCCACGAACTGAAATCAATCAAATAATCGATGAAAATCGGTAGGAATGGAAAACTGTTTCCTAATATTGGACTCGTCATAAATGTGATCACACGATCCCTGAAAGAATACAAGTCACGTCCATCAAGTTTCTTGGCAATCGCTCGGTCTTTAGACTGTTAGTGAGAATCCAATACTTTACGTTTCGAGGCATTACTCAATCATCTTAAAATGCTTTAGTGAATAAATGTCATACATCCGGCACGGTTAAAATCCAATAATTGTCTAAGTTTGATTCTTGATTTAAATTGGGCAAACATAATTAAAAATGAATGAAGTTAGAAACATAATGATCAATGTACTCTCATGTGTCAGTCGATAGAATATAGTTGTTAGCTTGAAACAAGTGATGAAATACGGATTACTGTTAGTTTTTCACTATCGTTAATGCATGATTTGTACTTACATAAAAGCAATAAGGTAATTTGATTCATGTGATGAATTGAAATGAATAAGACAAGTTAATTCTCACATACACAAACAACAGCAGATATCTTAGAACACGTTAGTCGTCAATAATAAGTAGTACAAAGTTTAACCTCCAAATTTCTTAAAGTTCTATATGGTAAGAGTCAACAAATCAAAAGTTCAAGATCTATTATACTATATGAATATTGGGAAAAAACAGTTAAATATTTGGAAGAAGGATTTTTCACATTGTAATGAAAAAGAAAATATATCCAACCTTAGTTAAATCTGATATTTAAATTATTTATCATACAACACCAATCTTGCGTAATCCTTTACTTAAGATGAAGTTCATGTATTAAAAAAAATTCAATATAGCCTAAGAGATCGTACGCCTTTAACCACTGAATATGAAATACATCTGAGGATATTGCGATCAAGTCATTTAAAATAACATCTCTCTTCTACCTGACAGAAGGGATATGTCAGTGGTTAAGAAGTTCGACTTTCCAGCAATAAGTTGCAGGTTCGAACTCTATCCCATCTACTTCAATCTGGGTAGCAGGGTAGTATCATTATCTTACACAGCCATGGCGTAGCTCGAGACTCAGTATGCGAATCTGTACCTAAATAATTAACCAATGAAAAATTAGCCAATCATTTAAATGTTCCTCACATTTAAAGCTAACAACATATCAATGATCGATTGTATCTTCTTTCCAGTTGCTCAAATATTTGGAGATTTTTGTGAGATTTCACGTGTATATAAAACATAAACTCAATAACTTATCTACAATTTATCAATTAAGTCGTGAAGTAATGCATGTATAAGTAAATTATTGGACTTTCAACCAGTTGGTTGTAAGTTCCGACGGCCTTCACCCACACAAAATAGTGTAATGCAAGAAAAAAAATCAGAAATTGAATACTGATTGTTATCAAGTCAACTGCATGAAAACTACGACTATAATCCATTATCTAAACACACAAATAATTGAATAAGAATGTAGTAAAGTGAATACTCTGCTTAAATATTCAAATATAATATAGAAGAGATATAGAGGAACTTCATTTATGTACACAGATGCTTGAAAGTCGGCATAACGAGTTATTTTTTCTTAACAACATGGATTTACAGTATGGAGTTATAAAGATTGCGGATTATTATTGTGGTGACCGAGAAAACGCAGGTCCTGGATTCAATACGTAATGGGGTCATCGATGCGCGTTTCTGAAAAGTTTCATTTTCAGAGAAAAAAGCTGTTCAATACATCCTGGTTTTGTAACCTGAGTATTCTCATGATCTCAATAAATTGAGTTCTACTTATTCATATATAATTAATTTATTAAATAACAGGGTGTTTTATAGTACACAATAACACAGAGAGAAGAAAAAAATCCAAAGTAGAAAAGTACATACAATCAAAATTCTTTCATTTTGCTTTACACACAAATACTCTCATGATGAGAAATATTTTATTTAAAGTTCTACTTTTTATTATTATTTTTTTTTCCTTTCAAATTTAAATTATAACAATTATTTAACAAATTAGGTAAGAATATATATATTTATAACAAGATACAGGTCAATCATTTTGTAGAAAAAAATGTCATATGAAATAGGTTTAAAATACAATTTTACATCTAAATTATTTTAGTTCAAGTGTTCAGTACATTTAACTTTTTCATCAAGTACATGTTTGTATAGTCGGCTTGGAATCACGATGTTTTTGAAATGACTAGTGTTACGTCCTTGAATCTATCTACCTACTTCAGTGCCGAGTATAACTTTTCTAACGTAGATTAAGACCTTGACGAGATAGGCTGACTGGCTTAACCTTGAGGCTAGTATGTGTGAGTTCGAAGTGGGGGTAGAGAGATGAAAACTATCCTATCCCTGATTGGCTGGCAAGCATGCGCGCGCGCGAGAGAGAGAAGACAAGGACAACTGGAACACTAATCACTTGATTCCAATCCCGATCTAGCACTCGAATTCCGAATTCAGATTAGCGTAAAAAGATACATGAATAAATAGATGAATAACCTGACCGCAACGTACAATAATTAAGAAATACAATTGTCCATAATTGGGGGATTAGAGTAGAAAATAGAGTACAAAAGGTTACGTCTAAATTACAATAGCTTCGGAACAGAAAATGCTATGGCAGTGAATCATACATAAAACGAAAGCTCATAATCTGTAGAATAGACCAGGGAGTAAAAGTAAATGTTAGTTTTACAAGCTTTGATTTAAATGAAATAACGTCCCCAAAAACAGCTTCCGTAGTTTGTTAAGGCTTCTTGTTTCGCGGTTCAAACCAACTAGTGATATCACATAGCTGACTATAATGAAGTACATAGAGAGAAGTTGGAACTAGTAGCCTACTGATCGAAACCCGAATGCTTTAACTATTGCATTAATGCTTATTGTGTTCAAGTATAGGTTGAAAATATATAATCTATTGTCTTAGAAGCGTTGGTCATACACAGCGGAACCACTGAGTAATTATAATTTTTGTGTTAATAGTTGATGAAGTTATCCATCTTCATAGACATTTGTTATTCATTATTTATTCACCAAAACGGTAATCATGAATCTTCAGGTTAAATAAATGATTAAAGCTAATGAAAGTAGTAAAAAAGAAGACTGACCTTGTGATCCCTGATGCGAACTTCCATATCTACTGATCTACCTGGTAAGGGTATTGAATTTGACTCTCTAAGACGTACTGTCAACGTACTCAACACTGTTCTCAGTTCATCGATAATTGAATAAAGTTCTGATGATTTAATCAATAAACCTTCATTACTAATACTATTCTTGTCATCAATAACTTGAACACCATTCATCTGTTCAATACAACTATTTTGAAAATCAAGAAAATGTTGTTTAAATTTCTCCACTTCTGTCGCTGGTACATTAGCTAGTTGTAATTTTAAACAATAACGTTCAGCATCACGATAAATTACCTGAATAAAAAAGACGTCAATATATAAAAAGAATAAACACGTTCACATACAATGTATTTAATGAAGAGAATTCAGTAATTTCCACTACAGTTTTTCATTAAATAATGACATCGATTTTGAAAAAAAGGCTAAAAAATTCTCATCATATTAAAACTCAATTATACGAACACGGAAATGAAAGCATCATTGGAAGAAACTGAGTGATATGAACAGTTGTATTTGTAGTAATTTGGAATTCTTAGCTAGAAAACATCAAATAACAGAATCATCGGATTTTGTGGATGGAAAGGAAACTGCTGCACAACTTTAGAGCGAAATACCAACATTGAAATTTCACACAACAGCATGGTATAATGAGTGAATGAAAATGTACCATTAGTACTAAATAATTCAGATTTATACTGACTCTAATAGGTGGCATGTCAACAGAGTTAATGACTTTATAATTTCCAACGGTTTAGATTGTCCTGTCGTTGATATTTTGACGCTCTGCTCAAGTAAGTGGATATCTGGACTCACTAGCTAAATGGATGATAGGGTGGGGTTCGAAGAAAGTGGCAATGGGTTCGAGTCCCAGAAAGAATCACAAATATAGGATGCAGGTGTATCTAGCTGACAAGTCCCAAATACGACGAGACGGATGTCTTAGATTTCAACGATGTCTATATTCGATCTATTTTGCATAAAAGAGTTAATGACTGATTTAAACATTATGTCATGTTAAGTATCGATCAGAATAAGGTTTTATTAAATTCTACAAATACTTTATAGAAAATCATATACAGAGTTAATTAAACGACCGTTCTGTAAAATCACTTTCATCCTGGTAAATATTTATCAAGTAATATCAAGTAATCAGTCCATCTTTCTTTTATAGGTTTAGGTTTAAGAATTTTCATCAATTTTTTCCATTCTACATGAAGTATATTTTGGCTCAGTACTTGATAGTCTACATAGAAAGTGTAGATTGAAGGCTTTATGAACTGATATCAATTACATTACAAATTAAAAGACTAAGGGATACTAGATATATATTTTATTTTGAAATAAAACTCCATAATAGTTTTCACTTATCACCTATCAAGTCTTGGGATGAGAACAATAGCTCTCAACCAACGAATCAAATGGTCTGCACTTTTCAGTTTCATTCGATCGATAAGATAAATCAGTTATCAACCTATTTCAACTGAAGATGTTTACTTGGTTCCTAGCTTGGTCAATCCACTGGTTATAAGCTTTTAATTAAGACCTTAGGAAACCTATCTCAAATTAAATCATAAGTACTAGATTATAGTAGAATTACTTCATAATCAGTCTTTGCAATAACATATTACATTAACGAATAAAAATTAAAACATGAATATCACAGCTGGATGGATATAAGTGTAAATGTGTATGTGAAATATTTTTTTCTTTAAATAAAGTTCAAATTCTTTTACTTAAGGCTTTATATAATATGAAAGATAAATGGTTACATACAAAAAAAGCGTTGGGTTAAACATAATCATGTGGTACATACTGAATATGAGATATAGGAAACAGGGAAACTATTAAATAATAATAATACGTTATTCATGTGAAGAAACAATGTTTTTAATTTCAAAATCATGAAATATATGAGTATCATTATATTAATTGATAATAGAAGCCAATAACAGAATGTAGGTTATTGATATCACTAAGTGAACTGATACGACGATAACGAACGAATTACACCGAATAAAACATGTGAATGATCGATGACAATCGTTTTTACCTTAGTATCTTATATTTAACTGAGAAATATGAATATAAAGAAAACAATAGCTGGTCTGTGGTTGTGAAGACTTTTAGTTTAGTTAAATGATAAGTCTTTACTTGAAGGTTCAGCCAATCTTAAATATTAATGAAAAAGAAAATCGTTGTACCTTTCACACCGATAAGTTCAACAATAAACAGATACTATTTAAATGGGATTGTTTATATCGCATATCCTAACAATATGACTGAAAATTTCAGTGGAAGAAACTTCAATATTATTGACCAACAGTTTGAAATATTATTATATAAATGAGTCATTTTGTTTTAATAAGATACCTATGTTAACGGAATATACCTATAACCAAATAAGTGATGATATTTTCAGTGTGACTTGAAAACGAAACTCATTAACCTTATTTTCTAAACTGATCTATTGAGTTATAAGAAAAGATGGATAATGGTTGGCAGTGGGATCCAGGACATGCATCTCGACCCATTTCGGACTTGTCAGCTGGGCGTACCTACATACGAGCTGATATTCACTCCGGGACTAGAATTAAGGCTATATCGAGGCAATACGCACATATGCCAATAAGAGACTGATCAATTGCAGTCCAAAACATCAATGGAAAGATTTAAGTAAACAATACCAAGTGAATTTAATCTATTTAATCTTTAGAATTTTATGAATAAAGTGTTTAATTATTAATTAGTGTTTTATTTTATTGTCAATTAGATGGTATGTCTAATACAAAATGACATCTTAAAGGTGATTACTGCATATGAATAAGAAGAAAGGTGATGAAACTTTCAAGAAAGATTTCATGGTTCAAGAGAAGGCAATAAAATAAGTAGGGATTATGCATACAGTACAAAGTATGCCAATAAAATTAGGTGTCAATTACGAAGCGTCCGATTTTCAAGCAGTACAATGATAATGAAGTGTGAAAGGTCACCAAGAGAGATCCATTAATTTAAAGTCAGAGTTATAATCAATTCTTAGGAAAGAACCAGCTTGACATTCAATAGTTCAAAACATCTAATTTACATATTTTTTCTTTCGACCTGTAAATTGCCGTAATTTCAATAAACCTAATTTAATTATTAGAAAAAAATTCCAGTTTATTAAAAAAAAACGTACCATTTGTTTGAATGCAGTTTTTACTAACAAACGAATTACTGACAAAGAGGGGAGCAAAAGATAATTAATATGACTTCATTTTGAGATTCTACGATACTTTGAACGGAATCAATATCATGACCTTTAGGTGAGCATACAGACATACACACAAAGGCTTTTTCACCATTATTTCTCTAAAGGAGTTTAAACGATTAGTACTAAAGAAATATTGTTCGTTCAATTTTAACACTAGATAAAGGACTACATCAAAAAATTAATTTTTTGCAGGAAGCTGTTTATATATATATACATAAGTGTTCAGTATGCACTCTTGACAATAAAAATGTGATGTGTGAGCGAGAATGATAATGATTGGTTGTTTTTGCTATTTTCGGGGAACCAATATTTCCTGCGAAATTTGAATCCTTATCATTTAGTATCACACGGTGAAATGTAACCATTGAGCTATTCAGGCATAACTGACCTCCTGTAGAAGTGACATATTTGCTTTTATCAATCATTGAGTAGTGGGTAATGTCATGTTTGCTTGGCGCTGCTAATTAACATTAGAACATAATAAACGGGATGTTTAATCACTTCGACTGGTGACCAGATTACAACTTGGACGATAGAATCCAATCAGTATAAAGGACTAGACAGGAATGGCATTGAACCCAATTCAGAGATCAATCAGAGTAACTATCGATGATCAAAACACTCTATACGCGATGCGCACGACGAGGTAAAAGGTTTTTCGGTGGAATATAGAAGATTCAGGAAGAAAGGAGTAGTAAGCGAAATAATAGCCCGATTTCGAGATAGCCTACGGTAATTCCCGATTATGAAAGATTGGAATATTCTTCTAATACGAAACAGAATATTCGTGAAATAAATAGTCTAGGCAATTATACACAAAACTTCAACAATAATCCAAAAACGAATTACGGAGATAAAAACAGAGACTTCAGGAGAGCTTTCATATTCTCAACAGAAGTCCAAATATTAAACTAAAAGTGAGGACAACCAATCAAGTAACATCAAACGTCTAAAGGGAAATATAAGCTTAAATAACATTATCACATACCTCCTTACACATCGGAACGACAAATGATCAAAGTAATGAACATATTTAGTTAACCTGGGGTTAATGCGTTTTTCCTAACAAATGTAACTTGATTAATAAGTACAAATTCATTTAATCGGTTTGGAAGCCATACTTATTCCATAGGGTCTAATGATATTACACTTTAAATTGAAGCAGAGATAGTGAGGTTTGAGCTTGTGCATGAATGGCTGTAATTCAACTACTACCATCCCATTAATAAAAAAAACAGAGAAACAATGATTGAAGAGGATGAAATATAAAATTTCAGTAAATAATTGTTTCAACTCCAAAACGATGTTATTCAAAATCTTTTTTATGAAATAATTCAGATAAAATAATTCATCTTACTTTTCGTATGTCTATTTGTTGTGGAATATCATACTGAAGAGGTGCACCATCAATAAACTTAGACATTGTTACAGTTAATAAATGTCCATGTATTCGTAAATTTAATTCAGACCAACATGTTTTAAAATGTTGTAAAGTTGTAATAATACGTTTAGCTCGATCCATCGCTTCACTACAAGGCCAACATGGTAGAAAACATGTCAAAGGAACAGTTAATGTAGATCCATTAGCTGTACGAACCTATTGAAATGAGAGAAAAAAGATATATATAATCATACTTTTTGGAAGAAACAGACTATCTTTTGTCGGTTTAGAGAGTTTTATAAGTCAAAATGAATGAGAATGAAAACAGAAACAGTAAGAAGTATGTAAATATCTAATTTATGTCTACAATATCGTATTATTGTAGTAGAGTTGATTAACTACGGTGAAACTGAGTTTTCATGTTCAATTATTATTTTTATGACATAATGATGTAAAACCCTTAATGTTCCAAAACTATCATAATAAAAGCGACTGTGAATTGACTGAAGATAGAGGTTGAATTTTCTTTTGAAAAGTGATCAGTTTGGATATACAGACAGTATTGTGAACAGAACACTAGGTGGGGACAATCGAATGTATTTAAGCAAAGATTACAGACTATCTCAGTAAATTCTGATTACCAAACAATGAACAGTCAATTTGCAAATTAACAACCAATTGTTTCAATCTTCACTGTTTCTTCTCTTATTCCATTGCTCATGCATTTTCCAAACGATTGCGCTTCATTTCAGTTCTTTGCTCATCGGTCTTCTGCGAAAATACATTCTATGTCTGACCCACACCATATACTACTTATATAGATATAAGTAGACAACACCACACTCGTCCCCCCTTTAAAGCATTCGTTCATACGGTGGTTCTGCTCGCCACGCCACTATCTTCTTTCACTGCAGTCTGTGCCAAAAACTCCGTCAGAATGTCGAGTCTGCGGCGCGCTGACCTCCATAGCTCCGTCGACTTGCCGGGGCACCAACATCCACATACACCCGGCACCTGGGACGTTCAACACCCGTACTCCACCGGCCTGCTGAGCCATCTACATCCGATGTCCGCCCAGCAGCCACACGTCCCACTGCTCCTCTCCGTCGACAGCACCCGCTACAGCCAACGCCGCCCCGCCAGAACACTACACTCGACGCCACCCCTCCGCACCAGACTGCCCCAACTAGCACCTCAACTCCAGACCCGCAGCGGCGTCCGCAGAACAGCACCCTTCCTCCTCCCGGTTGGCAGCGACACCAAATGTAGTGAACAAAACACTAGTTGGGGACAATCGAATGTATTTAAGCAAAGATTACAGACTATCTCAGTAAATTCTGATTACCAAACAATGAACAGTCAATTTGCAAATTAACAACCAATTGTAGACAACACCACAACAGTAATACAGTTTACTGTGACGACACTAAGAAGAATAATAGTATTTTAGATGGAAATGAGCACGGTAAGAGTATCGAACAAACGTTTCTTATCTTTAGAATGTGAAACAATGCAAAAAATCAAGAATTTGTATCAGTAATAATTTTAATTGTGAAGAACGAATTGCTGAACTTATAAACTTGTATATATTAAATATAACAGACAGGTGATTGCTTAAATCATGAAGTGAAATAAATTTAAACGGTATGGAAAAAACACCCACCAAAGTAATTAATTAGTCCCCATTTTATGATATACGTGATATGAAACTAAAAATGTATCTGATCATTAATGCTGAACCAGAATATCTAAGTAGTAACTTGTAGGAAAAAAGAGTAATCAGGTGAGATTATGTAATTATTAATTTACCTGAAGCTTATGATTCTCTGGATTTTCCAATATTATGAAAAAATCACCTTTATCAAAATAACCTGTATTGTTGCCGATTGGCCAAAATATTGGTTCTATAACACTACTAATACTAGTGTTTGCAATCGATAAATGACTTGTATTGACGGAATTAACGATTGATACATCACCGGAATAGGATTGATTATCGGAGAAATAATCTTTTGGTTGAAATGAACATAGAACACGTATACGTCGACCAATCAAAGTTGTTGAACTATCTTGTGCATCCACGTGACTTGGTATTGGAGGGACAATTTCTTGACTTATGTCTACTAATTGAAATATAAATGACTCTTGACCAATTACACGAGTATGAAGTTCCTGTGCAATAGTGTTAAGAGAAAGAGAGAAGAGATCAATAGTGATAAAAAATTATTTGTAAAAATGTTTAAGTTCATTATTTTTTGGAGGAAAATGAGCGTTTCATAGAAAATTTAATTTGGCTTAGAATTCAAATAATTCACTACTGAATGATACTTAGTAGTTGTAGTAAAAAACAATAACGAACCCCATTAAAAAAGTTGAGATGATCTAAATACAAAAAATTTATTTCATTGTTTCAAATCAAGATGTAACATTGATATGAGCACCTAAACTTATTTTTTGTCTAATACATTGAACAAACAAATGATACATAAAGTCAATATTAAATCAGTTTTTACTTCTGAAACCAATTTATATGGGCAAATTAATAAATTCCTCCATTGAATTATTCAGTTATTCTCTTTATTTAGTAATTAAACGCAAACTATAGTAGATACAAAGAATGATTTAGGTCGATAATGAAAATTATGACTTAATAACAAGTTTCAAATCATTTAGAAGTTCAGATTTATCATTGATATTGACGAACAAGAAAACAAAATAAACAATTAAACAAAAATGTATTCATCATTATAATTAAAATAATATGAAATGATGATGATGACCTGAAGATCTCACTGGAACAATAGATCATATTCATTTTATTCACATTCCTCTCTTTCTCTCTCTCTCCTTAAATAGTCCAATAGTAGTATAGCAAATTTTAATAATAATTATTATTTACAATTTCATATCATTTTTATTATTTGTTATGTATACAGATGAAACTGGTTTGACTGATTGAAATCATAATTATTTTTTTTAGTTTAAGTAAAGTTATTTTGATACATTCACTATCAAAATCATGTTATATTGAAATTTTCTGTAGTATAATAAATACAGTTTTAAGTGATTCTCACTTTCGAATTCAATAATGAAAAATGAATATGATTGTTCAATATAATCAACAGTACGTAGGAAGAAAATGTATTTCAAAATAGAATTCATATTAGGATAATAAAGAAGTTTGAATCAGTAATTAGAACAAAAAATAGAAATATTCATCAATTCAAGCTGTGACTGATAGAGTTCAGACTTGTAGGGGGTGCTACAGATGACAAAAATGGAATTGACTGATCGATTAGATATATTAAGAACTCATTGACGCTGGTAATTTTGACATTGAAAGCCAGCTCAGTACATCTAGACACTAAGCATTACTATATGACTTAAGTGTCCCAAGTTAGACCCTACATAGGGTCTTGAATGAGCACCATAAGGAAGTCTCATATTAGGATGAAACAGTAACCCAGTATTTTCGGGTTTTTAATAATTGTTTAAGAGCAGGACTTAATTAAAACTATTACAGTCAAATCCAATTGACTAGACCTAAACACCATCCCAGGTACCTTTAGTCATACAAAATTAATCGGAATAAACAATCATCAAATATATACAATTGTAAATCCAAGAACAGGAATAATAACTCATATTGTTTTTACAAAAAATGTATTATGTCTGTAAAATGTATATCATATTAGCAACATTTCATTTAGACATTTTGTGCTAAAAAAGAAAACGTAATTTAGATTATTATTACTAAACTATTCTATTCACAACATTAAAATAATCAATATTATTGTTTAAATTGGCATGTACTATGATTGATCTACTGTAAACTAGACAATAAAAGGGACTAACAATGATCAACATCGTGTAAAATCAATTAAAAAAGTACTAGAAAGAAAAATCATGAAGATGAATGATGACCAGTTAATTTCATTGAATTAGATAGTTGGTTTTAAATGTGTCAATCAACATTAATCTTATTGATTATATGGCTTTAGAAAACCGATTAATCTTGAAGCCTGTATGCTTACTATAGATGATGAGAAAATATCAACTTTTTAGCTATAAGAATGTGACTAAATTGTATAAAGCATCAAATTTCCAACGGTTTGGGTATTATTTTGAAGAAAATATCCTTAACGTACTGTAGGTTCGTTGGTTGGATGATAGCTTTAGAAATCATTTAAAGATTTTTTTAAAGAAAACAAAACAACTATATAATAGTAGCAATAGATTCCTCAGTTGATCACTTCTAAAGAAAAACGGAACGATAAATCAGATTTTATCTGGACAGAATATACATAAACTTTTGCTTCACCAAAACATCTCTGTTTTTTTAAACATTTTCAAGTTATGTGAGTCGTTAAAGGGACCTTGAAAATTCTTTTAAAACTCCATTGACTGATTTTCATTAAATTTTTAATAACCATTCTATATAACAGTGTTAGAATGTGTTTGCAATGAAGATGCTTTGTTAGGCCAACATAACGTGTCCTTTCCAAACGTATATCCGAACACAGTTCACCATGATTATTGAGTGGTGAAAGCAAATTAGTCAATCGTTTGATTGGTGAACATTTAGTCAATTCTGGTCATTGATCACTACAATAATCCATATTATAAAAGGTTAATATAGAAATAGAACAAGCAAACTTCAATCAATTCATTTAAGAAATGAGTCAAAATCCAATAATTAGTAGCATTGACCATCATAAAGACTGTTACTTAAACAGTAATTGTTCGCTTCTACTTACTTGTAATTGCTTGAGAAGAGCTTCACCTTGTTCAGTTGTTGTTGCATTTAACGTTGATTCATAAAGAGAACGTAATTCCTCTAATGATGTAGTTAGTAATAATTCACATTGTTCAACATCATTGAAAAAACTTTGAAATCGTGCACTCTGTTCTATATGTGCTTCAAAACAATATGTTAATTGTAATAGCCAAGCCCAATGACGCTCTAAAGCATTCAGATAAGTCTAAAAATGAAATATTTTAACGAAAGATTATTAATCGTAAAGCTAATCGTATAATAATTATGATTGAAATTTAAGTAGCCTACTCATTTCATTAAACAATAAAAAAATATTTTACAGTCAGCATTATTATATCGTATATGCCGTATCATACATAATAACGACAAAAAATAGAAGGGAAACAGTAGAAATTTTTTTAGAAACAAGACAAATAAGTAGTAGATTTGTAAAAAGTTTAAAAATTAATCGATATGTAAAAACCGGTATATAGAGAAAATATGGATTTTGGTTAGTACAGGAATTCAGGATGCGTGTTTTGTTCAATATACAATTCGTCTGTTCAATGTATCTCTACCTATGTATTGGTATACACAAGAAACTCGAACCTAGCATCTATCATTTCAATCCTTGATGCACCACGCAATCAGCTATTGTATAGGTTTGTAATTTCTCATTGTTGACATACGCCAAATGATATTTCTCAATGTTAGTTCTCAACAGTAACAACGAGGAATTAAAAAGCCTTACTAACAGAGGATATAGATTGAAAAGAACGATTGAAATTAAAGAATTTGGGAGGAATAATGAAAACTGAATATCTATAGAGAGATAAAGAACGACACATTTTGGGTCATGTTGCCTACAGTAGTCAACATTAAGCGTTCGGTTAACTTATGGATTACAATCAGGAAGCTTACAAACCCCCCCCCTATTGGTCTGGTTAAGGAATTCATGTTTGAACTGCCTCTATCCAAAAGAGAAGTAACTACATTTATAAGTCTGTGTAACAAACTATAACGAGGCTATTGAATAGAACGTCGAGACAAGACATTGATCATTAAACACTTTAAATTAAAGGAAATATTTCCATAGAAAAAATAAGCTGTATTAAACACAATAGTTGTTTTGATTTTCAAAAAAAGACTCTGTAAAATAGTACAATAATAATATATAGTGTACAACCTCTGAATAAGCAGCTATTCAGTTAACTGATTACTCAAACTGAAATAAGTATTTCTAAATGTGGATCCATAACTTAATGATTGAAATCTAAGTGGTTTCATCGTTAGAACCACTGTACCATTCTGTATTATTAATAATTTAATAATACTTTGGTAACAACTAAAAATCATCTCAAATTTAATACATACGAACAGAATAACGATAAATCCAGCACATACCTGTACAAGATCAGTTACATCATAATTTTCCAATTGGATAGATGAGCCCAGTACACTGAGTTCACTGTAGACAATTTCTTTTTCATGTATTTCATGCATGAGTTTCTAGAATTCGAAAGAAATAAGTATACAAAATACTTAATATTAGCTAATATATTTGTTAAATAAAAAATATCTTTACACAATTATATACATTAGACAAAATCAGACAGAAATACTGATGCAAAATGCGTTAGATTAATTTATGAAATACTTAAGAAAATGAGTAAAAAATAAATTTAAAAATCCGTTTGCATGTTGACACAGTTATGTTTGAGGGAGATATTGAAAGGCTAGACTTTTTTTTCCTAGAAAAGAAACAATAATATAAAAATGTAATAAGAAAACTAATTTTATAGAAACTAATGAACTGGGATATATACATTGATATCGTCAGTCATAAAAATCTACCCTTCATATGGAAGTACATGACTGATATTACAAGCGAAAGTATCTGTTGTTGATTGATGAGTGATTAAGGACGAGGATATTCGGCTAAGCAAAATATGATTCAAATTTTATATTGTTTTTATCTTCACTTATTGACAGTTTCGTAGTATGCGTTAATAAACTCTCGTTCTGGTCTTTATTTGATAATTGACCATTGGTTTAATAATTGAGTCAAATGTATCATGATTTAATGAGTGTATTGATCTAGCATCCAGCGCAATGAGCTAATCTTAAGTGCATTGACAATAAAAGTCTTATATTTTCCGTTATAAAAATGACACAGACGGCTGGCTTAAATTATAAAAAGATAAAATGTTTTGAGAATAGGCTTTTTCAAAAGATTCGTCAGCAATATCTCTTAAAACCTCAAGATTTATCAACCGTATGTTTTTTGAAGTCATAAATATGATTTTTGCAAACTGTTACATATTTTAATTTGGTACAACGCAGTTGAAAACTGATTTCTACAAAAGATGATTTTTATGATAAACAGCTGCTACACTATTCAATCTAGTGAACACATTTTACGATAGCGTGAATATTTGTAATTAATAAGAATTTTCCTCATTCATCTTAATAAAAATACAGAAGTTTTACACTTGTGCACGGTTCTGAGTTGCTTTATTTATATAACTATCAAAATGTAATCGTGTATTACACTGTTATATGAATAATGAGGAAGAAAATGATGAAGTTGACGAGGACAGCGACAATAACGACAATTAGGAAAGAAATATATATATGCAATGAAAGTTCCTCGACTTATCTAAGTAAAATAAACTTGTAGTGTTGACAGTAAGTGGAATTTTATCATTTAAATACATTTTTAAAGAAAAGATCGTAAATATGATAAGGTTCAAGATTCTTCGAGAAAATGGAGATAATACTGAAAAGAATAACTATACTAAACCATGGATAGATTTCTAGGTAGGAATAATACAAACAAGACGAAAGCTCATTTAAAAAATTACATCACACATTGTTTAGAATATCAAAAACTTCAAACTACGAAGAATTATAATCAGACCGGTATAAAAAAAATTGAAGACCATTCTCATAAATAATCCACAGATTCCTTTTTTTCGCTTAAATATGAACTCAACAAGAAGGTAGTTCTATTAATTGTTCGTCATGTTACTAGTTAGCAAATATAATATAACTTATGATCTTATCATTTCACATAATTAAAGAAAACCTTGCTCAAATATCTAGAATGATAACTTGTGAAAATATCTTGGTAATCGCTCTACACATTTCTGATACATGTAGTTTACGTATGTAAATTTTATAAACATTATATAATTCAACTATTTCAACCTATTTAAATTCCAATATTCTAATGGTAATTGAAATCCAACAACAACAAATTAGTAATTCAATAATTTAAAAAAAAACGAAAAGGAACAGTTTGTTCACTTAGAGTTTTACTTAACAATTTTATATCTAATTATAAGCACTTCATATGTGAATTTATTATTTTAATACAATAATTTCAATGATAATCAATACAATCTAAAACAAAAAAACACAACGTGTACTTCTTAAATTTTAATTCTTCGAAACAATCAATGATCTATATATACTGTCCTGATTTATAAATAAGTAATTTCATGGGATTATGTAGAAAATGCAAATAAAGATCAATAGGATCAATATTTCTAACCGGACAGAGAGAGAGAGAGAGAAAGAGAGTGGAAATTAAATACTGACAACAAAAGAATATAATAATAATCATAATAACATCAATAAAAAGGTGAATGAAGAAAAATAGAAATAGAAATGAAAAAAATGACCTATCTGTTAGAAATGTGCAAGTATTATACATAAAAAAATGATTTGATAAATCTTCTAATCATAAAAATAACGGTAATAATTAGAAACGCTTATAAACGCAGTTTGTTTAATACTTTTTAACATATCTATACACACAAATACGTATATACATGCCATTCGAATAAATGGTTAGATGAACCTATGATGGTATGGATAAATGAAAGTATTGAAGATGCATAAAATAAGTAGACAATAACAAGTACCTTTAACTAATTATGTATGGTTCGGTACTTTAAACATTATCATAAAAAGTAAATGAATTGACAATAAGTCATAAAAATGTTATCAGCATTTAAGTTGAAAATATTTAACATGCAAAACATGATCCTATTTAGATTTGAAGAATAAAGATTTGAAGGGGTTTTGTGTAGATTTTAGCAATTTTATATAGTTGAGATCATGAGTCAATTGAAGCTAGACCACCATGAAGGACCTGAAAGCACTGAACGGCCGTTTCGTCCCATTATGGGACTCCTCAGTAGAACGCATCCAAGATCCCGCCTCGTGAGATTCGAAACCAGGACCGACCAGTCCCGTACCAGGACAATTAATCGATAGACCACTGGGCCGGCCGGCATCCAACGCTGTTAATGTCTAACTTCAATCAATCCACGGAGTTTGAGCAACCGTTCACCAACTGCCTTCAGTGAATTGATATCTCCAAAACAGACGTGGTTGAACTCTACTGGTCACTGCTTCCCACTAGAACTTCAAGAAATATCTCTTGAATTCAGTCACTAGTGAGCATATGATTATAGATCAGAAGGGGTTTTGTGGAGATTTCAGTATCTTCATAGTTGAAATTTTGAATCAATTGAAGATTTCAATTCTTTATGTTCAATTTGTCGTAAAGTAAATCATATCACATTAAAAGACAGTTTATAATTATGACATATAGGTGTAGCTATAATTACACATTGTACATAGTATAAAATTACAGTTTTTTTCACCTTAAGTTAATCATCATCAAAGTGATAAATAACTTGTAGCTTTATAAACTACGATAAGAAATCGAATGAAACAATTTAATACCTAATAACATATACATAATTATATTGAGAAAAAACAAACTCAACGCATTGATTGAATAACAAAATAATAAAAAAAATATACATAACAAAAAGAAAACGAAAATAAAATTCAGTTAGAAAGTGGTTCAGATCACAAGGCTGTATGTAAAATCGATCAATCAATCGATCGGTTCAACAATCAATTCTTTCACTCATTAGACAAACATGCTTGTACACGTTGTAAGAAAAAAACATAAAGGAAGTATGAAAGCAATTGACATAAATTTATATTTCTTTTTTATTCATTATAAATCACTTTGAAGTTGTAACTCAATAAATAAATAAACGTTTATGCACTCGGTTTCCAATTATACTTATTTAAATTCTTAAAAAGATTATCTATATCAAATAGCAATTAAAAACTGTAGTTTGTAGGATAGATCCTGGACATACTAATAATCCATTGGTTTAAAGGATGAATGATGTAATTAGTCTAGTGCTATTAGGTGTGTGAGTGTTTTTCACTTCCCGGTTGTCCATACTATAGAAGGGTACTTCTTCTTGAAGTGTTTGAAAAGTGGTTTCCCAAAAATTGGCAGCGGGATCACAGAGTTCAGAGAACAAATACTCAAAACCGCTTACGCACGACTTTTATTCGAGTAGTTCCTGGTGTGTTTTAAACGGATTACTGATGACAATCATATCCATGGGGCAAAGTAAAGTGTACAGTTTCTCAGTTAGAAATTTTTATATTTTCCTTTTTTTATAAAGAGGCAGAATGGATGAAAATGCTGGTTCTTTATACTCATTAATTGGTAATGCTTTCTACTTAGTGGACGTTTGTGAAAAAGTTAAGTTTAAGAAGTGATGATCTTAAGTTAGAATGAATATTATTAAAATACTTTTGAGTATGATGAAAATGAATGAGAATAATGTTGATTGACAGTGCAGAAAATGCTATCGAGTGACAGTGCATTCAATATTTAGTGTGATCTTTTTCAGCATTGAATGAAATGTTTCTGAGGTCCCATAGTACTGATGCAAACATTACGAGAACTACATCTATTTAGCTTACAATTGTCTTTATTTTCAAACACCAATGAATAATGAACTTCATGAAGTGGTATCACAGAGTAAATATCTATTAATTCGGTTCACAATTGATAGAATAATTTTGATGAATTACACCGATTTTTAAATGTCATATTTAAGTTAGAATGTAAGCCTATCAACCTAACAGAATATGATTACTAGTCTCCATGATCATAATTATATACATATGTAAACATATGGAAGTTTAATGTAAAGCGAAAAAATCAACCAATTATACTAACAACTGACTTGAAAATCAATTCGAATACGATCTAGTTCATCATGGTAAATTTCGGTCCAATCTCGAGTCACTTCACATGATTCATGTTCCCTTAGCCAAATTAATTCATTATGGGCACGTTCTACGAATTCCAACAATGACTTCGACATATTCCGACGTTTTAATGAAACTTCCTAATAAATATTGTAAATAAATTGTGATATTTAAAATAGAAATGAGTAAAATCTAGGACAAGAAAATAGAGAGGAAATTATTCAATTACAATAAAAATAATAACATTTCAAAGATAACAGAGTACCAAGTTGATAAGTGAATATGCACTAGACCATTTATATTTCTTTAAAACAATGTTATACCCAAAGTTTCTTCTCAATAGTTTTATTGAAATCCCTGGAACAATAGTAGTTCAATACCAAATGATTTTCTAGATTTATTTTGATCACTTTAGGGTGTTTTATCACGCTGCTTTCGCTCCACATGACAACGTACAAAAAAGGCATGTTAACATATTTGGAGCATGTCAACTAATATAAAGCTTACACAATAGTCAATCATCTCATGAGTTTCCTATTGCCTGCTTAATCCGGTCAGCTTGTTTCGGTACTAACAACAAGCGAATAACTTTTGAAGAAACCTATCGGTCTATGAGACAAGCATAAGTCAAACTAAAGTTAATTGTTTATGAAACAAAATTTTACGCAAATCATTTGTATTTGATCAGAAACAGACTCAATTATGTCGTATGACTTTGACATAGGGACCAATCTAAATCATTGGGAGTTAACATGGTTTATGTATTTTCGTTGATATCTACGTATACATTACATTGTTTAAGTAAATATAAGTCGTTTTTGCTAATCTAGCTGAGCTTGTTATTTTGGTGAACATAAAATGACGTACTTAGTACACAGAAAGACAGAACATACAAAATCAGTGGGATTAAAAAATTAGTGAATTGCAAATATGGAGAAAAAATACTTCAGTGATGAAATTACGAATGAAGAACGAAATAAAACTATTTCAATCATTCTAAATACAAAATCATTTGTTGCATACCGATTAAATACAGGAATTACGGGTAAATGTTTCCAATAAAAGTTCATTGGATAATATTTCAATTATTTAACTCTATATTTTTATCGTATTCTTACAATATACAAAAGGTTCATTCACATAAGCAATAAATGCTGGTAGAATACTACATAAATAAACTGTATTCACAGATAGTTTACTGGTTAGATTAAATGACCTGTAACAGTTAGGTGGCAAGTTTAAGTCAAGCTCAGTTTATCTGGATTATATCCGCCAAATAGTATAAGTAACCATCAAAAATAAAAGTTTTAGGTCGGAGGCTCAATAAACAAACCTGAACTTTTATACTCAATTTTATTAAAAATTTGATTAGAATACAGTATGATCGAATTTATTCGTTGAAAAATAAAATAAAACACACAGTTTATCTAATACTTATCTGAAGTGTCAAAGTTATGTGTTGCGCCCTTCTAATCACCGTTTATGTTAATATATAATCCTGGTCGGTATAGAAGTGGGTTGGAAGAAAGCTATTAGCGGGTAAATTAAAACGTAACATTAATCTGTAAAGTCATTGACTATTGGGCTGAGCTGCGTCCAGATATGCAGACCGATTAATATGAACATTAACAGTACCAGACCTTAAGTGATACGATTACACAAGCGCAGATGTATATATCCTCAATATTACCCTCAAATCATGAGTTTCAATAATGTTTCATGATATTTATAGCCTTCTTCCAACCCTCTCCTAACTAAATTAAGTCTTAATATAATTGATACCAGTGGTATTCCGGTTATTTTTTTATTCATTACGTTAATTTTCCTGTACTGATATAGTGAAGTAATTTAGACTGATATAAAGTTGTGTCCGATTCTAACGTTGCTCTGACTGACTGACTAATTCCATTCCAAATATTTATTAAATCTATCTGTATATATGTAAACATATATTGATGAGTTACTATCAATAAAGATGATTCACTGATTTACTGTTATGGTAAGGAAATAATAATCATAATAGATAAAATAGAAAATGTTTCTATCAATTACCATTAATTGTTGATAATTTTGTTCAAGTATTTGAAGTGATTCATTAAGAACTTGTTCCTCTTCTTTTGATTGTATCGGAAGCTATTTAGACAGAGAACAAAAATTATGTGACAAATGTAATTGATAATTGATTGGAGATGCACCAAATCAAGAGTTTCGAAAGATTACAAAGGGATTAGGTTTATCCGAAAGAATCCAAGTCAAAACATACAGGCACAAAGGTTAATAACGATAACACCATGAAAATATTTTGACTGAAGTAAGTGTACAATAGTGACTTAGTGGTTAAAGCACTTGACCTGCAATTTGTGAAAGTCATAGGTTTGATTGAACCCTGATACACATATACTTCAGTTTGAAAAGCATAGTGGCGTATTTAGCTTTAATACAAACAGCATTCAACATAGAGCCAACAACATAAACCTCCTATTGGATAAGTGAGTTACATTACCAGAAAGAATAAGAAGTAAAACTAATAGGAAATAATTTTGAGATTGATTACCCAAGGTAATTTGTATACAAACTACAGTTATTAATTATAAAATATTGAATTGAAAGCTAATCAAGTAAACTTCTTTCTTTTAAATAACGATAGATTAAATTAACGTGAAAAGTGGCGTAAAATATGTGCCCGTTCAAGTTGTTGTACATCATAGAAACAAGTAAAAAAAAAGGAATTTATATAAGTGATTGCAACAATATGACACACAAATGGACAATAAAATGAGACAGAGAATGGATGTGTCTGTATGCAAATATGATCGACTTTATTCTACATAATGAAATTAGATCATCAGCTATCAGTTTTTTTTCTTGGGATAAAACATGAACCATTTTTTTGACACGACTGAGACTGGTAAATTCATCGATTATCTTTATTTCTTAATCAGGTCATCCTTAATGTCCTTCCAACCTTTAGCTAGTATAGCCTATTGATGTTAGTAGTTTCTCAACATCAACGAAATAGGGTTGATAAACTTACTAAATAATTTGTCGTTTAACCTGTGTGAATCGACATATCATTTAGTCAGTTATCTTATTTAGAGTAAAGGCTATCTGGAGCGAAGTAGTTGAGTTAAATCATATCCTTTTAGCTAGAAGGTTGTCAGAGTGTGATTTTAGAATAATAAATCGACTATGTAAAAAACCAGAGAAACAATTAAAGTAAAATAAATAATAACCTTTTGTTGATTAGATTTGCATCGATCGATTTCGTTCTTAAAGTTCAACACTTCTCGATGAAATTGTTCATGACGCCTAGTAGCTTCTTCTACGGCTGAAAAAATGAATACAGTAATATTTACAAGAAATTTAACTTATTAACCAGAAAAAGGTTGTTTTTACTTAACTTTAAGGCACCATTTTATACGTGAGGGCATGCGAAACTAATAGCCGGATGCTTGAACCGAAGTAGAGGGTTCGAACCCGTGACATCGGGGATTAAAGGCTATGTGATTAAATCACTAACCATCGTTCCACAAATATATGGCATTAGTATCAATAAGACTGATGATAACAGTGGTTTGAAGTATGATAAATAACTACTTACGACTTACTTTGTACGAGTAATGAAACTACTTATGTTTAATACCATTCTTTAATTCATTAAGATAAAATAATTCCATCTGTATATGTTGGTATATTTTTACAGAAACAAGTGTTAAAGCTCTAGTGTTCCCTGCAAATGTGACAGAGATATCGATACAGTGAGCCACAGTTATTATCAGCCAATGATAACGCACTCAAGTCTCGTGACTAACTACTATGTCTTCTATTTGCACAAATAATACTGACCAACCTACAAACACACAAATATACATTCAAACCTTTGTATAATTTCTTTGGCACAGTTAATACGTATTGATTTAAGGGGTTTAATCTGAAATGTTAACGTCCTTATTGAAACGAACTAGTGTCACACGTCATTAAATAGCTTTAGATACCGTCTGATAAACATATACCAATAGAAGTTACAAATAAATACAGAGTCAGATAGCATTTAAACTCCTGTGCAGAAGGAAAGCATTTCGGCTATTAAACATAAGAAAATGAATGGTATAAGACTGAACCGGAGATTGATGACAGCCATCAGGAAGATAGTATTACGCACCCTAATTTATCTGTACTGAAAGGGCTAAGTAACGAGTCCACATAAACTTGTATATAATATTGAATAAAGCTAATAATAATAATAATAATAATAATAATAATAATAATAATAATAATAATAATCTCGCATAAATTATTTCTCCACAATGCGTTGTGTTCACCAGTTTACATGTGCGTGTGAGTAAATATGAATACACTGGAAGCAGTAAACAAGGTGTGAAGTTGAGGTTGCCGAGACACATAACAGTTAGGGTTCTACGGTAGAAAATCAACTAAAACGAGTAACAGAATAGGTTTAGCTTGATATTTATCAATAATGTGCATCAACGAGGCTGCAAAGAGTTGGATCCTGGTAAAACGTTGAGCAAGATACTACGGATTAACGGTATAGGTGGATCGTGAGACTAAGGAATTTAATATAATGCAATATATGGTGCACAGTCTAACCCATCAGACAAGGTAAGCTAAACTCAGACAACAAACAAACAACGCCTAGATAGTGAATTAACATAATCATGATGTACAGATGTATAAAAATTAGCAAGTTCTAGTATCGTTATTTAGTCTTCTGTCTATTTTTCTGTCTTACACCTATTGATAGAGTAAACCAATAACGGTAAACTGAGTCATAATACAGGCTATATCACAAATATTCCTAGATAATCCTGATATTATGCAATAGCAAAAAAATTACTGTTCAGTCCCTAATCATGTGTAAAACTATAAACTCTAATTGTTTTGAACTATCAACATAACAGAGAAGTGGCGTGAAACGAAGAGTCTTACATTTTCGATTTGTTCCATAGGATGCATTTTGTACAGTTTGAAAACGTTCCATAATCCATTGTAAGCATTGTTCGATTGGACTAATTAATTTACCTTGAATAAAGTGAACATTTTCTAAAATGGTGCCATTTTTAAGAGATGTGAATGCAGGGTGGTTCGACATAGTAATAGATGTTGAGCAAACAGAACTAGAGACGACACTAGGTGATGAAAATACCGTTGAAGGTGTAAATTCTCGATATAAACGTTGAAGATCCAAAAATTTCTGGTGCAATGTACAAACACTGGAAAAGAATAAGAAATTTTAAAAAACGTTTTGGAATTTAATAAAGTTAATCGTAAGAATAAGAAATTATGTAATGAAAAGCTAAAGCAATTGAAAGCAAATCTGAATGGAGAACGGCGAATACAAGCTTGTTAATTTGCTTTTAGCACACACTGTTCCATCAAAATGTAATGCAACTACCCACCGATGATAGTAGAAAAGGTGATATCTTTTGAATCATATAGAAAATATAACAGAATTATACTTTTGACAATTTGTAGCTGATATCAAACTATGATGTAGACTAATTTCCAAATTGAACAAAGACTTCACATAAACCTATTTATAACTAAAAGTACTTTTGAAAGGTTACCTTTACAGCAATTCCAAATGAATTGAAGAATCCACGATCAATCAGGAATTACTGGATATCTATCCCATTTTATTTAAAGAATTCGAAACACCATTTTCTTTTTGATTTAGAGTTTTCAAATACTATTTCACTATCATGTCGCAAACTTAGACTTTATTTAATAAAGCAAATAATTTTTTTACGAGAAATTAACTAATATTTCACCTCGGAAACTGAAACTAAATAAACGTTTTCAAGAGTACTGGACAAAGATTTCTCTTTTAATTGGGATTTTCGTATCAATATTATTTATTATTTATTTATTTAAACACATATATATTGGTACAAAAGGGCACCAGGTACATATGCGCCACACAAAATAATGAAAGTAGGAAGAGAAGGGATGAAAAGATAAAGCGGGCTGAAATGTACAACCAGAAGACTCTTTCAGTTAGGAAAGTTAGAACCATTCTTTATGTAGAAAGTAAAAGAAGGTTGCAGCAGGATCGCCACTGGCTTCTATTCTGAGCCATACCTGATAACGTCTATAGCCACTATGTTGCACCATCTCCCGGACCCCAACCAGGGAGTCGTGAAGGACCAACAAAAGCTAGCCCTTTGCAGCTTTCATGCCACGACACCATGTCATACACTGACCTCCTCTCCGCTTTTTCCAACCAGTCCTAGAGTCGGCAAATAATGCACGACGTGGAAGTCTCTGGGACGACATTCGTAAAACATGTCCAAGCCACCGAAGTCGGTGTTTCAAGATGGTGACACCAATTGAACTATCGTCTCTGTGCCCGAACACACCATACGGAACCTCTGCATTACTAACATGGTGTTGCCACTGGATGTCAGCAATCCTTCGGAGACAACGATGATCGAACACAGAGAGACGTCTAACATCCTCAACTCGGAGAGGCCAGGTTTCACAAGCATAGAGCAAAACTGCTCTCACCGACGCGTTGTAGATCCGACTTTTTACAGCCAGACTAACATCACGAAGGCGCCAAAGATGGCCCAGATTGGCATAAGCCGCTCTAGCTTTCATTATACGTGCATCACTCTCATCACTCACGCCACCACCAGCACTTATATAGCTACCTAGATACACGAACTTCTCAACTACTTCGATCTCCTCACCATCCAGAGTGAGTACAGAATGAGAATCCTGCCAGTCTTGTAGGAGTACTTTGCACTTGGAGGGTGCAAAGCACATGCCGTACCTGCGGACGCTGATTGCCAACTGATTGAGTGCGGATTGCATGCCTTGGGCATTATCGCACAGTAGGACAATATCACCAGCCTGCTCCTCGCGAGTCAATCGTTCTCGGGTTTTAAACAACCTATGAAGAATGATAGAAGCCAATAGTTTGGACGCAATCGAAAGTAGACTTATCCCCCGATAGTCATTACAGGAACAACGTGAACCCTTTTTAAAGATAGGGACGACTACTGACTCATTCCAAGATGTTGGAACGCTTTCTGACTTCCAAACCTTTGCAAACAACACAGTCAATTCCTTAGTCAGAAAGTCACCACCATCTTTAAAAAGAGCCGGAGGTAAGTCATCTGGGCCTGGTGATTTATAACGTTTCAAGAGTTGGAGTTCCTTGCGGACTTCCGCCTCGTTTGGTGGATCAGTCGTCACCGGCCATGGGGGGCAGGACAAGCTGGTTGATGTTGCCGGAGCAGCAGGCCAGTTGAACTGCCCTTCGAAGAATTCCGCCCATCGTCCAAGAAGTCGAGAGATATTGGTGATTGGCATCCCGTCATCCTCGTAGATTGTTTCACTCACACCAGACTTCTTGTTGCCAGTGGCTCGGATGAGTTGGAAGAGCTTCCAGCAGTTACCAGATGCAGCTGCTGCTTCCATCTCATTAGCACGCTCCGACCACCAGGCTTCCCGGTCCTTACGCAAGTTTTGCCCGATTTCATTACGTAACAGCCTTCGTTTGTGGTCAAACTCACGGTCACCCGGAGTAGACCGACGGGCTTCGATCAGTTGTAAGGAGCCAGAAGAAACCCAGTGCTTGTAAGCGGGACGTTTCGCGAAGCCGCAAGCGGCTTTACTCGCCATTTTCATGGCGTCGTGAAGAAGCAACCAATGCTCATCTATACTTTTCGGTGGGATGGTAGCTAGCCTAGAGGCTAGCTCCGCTCGATACTTACTTGCAACAGAAGTTGCAGCCAGTTTGCTAACATCAATCCGTTGGTGGTGGTCAATCCTCCGGCCACTGAAAAGTAAGGTGAGATTGGCGCAGACCAGGGCATGATCAGACTCCAGATAGGTACTCCAAAAGGAGCGGCAGTCTTGTACACAACCACGCCAGCGGTAGCTGATCGCGATGTGATCAATCTGAGTCCAGGCTTGGGATGCAGAGGGAGGACGCCAGGTGGCACACCGTCGATGACTGTGCCGGAAGTCAGTGCTGGCCAGAAACAGGTTGTGGTCTGTGCACAGTTGCAGCAAACGGTCCCCGTTATCTGTCCTGCGACTAACAAGTCCCCATCGGCCACCTAGACGACTCTCTTCTGTGCCTAGACGCCCGACCTGTGCATTCAAGTCTCTGGCTAATACTACAATATCTGTCGAACGCGCTTTCTGGAGAAGAACTGTTAACTGATGGTAAAACTCATCCTTGATCGTATCAATAAGACTTATACAGCTCCAGATAGTAGTGAAATGAGGCTAAATCAAGTCTCACGACATGAACATGATACCATTCAGTTATTAAGTCAGTGAAAACATTTTTAACTTAGTGTGTTTATGATGTTTTACAAAACACTTTATGCATTAGTTACTGAATCAACTGATTGTGCTGATTATAGTTTCCTACTAGAAAATTGTTTATTGAAATTAGTCATTAGTGATCATAAATTTCTGTATTTCTATAGTAAATGTATTGATATTTTTAAATTTTCATAGTTTAAGTTATTTATTTCTTTTAATTAAACAACTATTTAAAACTAAGAAGCAGTGAACAGCTGTTTCGTTTCGATATGAGATCTACGCGATGAGCATCCCATATTGAATCGAATGTAGAACTATCAGTCTCTCAAGAGAGCGCTTAACCTTTAGACCACAAAGCCAGCATCCAATGATACAAATGTCTAACGTCAATCAATTTGCGATATTGCGCGACCATTTTCCACCTCCTGTGGTGGATAACTGTTTCACGTAGTGGTCTAAAGTTTAGGCGCTCGCCTGCTAGACTAATGGTTCTAGGTTCGATCCAATGTAGGGCACTCGCCGCTGAAGAGTTCCATAGGAGGAATAAACAGCTGTCTAGTGCATCCTGGTTTCCAATGGTTGTCTAACCAAAAGGAAAGAATGATTTAATTATTTATTTCAAGATGACAAATGAAGATATTCTCTCGTCTCAGCGAGCAAAACATCTTCAACATGTATTTATTTATTTCTGTGCTTTTTTGCAATTATGAAATATAGTATTGGAATTATTATCGACAACAAGATAATGAGTGAAAAAGAATAAATTTAATAAACTTTACTGTTTCCATTTAAAACTATCTATCCTAAATTATGTATGAACACAAGATTATAGTAAGGATAATATATAGATAAGCAGACTTAAAGTGTATGTATGTAATAGAGTATATTCTAATTTACTGGTAATATCATGTGACGAGGATACTGATAACAGTGGTAACAAAACGCAGTATGGTCAGTCATATATAAATATTTGATATGTTATGTAAGAGCCACGGTTATTTGAAAATCTAACATTCTATATGAAATAAACTATGAAAGAAAGGAATGGAATACATGAAAGTAAAGCATAATATAAACCATTAATCGATCGGGAAAACCTCAATCAGTTTGTAATAACACAGTAGAAAATCAATGGTGAACAAATGAGTTTAAACTACAGTGTCCATAAAAAACCCTAACATTATTATTAATTGGTGTATGGAATGAGTGAGCATGTTGTCCGGTTTGCGTATTAAACAAGTCACTTGCATATTGACCTGTATTAAACTGTTATTTCATCAATTAGGAAGTATCAAGAAAATAATGTTAGACTTAAAAGTAAGTTTAAGCACAAAAATTAAAGATGGCTTATATGGTTGCGAGAACCCTAGGATTTCTGGAAAATATGCTGATATTAATAGTGATTTCTGTTGGATAATTCGGTTAATGAAAATTTGTTAAGTTCAATGGCTTGGCAAAAGTTGTTCGAGGGTTTTCTAGCTTCTTTGACTGTTTGTTGGATAATTATTAACATCTAAAAACATCTATAAGATATGAAATAGTAATAATGTACTACTGTAGTCACCACTATGAACTAAAATTTTACAGTTGGACAAGAAATTTACAGGTAAATCAATATCCCTATACTTTTGTTCAGCTTTGATAGGCTGAAACTCATCAGTAAAAAGTTCTACATCTTTAGACTTCATCAGCAAGGTATAAATGTAACTGTGATCGAAACGTCTTATTGTATGACATTCCGCTTTCACGTATCACGTTTATTAGTAATCGATCATATATCGATATAAACAATTGGTTATTGACACATTGGTCTAGATGCTACAATGAACAAGGTAGTTTAACACATTACAGACGAAGTTTTCTAAGCTTAGTTTATTATTATAAACCCTCCAAATATCCAAAATCAAACAAACACCCAGTGAAAGTCCAATGTAATATACATCGAAAGTAAAATTTTAGGTAATCACTACATACGAGTCATACTTTTATGTCAAATCTCCTTATATTACTAATTAGCAGTTTATACATGAAACTAAGTGGATCAGGATTTGAAGTAGCAACTCACTAGCTAAAATTCAAGTAGTTTTACTACTAAACTACTGTAATTAAAAGATTGAGGTAAGAAAAATATTATATATTTTAAAAATCGATGTTCGTACTAGTCCGTAGTAAAGGATTGACATTTTGACATAATTTATAACCAATACATGATATAAAACGATAACATGGCAACCAACAATCCATTTATTCAATGTCAACAGTAAACAATATAATCATAAACGAAAAAATTATACACTTCTGAATTACCAACTAATCATTAGCCAATACTAGTCAGAATAGTACAAATAATTTTGAACACTAAACTCAACTAATTATTATAACTTACTTCCTATAAATTTGTTCTGTTTGCATATATCGCCCAGTGCGCAAATGTTGTACTTGATTGAATAATCCATTGACTTTTGCTTCAATTTGAGTTAGTTGATCACGCCAACGTCTTATTTCATTATTAGTATCGAATACATGCTGGTGAGGTAGTTCAGATTTCAACTAATTTCAACGTACAAATGAAATAAACAAATTAAAGAGTAAATGAAACTTTGTTTATTACTTATATATTGAACACACTAGGTTTTCTAATAAAAAAGGCTCAATTAGAGAAATAAATGAAGTGCCAAGTGTTACAATGTTGATATTTTTGTGACTATATTGGTGCCTGATTAATTCACTCGTTAACTGATAAGCAATCCATAGTCTTAGTATTTTGATAAAATAGACGGTATAGAAATAGCGTTTTATTCAGTTGTACATATAATCAGTCAGTTAACCAGTATTTCTGTAATTTAAAAATCTGTTTGGTTAAAAGTTTAGAGATAAGTCTCGTGAGTGAAATTATGACTCCATTTGAGTAATAACTAAGGATATGATAACATTGCTAACGATTTACTATAAAATAAACCATTCAAACTCTACAATATCATATCAAAACTCGAGATAGAAGAATAAATATTAGGGACTAATTGATTGTCTGCTTAAACTAACTTTAGATTGAATGAGAAAACACCAATTCGTACTTAGTGAATTATAGTGGTGAAACAGTGAATTAGTAATTATATAATTCAGCTTTTAAGAAAACAGGTTATAGAATCGATCCGTGCCCCACCTGTTTGTATTTGCGAAGCCAGATAATATGACTAGCCTTCAAATAAACAGCCTGCTTCAATGCCAAGCATATAAATCTCTACCTGGTAAATAGGTAATGTTCTAGTGAACATTATCGATTAGATAATGTGATTGAAAAACATCACAATTATAATAATGAACTACATCAAAATCGAAACCAAACTGTCATTAACATACAGTAGTTTATAATATTTGATAATTATGCAGTAAAAAATCGTTGTCCATAATTGCTTTTACATGAATTACAAATGAATCAACTTTTAATGAATAATGATAATTTCGTATAATAAAATAGAGAGAATTAGGATCTGATTTAATTACGATGATTTTATGTTTCTATGGTTATAGAATACTGTAAGTTTTTGAATGTGTACAAAGGGATGGATGTGAGGGGTAGATAAATAGGCAGGTAGGTTAAGTGGAGAGATGGAAATAATAATTTTTCGCTATTTTCTCATTTTAGCAACAGTTCACTTTGATTAAACAAAGTACAACAACAATTTAATTTCAGTATAGAACAAAATAAACAATTTTATCTACTGTAAATTTGCACTTATTTATTCATAGTACACGGAATCGATAGACGAAATGTGTCGGCATGAAAAGTAATATGAACAATGTAAATAATGACGACGATAAAAACAATTGAAATGACCCTTAAAAACGTTTTTAACACAATAACATACTAGTGATAGTAAGCTGGATGAGTTAACAACAGTTATTTATAACTGGCCGATACTATGGATACAGTATATATATATATATATATATATATATATATATATATATATATATATATATATATATATATATATATATACAGAAAGCATATCTGACTTCATGTTACTGTACTGAAAAGCCCAATCGCATATGTTTATGCGCACCTCTTAAGGAGAAACATTCTTAAGTCAAGAGAATTTTGAAAAACCAAAGTGAAATTTTATTCATATAAAAAGAACTGATTATTTGGTATACAAGAATCACAATACTTGTATCACATCAAACAATGTCAAATTTGTTTAAGCTTTAGTTCTACTCAAATTTTATCGGACAAGCTGAAATGTGCCCACTAGTCTAAATGATTTCATATCGCGGGCAATGTGTTTTATTGTTAATTGATTTGAGGTAGTTGATAGGGAACTCTAGGACTAGGTTTCGTGCTAGTTGGCAATCGTCAGTAAGACGTACCTACAATCTCGAGAAAAATGATGCTTCATGTGAGAGTCAAACCTAAACCACCAAGTATCACAATCTGAGAAGTTACTTTTAAGCTATTTGGGCTGCGAATGGCCTCTTATGGGAGTGAGGTATTTACATTGATTTATTACTGACTAGTAATTAATTTTATGTTAGGAACACTGTAACAACGTTACGATATTTAAAATATGATGTGTAGGGAAACAAATACCTAAAAATAGTACATATATTAATATTACCATTTCTAGTTCAGTAATTTTCCAACATTGAGAATTTTCAGTGAAATATGTTTAGGGTTTATTTAAAAATATAACTGATAAAAATAGATAACATTACTAACGATTGCATAAGCTTCGTTAAAAAAAATATTAGTTCACCAGGATAACAAGTACACAAAACACATGACAAGGACAACAGTTATTACTTACAAAGTAAGACAATGAATCGAATGTCAATGAATTATGTCAGCTTAAGAAGAAAAACATGATAAACCTGATTCCGGATTATGTGTAACAGCAACAGAATAAAAACGTTCAAGTTATGAAGCTTCTGCTTATATAACCAACTTGTATACACATAAATAAAAAGAGAACAGTATGATATATATATATATATATATATATATATATATATATATATATATATATATATATAACAAACCTCAACAACTCGCCGTTCTAAAGCCGTCAATTGTGCTTGGACTTGAATACAATCACGTAGAGCTCGATTACCAGCCCACTGTAAACGATCTAAACGATGAGCTTCATTTCTTGCAGCTAATTCACGTTCTTGTAAAGCAATATCATATTCATCCCATAATCGGTGAATTTGTTCAATTCGAAGGAATAAATCAATTGGTAGTAAACCACGTTCAATGGATGGCTTTTTGAGATGTAAAATAGTTAAAAAAAAACATTTAAATTAATTATAGACAAGTTAATCATGATGAATAGAATAAATTCTTAAAGGTTCTAAAATAGTAAAATGAATATAGTGTGCCACGAGCAGTTAACATATTCATTTACTAAATCGAAGTATTCATCCTTAGTTCAGTTTAAAGATTTCCCATAATGCCCCAATACGAACAAGAGAGGAGAAAGTTCACTTATACTCTTGAAATGCTCTCATAGCCTCTAAAACGAAATTTCTATTCAGCGCCTTCACATTGGAAGGGGGGGTTAAGTAAGATAGAAAACTGAACGTTCGGTGCCTAAACTAGGTCAGTAAACACGGAGTGTTGGTTCTAAACCAATGGTTTACATAGATCCAAGAAATCTAAGAGAAAAAGTCGTGCATGAACTCGTTTTCAGTCACTGATGACCATGGGCTAGAAGCTCCCGATGTTACCCTACTACCTTGTGAATTAGACTTCGAGGTTAAGGGTTTGAGAAATGATACTCTAAGAAAACTAACTGCTTCGGCTTACCAGTCCGGGCAGTATCTTAGCCCACACAAATTTTATTTAGTATAACACATGCTATACTTTAAAGCCCAGTTGTGTCAGATTTTGTTTAAATTAAATTCTTGAAAAATAGGAATTAAGCAAATTAAAAATGTTCGAGTTGATGAGACCAAACAGGGCATCAACTTTGAAGAAAGTAAACAAGATTAAGCGATAATACTTGATGATTGATTATATTATTATTATCACGAATTAATTGAAACTTCGGTAATTTGAGATTTTGTTTCAACACAATAGATCAAATAGCACTATACTAACCAAACGACCTAAAGGTTACAGATAGGAACACATAAATGGTTTATTAAGTGTTTCGTTCCCTTGTTCTAAAACTTTATGAGACATATTCAGAAAAAACTAAGATGTTTTCTTTTCTGTTTAGCCAGTTATTGGTAACATAAAAGATGTACTTGTCGACATTTGATTGAATTATTGAACATGTTATTTTATACAGGATTAATAGTTTGATTGCAAGATAAGTTTTGGCGAATGCAGTGTTAAGCCTCCTGATGATTATGCTTGCAATGTTATCACCTTTGAAGTTGAGATGGGTGAATATTGGTGTTTTATTGAATTTTGCTACATCCATCTTAATGTTTTCAGGTTTTTTACACTCATGAATTTCTATGGATAGCAGTTATCTCTTCAGCATTTTCAAACATTCATCAATTCTTCCAGTTTCTTAGTGGTACGTTTAGTTTCTACTCTACGCAATAGTATTTTAATCAGTGTTTCCTTGTAACTAATTCGACAAAAACTACTGAAATTCAAGTATGGACTATTCCAATTACTGATTTGCTAAACCGAACGCTGAAAAGTCCAACCTGCTCTCCGTTGTATAGGAATTTTAAGAAAGTTGAGAATGTCGTTTTTTTCATGTTCGATAGTTAAATGCATATTCTGACGAGCCTTTGTGAGGAGTTTTATCAAATGAATTACATTCTGTTTGTTGTTGCGAAAAATTGACGTATCATAAACATGCCTGGAGTATTTCAGCCACGTGTTTTTAAAATAACACGAAAAATATTGGCATAATGGGAACTAATGAACTTCACATTGCTACACCATTAATTTGAAGGCATAATGTGCTGTTGAACTCAAGTTGAACGTCTTATATATATATATATATATATATATATATATATATATATATATATATATATATATATATATATATATGTGAATATTTGGTTGAATCCATGCTGAATTTTTCTGAAGTCGAAACATGAGAGTATACAAGGAAGAACAGACCAACAATATTAATGAATTCAGGCAAAACATGTTGAGGTATTATCATTTAAGGAAAAGTTCTGGCATAAACTATGGTAATACAGTGTTTGGATTATATATCAATAACAATCGAGGCTCGATAATGATCACTACTGTACTTTACAGTATTGTGATGAGGATATAAGTGATAAAGTGACTATGTATCTTTAAAATTAACAGATACCGATATGAAATAAAGCAAATTGATTGGGGTTACACAGCTGGATCTCAACTAAGCAGTCTACAGGTACTGAATGTTTCACTGTGAAATCTGAAGTTCCAAGTTTTACTTAATAGTATCATCGTGGACAAACATTAGTAAGAAGTTCCAAAATGGTAAGAAAACTCTGTCTAGTGGTTTGAAATTCTAACTTCAATTAACTTGCAACGTCTTCATCGTATAACGATCCAGTGGTGCTCACCTTGAGACTTGAAGTCCGTGAGTTTGATTCCGAATGAGGTCGTGAATGTACGCTGATGAAGAGCTACATATTGAGACAAATACAACTTTTCAGTACTTTTTAGTTTTTAGTGGTTATCTAACTTAGAATAATTCGTGATGGGAATTATAAAAAGTGAAGTTAATATTGATAAAAAAATTTTCAAGATAAAAAAGAAAAAAACTATGAACTATTTTAATACAAATTAACAATAACTTTTCCTTTTTACCTTTAATTCTTCATACATACGAACTAATTGTTGACGTTCTCTTTCCCTTCTTGGTCGTTCATCACGTCTATGTCGTCGTATTTCATCCATAACACGTTCTTGCATTGATTTTAAATCTGGTGGAAAATGACGACTAGCCATACGATCAGTAGTTGATCGTAACCATTGTATTAGATCACTAGCTAAAATACGATAATCTGACCATAAAGATTTTAATTCATCTGAAAGTTGATTAGAAGCTGTAAGAAGTTGAAAAGTTGAATCAATTGATCTATTAGTAGAATTTTGATGATGATATAAAGAAGGCATAGGTGGTACAATTGGTATTGGATATAATGAATGTTTTGATGAATTACATACTAGTTTATCATAAATTGAGGCTACATAAGTTATAATCGATCGTTCATCAGTTGTTTTAGCGATATCTAAAACAAAAGCAAAAAGAAACCAAATGAGAACAAATTTGTAAAAGTTAGATAACATTCACGTAATTTCAATAGTTAGTAGGGATTCATCAATTTGTTGGTTTGATACATAATCAACTACTTTGAAGTCTTATAAAATATTCTGTAAACTAAAAGAAAAAGTTTTAATCCATACTGAAAAAGCAACTCAATAAGACTGGATAGCATGAATCGTTTATTTATTTTAAATGAAAAAATGTTACAACGCTTAACAATACTTTGAAGTGTAACAAATAGATCTTTAAGTAGACTAACTCTAGTTATCTGTATAACAATTTACAGCAATGAAATACATACTGAAACATTATGAATTTGTTTAAGAAACTATGTACCTAACGATATAGTCTGCATCTTTCTAATACATTGTAGGACCATTGGTCAAAATGTCTCACAGCCAAAACTAAATACTTATGGTTATATAATCACTTTAGTAGCGCACATCATTTATATATTTTTAATAGCCTATTTATATGTGACATTGATACTGATTAGTAAAGGAATAAATCATCCTTTAAAACAATGAAATTATAACTCTTACCGTCTGAATCAAATAAACGAGTAACTTCAAGTTCACGTTCAGCTAAGTCAAATGTTAAATCAAGATTTTCACGGGCAGATTGACGATCAACTTGACGGAAATCAATTAAATCCGGTCTAAATTAAAACAAACAGAAAGATATTAAATTATAACAATGATAGAAATCGTCATCCATATAAATTATAGATTCAATTAAAGTGAAAACAAAAATAGTAACTAGCAAAAATGCATACTTTAAAATAATATTATAGGCAGAAGAAAATTAAACTGATCAAAAATATTGATTAATAAACAGATTATAAGTATTAGAATAAAAAAAAACACTTGAGTCTTGAATAGAATTACAGTTACCATGACATAAATATGAAACTTTTCAATAAGTCAATAAAATTCTATAAAATCGAAAACATTGTTTTTTTCGTAATAAAGAGGTAATGTACAAAAAATGAAAACCTATGAAAGTAATTAACATCAGCTTATAACTTTGACTACCTACTGGGTTTTGTATTCCGGTATTATCTGTTTCAAATTGTACTTTTTTTATCATTCATTGTAAAAATACAACTTCTACGTAACACAATAGTATATGAGCATTATGATGGGGTTCTGTTCCTCCAAATGTAAAATGTTACTTCAGGATTGGCTTGCATCATTGCCTGAATCAGTGAAAAGGATGAAGTAACTGAGCGTGTCGACTGCTTCACTTGTCTGGAGAGGCTCCTTAGTACTGATCGTCCGGTGAATGACGAAATCTCGGTACGGATTCAGAAAACTTGCGTCACTTTCACCGTAGGCGAGATATCCGTCTTCCAACGAAAAGACGACTTTATCGAGCAGCAGTTCGCTCCATAATACTTTATACAAGTGAAACATGGTCATTAAAAAAAAGCATATTCGTAGGTTACTGGTATTCGATTACAGGTGTCTTCGAAGAATTCCTCATGTATTTTAGGACCAGAGAGTAAGGAGTGCCTGGATTAAGAACGCGGTACTCGGTAAAAATGGAAGATCGACTGATGAGGTAGTAAATCTTTATCAACTGAGGTGCTTGAGACACGTGTCACAAATATCCAACCGTCGCCTACCTCGACGGATGATGTTATCTAGTGCAGGAGCAGGCCGGAAGAAAGCTAGGGGAGGCCAAACCAAAAGATGGAACCAATCCATGAAGTCGTTGACAACTGGACTGAGCCATGTTAATATGTGTAGACTTAGTATTTAGGGTTTGTGTGCTTATCCTAGCTAATAGTAAGAGACTTAGAATGACATAGCTCAAAATCGTTTGTGATAGCGCAGACAAATCCATTCTTTGTCTCCTACAAATTCTGAGGTTCTAAATTTCTCTTTTTTCACTTTGATAATTTATCTTCGTTTCAAGTCATATCGTCTATTCCTATTCCTTCCTATTATCATTGATGCTGTTACTACCTCTACTATTCTGGGATTCGGCCTGACAACTTCATATCTCTGTGCTGATGGAATATGACAACTTGAACCGATGGACATATGTACAGGTTCTATGAATGACTGACGCGCATTATGTTAAGGTGTGATGGATGTCGCGATATCTCGATTATAAGTGATCATAGAAAGATCTCCTCTATCTATACACGTAATAGTATTCATGACCAATACGATAAGCTGTTGTCATACATTATTACTAATCAGTCACTAAGTAACCAGCCAGTGGTATTTTTAGTTAGTCAATCAAGAAGCAACGTAGAATTTCGCACAACAGACCATCGATTAAAGTTGGTACATTATATCAATAAAATGTGATTAGTACCAAAGCAGTAAAAGTATCAAAAATATTAAAACGAGTAGGTATAGACGATATGATTCTAGAACGAATGACTTCGTGGAGTAAGAAACGTTTAATGCACTTTTGAAACTAGAAATCCAAAGATAAAGAGTGGATACAGTTGCGTCATTGGAACTGATTCCGAGCCATGTCACGTAACGTCTCCAACTATTAGTCACGATAATCTCAAAGACTACGATCAGGCAGTCTACATCTACGAACATGACTCAGACCAACACTTAATGACATCATGGACTTATCCTATGTTTTTGTTTAGCCACCATTAGCTTTCTCCAGACGTATTCTTAAGCTAGTCAACAACTTTGATCAAGGTAAGACGGTGGAAGTTACTCAGTATATAACTCAAACACTTCAGATGATGAAGAATCACAATCTGATCAACCAGTGGTAGATTATTTGGTCATTAATTTGAATAGTTGTTTATTGGTTAAAATTACAATTTATTTACTACGTTCGGTCACAGATCTATTGTACTTAATAATGAATCAGAAGTTATGGTAGCCAGTATTCATGATCAAGATGTTTGATCTAGAAGACAGCTAAAAGTCTAGTCCGCATTATTCAGAATAAAAAATTGTAGAAATTGAAGTGAGCTAGTGGAGACGTGGCTAATCATCTGTATGATGTAATTCGACACCCTAATGGTAAAGTTAATTCAGAGCGACATTATACTGAATGACTAGCATCTAATAGATTCCCAGTAAATGTATAAATTAAATTGTTAGTAAACAAATGAGAAGAACAACGCAGTTAAAAACAAGAATTAAGATTATTATATCAAGAAAAATGTGTATTCGAACGACAGCTTAAAAGTGATTTGAAATAACGAAGTCGTCAAATCTGTCTAGCATCAGAAATAAAACTTGAAGAAGGTTAAATACGTATCAGAAAGTAGTCAGAGACATTTTAAAAATATAGACATGTTTCATAACACTCACATTGCGATTAAAGAAAAAACATAATTGTTAGTTGACTTCAGAATCTCTTTTAAAAATAGTACAGTGATCTGACTAAGAGTTAATCACTAACATAATATTTTAAAATGCTAACCTGTAAAAGGAAGTTTGGAAAAGCCTATTATAAGCTACTAGAGTCACTAATAATTTCCGTCATACTTTTTTCAAAAATAGGTTATTTATAGCTTTGAAATAAACACAAATTATAAGGAAAATAAAAGCCGTAAGGAAGAAATTATAAGACAAAAAATATTACTAGTTATTCTAGTGTTTTGATAGTAGAAGATGCCTCTTAGAAAAATAGCGCATTCTAATTTAGTTACATGTTTACAATGATCGATCCGATAACCACTGAATCCTTCAAGTCATTTGTTGATCAAAAGATAAAGTATACTAAATTGGATATGAGAGTACAGATACATATAATTATAGACAAATACACTTACCTATAACGATGAATCAAAGCAAGGAATGCACGACCATCTTTCCATGATTCAGTAAAATCTTTTATATATACACCTGGATAATTTGCTGTGACTGCTCGACACCAACTAAGTAATGTTTGTTTAGCTGCATTATCCATGGATAAATTAACTGAAATATCCGATTGTAATTTCGTCTGATTTTCAATTAATTCGGCCAACTAAATATATTTTAGTGAATGGCAAAAAGAAACAAATAGAACAAGATAAAAATGAAAGTCAAAATGATATGAAGGAAAATGTACTCGATGAATGTGATGATGAAACAAATAGAAGGGTGGCGCAAGATCATAGATCGATTGAAGTTGAGTTAATTTCATCCGTCGTTTCTAGTTTATTAAAGCTAATAGTTGGAGTTTCAGTGTTGATATCTTGTTCATATTGTTGCCGAATAGTGAAAAACCGCAGTGTATCAGGATGCCAGTTGAACTAATCCTACCCATCGTTACAGTCACAGGTATGTATATGAATACAGTTTCATATCTAATCCTGAGGATGGATCATCTACATCCACCTAACAACAAGAATAATAAATATGTACGGATCTGAATTTTAAAAAAAAAGATCATCCAACTCTTTGAGTATTTAAATTTTTTATTATCTCATTCTCTTATTTAAGAAGAGAATATAAATGGAAATTAAAAGGAGAACAAACCAGTAAGAGAAAATACACTACTGATATAAAGTGATTAATTTCAAGTATACCCTCTACATTTTTATCTTTCTTTGTAGAAGGAAAAGAAGTATTCATCTATATCGATTCTATTAATAAATCAACTAACAGAATACAGAGAGAGTGAGAGAGGAAGATACAAAAAACATACATATATTTAGCCAACATGAAAATCAATAAACTTAACTTTTTAGCGGAGAAAATTAGTCAATATATCTTTTGGTTTTGTATGCTAATAATAATAATGACAATGTTAGAAGAAATAAATACATACAGAGATAATTGCTTAACAATTAATAATGAAGTACTTAGCATTGAAACAAATAATATATTGATAGTTTCATCAGTATATACATAAGTTTAGGCATTCAAATGCTCATTTGAAGGCTTAAATTGACTAGTGAATCTAATTAGCTGCAAATGGAACAAGTAAATAGTCCCTCTCTACTATTTCACAATAATTATAGCTAAGATCTTAGTATATATATTCCTTAGAACAAGATATACAATGCAAATGAATTGTTCATACTTAAAGAGTTAGCTAGACTTCAATTACACGTTACCCTTTCTTTTTTATCAAAGTAAACTCATGGATTAGTCAAAATAGTACTGGATTCAACTTTTAAATCATAAAGTAGTAGAAACACAAAAATAATCGAAGCGTAAAACAATTAAATGATTAAAGTTATAAGAGTATTTTCCAAAAATTCAAGTAGATTCTTATTAAGTTTATTAACTTGGTATATTTTCTATTTATATAGGAAAGTCAAAAAACGACGTTTATCATTCTTTATTTATTGTTGTATGGTAGGATGTCATTAGTTTTAAATTCACTAAAGTATATGACTAGCATTATGCAACTATCTAGAATATTATAAGCGTTTTTTGTTTTGTGATTATTCTAGACTAATTAAAATGATAGTGTAACCGTCCACCTTATATTTACAAAAACAGTGACTAATCAACTGAAATTCCAAAGGTACAAACAATATTACGTAATAACCAGTGAAATGATTTATTTACATAACAGTTCCAGTTATCAGTACAGAGACTTGTGGAGAGTGTAGTAGTAGTTGTAGTAGTAGTAGTAGTAGTAGTAGTAGTAGTAGTACCAGTTATGTTGATTTTTCAAAAGTAATTTGATAACATTGCAAAAGAAGTTCAGAAACATAAAAAAAACAACTTTGATACACATATAACATAGACTTTTCTACATATGATGAATGATAAACAATTAGTACATATTTTTTAAAAATCATAGAAAAGATAATGTGAATGTATTTACCAATTTAGAAGGAAAAAAGGCTACAACAACAGGTAAATTAATCCTACCAAGTAAATCACCAACTGTTTTAACCCAAGAAATCATAATCCAGAAGGAAACATGTAGAGAGAGTAATAAAACCGATATGTATGAAATATATCCAAGATAATCCATATAAGATTGGAAAATAGTACACGTACTGGAATTACACTTGCGTGCATGCACACATACATACACCAGTTGCAAACGGACCATATGATATAGTTAACATTTTATGTGTGTACGTTTCTGTAAGGTGAAAATTTATTTCACACTAACAACGAACACAATCGACATTTTCTCACAGATCATTTACAGTAGATCGTCCACGATATCAAAAGTAGTGAATTACAATTACGATCATATTTATGCATACACACAGACATACGTATAAATCACCAATGGTAATGGTAATTTTCAAATATTGAAACCATTATAAATATTGTCAACTATAATATGAATAAAAATAATCTTATACCATATTTGTCTTTCCGTCGCATCCATATGTATGCGTAGCTGACAGCTGAACTATGTTCCTTCCACCTCGCCCACCCCCTCTCTTAATCCTATTCACATTGCTATAGGGCTAATATTTTGTCTTTATTAAAACATTAACCTATCTTCCTGCCATAAAATTATGATATACATAAAAAAGAAGCCAACGCCCATGCTTATACTCATTTAATAGGTAAAAATTGTAAATAAATATTCAAGTTATATCGGTATTTAGTAGGATTATAGTAATTATATCCACAAAAAGAAGTTGAATTAAACTTTATCATTTTATTGACCACACCAAGACCATGTTATTTTATAAGATGTAATGTAGTGATGAATAGATTAATAACAATTTAAACACTAAGACAAATTCAGAAATGATGCAAATTACACTAGATCGATAAAAGATTATCTTAGTTACCAGTAGACACCTAATGATTGTTAAATTCCTAAGAATGTGTAAGTGAGTAGATTGACCTAAACGACATTATAAGACTTTCAAAAATGTAATAACATATCATCAGAATAATGTGTCACTAAGGACTATGAACATCTTTACTCATTTGACTTTCATATGATCAAGTTTCAAGCTACACAATTCAAAACAACAACGCAATTGTTGGTACACAATATCTTACAACAGAGTTTATGGTATATACACGAATGACACTCTACCTGGGGCTCAACAGTCGAGAAGATGAAAGAAGACTAAAGTTTTATTGCCACTTCAACAAACGGCAATACATGTGGAAAACTCATGAACATTTATAAAATTTTCATCGTGATTTTGAAAATCAACCATTGAAGATGTAAGTCAATGGGTTCAAACTCGAAACATGATAGTTGAGAACACTAACATCAATCCAAGCTTCAGCGTATGTTGAACAAGATGTGTTTAGAAGTGTGAAAGAGATATTATTCCTGTATCTATTCTGTTATGAATTTTTCCTACTATTATTAACACTGAGTTTGAAATTACGGTTACTGGATAAACTAACCGTTGATAGCCTATGAAAAGTTACATCCATCTCCCTTCATTCACTAATCAGAACATCAAGTAACTTGCATTATTCAGGCTTCGAAACTCACGTATCTCTATTATATAGAATACCATCATCTAAAGATTTACTGTCGAGTCTTTTTTTTAATCTTCAAGCAAACTCATCACTTAAAGATGAGAAAAAGACAAAACCTAGATTTTGGATTAACATCTTGGAAGCTAGATCTAAGTTTATATTTTATGTTCGAGTTTCAGCTATAAAAGCATAAATGCAATTAGCAAAAATTTCAAGTATCGAAAGGAGATTAAAAAGTTAGTTTTTCAGGTTTGAGTATGTCAACACTGGTTGCAAACTCAAACGTTGAGCCAGCTTAGTAGTAGAGAGGTATGTTACAAAGAGAGTGAAAGAGTAAAAATACGAATGAATTCAGAGCAATCCTCAATGAAACAAGCGAGATTAAGTAGGCCTTTAGTTAATTCCTAAATAAACTAACAATGAAAATAATTTATATGGAAGAAAGAAAAAAATACTTGTAATCACAATAAAATCTTACGCTTCGACTCTAAAGTACACTGAACCCCAGTTATTTGTACCGGGAACCCTAAGAGTTTACCGAGAGTATCCAGAAGTCAGGAAAAGACTGAAATCATCTCGTTTGACCAGAATCGAACAGAGACATTTAGAAAAACTAAGGTTAACGAATTGCAGCCTAATTGGATAATTAATAATGTTGTTACTAAATTTACTGTATTTCCAAAAGCATCTGAAAGGTCAAGAAAACACGTAAAACCTACAAACAAGGTCGTTTTCTACACACGAAATAACCTCGAAGTAAAGCTACTAATCCTGCTTCACACCTCTGCTCTCCTATTCGAGGCTCAAGTCTATGAGTGTTCGGGGAATCTAGAAGCTTAGTATTCACTGTCCACATAATAGATATATCAATTTGTACCAAACACTTGTGCTAGAGTCACGGTTATATCTCAGTCACATTAAACCTAAGTCCTGACAAGCATACTTATCGACTAAAAGTCCGAAATTTCGCATCAAAATTGAAAAACAGAGAACTAAAAAGATGAAAGTAGAGGTAATGTGTAACAAGACTCATTTACAAAGGAAAGTCAAAAATTGGGAAAAATAGAGATAGGAAGTGCAACTAGTATAAAAAGATCTTAAATTCAATTGTAGATGATAGCTTATTACACAGGTCTGAAACAAGAAATTTACATCTAAACTTTAAAACCTACTAGAAAAGCAACAATAAAACTAAATTCTCTAATAAAATGTTAACTGATCGAATAAGAAAACGATTTCTTCAAATCACAAAAAAACTACTCTCAAGTAGTTTAATTCTGTATGGAGGAAACATTATACTCATTAGTCTACATATGTCTGATAAAAAGCGCTGTTTATGTCTAATTAATTTAAAACAGAAAATATTAAACAACTCAGTCAGTTGAAAGCAGACTACTCTCTTTAAAGTTTTCGTAAACAAAATGACTACAGTATGCACGAAAATTGATAGACATTTAAATGTTTGTTACTACCAAATTTGATAAAAGTAAATAATTGATTTTTGAACCGTATTACGTGATAATAAAACTTCGATTTCCATCAACAACGAAAACCTGTGAGGACAGTATTTCAAATGGAATTTGCCCTGTTTCATACAGAGATAGAGAAAAAACATGTGCGTGTGTTTGATAAATAAGTAATATCAACGAAGCGTAGAGATAATATACAAAGACTAGATTTATGGTTTTGCTCCGTCCATAAGATTAGATATTAGGGAAGGATGTATTCAATATCAAGTAGATTATTATCGAACCGACAATGATTCTGTCTTTATTACTTTCACTTGTCTGGTAGACATCATACCCAATAATTTGCTACTAGGCATACAAAGTTTTAATTCCTGCAATAAGTATACTTTTACGTTTTCTTTTCTGTCTGGAGTATTCATTCTTTTTGGCCTTGAAAACCGTATCAAGTATATTTGTAACAGTTCAGAGACAACACGCACTCATACACATTAATCTGAATATATATATATATATATATATATATATATATATAATAGAACAAGATGTCATGGTGACAAAATTAGAGTCTTTCATATGGACTGTTTTTACTACGGACACACATTACATTTTTAAACAAAATATTACAAGAAACTTTAACAAATAAGCATGTTTAGCACATTTTTAGAAAAAAACTGAATTCCGGCGGTGAGAAAAGATTACATTCAGACTCCATGGTTTTCCCAAAACAACTCTACCAAGATCCTAATTTTTCTCCAATACTAACATTAGGGGTGTGTGTTCAGACATTTCAACATATGATGCTTTGAACTGGAATATTATCTGAATTTTTGTCACGAATTAATTCCCGTTAGAAAATCTTTGAAGATTAAGATGTATTAGACAGCTGTTTTGCCCTAACATATGACGCTTCAGTAGCACACATTCACGACTCCCATCGGGGGTGGGACTTAAGGCCTTCAGGTCACTGAATTGACATTCAGTGGTTTGGATTGCTAAATTTAGTCTATTTGCGATACTGTATGATCATTTATTGCCACTGGCAAGCACCATTTTACTCCCAATGTGTTTAAATTCGAACAATCGCGACTTCGTACTAGCACCTCACGAACTTATTTTAAAGTGAGTAAAATTATAGCACTCATGCTCTTACTATCCATAGTATAATAAACCTGAATTAGTTTAATGTTTGAATTACTCCATTAATATTTACTACAATACTTCACAGGTAACAAATAAATTATTGTTATGATGGTTGAAACACCAAAAATTCAAACCAATACACTATGAAATTCTCGTATTTGTTAGTGAGACAAAAGACGATAAATATACGATTGGGGACTTATTAGGCTCTAATAATTAAGCAATCACTGTGAGACCTAAATGTCTTGAATTAGGTTTCCGGAGACATGATGGGTTTCCACTGCCGAGACGCTCAGTACCACAGTCAAAAGCTTGTCTTATACACTCTGGTTTCAGATGACAACTTAACTGAAACCAATCCATAATGAATAAAACCTGCAAAGCAAATCAGTTTCGATGAAACCCTAAAAATATCATGTATCATACACAAAATGAACAAAAGCTGAACAGTTTATTACAATAATGAATAGGAGTTGAGAGTAAACTTACTTGAAAATGTAAAATTATTATCCAAATAAGACCTAATGTTAACTTGGGATTACCATCGACAATTTCATCTGCACGAATATTCACTATGCGAATCTATGATTTTAAAAAATAATTAGATGGGAGAAAATAATGCATAAAAATTCATAAACAAAATGAATACAAAGAGGTACTAATTTCAAAACAATAATGAAATAGTAAAAGAAGCTTATAATATAAAATTGAGAGCATTTGTCTAGAAAATTAAGCACAAAACATATTCTTTGAAAGTAGACTATATACATAGGTTACATGTTCTTGAAAATCGGTGTATTCAAAGCACCGTTCGCATTTTCCTGAACAATCTAGTAAACAATGTGGAAGTCAGATGCAGGGTACTACTAGGCAAAGATGGGAGATCAGTTGATCAGGTTGTTGATCTCCGTTGACTAAGGTAATTTATCTTATGATTTTCATCTCATCGTATGGAGATTTGAGATAATTCACATCAGTGCTAGGCTCTGATCTGACGTTGATCGCACTAATCAAAAGACTGAATAAAAATCAAACATTTATAAGACTTCTCACTTATAGAGCATATACATATTATGGAAAAAATAGATAAATGAAGATAAGTCAAGGATAAAAAAAGGGACGACATATGTGGTAAAACCGAAAAAACACAAATAAATAAGGGAAAACAAACGATGAAAAAGTAGTAGTCTTTAAAAATAAGGTTTACAATATTTACAAGATAATCGGTAAATACTGTCAATAGTGTTGTATCGACTCAATCATTATATATATATATATATATATATATATATATATATATATTTAAGACAGCTCATAACTAAGTTCGTGATATTTATAAACCAAATCTAAAGGCCGACAGACATTGAACAGAGTATTCCAACCAGTTTACGATGTGTCAGGTTGACAAGAATTTCGAATTATTAATACTATGAATTATAAAGTTCAGTCACAATACATTCCAATCCATCATCTCATTAAGATTAATTGATTAATAAATAGAAAAGAAACCCAAATATCTTATGTGTACCTTTCTGAGGATTACTAAACTAGTGCAGAACTGACTTCCTAATTTACAATTGGCTCTCTTGTGATGAAGATTAGTGATTAATGTCGAAACAGTACCTCATTCTTCATCCTCTCCTAAATAGTGAAATTAAATATTATCCTATAACTTTCATTACGCTTACATATCACTTCTCTACAAATTATATTTCATACGTTTAGTATTCCATTCCCGTTGATATTATTTATATTGACTTTTGTATTCCTCATTTTGTTAATTTGACAATGAAAGAAAAAATCAGAAAGAAAGAAAGAAAGAAAGAAAGAAGAAATTTATGGGCAAATTTAAAATAAAACAAAAAATTACCCCACGATATCGAAGAAAATCCAATACACGTTGAATATTTTGTATCCAATGGACACGACTTTCAATGTATTCAAGTCCCTATGAGATAAAAATAATCAATAAACTAAACAGTAAAAAACAACTATGTAGTTGAAGAAATATTTATATAAAACAGAAAGTCCATTCATTGTTGAAATACTTCCGTTATTGTTTCTTTTTGTTGTAGTGAAAATTATCACTTAACAATAGATAAATATAGTTGTAAGTAAAAAAAGGCTACATACTACTTAATGTGCTATAAGACCGTTTAACAGTATCCTAAAGAAATTTCATGAGTTACAATATAAATCAGTTACATTGGAATGATCGTTACTTCAGTTTGATTTTTATTGAATGTAATAAAATATTCATATACAAGCTTATGAATTAAGCAATTTTTGAATTATATTGTGTTATATAAAAAAGTAATCCAATAATGATAATCTAATATGAGTAGGACTTTTGTGCTTTTATAATGTTATAATAATGAGAATTGTAATTGATCAAATGTATTAGAACTCGTGAGTACAAAAGCTATGATTAAAGTAACCATCTCGGAGTGGACAACCTACAACTGAGACTGATTAATTGTGGTTGTAAATATCAACAACGCGAAAACATATACCCTTAGTAATGCATCCGTATCTGTTGAAAAAGTTATTTGAATTCAGTAGCTTAGTGTATAACACGTTGGTTGAAGCGAGTTTCAGTGTAAACATCAACACTACGATACAAGTACATCTAACTCACATGTTTTTTAATACGATCAAACGTATATCTTGAATTTCAATGTAAGCCATATACCGAATATATTTAAATTTGTAAGTGTTTAGACCTAAATAAATATCTTGTTATAAAAAAAGATTGTGGAATTTAATCTAGTCATTAGGTTAGTTAAACAACCAGTACCTAAAATTTGCTGATCTGCAAATTTAATAGTTTAAATTCTTTTTAAATGTAGAGAGAAACCATGGTTAGCTAAAAACTTATGTATGTTATTACTTTAGTGATGCACGAATTATCACATGGTTTTAACTCATATGCCATATGTTAGACACCAGAAAAGTATTGATTGAGATCAATAGCTTGGAATGCAGAAGAATAGTTGGAGAATATTGACAGGAAGGACTAGTCGTAGAGACTACGTGCATAATTCAAAACCATATTTGTCAAGTATACAGAAATTAGTATCATGGTCAGAAACGTTACATTTGAGTCACCCTTTGACTGACCCGTATAGACTGAATTTTGAACAATAAATCGCTTTTGTGTAACTTAAATTTTTTACAGAATTTAAAACAAACATCTTACTAACGAGATACACGTCTTTTACTGAATTCCAATTTGAACGAACTGGGTAAATATTCACAGTTAAACAATACAACTCAGAACAAAGTATGTAGAATAATGACTTAATCGTTGAGTGTTTTATCATCTAAACTTTAAATTAGAATACGAACAATAAACTGGAAAATATTGTAAGCCTTGGTGTAACAAAGAAGCTATGGCGGGGGATAGTAACCTGTGTGCTAATTAAATTAAAAAGTACTTCATTTATCATATTCAACTTACCAATACTTCATTTGTTAAACACTCCAATAAACGTACTAGTAAATATCCATTACGTAAATCCAAAAATAAATCTTGAACCCAACAATTACGCTGATAGAGAAAGAAATGGAGAAAAGAGTAGGGAAATGCAATAGGTAGATATAATCTTTTTATGAATCATTTTTAGCTGAAGAATTAAAATCAATCTAGAAATAGATAGACAAATAGCCATAGAGAAAAAAAAAACGACAAGCAATCAAGCACGCAATAAACTATGATATAGTCAAAAATTTGTGGCAAATATCCCACGAAACTTACGCATCAGGTAGAGTGAGAAAATCGGTTTACCTAAGTGAAATGTATCACACAAACATGAGACAGTTCGTTTCAATCATTATAATAATTGAATAACTGAAAACTAAACATTGTATTGTGAAAAAACCTGGGTCACAAAATAATTGGTAAAATTACTGATAAGTTAAGCTTGCTACATCACAGTTTCCTCAGGGGTAGATGATGGGTCTTGCAGGAAATAATGTTAAATTAAGAATAGGTTATAGGGAATAGAAATGGACTAACTATTCAAATTGAAAGACAGTGCAAATGCTAACGCGCGTAAAATCATTTGTACATGTTTTTATGTACAAAAAGAGAAGGATTTTCAAGCGGTCCCGTTCAATACTAATAAGGTTTTCGTCTATACTTCAGTATGGGATGTAGTGCAGTAAATCAATAACTTTCAAACTAAATCGCTAATCAAATAATGAAGCAGTTTTAAAGCATACGAAAACCTGTGAATTCTGTGGTAGACTTATAATTCTTTTCATACAAATAACTTTTTTTTCCTTATATTTTACAAATTACAAGTAAATTTTCATTTCAATCTATTATGAAATCAAGGAGTACTGGATAGCTACTTAATTTTAATTTGGGACTTCAATGGTAAAACAATTATTTTGTGTTTGCTATGTGTAATTATAATTAAGAAATTTGTAATGCGAATATACCTTCTACTTAGATGTTTTCAAAAGACACATTTAATCAACTTGCATACAATAAACTCAACTTCAAGACTTAATATTATGCATAGTAAGCTGGAGAGTTACAACTACTTTATTACAACTGAAGATAATCTGTCATCTCCTAGACATAATTAAATAATTAACTAATGCAACTTAGTAAATAAATATGAGATTGCTCAGTGGACTTTGAAAACTATTTCTTATTCAATTACATAGTTCAGTGTAATTGAATTGGAGTGTGGTGGGGGTCGAGTCGATAGTTTCATTGTTGAAAGTTGACTTCATTAACAATAAAGCTGACATTCCACGAAAAATTGAAATGAACTTTTGACTTGACGGAATGAAGAGCTGAATATTTTAAATACTGAATTTATTAATGGACTCTGATAACAATTAAAATGAATAACTGGAAACCCATACATAGATGGACACATGAAATATATATATATATATATATGGTCAAAAATATATTATATACTGCATCAAAATGTGAAACAGAAGATAAAAAATTAAAAGATAACATTTTAACTGCTAACGGCAAAAGAACTAAAACAGATACACACACACACACACAGAAACATTAACTGGGTAACACAATTACTCATTTGTTGTTTTGTTGATTGTTCAAACGACGAACCGTTACTTTGATTAAATAGATTAAACTGAAATAAAACACGATTATATTACACGCGGATAATAATGATAATAATAATAATAACAATAATAATAATAACAATTATAATAAACGAAAATAACGACAATTGCTGCTATTATATAAGAAATTGAATCATTTTGTTTTCCTTCATTAAAAAAACATAAAAACAAATTGCTTGAAGAAAAGCTAGTAAACAGTCACCGTGTGGAAACGTCAAGTACAAGAAGACATTTCTTCAAGTAAAATTTAACAACTGACAAGATGAATGAGCATCAACTGATCTTGAAAATCATTATCAATCACGTAAAAAACATCAATGTTCAATAGAAAATGATATAAATAAGCCAAAGAAACCCCCTTTATCATCTTTTTTTGCTAACTATTTCAGTTTCAACTAAACGTGTGTGTAATTCATGAATAATAAAACATCGTCTTAACATCGCAAACTAACTCTTATTTTAAATTTAATTTAACTTATTTACCAGGTACATATCTGTGCACCTAACTTTCATTCACATTCTAGGCATGAAGAGTGTTGATGCTAATCGGTTTGCCAAACTGAAATAAGTGGGATGCATTTAGAACCTTTCATGTCATAACTATAAAGCCATTATTCCCGTTTAGTTAGACAACCAGTCAAAGTCAATAAGCGTTGAACAGATGATATCGTATTTAAAGTGACGACTATTGCATTCGTGTTTTGGTATGGATATCTCAACAGTGCTATGCAAGGAAAACCAATTGTACAACTACCAAAACGAGATTAAATAGATCTCCTAGATTCTACTCACAGCCACAATATAAAATATCAAAACAAGAATAAAATCAACGAATCTAAATTGTCGTTACATACAGCGTATGTGTTTACGGCTAGAATTCAGAAAAAAAGCAACCACATCCATAAATGTAATTTACAGCAGTAACTAACATTTAAATTACTTATCATACACAATATATATATTACAGTTTAATGACATTCAAATCAAGTTTATATGTGAAGGTATAAAAGAAAGTATTATTCATCTGTTATCATTAATTATTTGAACTTTAAATCATACTGAATAAGAATTTTCACATGAATAAATTACGAAATATTATGAATATTTTCTGACCATTTAGAAAGGTAACTAACTAAAAATAGTAATATTGTGTTATGATAGCACATAAGAGGGATAGAAAGCTGTTTGTTACTGTAGTAAAAAAAACTAGTGATCATAAAATATAATCCATTCAGGTCATAGTTATTGCATTACAAGAATTCTACCAACCAGTAAGTATTAAACCGTGTTCCACTTTATGAAAAGCACGAGTGAGTGAAATCAATTCATTTTAATTGTAATAATACTACTAAGCTATATTATAATCAATCACAATAGTTTTCATAATGTCCTCAATATAATAATAATGATAATAATGCAATTACTCATTTACCAAGTACATGTCTATGTAATCGGTTTTATGCTAACAATTTAGTTTTATGGGAACTAGTGACATCACTCGGAACTAATTTTAATGGGAGAAATGGAGATCGAACATTAACAATAATATATACGCATATATTTGTTGTGCAAAGGTGTTTAATTTATTGAAGTATCACAATGGAAAAACATAAAGATACAAAATAATTAAATCTTTCGTTAAAAGATGTTATTGAAATTAAATTAACTTGTGAAACTTAACTAATAATAACCAGAATCTGTTGTATCTCTATTCTTTCATTATTCAAAAACCATTGGAATAGTAGAAATCATGTATACAATAGTGCAGTTTATACAAACATGACTTAAAACTAGTTTATTTTCTAATATAATGATTGTGACAAACAATCGTGAAAAAAAGTAGTTCACGACAAATCGTTGTAAATAATTTCATGTAATAAATTTACAGCAAGAAATCACTAGTTTGATATGTTCAATCATTCAGTACCTGCATGAATAAGGAAGATGTGCTAATTAATGTCAGACTTTTCTCTATGTCAATAAAAATCAATAGGTAATGTCAACCATTTACAGAATACAAGTTCACATTAGAGGGCATACTTTGTGTAAAGCTTAATAATACTACTGGGTTACTATAACTATATCGTAGAGGAGGATGGTTAGAACCCAAAACCTACTGATTAATAGCTGAGCGTTTGGATCACTAAGTTATCTCTTCAACTCAGTCGGTGGTTTTTTCAAACAGTTCACCTCAATTCGGCTTATTCGAAGTGAGAGGAAGTATGAATTGAAACACAAAATACATATTTTAAGATAAAAAAAGAAAACTGAGAAGAGAACACGTGTCAACACAAGAATTACAAAATATATTTCTAGCATACACAACGTTATCTGGTGAGGAAAATTTCACCATCTAATGAAGATGATCACCAATGTTGCTACTATCAGATAAACCAGTCTTATTGTTCAACCTTCATTAACAATGAAATAAATGCACGCACACACACACACAAACGAAAAGAAAAATGATACAATTTCGGAATTTCCAATTTCATTTTTCATATCTCACACAAAAAACGTTTATATCATCCGGAAAAAACATGTGCATATCTAATTTTTGATAAAGAAAAAAGAATCATTTGAACAAAATGAATATTCTTAGTGTGATTACACCTGATTTATGGGATTTTGATTGTGATATTGAAATTTTCATAACGAATATATAAAAAAAAGATATTAACAGGATTTTTTTTAATTGATATTTTTAAAGCGAGAATTGTAGTGATCAATATAAACTTGTATAACAAGATAAAGTGGAAAACAAATTTCTTCAGAAATTATTACACTTGAAGTCAAATGATTTATCAGAAGGGGGTTTCGTGGAGATTTTAGTAATTTATATAGTTGAGATCATGAGTCAAGTGAAGCTAGACCAGCATGGAAAACCTTGAAGCACTGGACGGCCGTTTCGTCCTATTGTGGGACTCAGTAGTGCGTATCCACGATCCCGCCTCGCGAGATCTGAACCCAGGACCTACCAGTCTCGCACCAGAGCACTTAACCGATAAACCATTGAGCCGGCATCCAACGGTGTTAATGTCTAACCTCAACCAATCCACGAAATTGCGCGACCGACTTTCATTGTACTGAGGTAGATACCTAACTTCACCTGACATGGATTAGCTGGTAGGTCCTGGGTTCGGATCTCACGAGGCGGGATCGTGGATGCGCACTACTGAGGAGTCCCACAATAGGACGAAACGGCCTTCCAGTGCTTCCAGATTTTTCATGGTGGTCTAACTTTGATTGACTCATGATCTCAACTATATAAAATGATTTCATAGATTATTTACAAGAAAGAATGATCTGTCGATCCTTAGAGAAGTAATTACATCCTGTCTCTAGTCAAATTAGATAATCTAGATAATGACACAGTGAGTAACAACACGCTAAGTTTCATATTAACAAATATTGTAGTGATCAATACTGAAAGAG